TGTGTGGGATACCTATGGAATTGGCAGGATACGAGCCCAACGCTGATCCGAGTGCTCCAATGGTCAGTGCTTTCAAAGAGTTTGATGAGGGGTGTGACGATGATTGAGCCATAGTCATATGGATGCTGGGAGTCTGGGGCCTGAGGAACTTACTTATGAATGAGAATGACAGTGTTGCGGGGAATGAGCTTGGTGAAAACACTGCCCGTAGTCTCAAGAGCCCGCCCTCAAGCTCTTTGCTGGCAATCGTAAAGCATTGATATCAGAGAAGATTGGGGCTGGGTCAGGTGAAGCGCAGATCATTAGTTGTTCACTGTGCAGCTGGTGAGAAACAAATTAAGCATTGAAATCAGCATAATGACGAGCAAAGATAGTGTAAACAAGAGGCGAGAGGCAAATGGCAGGCAGGAAACAAGAAACAAAAGTCAGACAAGAAAGTAGGAAGTAAGTGTCACTTGTCATAGATGGTAGCAGTGTCCTCGATGTTGTCACACTCCTCCTCTGCAATGGCTCTGAGAAGAGCGTCATTTGTGCTGGCGGCAGGTGTCAAATGCTCATTAGAGCCTCTGGCGTATACCATCTCCTGTTCCATGTCCCATTGAGAGGCTGCCCAACCCCTGGTAAAGTCAAGTCGTTCTTTCTTCAGGAAAAACTTGACCATCTGTAAGGCTTCCATCAAAACGGGGCTGAGGCGATTCCTTTTTTTCGTATGGGTTTCACTACTCAACAAAAATACCCACTCGCACGGCACAGCAGAGGCTTGTATTGGGGCGTAGTCCATGGCAATTGAGTATATAGTTGGGAAAATGGACTGCGAAGCCTGGTCAACAACTTATGTTAATGACAAAGGGTGACTTGAAGAGGCAATGGACTCACATTCCAAAATGTGAGTATATCTGTTCCCTCAGGACTAAGAGTAGCCATGGCATATGCTGTGAACTCCTGATCTACTGTGTGACCGTCGTGGTGATGCGGCACATGTGCATGCGCCTCGGGAAGTCCATAGCGACGTGAACCTAGTGTGTGTGGCAGCGGTCGTGGAACTACTACAGGTTGAGAATGTGTAGCATTAGAGTTTTCTGCTCTCTTGCTATGCATCTGCAGAACAAATCAGTTCAAAGTTGCGCCTTTATTTACTAAACAGACATACCAGCTTCGTGATAAACTCCTTGGCATTATTAATGCACTCCCCCTCCCATCCATTGTTCATCTATGACATCCATGTCGCAGGGTCAATGACTACATAGGTAATTGTGAGATCAACATTTACTAGAAGAAAACATAGGACTGACACATAGTGACAGCATAAGCATGTGTCGCATTCATCCGGTCAGTGTATTTGCTCACCCAGGTTAGGCCTATGTCAACAACAGGCTTACAGTGTGGTGCATGCAGGCCAATAGACTCCCAGCCCTCAATCAACTCTTCAAAAGCTGGAACAGCATGGCTCAGCAAAAGAGTGCTTTCACTGGAGAGTTTTTGCTGGGCGGCGTGGGGTGCCTGGTATGAAATGGTAAAATGGATCACGGGTTTCAAATATATTAGTACTTACTTCCAAGATCACTTCCAGGTCCTGGAGGAACTGCCAATCCATCTCACTCAATCTTTTCTCGGATATGTTGCATTGAGTCCAACCATCAAAAAAGGCAGTTATCGCCTGAACCAGTATTAGTCATATGAGATATGTTTAATGGTGTGATGTCTTACCTGGCGGAGTGTCCGCAAACAGTTTATCATAACATATACCGAATCCCATCTAGTAGGCTCATCAAGGAGAAGTTCTATGACTGGGAGCTGTGCAAGCTCGCCCTTGTTGTCTCAAAACCACCCCTCCTCGTTACCCCTAAGGATGCTGTCACGAAACCTGTCGCGCTGCTGGTTTGATGCACGGATCAATCACACAATATTTCTGGCTCGCTCGAGAGGCTTAGCTTATACAGCCTGGACATAATCTACTTTTTTGATGATTTGATCTTCGACTGTCCATGTATCATCCACGGTGGAGAAGTCAGCAGCAGTGTATTCGTCGATGATATGCTTCACGCATATGTTTATCATGTGCGGGAAACATGGTATCCTGTGTTTGATAGGATCAAAATCAATCCTGCGCTGCCCAAGTAGAGCCGAAAGCTCCTGCATTGCAGTATGATTGTTGGCCGCATTGTCGAGAGTAAAATGCCCAGTCTAAACAACATCAGAGCATGCAACACGATGCAAATAAGTACTGACCTTGTTTGCAGTGTCTGCACGATCAAGGAGATATAATATCACAGAACCCAGAGATTGTCCATCATGACTGCCAGGAACATGATGGAAAGCAATGAGGGCTGCCCTTAACACGAGCATTGAACCTTTATCGGCCTTGGCAATCCAATGAGCCGTAATGGCCATAAACAGCTGCAGCTTATAATTCAACCACAGGTCAGATGTGAAGCAGACTTTGCCCTGTGCATTCTAAAAGGAATAAGATACTTCGTAGGACTCTCGGCAACTATGCACTTACAGCAAGGTCTTTCTTCAAGGCCAGGAAGTATTCCTGCCATTGCTCGATGACCATTTCGCGAGCCTTCGTGCAGTGAAATAGGCCAGTCTCACCAATTTCTGGGCACAGGAGACGGATGAGGCGTCTAAATTTGGGACACTTGATTATGTTTATTGCCTGGGGGTGATCATTAATGGTGGCTTTAAGGGTGAACTGCGACTCACTTGATCATCAGCAACGATAAACTTCACAATTTGACGATGCATTTCGTCAAGCGTGAAGTCTGGAATTTTATCTTCTGGAGAGCGGGTTCCCACCAGCAAGGTGTCAGATCCACGAGTAGGGGGAGGACCAAGTGACTGCATTGTGCACGGTGATTTCCTAAGCCGTTCACGAATTGTGGTGAGTGTCCACCCTTCAGCAAGGCATTCATTTAGATCCTTTATCAGTATGCGCCAGCCAAAACACTCTGCTGCTTCCAGATAAAGTTCAGTGTGATGGGTGAAAGCATGTGTACGGGGAGCTGAACTGGACGTTGAGCCTGCATATACCATGACCTTGTACGTGTTGTCGACCTCATGTAGCGCTCTGGTGAAGGATGTAAGAAACAACAAAAGATTGCAGATGTGATGCTTACTCGCAAGGGATGCAAGTTTTGCCCTTAGTATCGGTATCGATCCGGTAGAAGTGAGTCATATCAGTCGACCCTTTAGTCTGCTTGAGGTTGCCAGTGGCCAAAGGGTCAGTCCGAATGGTGCTGGTGACAGTCTGGAGTGGGCTTGGATTAGAGCCCGCAGGCACCATAGCGGTGGGCACAGGAAAATTGCCTGGTTCCTCTTTGTCCCCTGAGATATTCTCGAGGTCGAAGATTTCGCCCTCATCTGGACCAGCATGAGCCGCATCGCTGGTTCTGTATCTAAGAGGAAGCTGTCGCCAATGGGGGTTTTGAAGAGTTGTAGCATTTGCTGCAGCAGCTATGGGGATAGGAGCAACAGTGGGGACAGCGGGGATGGTAGCTGCCTGGGCCCTGTTCTGCCCACGTCAATGACCTCGCATTTGTGGTAGTAGTAGTGGTAGTGGTGACAGTCCAATGACAGAATAATCTGTTTATATAAACATTCTTTCTGGGAAACCCCAGAAATGCCAATGCATGCGTCAAGTGTAAGGCCCAAAGGCAATGCGCGAATTGAGATATTGCAGGGTGGAAAATGGAGTGGGGCATTGATGAAAGGTCGCCCATGTAGTATGTCATACCCTGTAGGGTAGCTATATGAATCATATGATATAGGAGATGTGATTGTTCCTACCTAATACTAGTAAAAGTGCGACACGCAAGTTGGGCGCCTGTCGTATGACTGGGGCGTAATTAGTCTTCTTCATCTGTTTTCTGTCAATGAATGCTCGGAAATTGCTATAATTGGATGGAGGTGAGGGGGAGGGACACTTGATCTTGAAGGACATACCCAAAGTGAATTGGCTCATGGCATGTAGCTTTCTAGATCGCGATCAGATAGATAGATTGAGAAAAGTACGGCTTACCTTCATCCTCAAAGTCACTTAGTTTTAATTCCAAAGCCAGATCGCAAGGCAGTGAAGCCATCCAAAGGTAAGCAATACATTAGCAATAGGTCATGCGGCATGCCATAGCCTTGCATGTCTACAAGGTGTGTGTGGATGACTACCACTTTAATCACCGCGCAATACAGTTTTATGATTGATGAACTAATCTATTAATCAGAATTGGCTAGATCAATCAAGTAGACTATACATACATTCTTCCTTGACCAACTAATATCTAGATCACAACCCAATGAAGCCGCCATCTGGCAAAAGGGAAGAAGACTCAGCAGAGCACTGGCCAAAAGTCCCCTATGCAGAATGCTGCAGTTTGGGGTATATGCATAATGCAATGATCTATTCCTTTGCACAAGAAAAATTGCTGGACTCTGTCGCCTGATGTGGTGGTGGCCTGGTTGATATCGTGATTCGAAACTTCAGTGGTGAATAATCATAAGTGAGAACAAGACCCTCACCTCGGCGATCATGTCGATCAGCACTGGCAAATTGCAAATGCACTGGCACAATTAAGTAATGGTGGTATGAGACGTATGGTGCAAAGATGCTGCACACTGCACAGCACGACAGCACATTGGAGGGAAAATCAAGGGAAAACCAAGGGAAAAAATGCCTAGACTTATTACTAATCATGCTAAAGCATCAGGAAAATCATAAAAATTCTTAGCCAACTTATCTTACTTACTTATGTTTACTTGAAACAATACTAAGTGCACCAAGTCATGTAAGAAGATCATTTCTACTTAATTTCTACTTAGAGAATTCTTCACAAAGGAAATACAAGAAAGAAATCTGCGAATCAAGTGTTATTCAGAATTTTAAGTAGGCAGGTGATAATAAGTGAAATTTGAGATCTACTAAGTAGTAGACTCACTCAGAGTATCATTACTAAGCGGAAAACATAAGTTGATTTCAGCTAAACAATAATAAGTACTACAATAAGTCAAAATGCGATCTCATATGCATGATGATCAATGAAATTGTTGACATAATAAGTGCAAAAAGTGTCGAGTGTCTGCGAGTAAGTGAGATTGGTTGGCACAAAGTCGCCCCCAAATACTGGTATAAGGTGGGCCGCACGAAATATACTATCAAGGTGGATGACAGACACACAGCGTGCTCCATCTTCAAGAAGCTCCGGCTCTACAACCCACATTCCCATAATTTCATCTGGGGAGTCAGCCACACGTTTGAACCACTGTACAAGTGCACAAGGGTACGTGATACCATCATGCTTCAAAGAAAAAAATAGTCTCACTCGAGCAATGTCGAGGCTGCGCATGCCATCGGCAGATGAATCAGTGCTAACAAAGACACAATCATAGCGCCCAGGGCCATTTCTCCACATATCTACAGCGCGAATACGCTCGTAGCGCATACCGCCAATCCCCGATAAATCGCTAGGAGCAAAGAAGGTGGCCACGGCTGAAGTGTACAGTGTGATCTTTTCATAGATCTCAGGAAGTGCAGACCGGGAGGAGTCAGAGCTAGATGAGTCAGAGTCAGCACGGCATTGGTCACGCAGAAAATGCTGAATCAAAGTTGTGAAGTTGGGTTGACCTATCTGATCTGCAATGAGCTCTGGGTAGATCCGTCTGGCTGTAGTAAGGTGTATGGTGAGCGGAAGCATGCAAGTATACACAAAACTACTTACCAGCTGTCTTCGCCAGGTCAACATGGGCAAGGACCGCTGGCCCATCAACAGCATCAGCATCAGGCTCAGCATTGGTGTTACCCTCACCCTCGTCTGCACTACCTTCGCCATAATTAGTTGCATGATGGTAGCGTCCAAAAGGCTCATCCTGGTCTGGGACATCTCGTTCGATGTGTGCTTCCAATGGAGCGTTTAGTATCCCTGTGAATTGTAAAGGTGGTGATTAGTGTTGGCGAGCCCAGCATCATGAAAATCACATACCAAGTTTGTTGAGGATGTATGACAAACACGTCCCTCGTAGCATCCCGCGGTCAACAAAATCAACGCGTGAAGCAGCTAGCTTGTCGAGACGCTGATTGGTAAGTAACATTTGACTGAGAGCCTCGAAACGACTCGACCGGCGCCATGGCTCCTTGACGGCTTTAATGTGTTTGGACTCTGTTATAGATGAACAAAGCCCATTTGGTGCGCCGAACGCTCGAATGAGCTTATGGTAATGGATGAGTGAATGTTGTCGAGGGAGATTAAATCCTCTGGGTCGAACACCGGATGTTCGGAATATCTCGCGGTACCTGTGGAAACGCTTCAAGGCATCGTCCATTGCGTCGAGGCTGTTAGAGCTGATGATGTTGCGGCGAGCGATGTAGATGAAGTCGAGTAACACTCGCAAAGCCTGTACCATCTCTTTGGGTACATGACCTTCGATAGCAGGTATATAGACCTGGGCAGTAAATGCGCATTAAAAATATTAGTACTGTTGCTATGTAAAATATAAGAATATCGGTACAGACCTTCATGAGAGCTTTTGAGTCGTCACCAGTCCACTGTTTGAATCCTCTACCCTCTGGAAATCGTCGAAGGCCTGCAAACGCTGGAGCTAGAGCGATGCTAGTTGTGTGACACATACTACTATTCAGCAGCAGCAGCAGCTTGAAGTGAATTTGAAGATAAACTTACCGACGGTCAATGTCGTCCAGTATCTTGTTCGCGTTGGCTTCTGTATATTGAGCTTCGATGTAGTCGTGCACCCAACTAACTAGGTGGTCCTTGAACGCTCCCTTGATGAGCTGGTGTAAGATATCTGGGGAGAGAAGCTCGTGTATGTTGGCGCGTAGAAAGTAATTAGTGAATGGCTGTATCAATAGTGTAAGTTCAAAAGAGACGAGTAGATGAGGTATTGTACACACCACAATGTCTCCAACAAGGCCGTATTCATCCCACAGAACACCTAGTTCGAATTCCTCAACCAAAACTTCGGTGTGATTGCGGGAACATCGGCCATATGTGCCTTCATCGAGACCATCTGCTGGTGTGGTGCATCTGCCGGTGTAAGAGCACCATAGTCCTACTTAGCATAGGGACACAAAGAATAAGACAAAAATGTACTTTGGACACCAATTTTGTACAATACATGCAAGCAGTGCTTGCTCGGGATAGTCAGCTATGTATGGTCCAAGACCATACACAGCTCGTCGAAAGTGGCCATCAGGGCAACGGACAACCTCCGGTTTGGTCATGCCAGGTTTGAGGGTTTCAAGCATTTTTGCAAGTGACGAGTGTAGAAGCTGGCAGCGGAACTTTCGGAAGTGTGCGTCCTTGGTGTCTTCATTATCAGCTAAGTAAATCAGTACCACATTAGTAACAGCAGCGCACACAATTAGTAGAGAGTACGTACCTTTTGGAATGGCTAAGAAGCCAAGTAGTACGACACCATTGCGGTGTGCACGCCGCACATTGTTGCGGATGTTGCCAATGGACATATAGACCGGCCAATATTGGTTATGGCCAGTGGCGACAGAGACTGTTGTCTTGTCACTTCCAAGGATAATAGGGACGAACATCGATCCTATTGTATCCGGATCTTGCGCAATTAAGTCCTGCAGTGAATGATAGAAGTGAGACAACAACGCGAAGGAGTAAGTGAGCAACGCTTACGGCCTGTTTCCAACACCAGTCGCCGGACATAAAGTCCTGAAATTGATGCGCTCCATCACTAACGCTATACTCCTGTAGTGGTGCATAGTCGAATTCGTCCTTGAAATCCGGGTTTGATATGATGTTGTGAACCAGGAGCCGAGGGTCTCGGAACCATACGTCATACTCAGACTTCATCCATGATGGAATGTCATCCGGGTCGTCAGGTAAAATTCCGTTGTACTGCGAGCTGAAGCTTTGCCAGGGAACATCACCGAGAGGAGTTGAATCGATGGTGTCGTACATGTCGGTGTGGTTTGTGAATGGCGGGGTATCACCGTGAGCTGCTAATGAAGCTGCCCACAGATTGAATACAAAATCAATATCGCCTGCAGACATTTGGTTGCGATGGTACAGGAAATCAGCAACTTCAAACTCGACACGATCGTTGTATGGCGTCCAGTCGTCAGATCCACGATCTGATGGGCGTGGAGGTGGTGGAGCATCTGGGGGTATGGGATTCCCTTGACCATCGCAGATTCTCCCTTTGTAGAGGAGAATTGAGCATAAATTGTATGAGCATCAAGAGAAGTCACGTACCGTTAATGATGGGATGATATGACCTAGTTACCTGAAGCCGACTCCAAGCTTGGCTGTCAGAACTAGCACTACTACCAGGAGGCTGATCTACATCCAAGCCACCTGTAGAGTCTGCCGGCGGCTCAGCAGAATGCCGATCCTCAAAGGTATCGTGTGGTGCATCATACTCAAAATCATGATGGCTGCCATGACCATCCTCAATGACATCCTCCAAGTCAGGTGGATTGAACACCATATCAAAATCACGACCGCCACTAGCCTGAGTGCGACTGTCAGAAGCTCCCTCTGATCTGCTCCGGCTGCGCGAATGATATGTTGAGTCAAATAAGGGACGTTCAGGGCCAGACTGAGACGCCGATGATGAATTGCGCTTGCAACTAGCAGGTGGGGGAGAACTACTGGAACTGGAGGATGAATGGTGTGGCAGTCGGAAAGTCTGTGATTCATGCTGTGATTGCATGTGGGAAGTGCGCCCGGACCTATTATGGAAATGGCGGGTGCAGCCTACTGCTAAGCATGGTAGCGTAGGCTGACAATGGCTAAGGGTGTGCATTTTGCGAATATGGAGGTTGGTACTGGATGGTATAGTGTGATGGTGTAGAACTGGCGGGGTAATGAGAGCCTACAAGTCTGAGCTTCAGAGGTGCATGCGGCATGATATTTATATGCAAACTTACCTTAGCATAAGAGCCTGTGAAGGCGCCACTTGAAGCGCGAGGTGTATGCGTTGTTGGGAGCAGTGAGAACCTTCCAAAAGTAACATGAGGCAATGGTACAACAAACATGCATACTACGTACCAACAATGAGGCAGCCATTAAGTTGGACAGCATGAATGATCACCAGGAGATCCAGATCGGGAAAAGGGCAGGGTAGTGGGCTCTTCTAGAGAAAGTGTTTGACATGCGGACTGCAGGCTAGCAAAAGTGGCAAGATTGACACGCACAAGTTCAATTGCAGAGCTCCATTCAACATCTGGGCGAAGTGATAATGATGCGAGTGGGGGATGAAGACGAAGCTGAAATGATGCGAGTGAGAGATGAAGACGAAGCTGAAACGATGCGAGTGAGAGATGAAGACGAAGCTGAAATGATGCGAGTGGGGATGAAGATGAAGCTGAAATGATGCGAGTGGGGATGAAGACGAAGCTGAAATGATGCGAGTGGGGATGAAGATGAAGCTGAAATGATGCGAGTGGGGATGAAGACGAAGCTGAAATGATGTGAGTGAGGGATGCAAGTCAGGGATGAAGATGAAACTGAAACAATGCGAGTGGGGGATGAGTTGACGAGCGGCTACTAAAGACTGACCAAGGGTGCGGGATGATAGCCCATTCTGGAATGGGGCACACTCTGAGCATTGCGGAATGGAGAGGAATGGAGAGGAATGGGTAGGTAGTATGGGATCATGTACAGCAGCCATAGTGAGCAGAACGGGCTGGATGATGGTGTTGTGAAGGATGATGGTCCAATTTGCCGTCATCAGTTGCCCGATCTAGCACTGCAGGTTAGTGCGAATATGACAAGCGGCTACTAAAGACTGACCAAGGGTGCGGGATGATAGCCCATTCTGGAATGGGGCACACTCTGAGCATTGCGGAATGGAGAGGGATGGGCAGGTAGTATGGGACCATGTACAGCAGCCATAGTGAGCGGAATGGAGAGGGATGGGCAGGTAGTATGGGACCATGTACAGCAGCCATAGTGGGCGGAATGGAGAGGGATGGGCAGGTAGTATGGGACCATGTACAGCAGCCATAGTGAGCAGAACGGGCTGGAGGGATGAAGACAAAGCTGAAACGATGCGAAGACTGCCGTATCAATCGCAGAGTTCCATTCAACATCTGGGCGAACATTGAGAAGACTGCTGTATCTGGCATAATAAACTCATATTAGCGTTCTCTGAACCACTGAATAGACACGAGCACATACCGAGGAACACGCTTGCCTGCAGGCTAGAAAATGTGGCGAGATTGTCACGCACAAGTTCAATCGCAGAGTTCCATTCGACATCTGGGCAAACATCGAGAAGACTGCCATATCTGGCATAATAAAATCAGATTAGCGTTCTCCAAGTCACTGAATAGACATGAGCACATACCGAGGAAAACGTGGTGAGATTGTCACGCACAAGTTCAATCGCAGAGTTCCATTCGACATCTGGGCGAACATCGAGAAGACTGCCGTATCTGGTATAATAGACTCAGATTAGCGTTCTCTGAACCACTGAATAGACACGAGCACATACCGAAGAACACGCTTGCCTGCAGGCTAGAAAACGTGGCGAGATTGTCACACACAAGTTCAATCGCAGAGTTCCATTCGACATCTGGGTGAGCATTGATTAGCTCTGTAGATAAAAAAAGATCGATATCAGTTGTATAGATATCATTGAACACATACCAGAGCGGGAGTCCAATGCCAGTGTGCCATGTTGGTGAGGCGTGGCAAAACCCTAAGTCCCGATTTGAACCACTTTAGTTAGTATTACAACTACCACCATCGTAAAGTTGACGAAATTTGCTCACCTTTCACGTCTTGCTCCTTCCACCACTCCGACTCACCAATGTCTACTCGCCGTGTTACCCGCACCAAGAATGCAACTCAGCGTCCTGGTCTTGTAGACGCGGTCCCAAAGAAGAAACGTTGCACGGCTGCAGAAGTAGCTGCTGAGAGTCAGGCTAAGTTAGATGCCAAAGAAGAAAAGGAACGTGCCAAGGGCGCTGGGATCAAGCGTGTTGCTGAATATGAGAAGAAACAAGCAGAAAAGGACGCGTCAACCGATGCTACCCCACGGGCTGCAGTCTTACCGAAGTCAAAGCCCCGTCCAAAGCCCATTCCAAAGAAGACTCGTGCAAAATCACCCACTCCGCCTCCTGAAGACGACGGATTCATTTCTGATGTCGAGATGGACGACGCCGCCATTGACACCAGCACCTACAACCCAGATCCATCCCAAGCCTCAGAAACAACTGACACCCGCATGGATGGCTCAGAGTTGAGTGAAACTCCTACTTCACCACCAAAAAAGAAGGCAAGGATTGACAAACGGGAGGGCAAGAAGGTGCCGGCTGAGAAGACTAAGGTGCGGGATGCTATTAAGGTGGCGCAACTGGAAGAGGCAAATGAGCAGGAGACGAGGAAGAAGAGGAAGACAGCCCAACCTCCCAGCACAATAAGCATTGACTCAGATACGGAGTCGAATGTCCTGGTCATTGATGTGACGCCTACAGCAGCTTACAGCAAAAGATCAGCCCTTCAGCAAGCCGATCACTCGGATGACGAACCTATGCTCACTGATATCCCAGCTAAGCCTCAGTGGGCAATGCCAGCATTGAGCAATGAGAACACACCTAAGGCGCGGCCTCGTGGTAGTCAGACTGAGGAAAGGGGTAGCAGGAAGGTGATGGAGAAGGCGAAGGTGAAGGTGACGGAGAAGGTGAAGGAGAAGTCAGATGATAAGGGGAAGGGGAAGCAGCAACGTGATAAGAAATCGGTTCAGCCGAAAAGGTACGAAGTTCCCTTCTTCTTTTCCTGTCGTCACTTGTCCATCAATATCATGCTCACTCTCGACGAAACGACACTTTATTATTTTTTTCTCAGTGATTCTGCTAGTGCTATGGACTCAAAGGAATTTTCAACTGGCATCAATGATTGGGCTGCGAGCATCCCAGAGAACTCAAAGCCTGGTAGCAAGGCCAACACCAGCCAGCCCAGCATTTTTAAAAATAGATCAGCCTCGCGCCGCAATGGATCCGTTCTTCCCCCCCTGACCAATGGCAGCACTCGATCATCGTCCAACTCAGTCCTAACTAACAACGTTTTGATTTCTCACGCAGAACCGGTCATTCGCATCAAAGAAGAACCCAAGAAGAACTATCACCTTGGAGTCATTGATGGAGGGCTCTCTGACGAGGATGAGACTCAAGGTCTCGAACGTGAGGCTGCAGTCGCCAGCCCTCCCAAAGGGAAAAAACGAGTTACGAGCTCAGTAAGTGTCTGTTTTGACGTCATGTTTATTTCTACTACTACTGACTACTACAGGCTCTTGTTAAAGATTCCCCCGTCAAGCCAATAGCCCGTCAAATTGAACGAGCGAAGAAACCCAGCAATGACGACCTCCCCAAAGGCATCGATCCCAAAATCTGGCGCCATGTCTTTATCTCGACATACATACAATATGTCGCGACATTGGCGAATCCCTGGGAGGTTCCCGCCAAGCTGGCCTGTGAGAAGATGCAGGTGATATGGGATGCGATCTTTCCCCATATCGGCCACACAGTGACAAGCCTTAGTTCAGTCTACTACATCGTAAGTGCGCTCAATTTTACTAACACAGTACTAACTTAGATCTACTTCAATATAGGCTGTCCAGCGAGTTGCCGACTCCTACCGCAGCAACATTGGCTCCGCAGCTATCGCAATTGTCATTGCGTACTTTGAGTCTCAGGACTCGCTGAGGGACTCTGATGACAATCGTGCGGAATTCGCAGTGTTCGCACTCAGCAACCTTCGATTCTTATACAAGAAGGCAAATGGTGATGACAAGTCTGTACGTACTCCTTCCGTCTCAATCAATTTCCGAGTTGTTGTTGTTGTTGTGCTAATGCTTAACGCAGAAATTCCGGGGCCTTTATCAAGGCGCATTTGTTGTGCAAACCTTCGGTGCACACTTCACCGCGACCCGTGGTGCCCAAAAGATACCTGGGGTAGACAAGCCAGGTGTACTAGCAAATCCTGCTGGGGGTCTCGCATTGTCATGTGCTGCAGTAAGTACTCGTCATCCTATTTATTCTCGAAACTCATGAACTGACAATTTTAACTAGGTCGAACGAGCTTTAACTCTCTGGTCTACTCGTACTCTCACCATCAAAATGGTTCAGGCCGCGAAGAACAAAACCAGCATCTCGTTGCCAAAGACGATGAATCAGTCGACTGGCAAGGTGTCCTGTCGGCAAACAGGATTCAACGACATCTCCTGGGGTACATTGACGCGCGCCTATGCGAAGGCTATCATGAAGAATCTCCACGAAGACAAGTTCGATGTCATCATTGCATCTGCCATGGAATTCTCGAAGAAGAAGAGTCGTCCTGGCGATGACGTTGATGATGCTGCTGTGGAGGATGACCTTGATCTGGATGAACGCGCTCAGCTGGTGGACATATCCGACACCGAGTCCGAGGGAAATGATGGATCTGACTCGGATGTGGAGTAGGAGCCTCAAAGTCGCTTGTTCATTCCTCCTTGAAGCCGGCGCCGGTGATTCTTGTTTTTTTTCGTTGTTTTACTAGTACTACTTTGCACAACTTGAATGCTACTGCATGTGACTTGAACAGATTCTTATCATGCTGTGTTTGACTTATCTCAGTGATTTTATGTCCTTAAGGGTGCGCTCAAGCTCAGTTCAGGACCTTTCAGAGCGTAGTAAAGTAGTTTGAAGTACATTAAGTGGTGCGCATGCAATAAACAGCCCTAAGTCACCCATGCAAAAGTTCAGTTGTTTTTTACTTAATATTGACTTTTGAAGCTTTGGAGCCTGAAAGTACTTTGAAACAGTCTTTCTGCTAGTAGTAGCCTTAGTAGTACCGTACTACTAGTACTTCCTTTCACTTAGCTCTAATAATAAGCACAGTAATCAGAGCAGCTAAGTCACATTCAGCCGAAGACCCTACTACCTTTCACTTAGCTCTAATAATAAGCACAGCAATCAGAGCAGCTAAGTCAGATTCATCCGAAGACCCTACTTGTGGCAAGTCACAATCCCCTTGATGTTTTTTGGCTGAATCCGACTTAAAATATTTATTAAGTGATGCTAAGTTTATCTAAGGTTCATTAAGAATTTTTTTGATTTTCCTGATGAAAGCGGTGCACAATTACATGTGATGCATTTGGCAAACATTGAGCTACACAGTTACAGCATGCGCAAGGCAAGATATGATCCAGTGTCTATTAAATATCCCTCACTCTCGAGTCTCGACTTCAATGAGGACCTGCAGCTTAGCATCACATTTGCGGAGAGTGATCCAGGTCCCAGGACACCCCGAAACAGACCGATGTCTGTGAATCTATGCTTTTGGAATGAATATCCCAGCATTGCGAGAGATCTACAGAAAATCACTATCATTATCAACATGAAGGCTACTCACAGGTCATAACAGGCTGATATGCAATATGTACCTATAGTCTATTCAACAGCAACTAGTTACTGTTTCCGCTGTGGAGTTGACGCAGCACGCCATGGGGTGCCATTACGTGGGCGTAGCCTTGGAAATATGTTGAGCTTCAGTTCAAGGATGAAACAAATAAAGTACTCACACACGAGTCTATCTGTCCATTGCCTTTGGAGGACATGTTGACATTGCTTTGGCCACACAACACCGGTCAGATAATGGAGGGGGTGTATAGCAGGATCATCAGGCAGGCTAAAATCCATCTTGCACATAGCTGGTGCAGGCAATGTGACATGAAGACCGTGAAGTAATGAATGAAGGTGATCATAGTCAGGATCTTTTGCGAATGCGAGAGAGCGTGTGTAAATAAGAATGGTCGTGAACTCAATGGGGGTCAAGACATATATCTGCAATGGTAGTGCATGCTTTGCGTTTGAGTATCGTAGAGCTGGACAACTTCTCATCGTCACTGGTCAACCATGGAAGGGAACCGCGTAAGAAATATATTAACATATAGGTAAGTGACTCAAGATCGTCACGACGACCTGGTTCAACTCCTAAGTGATTGTTGATTGAGGCGAATCCAGGAGTGCCAGAGAGACTTCGACCATGGCAAAATGGTATATGGTCACTCGTTGTAGCGTTCCAGTATGTCTTCGTGATACCAAAATCGATGATAAAGGTGGTGTGCCTCAAACTTCCAAGACCCACCAAGACATTCTGCGGTTTGATGTCACCGTGAATATAATTGCGTGAATGGATGTACTCGAGACGTGAGAGCTAGGAAAGTAAGTCAACCTATCTGCAAAAACCTCAGACCAAATGACTGACCAACTGGTCTCCTAGATTCACGATATTGAGAAGGCTGAATCTTCAATTGTTTGCGAGGAAAAGCTGGTGGAGTGATGGCCCAAGAAGTTCGAGAACCAGAACATGATACGCTGACTCTCTACCGAACCAGAGGGTGTGGGGGATGCCAACTCTGCCTTAAAGTTGTTTCAAAATGCGGTATTCACGCTCCACAGAAGATGAGTGGTCGACAATAGTTTCAAGTTTGAGGGCAACATGATCATCATTGATGATTTTCCGTGCAGAATATACGACAGCTAAGTGGCATATTATAAGTAGATCTGAATCAGCATGTGAACAACAAATTTGAATCAATTACTACATACCATACGAGCCAGATCCTAAAACATCTCCCAGCCTAAATCTACCATCCACTCGAACCGGGACCTTGTTCATGGTAATCGACTTGATAAGTAAACAGCAGATCCAACTGGATAGTGGGAGCCTGAAATGGAGGGAAGTTGGAACTGAAAATAAGTACCGCCACACAACCCCCACCAGCTGGCTTGAGACGGCTTGAGGCCGGCTCAAACCGTTGTTCCCACATTCTTGGCTTGTGCTGGTCTGTACTGATTTAGACGGCTTACAGACTGAACCAAGTCGCACATGACTGACTTGGTTCATGGGGATTGCTGAACCGCTGGGAAATTGGTAAGAGCCGAGCTCGGGCCGGCCAAAGCTGAGTCATGACATCACTAGAGGCAACACACTTCTTCCATGATACACCTCAGTTGTGATACCCACAATGTGCTATGCAAAGTGGACATTTTTGCTTCGATTGCACTGGAGCAAGATGAAAGGCCTGTACATCGTTACACAATACCTCCCCTTTATCATTCTCGCTACGGATCTACATAGTGCGTTCCACTCCAGCACACATCGCCTCAATGGTGAATTAAACTTGTTTTTCAGGGGGATTTACATGATTCACTAGAAATGCCTGGTGTTGGACAATGATGAATTAGGTATGTGCATGGTACATTCATGTATGCACGTCCTTGAAGGCTACTGCTTTCCTCCCACAGGTCTTAACCTAGTATTAGTCATTTTCTCCGAATGTATCTCTTGTTCTCCCATACTATATGTGTGTCTCTCATCTTCTACACGAATATGTTCGAATATCTATATTGTAGTCGTCTTGTACAAATTAATTCCCTCCATCCTGTTGTAAGAATGACCCTGATATATCATTGCACTCCAGCTATCTCGTTCTTGTGTACTCTATTGTGTTGTTGCTGACTACCAAAGTTTTGTGTACTTGACTCGTTTACAGCCTTGTCTTTTGTTTGAGTACTGGAGTCTGGTTGGGCCTGTCGAGCTGACTCACGCCTTCCAATCATATCCATCAAGTTTCAAGCATATTGTATATTAATAGATACGATGATGGATTGTCGGCCAAAATTTACCTCCCTGCACAACACCTGAGAAACATTTTCCTACACAATACTACTAGTTGGTAATTGTACAAGTTCCAGGAAAACAATTGAATTCATGCTAGTATTGGCATCGGAGTCTGCCACGAGCTTAGCATAATATTTCCGAATGCTAAGGATAAGGTGTGGTCCCAGCACAAACAACTGCATGCTCAAGAAAATGTCAAAAGCACCATTGAGTATCAAAGCTCCCTTAGAATTCGTATTCTACAGAAATGATGAGCAGTGGTTACAAACAGGTAGCAGTGACAGTTGCCGCATTAAGAAGTCTAGTGAGAGATAAACAAGCTGGAGGCAAGAGACACAAGTGATGCTAGCACGTGCGGAACTTGAGCAGATAGTAAGATGACTGTATTCACATTACATCCTCACCTTGCAAAATAAAGCATGTGAGATTCTATCAGGACTCTGAAACAGTCTCCGATGGTTGATCTTGTCAATGGACCAAGTCGTTGCAGGTCACGGAAGTGTTTTATAGCAATCCGGATTGACAGACACAGTGTGAGGACTTCCCAAACAATGCTGAACATCAAATCCATCAAAATCAGAAGCTGGCTATCCTCCTGATATCTATAATGGCACATATACATGCCAGAGAGTATCATCTCCTCTGTTGTTTGTCCAATGAGTCGTGTTCTTCAATGTAACAAGTAAAGCTTACCCATTACAGTATCATTGAGTACCATTGCTGTGATTATCACACAGGCAATGTTAACAGCCAGAAAGATAACAAAAAGGATGATAAGGATCGTTCTAGATCTCTGATACATGGCATGCAATCGAGCAATCATGATGACTTGTATCATATTTCAATCAAGTCAACTTGAATATCACTGAGGTATTGCAGCTCGGTAACTCACCACCCAGCATGGCAGATACGACTACATCTGTCATATTCAATGCGTAGTTCGTAATATTGCCTGAAACACGCGATCAGTGATCACCCTCATACTGATATCAAGCACTCCGACTCACATCTGTTGAGTCATCAAGTCATGCCAAGTTCAATGTTAGAATCTCACCCACCCCTACATGCGAGTGTATTCATTGGATAGGAATGAGATAGTTGTAGAGTTGTAGAATACTACGCACTGCATCTGTCAGCGAGACCGATGGCATAAATACTGTGTGCCACTAGTTAGAAGGATTGAACATGGCGCATATGTCACATACACAGAACACAGACACTAATCGTCAGAGATGAGCTATTAGCACGGTGCCAATTTAAGTTGACCTCAACACATACAAAGAATATAGTACTCCAATATAGTGTATCTAAAAATTTGGAGTCAGCACAACTGCCAACCACACTATAGCATATCACGAGGTATGAACAGCCAAATACAGCATGGTCATGAGAGACCAGTGTTGCCTCTGTCGCAAATTCATCGTGTTCTCCTATTTTCTCCTAATATGAAACTCTGTCACTCACCCAGATCAATTCAATCTATAACACCACTCTTAGTGAGTTGGCTGCTCCAGTGATAACATTGACCTACCTCTTGTCCAAGTGTCAGTACTGGAAATATAATAAGAATATCAGCGGTTTCAAACACTGTTCTGCTCACCCAAATCATATACCACCACAATGCCAGTGGCAACTGCGAAACTGTAAGTCAATGCTAGATCAAGAGACATTACCAACAGATACTGACAAACTCATACAACAGCAGTGAACCAAATTCAAATTGATCATCAGGCCACCAAGTGGGATCATTTGAGACTGCAGGCATATTCAGGGGATGGGTGTGAAGTGAGTTGGGAATGTTGGTGGTGCGGTATGGCGATAGTGTTTGTGACAGATATACCACCATTCCTGCCCTTCTATCGCCAAAATCTGCATGATGTAGATATTTGATCCCATTTCAAGACACTTGATCAGGTGAAGTATTGCAGTGCGAAATCAATCAGACAGGAAGCCCTTGATAATCAATCTTGAAGTACATTCGTATTTGCAAACCGGTATTACTAGTACAGCACACGACTGAGCTTAGATACCAGGAAAGTTCCGGTTATCGGTGATGTCGACAACTTATTTCCAGAAGGACATGAGAAGGGGATTTTGAATTTCATCTTCTTGCACTGACAACATCCACATTATGAGCAGCTCGTTGGACTGACATGATGTGCAAGTGGGACGAGGACAATGGACTTGTCATATGGGAACCACTGAAAGGCAATGATAGAAGCATACATGCACAGCAGCAAATTTGCACGTGGAAGAGATGACACAAGCGTTCAGCAGTAGAAGCAATGGAGAAACAAAGGAAGGGGTCTTGACGGGTTATAGCAAATCTGTGCAGTCGCCCTCATGGTCTCCGAGTGGGTGAAAAAATAGATGATGAGTAAGTGCCGTTTAAACTCTGGTTAGCATAATTGTTAGTGTCTGTGTCGATAGCATCTGCACGATTGATCAATGCAAATAATGTTCAACTGAGCGAACAAAGTGGTGGGAGTTGGGCATGAAGCCTAATTGCAGTTTCTGAAGGTTAAACTGATTTATGAAATAAATAAAACGACTGGTACGCACCTGTGTATGAAACTCGTTGACCAGTAAATTGCAGGCAATGCAAACTTCCAAGACTCCTTGTCTTTGAGCCATGCTTCAATGGCAATATGCTAATTTGCTCTAACAGTGCTAAGCCTGGGCCATGGTGGTATGCAGGGGCTATCATGATTCATGATGGATGTTCAGATTTCGGGTCAGAACCGATCAAGGCTCCGAGTTGGATGTAAGCCCTATATAGTTATTACATAGGTGCGTTGAATTCTGTGTTTCTTATGTAGTTCAGTGACCACAATGTATGCGCCAGAGCATAACTTATTCTTACTGCCTCAGGTGCATCAAACTCCAGGTGCAACTGTTTATTTTGTCAAGTCGCTCTCCGACTCGGTACATCCAGTGAATAATTATGATCATGATGAAACACCCCGTCACGACCGCACTGCAAGCTAAGCTTAAACTGGAACTAATTTGAATGATGCTGATGATTTCTACTAGTAGTATTTACACTGCCACCTTTAAGAACGGGGCTCATTCAGCTCATTCACACTAAAAGCCAAGAAGACGCATGATGTGTGTGAAACATTTTCTTGACCTCTAGATGGAGTATTCGACTGCCGATATCACAGCAATGAGGAGCTTGCAGTTAACTAAGGTGTGTCTCCTTGTCGATACGAGGGCCAATCATAATTGACAAGTCATGTTCCATCAGTACATACACCATGTGTACTGTCTAAACCTCTTACTATTTGGACCTAACACAATTCAGTGTCGATGGTTACATTCTGGGTAGGGTTATTCTGCTCTATTCATGTCCGCTATAAAACTCACTTGTCCAGATCTATGACTGCGCATGTCTACTTCACGAAGAGGTAACACACTTCTTCCATGATACACCTCAGTTTTGATACCCACAATGTGCTGTGCAAAGTGGACATTTTTGCTTCGATCGCACTGGAGCAAGATGAAAGGCCTGTACATTGTTACACGATACCTCCCCTTTATCATTCTCGCTATGGATATATATAGTACATCGCTCCAGCATACATCGCCCCAATGATGAATTAAACTTGTTTTTTAGGGGGATTTACTCTGAATGAAAACGCAGATGTGTGTGATGCGGTGGAGAGTAACGAGAATGAATGACTTACTGCATGATTTGCCAGAAATGCCTGGTGTTGGACAATGCTGAACTAGGTACGTGCATGGTACATTCATGTATGCACGCCCTTACCGAAGGCTATTACTTTCCTCCTACAGGTCTTAACCTAGTATTGGTCATTTTCTCCAAATGTATCTCTTGTTCCCCCATACTATGTGTGCGTCTCTCATCTGATTCATCCAGGGTTTTTTATCCTCAGAACATATGTGCTATGGAACAACGATAGAATCTTGCTCACAGCCATGCTCTGCACCTTTTTCGTGAGTCCCCCATCCAATCACTACACCCATACTCGTGGTAGATGCATCAACCAGACTTTTATTGGGGCCTCCACCGGCCTTACCTTCGCTACTACTACTCCCGCAACATGTACGCACTCTCACCTTCTCTCTGGTGTTCCACGACCATTGAAACATTTTGTTCACTTTCACAGATCCAACTAGCGCAATCCCAGGCCTCACAGGGTGCTACCAAAGTTCCACCACTTTCCGGTTCTTCATACCATTTCTTCTCTTTTCCATGTTCGATCTGGGTGGGTAACCAGGAGCATATATGCACAAACATATCCTGACAGGTGTTCTCCTCAGTTCTCGTAATCCTCACGCTCATACGCGCCATACACAGCTGGCAGATAAACCCAAATTGACTGTACGTTGTCCTGGTGAACCACAACATAGCATATTATGCATGCGGTCTTTGTGAGTTAACACTTGCACGCGCCGTTTTTCCGTGCTCACCCATGGCCATTCTCTTTGCCGAAGTGTTCTTGGTGGCGAACATATTCACATCACTGCTCCTCCATGTGCGTGCATCCCAAATACCTTCTATGACCGAGCTGTTGATGTTCTGCCCCTAGTCCTCCATGTTGTATGAGTATGCACCTTCACATCCTGCTGCGTATTCCTACTGACAATACTCGAAATGTACATCTACGTGCAGTTTCCAGTTCATGATCCTTGCGACCCTCGCCATGCGCATGCACCTCCATCTCTGGCAGATGAACCAACATCCACACAGCTCTAGTGCCCTAGTGCATATTCCAATGTCCGACATCTCATTTGCAAATCCCACCACGGCGTGATGTTTTATCCTGTGGCTTATTCTATGTCGCTCGTGGAGCAAGGCTTGGACCCTACAAGATGACTGGTGGGGGTGGGTTTGGTTGAGTTCATTACATGGCCTTCGATATCGTAGCCCTGACAACTATAAATCGATATCATTCTGCTCCTACACATGATCATGTATACTATTTGACTTAATCACACCCAGAGGACTAGTATGTATCATGTATTGTTCTCATCGTGACCCTTGATACTAGTACCTCGAATTCAGGACACTTATTGTGGCGAATACACACTTACTCTTACTTGGCATGTATTGTTATACTGGATCAAGTCATTCCATTGATGTGTTTCTACAGGTTAAGTAAGACCCTGAGCAGCGAGTCTTGCTAGCAAATGGGTACTACAGGGGGTGAGCCAGACTAAAGTTTATCAGGAACTCTATCGGCTCCTTCCTGTACGTGTCCTGAACAATGGTGGGCGGAGACCAAGGCCATTCACCAATCATCAGCATGTCCTTTGACTCAACCATATATTGCGGCCAGAAGATGCCAGTAGGATCTCCATTAGGATCAAGGTTGGTTGCGAATCTAATCAAGTAATCCAACAAGCTCCCTGGCCCGCCCCACATCTCATCAATGAAGTCGGAACCGTGATACTAGAATGAAGTGAGTAATGTTTTGAATTCCCATTTGAATGACCATAAAAATGCCAATGTACCGCGCCTAGCAATGGGACTGCCTTGAGACCTTTGATGACTGACAAGATGGTTATCACCTGATATCGAACAAAGTGAAACTTGCACGCACGATAGGTCCAAATTTTTCTGTTTCCCTGACCGCTCATGCAAAAGGAACCATCTCAGTGCCTGAAATACTGAATCTCCTTGAAAAGCAGCTATGCGCTTGAACTGTGGAGTTAGTCAGTTGAGCATCCCAGTTCCAAACGGGGATCCTGTGGTTGGGTCTTCAGGATACATGTGCAAAATGCCTTCAATCTCCTCATGTGTTGCATTGGGCGCCCAATATGTCTTCAAGTATCTATGGAGTTGTTCGCCCGTCCTAAAAGAGTTAAGTAAATCAGTGTCAACCATGAAACCATGAAAAACAAGTATCAGTACGTGACGTTAACAGTACTGAAGGAGAAGGCTGTTCCCTCATCATCGCAGTTACCTGCATCCTAAATTAGCCACATGCCATTTGATCAGAGTAACAAAACACCGAAACCTGTGATGAATGGTACATTGGCAATTTTCCCGTCCTGGATGAGGTGCTGGAAGTTATCTGATAAAAATGTTCCATCCGCCCTAGGCATCCAAGCCAGAACGAGTGACTACCAACATGACAGTCAGTCAATATCAACCCTTCCAACACTGAAACTTAATTGGAAACCTGGTAAGATGAAGAGGACAGTGTTTTGTCCACGGCAGCTTGAAGAACATCCTCAGGTACCGCTCGCAAACACTCCAATGTATCACTCGACTCCTTGCACCCTGTTTCATCAACAATAAAGTTGTAATAACGTTGTCCATGAGTGATATCGCCCATAGGTGTCGGGGATCCTGATTACATAAATGCTGCGCAAAAGAGATCTTCGTTGTTACCATCATATGCAAGCATCTGTAGAGCGACTGATATTGCTCCAGCACTTTTGCCCCACCTTTATTGATTGAAGTTCTTCCAGGTCACACAAACATGATTAGCAGGGCCACTCACAAGGTTACCTTTGCTGGATCACCTCCGAATGCACCGATATATTTCTGCACCCAATGGAGGGCTAGTCGCTCTAAGTACAATGATTAATTCAGATGATGCATAATAAAATCAGTGTGCTTACGATCTCGAAGGCCTAAGTTTCCGATACCAGCCTGCTTGACTTCATGGCTCGCTAGGAATCCCCAAGCTAATCTAATGTCATTGAAAATGTATTTTACTCTTTGAGGCGACCTACCACTCAACCTGTGACATGTCGCTTTCAGAAAGAAAGTGCAAGGCAGAAAGCAATCACCTACCGGTAGTTCATGCTGACATAGATAACTGGCTCTTGCATGTGCAAGGACCTGCTGATTGTGATATTACCAAATTCTCTGATATGAAACATTATTTCGGTTCTTATTTCATTACAGGATACCGAATAACTTACGATCGGCTACTGCCTGTCTCAAAACCACCTCCAAATATGTACTAGAGCTGAGCTTCAGGAACACCAAATCGGAAGGACTCAAGTCAGGACTCACCACGATGACAGGCAGTTTCGATCCAGGGAGCATAACAGCAGGAGTGAAGACATTTAATGTGAGACCTAGAAGAGAAATAAACAAAATAAAAAGCAAAACATTGGACAAGTACTCACAATCTTCACTTGACGCAACAATTCCTCTCTTAGTAGTTGATGACCCTTGCTTTGAATGTGTTTGTTTTTCATGGTTAATCTAAATCCAACAGCGATGGAAATATCTGGTATTATGAGTATGAAAGTGACTCGCTATTCGCACTAGCAGAGCACAAATCTCCGGATCCCCAGCGGGGAATCTGTTTCCTCCCTTGTTGTGCCCTTAACATGTCGGATTGCGAGATTCCCCATGTGTACAAGGTGTCAGGCTCATCCATGGAACCCATTGTTTTCGTCGTGCCTCGCAAAGTAAATATTTCTTGAAAGACTTACGATAGCTTCACTGACAGTGTCACCAGGTGGACTCATTCCAATCTGACATTTACCCGGCTGCGGCCTCATCAGAGCCTTCTCTCCCAGTAAGTGAGTTTTTTGCTGGAAAGACTGCTCCATTAAAGCTTGTTAGTCTCGAGAATGGCGCTGTGTTCAATGGTGCATAATCGACATTCACGCCCTCAGCACCTGCTGCTGCAGTGACACATGCGCCCACACTCACTGCGTTCAATGCACCTCCACCTATCACTAAAGCTGTTACCATGCCTACACATGTGCCACAGTCCTGAGTCGGCACCAGTGCCTCGACCCACCTCACCTATCTCAGAGTCTCCTGTTATCCTCACTCCGCCAACACAAGTTGATGATGAAGTACGTTCTCTTGGTATCGATCTTGAAGTTTGACGTTTAAGCTATGTGTGTTAGAAGCTGAAGTCGATCGGCTCAATAGTGAGCTCCTCGCAGCACGAGAAAAGATTGGCAACATGCAGTTACAGGTCGAGAGCCTGAAAGCGAATGAAAGAAAGGCAGCGAAGGTTCCCAACGCTGCGTGCATTCAGTCCATTGATTGCCAAGTGTTGAATTCATGGTCATACTGATGGGGGTTGAGCAAACAGAATACCCAAGAACTGTGCCATATCATCAAAGAATGTGCCGGTGAATATTGCATCATTCAACTTCACAAATGGTGCAAGATGTTGGAAAACCTGCTGTGTCTGAGACATGCAATAGACTGGGCCAGACAGCACAAGAAAAGCCAAAAATGTACTTGATACGAATCGTTTCATCTTATGCAGAAGAAATCGTGAAGAAGGTCCTATATATGCAGTCATGCCTTTATAAGTTAGTGTCCTCATAGTACCTCATCAATAGTAAATGGATGTGCTGCAGCTCGGTTCCGATGATGTGAGTAGTAGAAATGACCTGAATTTCATGTGCCAGCAAAGGGAGTGCTTTTTGGGGATTTTTCTTCTTGCATAGTGTGCATGCTACTGCCACTCCATAGTCTGAATGGTAGTATATCAGCAAATTTGAAAATTGTTTACGTACCTTGGGTCGCCACTACCAATTCACCAGACTGAGTCAATGTAAGGTGACTCCGGATTCCGATCGGGTCGCTAGTAGTTAAATATTCTCCGAGGACATCTAATAAATACCAAAACCTCATATGTCTAGTATCCATTTTGGTGAGAAACGAGTGATTGCAGCCAGTTGATTTGGGCTCAAGATGGCAGAAGATGCCACGATGGATGATTTCCCTGGAAAGTTCGAGGGATATTAGGATGGTGACAGGCATTCACTTCCACTTCCACACCAAACTCTGACATGTGAAAATGATCCAGGGGAAAGGCTTTCAGTGATACATTGCCTTCGCCTCAGCAGATCCTGTGACGAAGGTTTATCGACCAGCGTACCACCAGAGCAAAAATATAAGGCTTTGAAGGATGCACTACAGGAGGATGGTCCGCACCGCTGGTTCCAAGCTTCTTGAAACACAATGTCAGTGGCCTATGTACATCGCCAATGGGAGTAACTAATATGTATTTCTCCTATGGAAACTACAGTCTTGTTGTATTGCATGAACTACAACATACCTTCCAATTATTTAATTTGTGTATTGGTCTGAGGAATGGAGATCCCAAGATAGCGTGAATTATGCCTCCGAGTCATTCAATCGAAACCTAAAATGTTCACAACTGATATGAAGTTCCTAACACCCTGGTACATAACTCCTTACATGTTGCACCAAGTATGATAATCTAGACCGAATTCCCTTCCTTCTTCCTAGTCCGAGCTCCGTCCAAATCACCGGGAAGAGTTCAGGTAATATCAATTCATTAATACAGCAACGAATATCTCATGCCCCCTGCAAAGTACCCGACACCTGCTGTTTGTCTCCTGCGTTACACATCACTGTCAGTTGACGTGTCATGGGCATGCTTCTGGAAAGCATTTGCAATGCAATTCGTGCGTCAGAAGTGGCCACAAGGTTATTGTTGTATACTTGAACGTCAAGAATGAGACATGGTCCCAGGACAAACATCTGCACGAACTGGACAATTTCAATAGCGCCAAAATAAATGTCAACCCCCATGGAAGTGAAGTTCTGTAACAAAATAATGAGTGATCAGATACAGATATAGCCAGTTCAGCATACAGATGTCTTTGGAGAAAGTAAGCCGAGGTTCAAGCAACAAGCAACAGTAAATCTAGCACATGCAAAACCTCAGGATGATAATTAACATTCAAAAGAAGAACTCACATTGTAAAGTAAATCATGTGTGTTTTTATCATCGCCGTGAGACGGTCATTGATGGGCCGTTGTTTCATTTCACGGAAGTGTCTAAAAGCAACCCGGGCTGCAAGAAACAGTCCGAGGATCACCCATGCAACGTCAAGTACCCAAGGCATGGCTAATATGAGTTGGTTTGACAACTGGGATTCTTCGCCAATGCACTGGTAGGTGCCGGAGAGGACGAGCTCCTCTAGTATGTATCCTATCAGCCCGACGCGCATTGAGTATTTCATCCGTGGGCACAACTTACGATATGAAATATCCTTGCCTACTATCCCAGTGACCAATCCAACAGCAATCGTAATGGCCATGAAGACAATCACCAGAAAAATGAGCACCTTTCTGGACCAGTACATGGCATATAGACGAGCTATGATGATGACTTGCATGGTACTCAGCTAAGCCAATATCACTGAGGTACTGCAGCTGAGTAGCTCACCGCCCAACATGATATGTACAACGAAAGATATCCACGCCTGTGTGTTAGCGAGAATGGCACCTGAAAAATCCAGTTACAGATGAACATCGGAAGACTTGAACAAACCTACAGCTTTTTCGACGGTTAGAATGAACAGTCCGGTCGAGAAGTTTCACTTACCCCTACCATATGAGTATAGTCAGTTAAATGGAACAACAAATATGGGTAGAGGATACTCACTGTATCCGTCAGCAAGATTGTTGGGTTAGTCGCTGTATGTAGTTCAGAAAATACGAATGCAGTGCATGTGAGGATACATACACAGTATGTTGAGGCTGATCGTGAGAAGCTATAGTTAGCATACTGCGAAGTGCCAACTTGTTAGACATACACGCAGAATAGTATTCCAGATAAGCGCAGCTAGAATACCCTGAAGTCAGCACAACTCGTCAACTACACTTGAAACATGAGCCACCTACAGTGATATATAGGACCATCATCAGTGACCAACGTTGTCTCTGGTCCAAATTATTTTATATCTTCTAATACGAAAATCTACTCACCCAGACCAATTCAAACTACGAAATTATCATTAGTGAGATGAGTGTTGAGGTAAATCAGCCTACCTCTTGTCCGATTGTGAGTGCTGGAGAATAACATGGAGATGTGAAAGGTCTGTCAAATAATTTGCTCCCTGAGTATGAACTTACTCACCCCAATCATACACCACTGCAGTAGAGGCTGCAACTGCGAAACCAAAGTCGAAGATCGAGTAAGACATTACAAAAAGAATTTGACTTGTTCTCCACGAACCTATAAAATAGCTGATAACTCGATAGGAATGAATCAATGGCCACAGACTGGGATCGTTTAAGGTCACGGCCATATTCAAGGGATTGGTGTCAAGGAGTGGCGAACTCGGTGGGTGTACAACAATGGTGTTCGTGCTAGATATACCAGCATACCAGTGCTTCGATCACAGAGTATGTATAGGAATGAATATCCGGTGCTGAGAGAGTTGCTTGACTGAAGTGTTATCGAACGAAACCTGGTAGAAAGCCGAAGTGATGCGAAGAGAGATGCATATAGATTTCAAGATGTTGATTGTGAAAAGCGGTGTTGCACGCACGGAATGCTTGAAACAAGGCTGTCCGTGATTCCGGGCACCTAGCACCAATGTCATTGTTGAGGTGTCCTTGCTACGCCTGCATTAGTTCGAGACTTGCGAAATCATGTATCACTGACAAGCGATGTGACCATCGAAAAAAGCCTTAATGATTTCCGTTTCAATAACGATTAACATCTCCAATCTCTTCACCGTACGTGGCTCGCTGGGGGCCGGGAGGTATAACAGCTTCTCTAAAGTTAATTAATGTTACAATGACACAAAGCAAACCAGAATACAATGTCTTGATCAGACAACCCATATCCACACCCAAGCCCTCTATTCAATGCTCCCATTGCCTTCATATGTCCTTTGGTGCGTCACCTCATATGCATCACCACCTCAACTGAGTTGCCAAGCGACAGTGCTGTAACAAGATGGTCAGGTGTTGTATCAAGTTGCACGCTAGTGCGTCCTCGACGCTTGTTGATGAACTGATGAACTCTGCCGGGCAAGAGAATGAAGGCTGATGAAACATTGCCAGTAGCCATGAGCCCAGTACAAGATAAGTTCAACCGCCAAATCATAACCAACAATGGCTTATGTAATCGCTGTTCATTGTTCCGAACATGATGCACATGGTGCACGATGGTACCTTGATGGTACCATGAGGGAATCTCCTGGAACCACCCCAAGGCTGACAATAATCAGACAGATGGCCTATTCTTTTTTTCCCGGGCTTCAACAAGCTTCCCGAAATGAATTATGATGATAATGGAACACCTAGAATCATATCATTAGCTGGATATGTATGTGACTGTCCCAGTGTCTCTGTGCGATTGACAGTGTGTTTAAAGACAGGACACAATATCAGGTGCAATGTTCTATTTGGTGAACTACTTGGTTATCTTCAGGAGGCCACAGCTGTGAAACAAGAAGTGTCTGGCCTGATGGAAGTCTGATCTTCCTTGAAAGGCCATCAGTCGGCGATCAGCCCTTGTTCCAGTGTATAATGTGAACTTCTCTATTTGTCACATCAAGATGGATAAAAGGCTCACAGCCGTCTGTTAGTTTCATCGTCTTTGTACAAGCCAACTGTCACATCGTATCCTACACTCATAGTAACGGTGCGCTGCTCTTGCATCCTGTGGCTCAGATTTATCTAACAATCTCCCTGTACATTTTTCCTTGGCCATAGAAAATGGTACAGAAACTCATCTCATTCCCAGCCTTTGCTATCCTTCTGATTGCTTGCAGTTCATATCTGATCATCATTTGCATCTCCACTTGATTCAAACTTCGTTCAGTATCGCTTCTTGCGCGTGCAAGCCCAATGCCCTTCTTTCCTGTTGCATACAACGAAGATATTGCCCTTTCTGAGGACGTCGTCGAGGTATGTGGGATTATTCTTATGTATTGTTGAATAACAAGTAATGCATGACTAGTCTTAATAATAAATACGGACCTTGACATGTATACCATGCCATACAATTTGTCGTGTGTTTTGCACACCTATTCCAAATTTCTGCATTGTTATGGTGAACTTTGGTATGAGCAATTTGAACAATAATCTTCATAGTTGTGGTGGTCAATGTTATTGCACTCGCCATATGATGTTTTTTTAGCTTTCATCTTCAAGTTCTGCACCTTATGATATTTTGCTTTCATAGTCCATCTCCATATAAGGAATATGGTTACCTCACAAGATTTTATTAAATTGGTGCATTGCATGATTACGGGCTTCGTGGTGTTGAGAAAACACTAGGTTGTCTTTGGGTTGTCTCGTTTTGTCTGGTGCTGCTAGATTCTAATAGCAACACGACCAAACAACTCAGATGATGTACCTTTACGGACTTGGACCTTGGACTCCGCTGTCTTTCGTTTCGTTTCGTTTCATACACAAAGAAATAAGACCCAAAACTTAAGCCATGACAACAGAGACAATAGAGAAGAAGAACAACGTACAAAGGGAACACCAGCAACCAAGCTGCCAAGATCGAGATGATCATTCTCCCAAACCCGAGCCTGTAGGCTTTTCTAGGGCACAGGAACAGTTACTGGTCAGGTGCGTTCTACATTTATTATGACCAAAGACGTATATGCGGAATGGAGCATGAATATCAGTGAAACTGCTGCATCAGGTATCGGAGGTGCAACTGTATCTTTTATCAAGTCGCTCTCCGGCTGCTACATCCAGTGAATGATGATGGTGAAACGCTCCTTCACAACCACAGCAAGCCGAATGATATGAGCCGGAGGCCCCACCCGCCATTGTGATGATTCCCGGTATTTACAATGCCGACCTTTTGGGTTCATGGCAGTTCATTCATAAGAGTTAAGAAGGCGTGTAATGTGGGTGTAAAAAATGTTTTCTGACCTATAGATGGAGTATTCGACTGGTGATATCGCAGCAGCCAGGAGCTTGCAGTTCGTTACGGTGCGTCTCCTTGTCGATATCAAGGCAAATCATAGCTGACAAGTCATGTACTACCAGTACATACGCAGTGCAGTGCGCACTATCTGAACCTCACATTCTTTGACCTAATACAGTTGAACCTTCAGCGCCGATGGCTATATTCTGGGTAGGCCTATTTTCATATATTCACGTCCATCATCAAACTCACTTATCCAGTTATATGATTATACATGTTCGCTTCATGAAGAAGTAATACACTTGTTCCATGATACACCTCGGTTTTGATCTCTACAATGTGCTGTACAAAGCGGACGTTTTTACTTCGATCGCACCGGCGCAAAATGAAAGGCCTGTATATTGTCACACGATACCTCCCCTTTGTCCTTTTCGCCATGGATCTATATAGTGCGTTCCGCTCCAGCACACATCGCCCCAACAATCACTTAACACTTTATTTTCAGGGAGTTTTATCCCGAATGGGAACCTAGGTGTATGTGATGCGGTGAAGAGTTAATACGAACGAACGACTTACTGCATGACTTCGCCAGATATGCCCGGCATTGGACAACATTAGCTCCATCTATGCACAACCTGGCTGAGGGCAACCTACTTTCACTCATAGGGTTCGTCATGCTATTAGCTGTTTGCTCCGAATGTATTTCTCCTTCCTTCCTAAGATATGTATATTCCTGATCCGATTCATCCAGATTTTTTCATCCTTAGAACATACGTACTCTGGAACAAAAATAGAATCTTCTGGCGTTCCAAGACAACTCAAACATTCTGTCCACTTTCACAGATGCAACTAGTACAATCCCGGGAATCACAAGGTGCTACCGGAGTTCAACCAGTTACCGGCTCTTCATACCATTCCTTCTCCTTTCTGTGTTCGAACTGGGTGGGTAACCAGGAACATATATATGTACAAACACACGCTGACAGGTGATCTCCCCAAGACTCATAATCCTCACGCTCATACGTGCCATACAGAGCTGGCGGACAAACCAAAGCCGTCTGTACGTTGTCCTGGTGAACCATAACATGTCCTATTAAGCATGCGGTTTTCGTGAGTTGACATTCGCACACCATTTACCGTAGTCATCTACGATCATTCTGATTTCTGAAGTGTTCTCGGTAACGAACGTCGTCACAGTGCTGCTCCTTCAGGTGCGTGAATCTCATAAGCGCCTTCCTCAATTGAAACCTAAAAACATTCACAAATGGTATGACGTTCCTAATAATATATATAGCTCCTTACATGTTGCATCAAGTATACACGTTGTAATAAATTATAGTTCAGGCCGAATTCCCTTCCTAGTCCGAGCTCCGTCTAAATCACTAGGAAGAGTTCAGGTAGAGTCCCCGATGATTTTTCCACGCCTATTTCTCTCCCAAACCCACTTCAGCATACCAATTCATCAATACAACGATGAGTCTCTCATACTCCCTGCAGAGTACCCGTCACATGCTGTTCGACCTCTATGTCACACATCACTGTCAGTCGACATGTTGTGTGTGCGTTCCTGGAAAGTAATGGTATGCCGATTCCTGTGTCAGAAGTGGCCGCAAATTTATTGTTGTATTCTCGGACGTTAAGAATGAGACATGGTCCCAGAACAAACATCTGCACGAACAGAACAATTTCAATAACGCCATAATAAATATCAACTCCCAGGGAAGCGAGGTTCTGTAAAAACAATGAGTGATCAGATACAGATATAGCTGGTTCGGCGTACAGATATTTTTGGAGAAAGTAAGCCGAGGTTCAAGCAACAAGCAGCAGCAAATCTAGCACATGCAAACCTCAGGGGATGGTAATTAAAGTTCAAAGGAAAAGCGCACATTATGAAGTAAAACATGTGTGTTTTTATCAGCGCCGTGAGACGGTCATTCATGGACCATCGGTTCATTCTACGGGAGTGCCTGAAAGCAATCCAGCCTGCAAGAGACAGTCCGAGGATTGCCCATGTGGTGTAAAATACCCAAGGCAGGGCTATCAGGAGAATTCCAGACGGTCCTTCGCTAGTGCACTGATAGGTGCCGGAGAGAATGACCTCCTCTGGTATGTATCTCATCAGCCTGACGCGCATTGAGTATTTCATCCGCGGGCACAACTTACCGTACGAAAATTTCATGCCGACTATTCCAGTGACCAATCCACAGGCAATTGTGACGGCCATGAAGACTATCACCAGGAGAATGAGGATCTTTCTGGACTGGTATATGACATGCAGACGAGCTATGACGATAACTTGCATGGTACTCAGCCAAGTCAATATCACTGAGGCAGCTGAGTAACTCACCACCCAATATGATATATACAGCGAAAGATGTCCATTCTTGTGCGAAAGCGAGAATAGCACCTGAGAAATCCGGTTACAGATGAACATCGGAAGACTTGAACAAACCTACAGCTTTTCGACGGTGAGAATGAACAACCCAGTCGAAAAGCTCACTTACCCCTACCGTACGAGTATAGTTAGTTAAATGGAACAACAAATATGGGTAGAGGATACTCACCGTATCCGTCAGCAAGATTGTTGGGTTAGTCGCTGTATGTAGTTCAGAAAATACGAATGCAGTGCATGTGAGGATACATACACAGTATGTTGAGGCTGATCGTGAGAAGTTATGGTTAGCACACTGCGAAGTGTCAACTCGTTAGACATACACGCAAAATAGTATTCCAGCTAAGCGCAGCTAGAATATCCTGAAGTCAGCACAACTCGTCAACTACACTTGAAACATGAGCCACCTACAGTGAGATATAGGACCGTCATCAGTGACCAACGTTGTTTCTGTGTCAAATTATTCTGTATCACGTGATTCTTCTGATAAGAGTCTACTCACCCAGACCAATTCAAACTACGAAATCGTTATCAGTGATATGAGTACTGAGATAGATAAGCCTATACCTCTTGTCCGATTGTGAGTACTAGAGCATAACATGGAGGTGTGAGACGTCAAATAATTCGCTCGCTGAGCACGAAGTTGCTCACCCCAATCATACACTACTGCAGTAGAGGCTGCAACTGCGAAACCACAGTCGAAGATCGAGTAAGACATTGCAAAAAGAATCTGACTTGTTCTCCACGAACCTATAAAATAGCTGATGATTCGATAGGAATGAATCAATGGCCACAGACTGGGATCGTTTAAGGCCACGGTCATATTCAAAGAATTAATGTCAAGGAGTGGCGAGTATACAATGTCAACGATGGCGTTCGTGCTAGATATACCAGCATAACCAGTGCTTCGATCACGGGATCATTGCATAGGAATGAATATCCTGTGCTGATGGAGTTGATTGGTCAAAGTGTTATCGAGGTAAAACGCAGAAGTTGTGCCAAGGGTGATGTATATATAATTCAAAGTCACTGATTTCAAGATGTTGATTGTGAAAAGCGGTGTCGCGCGCAAGTACTTGAAATTGTACAATGAAAGGCTATTCGTGATTGCGGGCATCTGTCTCTGATCATGATGCCATTCGGTCGAAAAATATAACAGCTCATGCAAAGTCTATTAAGATTACAATGATACAATTCATCTTGAACAAGGCATCAAACAACAGAGCAGAATATAACACGTCCTGATCAGATCACTCACATAAATACTCAACCCCCTTGCCTTAATATGTCCTTGGTACGTCCGCGTCACCTGCGACTTCATGCCCACCACCTCCGAGTCTGACCGAGCTGACAGCATTATGATTTGAACAAAATTAGTGCACAAACACGCTAGACTGAATCCATTCGGTGCCAGCAATAGATAAAATCTTTGAGTAGCGGTACTTAGACCACCCCAATGTTATACCGTGAAGGTGTTGTATCAAGTTATACGGTAGTGCACCGTGACCCTCGTTGATGAACTCTACCGAGCGACAGTACAGAGAGGGCTGAATTGAAAGAGCGACCACGGTCCACGACGCAAGCATCAGTCCATAGTAACAGTAGTGATGGACACTGGAACAAAGATGCGATGGCGGAGATAGCATCAGCTGGGTTCTTCCTAGTAGTACTAGAAATTCTAGAATGATTAATCTGGTAGACCAACGGCGCAATTACCGTACGGAAGTGTTGACTGTTTATGTAATATGCACATGGTGCAGGTACGTTCCATGTGTCGTCAGCCAATTAAAATCGTTCATCGTTCAAACGTTCAGTCACTGCCACTACAAAACAAAGTTCTTAACTTCGGGGTCCCTTCTTTGTTTCCTTCGCTCGCAATCTTTTCCAAACCATATCATATCAGGCGATGACCACACTCCCGCGTTATTGTCTGATCTTGTTGCGTAACGCTTCATATTAGACGCCACTGGATCATTTGACTATTCAACACAATTACATATTGTGTTCGTTGCTAATGATCATTGGATACTGCACGACGGTACCACGAGGGAACCTTTTGGGACCACGTCGAGACGGACAGCGATCAAATAGATACATTGGTGCCGTCTTGCGGGCTTCACATTAATCGCCGGACACGTACGTGACTTGTCCCAGTGTCTCTGCGATTAACAGCGTGTTGAGAGATAGGACACCATGGCAGGTGCAATGTTGTCATTGGTGAACTACTTAGCTGTCGCATGTTCAGGAGGCTGCGAGACAATAAGACTATGAAAGTCTGATTTTCTTTGTTGAAATGCCATCAGGCGGCGGCGATCAGCGCTAGCGCTCAGCCCTTGAAATACTCTTTCCAGTGTATAAAGTAAGCTTCTGGATCATTTATCCTTTTTCGTCATCAAGGATGGATAAAAGGGTCACAACGGTCTGTTAGTCCCGTCTTTGTACTGTCGCATCTTATCCACTCGTAGTAACGGTGCGCTGCTCTTGTATCCTCTGGCTCAGATTTGTCTAACAACCTCCCTGCACATTTTCCTTGGCCACAGGAGATGGCACCCAAACTCATCTCATTCCCAGCCCTTGCTATCTTTCTGATTGCTTGCGGTTCGTATTTAATTGACATTTAAATCTCCACTTGATTCAAACTTGGTTCAGTATCGCTTCTTGCACGTGCAAGCCCAATGCCTTTCTATCCTATTCATGCCGTCGAAGAGAACGCTCCTGCTGAGAATGACGTCGAGGTACGCAGGATTGTTTTTGTATCGTGCATTGTTGAATGACAAGTAATGCACGGCTAGTCTTAACAGATACGGATCATTATCGTTATGTCTCATACGATACGATCCGTCGTGTGTTTCGCCTACTATTACGTGGGCATTCTGAGTTTTCATTGTTATACGGTCTGATGGTGAACTTTGCTGTGAAATTTTGAACAACAATCTTTTTAGCCGTAGTGGTCAGTGCTATCCCTTGCCTTTCTTTTACCACCATACGATATGTTAATTTTTGTCTACGCTTTAACTTCCGCTTTCATAATAGCATCCTGTCAGTTCATCCCTACAAGGAATATACCGTGACATGATTGCTTGACAAGATTCCATTGAAATTGGCACGTTGCACAATTATGGGCTTCGTGGTGTCGAGCAAACGATGTGTCGCGTTTACTTGACCCGCATTACTCTAAGCTTCACGAACCTCCTATAGTGTCCAAGCTCTGCTGTCTTCCACTTCCTCTAATTTCCTACACAAAATAAAAACCATGGTACCAGAGACAACCGTGACAGAGGGAGGAAAAACGTACAGAGGAAGCACAACGAAACATTTCAGACCTGCACTTCAATTTTCCAGCAAGAATTGTTATTGGGTGCGTTCTGGATTTACTGTGTAGTTCTACCATAGACCAAACAATGTACTATGTGCGGAATAGAGCACGATCTTTTATATAGGGATCTACTGCCCCAGGCGTCGATGGCCGTATCTGTTATCAAGTCGCTCTTCGGCCGGTGTATGCGGCGAACGATAAAACGTTTCATCACGGCTGCAGTAAACTAAATTTAAACTTGAGCTCACTCAATCATCAATGGTTCGCAGTATTTTCTATTTTTTACCAAACGATATGCAGTTGACTTCCATCTTCTGCACCTTATGGTACGTCCGCTTCCGTAGCACCCTGTCAGTCCATTTCTATAAGGAATACGGTTACCTCACAGTATTCTGTTGAATTGGTGCATTATACAATTTTAGGCTCCTTGGTGTGTTGTGTCTCCTCATTGCTGGATAGCAACAGGTCAGACGCGTGTCCATTGCCTTCACGGTCGTCCCAAGCTCCGCTGTCTTTCGCTTCCTCTCATTTCGTACAAACAAAAAAAAACGGGGACAACAGAGGGAGAAAGACGTACAAGGGGGGGCACAATGAAAAAGCCCAGACTCCGAGGTACCCTTTCCTAGCAGAAATAGTTATGGGGTGCGGAAGTTCTGGATTGATTATGTAGTTCGACCTAAGCCCAAAGTAGTAATAACAATATCAATGTACTTATGTGCATCGGACTCATAGATGCGGTATGACTATCGCTACTACTAGTTGACTATTGGGGATGCTACTGCCTCAGGCGTCCAAAGGTGCAATTGTATCTTTTACCAAGTCACTTTCCAGCTGGTAGTACATCTAGTGAGTGGTAAAATCTACCATCACGATCGCAATCAACTGAATTTGGTCCGCGGTCGCGGTATTTAGTACTATTTATACTGCCATCATGAAGTTTCAGCTCAGTTCAGCTCATTGTCCTACATAGGATACTTTCGAACTCAACGGACACAAATTGGGATCAAAAAAAAGTTGACCGCTCACTGATAGTTAAGAAGGCTCATGTCAGTGATGTGTGTGAAAGACATCTTTCGACCTCTTTGAGATGGAGTATTCGATTGACGATGTCGCAGCAGCAAGGAGTTTGCAGTTCGCCAAGGTATGTCTCCTTGTCGATACGAGGATGAATCATAACTCACAAGTCATGTACACCAGTACATATATAGTGCGTACTACTGTCTGAACGTCATACTATTTGTCCTGATACAGCTCAGCGGCGATGGCTACATTCTGGGTAGGCTTCAACTCTTATCTATTCATGTCCACCGTTAAACTCGCTTATCCAGATCTATGATTATGCATGCTCACTTCATGAAGAGGTAATACACTTCTTCCATGATACGCCTTAGATCTGACACACACAATATGATATACAAAGTGGTCATTTCTCCTTCGATCGCACTGGAGCAAGATAAAATGCTTGTATATTGTTACAAAATACCTTCCCTTTATCTTTATCATCACAGGTCTATACAGTGCGTTCCGCTCCAGCACATATCACCCTGATTAATTGATTAACACTTTTTTTCAGCGAGCTTTACCCCGAATGAGAACCCAATTGTATGTGATGGGGTGAAGAGTTAATGAGAACGAACGACTTACTCCATGACTTCGCCAGAAATGCGGGATGTTGGTCAATATTACCTCAGGTACGTGCATGGTACATTCATCTATGTACAACCTTGCTGAGGGCAGCCCACTTTCTCTCACAGTGCTCGGCATGATAGCAGCCACTTGCGCCGACTGTATCTCTTCTTCCTCCCTAAGATATGCATGTTGCTGATGCGATTCATCCAGGTTTTTTTATCATCAGGACGTATGTGTTCTGGAACAAAAATAAAATCTTGCTCGCAGCCATCGTGGGCACCTATCTCGTGAGTTCCCAATCCACTCACTATACACAAGCTAGTGGTAAATCAATCAGCCAGTTGTGTCTCATAGGATCCGTCAGCATTATCGTCGACGCTACCGCCTCCGTAGCATGTACGCACTCTCACCTTGCCTCTGGTGTAGCTGAAACATTCTGTTCACTTCCACAGATGTGACTAGCCCGATCCCGAGCATCACAGGGTGCTACCAGAGTTCAACCAGTGACCGGATGTTTATCCCATTTGTTCTCTTTTCTGCGTTCGGAATGGGTAACCAGGAGCATATATGTGTACCAACACGCGCTGACAGGTGTTCTCCCCAGGACTCATGATCCTCACGCTCATACGTGCCTTACAGAGCTGGTGGAGAAACACAAGCCGTCTGTACATTGTCCTGATGAACCATAACATATTATATTATGCTTGCGTTTTCCGTGAGTAAACATTCGTATGCGCTATTTTTCTGTGCTCATCCATGATCATTCTATTTCCTGAAGTATTCTCGATAATGAACATCTTCACATCGTTGCTCCTCCAGGTACGTGAATATTCTAAAGGTCTTTTATGATGGGCCGTTGATGTTCTGCGCCCCAGGAAACCTATCAGACCGTTTTGGATGGGTATGCACCTCTGGATTCTACTGCGTATTCCTACTAATCACACTCGAAATGTACACCCATGTATAGTATCCAGTTCCTAGCCCTTGCGACTGTTGCCACACGCATGCACAACCATCTCTGGCAGACAAACCAACGTTCACGCGGCTCTACTAGCGACTTCGTTCATATTCAATTGTCCGACATATCATCTGTGAATGGCACAGTGTGATATCTTATCATGTGATTTATCCAGTGTCGTTCGTGGAGCGAGGCTTGGACCGTACAAGATAACTGGTGGGGGTGGGTCTGGTAGAGTTCGTTCGCTATGTGTGTAATTTACAGGATGAGTCTGTCGCGGGGCGGGAGGAGCATTTGGATGGCCTTTTCTTTTTGACAACTGTAGTTTCAGCTGCTGTATGTACACTATCATTTATGCTACGACAAATTCGACTTGATCACACACTTATCCGTGGTAACTCATAAAGACGAAGTTATGACACGGTACCGCCATGACATCACAGCGAACAAGGAACGGGAGCGCACACATGTCAACATGGTTGAGCCTTCTTACGTACATTTTTATATATTTCATATTGCAAGATCATACAAGAATCGCCGCGTTAGCACACATCAACATCTATATTTATATGAAACGAGTGGTAGTCAACTTTTTATCCACATCATTGATTACCACCCTCAGTAGAATCAGATTAATCTACGAGACTACCGTATCTTTCCTATCAACTTTTTTTCACCATCATTGATCACCACCCTCAGTGGAGTCAGATTAATCTATCAGACTACGGCAGGAAAAAATACGGGGTGAAAGTGATGAGACAACCTGCTTCGGGTCAGTTTTGCATGCTGTAATTAATTGCAGGCACTTCGCTGCCAGCGCATGTCACCGGATCAAGTGTCTATCTTGGTCGGGTTAAATTTTCGAGACAGTTCGATGTACATTGCTCTGTTATGTACGTCTTGTCAGCGAGTGGAATTATATATGTTTGTTTGAGCTGGTGCGAATCTGTATTACGCTGCGCAGTACGTGGCAGCACTCCCAAGCAAAGCACTACCGGTAGTGACAAGCGTTGATTGCATAACTGACGGGAACATATATTGATGGAGAAGTCCCTTGATGTTGGCTGCGCAATATTGATGTAATCAACATCTCTGGGCGTTGATAGTGCCCAAACCAAAGTTCTCTCGTTTCAGTAAGCAGAGAGTTACATCAAAGCCGAAGCATGTTCAGAACTTCACCAGCTTTCCCTCATGCACTAGTAACAACCCCCAGCACGCATGCTACTCCAATTGCTCTTGCTCAGACGTGCGCGCTGGCGAACGGTAAACGTGTAGAGATTGAGTAGTCTGCGAGAGCTTTCCAGCAAGAAGACCGGTACGAATCAGTATTCAAAGATTATTATAAACGACAGGATGCCAAGAGGACGTACCATCGATCGCCCACTTCTCTACTTCACTCAATTCAATCTGCAGGATCGAGGCGAACTCTGAATACGGCAGGTATGCCCGATGTGTGAAAACAGTGACACAAATGAGAGAAGACAGATCCGCCGCTCAAGCTGCGCTCAGTAGAGTTCTGCAGGCCCATTAATGGTTCAAATGTGTGGTATTAATCATAATGAACCGACTTACCATATTTTTCGAGAATAGCGAGATGGCTTTCGAGCGATGAATGTAATTCTGCTAGATCGCTATTCAAAAACACCTGCAGAAGCGACAAAGCCTCGCGATCTTTCGCCGAGACAACAGCGTCCAACTTGAACAGTGGATCAAAGTCGAACAAGGTGGATGAGCACAACGCCAAGGCTATGGCATCGATCGCTGCAGATTGACTTTCAGGGGAAGAGGATGGTGATGAAGAAGCGTAAGAAGCGTGTGATGATAATAAGCAGTTCCCTGTATGAGTCAGATGTCAATCACAACCTTGATCGATGATCAGTCAAATGGAAGAATACATACGGCTGGCCAGATTGTATGAATGCATCAGCAATGGACTTGAACAATTGACTGCGCTCTTCCCCAGAGATATCCAATTCTTGTAACAACTCCTCGACATCTTTTCTGGATGAATGCGAAGTCTCGAGCTCTCCATTGCTGGCGGCGTAACATGGTGTAAATAGGTAAGCGGAGGACTGAATTACGAGGAGCAGCATTGAAAAAAAAATTGATACACTGTTTAAGAACTGAGCACACGAGCCTGCATAAATGTGCTCATAATTTAGTACTCACACGCGGCACTTCACTGATGGATGCTCGAAAGGTGATGAAGTAAGGACACACAGGAGCGCGAAGACGCGATGTTTAATTTCCAGTGAGTTGGTTGGCCATGCCATAGTGTTAGAAGGCGAGACGAGTCGGAGAAGAGAAGGTTGAAGTCACCCTCGATTTCTGCACTTCAAAATCAGATCTAATTTGCTGCAGAAAATGCTGAGGATTCCCGGACGCACCTTGTTCTCATCCATTGTCCAAGCTTTTCATCTGATCCAGATATTCAGAGCGACTAATGTTTTGAAGCACTACCGCGGGTTTGAAATGCCGCGAGGAACCAAATTTGAAGCTTGGTCAGGGAGGCTTTTTGAGCATCTTGCGTTTAAGACTTGAAGCTTGAAGAGTTGTATCTGGACAGTTATGAGTGGTGAGTGCATGTTTTTGATAGAGTGGAGTGACTTGTATATATACATTCAATCGCCCGAACACCGTGAGTCAAGTGGCTTATTAATGCGATTGATAGCAGGAGGGGGCTACCTTAAGCGACGCAAGAATCCAATGTGACTCTATAAAAGCGTTTTTTGATTCAAATTACAAGGTGAATAAAACAGCAGCGCTATGTCTCATTGTACTGTCTGTGCTGCGGGAGATGAAATTTGAAAGTTGGTCGGTGGCAGAAGTTGTCCGGAGAGTGCCGGCCGCAGGAAGTCTGATATCCAAAGAGGTTGGTTACTTCAAAACGGGACCTCGAAAAAACGACCACCGTCGGAGGTAAGTACTGGTACTAATTTAAATAGTTATTGCCAGGTGCGTTGACCAAAAACCAAATCAGTAATAACAATATTAATGTACTTCATGTGCCTCGGAATAGAGTGTGACTATTACTAGTTGACTATTGGGGATACTACTGCCTCAGGCGGTCAAAGGTGCAACTATATCTTTTACAAAGTCACTTTCCGGCTGGTAGTACATCTAGTGAGTGGTAAAATCTACCATCACGACCGCAATCAACTAAATTTAAACTCAATGGTCCGCGGTATTTAGTATTTAAAATTACACTGCCATCCTGATGCGTTGACCGCTCGATAGTTAAGAAGGCTCATACCAGTGATGTGTGTGAAAGACATCTTTTGACCCCTTTGAAATGGAGTATTCAATTGAAGATGTCGCAGCAGCAAGGAGCTTGCAGTTCGCCAAGGTATGTCCCCTTGTCGATACGAGGATGAATCATAGTAACTGACAAGTCATGTACGCCAGTACATGTATAGTGCGTACTACTGTCTGAACGTCATATTATTTGTCCTGATACAGCTCAGCGTCGATGGCTACATTCTGGGTAGGCTTCAACTCTCATCTATTCATGTCCACCGTCAAACTCGCTTATCCAGACCTATGATTATGCATGTTCACTTCACGAAGAGGTAATACACTTCTTCCACGATACCCCTTAGATCTGACACACACAATATGATATACGAAGTGGACATTTTTGCTTCGATCGCACTGGAGCAAGATGAAAGGCTTGTATATTGCTACAAGATACCTTCCCTTTATCCTTCTCATCACAAATCTATATAGTGGGTCCCGCTCCAGCACACATCGCCCTGATTAATTGATTAACACTTTTTTTCAGTGAGCTTTACCCCCAATGAGAATCTAGTTGTATGTGATGAGGTGGAGAGTTGATGAGAACGAACGACTAACTCCATGACTTCGCCAGAAATGCGGGATGTTGGTCAATATTACCTCAGGTACGTGCATGGTACATTCATCTATGTACAACCTTGCTGAGGGCAGCTCACTTTCTCTCACAGGGCTCGGCATGATATTAGCTATTTGCGCCGACTGTATCTCTCCTTCCTCCCTAAGTTATGCACGTTGCTGATGCGATTCATCCAGGTTTTTTCATCATCAGGACGTATGTGTTCTGGAACAAAAATAAAATCTTGCTCGCAGCCATCGTGGGCACCTATCTCGTGAGTTCCCAATCCAATCACCATACGCAAGCTAGTGGTAAATCAATCAGCCAGTCGTTTGTTGTAGCATCCGTCAGCATTATCGTCGACACTACCGCCTCCGCAGCATGTACGCACTCTCACCTTGCCTCTGGTGTGACTGAAACATTCCGTTCACTTTCACAGATGCTACTATCCCGATCCCGGACATCACAGGGTGTTACCAGAGTTCAACCAGTGACCAGATTTTTATCCCATTTGTTCTCTTTTCTGTGTTCGGACTGGGTAACCAGGAGCATATATGTGTACAAACACCTGCTGACAGGTGTTCTCCCCAGGACTCATGATCCTCACGCTCATACGTGCCATACATAGCTGGCAGAGAAACCAAAGCCATCTGTATGTTGTCCTGATGAACCATAACATATTATATTATGCTTGCGTTTTCCGTGAGTTAACACTCGTATGCGCTATTTTTCTGTGCTCATCCATGATCATTCTGTTTCCTAAAGTATTCTCGGTAATGAACATCTTCACATCGTTGCTCCTCCAGGTATGTGAATATTCTTAAGGACCTCTATGATGGGCCGTTGATGTTCTGCGCCCCAGGACTCCTACCAGACCGTTTTGGATGGGTACGCACCTCTGCATTCTACTGCGTATTTCTACTAATCACACTCGAAATGTACACCCATGTACAGTGTCCAGTTCCTAGCCCTTGCGATTATTGCCACGCGCATGCACATCCATCTCTGGCAGACAAACCAACATCTACGCGGCTCAAGCGGCCTGGTTCATATTCGATTGTCCGACATGTCATCTGTGAACGTCACAGCGTGATGTCTTATCCTGTGGTTTATTCGATGTTGTTAATGGAGCGAGGCTTGGACTGTACAAGATGACTGGTGGGGGTGGGTCTGGTAGAGTTCGTACGTGTTTAATTTACAGGATGAGTCTGTCGCGGGGCGGGTGGAGCATTTGGATGGCCGTATCTATTTGACGACCGTAGTTCCAGCTGCTGTACATTTATTATCATTTATGCTACGACAAATTCGACTTGATCACACACAGTGCCAGTTATCCATGGTAACTCGTTATGACATGGTACCGCCATGACATCACAGCCAGCAAGGAACGGGAGTGCACTCATGTCAAAAGGCCTGATACGCATCCTTGGACATGGATAGTGTATCGATTTTCTTTGCTTCCATCGGATACCGTTGTTCAGAGGTTAAACGGGGTCTGACATGGACGAGAGGTATATTTGATCTTCTGCATACGTCGTAGAAGTAATTAAACGTTAGTTGCCGACTGAGGACTATTCATACCTTGTGGCGGCTTATCGATAAAAGTCCGTGTGTAGGTTGGTCTTGAGAAGCTTGGATAGCACGAAATAACATGTTGGCTGCATTTTCTAGGGAGACATTTGGATGAAGTCTTCTGGATATTTGAGCATGGGAGCCTCTTGTTGCATTTGCTGGAATGCCATTCTCTTTGTTGTTTCTTGCCGAGGAGCCGTTGGCAAACAAACAAGTCACTATAAACTTCTGACTCCGATGTATCTCCGAATCACCTGTTGATCGGTCACGGTGAGGCTGTTCAAAGTGGGACGAGGCCATCGACAAATATCATCGTGACTGCTGTATGTGTTATATTTTGCATTTCCGTCATTTCAGTTACTTACTGGATCGAATCATAGTGCAAACGACTTGACACTCGCTGATTCTCTTGCGTCTGTTGTGTGCCCACTGCCCAGGATTAACGGATATAAACCAAACTTATACGCTTCAGTGAGCCCTTGAAATTTCTTCCGACGTAATCTCATACGCTCTTTTCCAGTCAGCGAATGCCGAGCTACCGTCATTCATTGCTGGAGCTGCCAGATATCGGAGGAACTTACGAACAGCACGATCGGGGATACCCTGTACTTTTGGCTCCGGTTCTCGATCCCTTGCTGAACCGGAACCGGACTATTATCGGAGAACCGATATCGTTCGGTCCACGGTTCTTCTTGAACCGAACTGATAATGTGATGCAACTGTATCTTTTATCAAGTCACTCTCCGACCAGTACGTGCGGCGAACGATAAAACGCTTCATTACGGCCACAGTAAACTAAATTTAAACTCGAACTAACTCAATCATGGTCCCCGGTATTTACACTGCTATCCTGATGCGCTTATATGTAGCTCAATAGCTCATGATATGTGTGAAAGACATCTTTTGACCTCTGAATGGAGTATTCGACTGACGATATCGCAGCAGCAAGGAGTTTGCAGTTCGCCACGGTATGTCTCCTTGTCGATACGAGGATGAACCATAACTGACAAGTCATGTACACCAGTACATATATAGTGTGTACTACTGTTTGAACGTCATATTATCTGTCCTGATACAGTTCAGCATCGATGGCTGCGTTCTGGGTAGGTTTATTCTCGTCTACTCATGTCCGCTGTAACTCCCTTATCTAGACCTATGATTATGCATGTTCACTTCATGAAGAGGTAATACACTTCTTTCATGATACGCCTTAGATTTGATACACACAATATGATATGCAAAGTGGACATTTTTACTTCGATCGCACTGGAATAAGATGAAAGGCTTGTATATTGTTACAAGATACCTTCCCTTTATCCTTCTCGTCGCAGATCTATATAGTACGTTCCGCTCCAGCATACATCGCCTTGTTTAACATCTGTTTTTCAGTGATCTTTACCCCGAATGAGAACCTAGGTGTATGTGATGAGGTAGAGGGTTAATGACAATTAATGACTTACTCCATGACTTCGCCAGACATGCGGGATGTTGACCAATATTAGCTTAGGTACGTGTACTGTGGTACACTCATCTATGTACAGTCTTGCTGAGGGCAGCCTACTTTCTCTCATAGGTTTCGGCATTCTATTAGCTGTTTGTGCCGAGTGTATCTCTCCTTCCTCCATAAGATATCCATGTTGCTGATGCGATTCATCCAGGGTTTTTCATCCTCAGGACATATGTGCTCTGGGACAGAAATAAAATCTTGCTAACTGCCATCTTAGGCACCTATCTCGTGAGTTCCCAATCCACTCACCATACACAAGCCAGTGGTAAATCCATCAACCAGTCGTTTCTCGCAGCAACCGTCGGCATTGCCATCGATGCTAGCATCTCCGCAGCATGTACGCTCTCTCACCTTCCCTCTGGTGTTCCATCATAACTGAAACATTCTTCACTTTCACAGATGCGACTAGCCCGATCCCAGGCATCACAGGGTGCTACCAGAGTGCAACAATCACTGACGGGAGTTTTATCTCATTTCTTCTCATTTCTGTGTTCGAACTAGGTAACACGGTACATATATATGTACAAATACGCACTAACTAACATTCTCCCCAGGGCTGATGATAATCACGCTCATACATGCCATAAAGGGCTGGCGGAGAACCCCATGTCGTCTGTACATTGTCCTGGTGAACCATAACATGTTCTATTATGCTAGCGCTTTCCGTGAGTTAACACTTGTACGGGCCGTTTTCCTGTGCTCATCCATGGTCATTCTGTTTCTTGAAGTATTCGCGACAATGAACATGTTCACATCGCTGTTCCTCCAGGTGGGTGAATATTCCAAAGGTCTTCTATGGTGCGCCGTTGATTTTCTGCGCCCCAGGACACCTACCGGACCGTTTTGAATGGGTATGCACCTCCGCATCCTACTGCGTATTCCTACTAATCACACTCGAAATGTACACCCACGTACAGTTTCCAGTTCCTGACCCTTGCGATTTTTGCCGCGCGCATGCACATCCATCTCTGGAAGACAAACCAACATCCACGTGGCTCTGATAGCATGGTTCATTTGTCCGACATGACATTTGTGAATGTCACGGCGTGATGTCTTGTCCTCCGGTTTATTCGATGTTGTTCATGGAGCGAGGCTTGGACCGTACGAGATGATTGGTGGGGGACGTGTTTAATTTATAGGATGAGTCTGTTGCAGGGCGGGTGGAGCATTTGGATGTCCTTGATCTATTTGACAGCTGTAGTTTCATCTACTGCACATGGTCATGTATATTACAACAAATTGCACTTGATCACCAGTCATCATGCATAATTATGGTATATCATTTATCCTTTTTGCATGCTCTGGCCCTGTTTGTATTTGATCTCCTGTGCTGTTCGGATATCATATATGGAAGCGGGTAGGTCATTACACTGGTACACTCAAGCTGGTACAACTTCATGCTCGCTTCGACCACGCATATAAATATATCAATTTTGTGCGCCTGTACATGGGATGGAGCGAGTTATGTGTAAGAAACATGGTGCGTAAACGACGATTGAGTAACAGGGTTTCTAGATGATTTTATGACTGACGCGAAGTGGGAGGACGACCAAAGTAAAATCCGCAGCAGCAACAGGTAACTTCATAGGAAACTTCTCCTCTTCCACCGGTTGCCTGATGTGTTTCTGGTGGTCGTGCGTGAGACCCTTGTGCCCCAGCTGGTTGACCTGATTGCATTGCACCGTTGGCCTGGTTGCTGTTCGTACGTTGCATAGCTGCGGCCGCTTCTGCATCAGTTTCGGGGACAATGCCAATTCTCTGTAGTGTGTTTTGATGCAACGAAATTAGAGGGACAACGAGTGACTCACATTTTCGTCTTGAGCAAGAGGTACATCGACGGTGGGCGTGGAATGTCCTCCAGAAAACAACCTGAAGTTGAAATTCCAGTGTCGGGACCGTCGTTCGATTGGTTGGGACGGATTTACAGGTCGTGTGCCGAAATGTATGGAACTGAGCAGACGACGCCAACGAACAAGGGACGATGGGCTTGCGGGAGGAGCTGCACGATGAGACGCGTGGTCTGATTCGTTGCCAAAGAAATCATTGCCCTGTATCGTTGTGTCAGACGAGAAAGGTCAAGAACAAGAAAGCACACTCACATATCTTGTCTGTCCTGTTTTTTTAACCTGCTTATTAGACGCAAGACGGGGGTCAAAGGTCTAACGAGACATGAGAAAAGATAGGATTGCTCACGATTGGTGGACGCACAACTCTCGGTTGGGCTGGACGTTCCTAGTGAAAAGTGAGATGTAGTGTGAAAGAGAAGCAGAGAAGACTCACCTTGAGCTTTGCATTGCCATCATCTGCGTCCTAGATGGCCAAAACCGTTAGGAAGGGAAATTAGATAACAAAGCGCATACGTACCACAACGTTTTTGAGCGCAGCCTCCAGGTTCCATACATAGATTTTTTTGTCTAGTCCAGCGCTGGCAATATATTTTCCATCGCGGGACAGGGCAAGAGCCAAGAGTTCGTCATCATGCAAGAGTGGATCTCCGACTGCCTGATTGGTCTCGAGATCCCAAATGCGAATGGAGCAGTCAGCTGATGCGCTAATAATATACCTTTCATTGGGAGTAAGACAGAGGGATGTCACAGTGTTGGTGTGACCCCGAAAAACAACAAGTTCCTGTCCATCAATAGCCCGCCATTTTCGGATTGTTTTATCAAGTGAGGCAGAGAAGATGTGTGCGCCATCCTTCGACCAACACAATGACGGCACCGCATAGTCATGTCCCTTGATCTCGATAAGCAGCTTGCCATTCCTTGACCATATGCAGATCGGACCCTTGCCACAGCTCATGAATTTGTCGCCTTTTGGAGAGTATTTGACGGCATTAACCCATCCGTGACTGGTCTCTATGGGTGGTGCTATTTGTCGACCAGTATTCGGGTTCCAGCGTCGTATGGTGCCATCTTCAGATCCACTTGCTATCTCCAGGGAATTGCGAGACCAATCGAGGCTCCTCACTGGAGCATTATGCCCCTCCCACGGGTCGCCGATCATGCTGCCCTCCTTTATATTCCAAAGTCGCAGTCTGCCATCTGCGCTTCCACACATGACCATTGTTTCATCTGGGGATACTACCATCGAAGCTATCCCTCCCCCATCTCCATCCAAAGGTTTTCCCACTGGCTCTCCGTCTCTTTTCCACTGACGAATCGAACGATCTTCAGACGCGCTCATTATATTGCTACTGGTATCCAAGTAGGCAAGGCTCCATATGCGTTTGGAGTGACCCTCTGTGACGCACTCCGGCTTCAAGCTTCCTGCCGGTTGTTCTGGTTCTGGTTTCTTCCATGACGTGGTCCGAGTGTTGTGGTCGACAAAGTAGGACCGACCGAGTGGTGAGATGTGCCATTCACATCCAGGAACAACGAGATCTCCAGGATAATCTATGTTCAATGGTGGGTTCGTCGTTCCTTGTCGCAATTTCATCCCTCACCTAGTCGCACTCCCGGTAAAGGTCGGTTCCACGAGGTCATCACGAGCGTGTCATCTTGATATCCTGTTTCCCCATCCGACGAGGTCTTATACTGTTGCCACATAGGAGGAAGCGCTTCATTCCTGCCTGATTCTAATTGAGTAACCTGGTAGGTATCACAATGTAGCTGCTCACCTTCCCAAAGTGCGTCCTGGCGGTGCTGTGCACCATATGGTGGTGGATCTTTCGCGCTCGTCCGATCTATCGATGAATGCAATGGCACTTCACCTCGTCTCGTCGACTTGTTTGACTCAGCTTCTTCGCGTGGCATGACAAGGATGTCGCGGAGTACAGACAGACTGGACAGTGAAATACTGCGCAAAGTCGATAATCGAGGGGAAGGAGAGATACGGGGAGAAAGTGATGAAGAGACCTGCTACTTGAGTCAGTTCTGCATGCTGTAGTTGCAGGCGCCTAACTGACACTGCATGTCAATGGCTGTGGCACCACCGGATCAAGTACTTACCTTGGCCCGGTTCAAATTTTGATGTACATTAGTCTGTCATGTACCGTCTCGTCGGCGAGTGGGATTATATGATGTTTGTTTGAGTGGGTGCATACACATCGAACCTGTATGTTGCATAGTACTATCCGTCCCGGCTGAGTCGTCACCCCCACAAGTCGTCATGACCTAAATATCTCACTCAATTCTTAGTTCCACACATAATTTACAACTTCAATCAATATTTATAACATGTACTGTTCATTGCAAGGTTGAACGACTGATTTTTACGAAGAAATGGTGAAGTTCATTGAAAGCAGCCAAAGTCACGCAAGACTCACGCTGGTGACAGCCAGCCAAACGTTGCCGTGGCGGAGTTTTAAACAGATACTATGACTTCCAGCTTCGTCTGGCTCTAGAGTCAATGCTACAATCTGTGATGTTGGGCTGGACCGAGCGTTAGCTCGGGGTGGGACGCAAGCAGGTGGAGCCACTGGGAGGGCGGGCACCTGCTTACGAATTCGATTGTGCGCTGACTCATGAACCTTCATACGTGATAAAATTGAATATATTCTAGCTTGTGAACAACCAACGACGAGATAATATTGTAGAAGTATGTAGACTTTAGAATAGGAGTTATGAATATTATTTGGACTGAATTTTATTCTAAATATCACTACAGTATATATACTATGGTACACTAATTGTAAGTATCCGGTCCGTGTATGTGTAAGCGCGGACTTGTCTATGGTCCGCGCTATCGCTGACAAAACAATGTCCGTCTCGGACATTACCGGCTATTAGTTGTTCCTTACATCATTCATTCTTGTACGTATTACTAAGCTGTCTCTCCTGTGCTCGTACCTTCATTACTATGCGCTAACTCTAACAAATATACAGAAGAAATTGTTGACATGCGAGAGTTCTGAGCAGCCAAAGGCTGATGAAACCGAGACGTGAGGTATGAGCACATGCTAAAATGGAAATGGACGAGCGCGCGTTGACAGCGGCTCATACCCTCCCTTATTTCTCTTGTCTTTGATTAATATATGTTCTTGCTCGTTCTCCCTTATAGCTAGAGCCAAATAGTTAGACGCATCTCAGTCTTGTCCCAAGTACTGAGATTGTTTTCATTCTATTAGCTCCCTCCGACTCGTCTGCTCACCTCTAAGTTCTACAGGTTATGAGCCCTGACCCGGCAATGGACACCACGCTCCCCACCACCAATTTGAATCTGTTCAACATACCAAAGTTAGCCAAAGACGGCACAAATTGGATAACCTACAAGGAACGCATGTTGACGGCGATTGGCATGCGAGGTCTGATGCGTTATGTGGACGGCCAGGCAATCAAACTGACACCTTTCAAGGTAGATGCGACCACAGGCACAGTGATGAAATCGGACGGCTCGACTCCTACGCAAACGGAGATTGAGGAGGTCAATAAGAAGCTAGATGAATTCTATCAAAAAAACTCACTTGTTAGGCAGCACGTCTTCAGCACTATAACCGATAGACTCCTGTTACGAGTCCAGAAGCTTGACAGCGCGTTGAGCATATGGACCAAAATCTGTCAGATCCATGAAGGAAAGACAGAATTAGTGCAGGCAGACCTACAAAGATGCCTACAAGACTTACGTTGCGAAGAGAGTGGCGACGTCAAGGTGCATTTCACCAAGCTCTTAAGGATACGCGAGTCCTTGGCAGGGATGGGAACATCCATCAAAGATCGCGATTTTCACGCCATCCTTTTGGGCTCATTGCCAGAGTCATACAGACCCTTTCTGTCGTCCATCAGCACCGCAGCCAGGATAATGCAGACACCACTCACCTCGAACGAACTCATCACCGTGATCAGTGAGGAGTATGAGCACCGTCAGTTGACGGATAAACGTAGCTCCAAGAAGGGTAGAAATTCGGCTCTTGTAGCCAAGTCTGGTCCTGGGAGAGGTAAAAAGTCCAGAGCCACAAGCAAAGAGAATGTGGACGTTACCTGTTTCAATTGTGAGTGAAAAGGCCATTACAAAACAGACTGTTGGAGGCCAGGAGGTGGTAAAGAGGGCCAAGGGCCAAATCAACATCAGAGGAGGCCAGGACGCACCCCAAAAGAAGGCACTAATGTAGCCAATTCATTAGAGGCAGACAGCGCGACCAACTATGCATTCACTACATCAGATCTAGCCACCGTTGCAAAGCAGTTCAATGTACCAGTTGCTCGTCGCGGCACCATAGTTGACTCAGGCGCCACCTCTCACTTCTGCCCTGACAGGTCCAAATTCCTCGACTTCGTCAACATAGACCCACAGGACGTACATACTGCCGATGGTTCAGTTATCAGCGCCATAGGACGAGGTAGTGTGAGGAGCCCATTCAGTCACATCGTCTGTATAATACAGGCAGCTGAGGTTGAAAATATGCTGTTCCACACAGGCCAGCGGATGTCGGCCGATCGAATATGTTTGCCCGTATCTAACCTTCGGCCGGCCAGCTCACTGAGAGACAATTTTCACAGCTGGGCTTGTACACAGTGATGCTTGATATGAACATGTCGGCCGGTGGCCAGCAAACAAAAGCGGTGGGGTGTGATATTGTCAGCTGGGCCCATGTAGCAAATAGTGGCCGTGTATACCGGTCGGCCAATGCCAATGATAGGTATGAAGGCATCATGCGGGCCGATGCAGAATATATTTCCCGTGCATATCAGTCGGCCCGTGTGGACTGCATTGCTTGTGCTTATCAGTCAGCCTATGCAGAATACATTGCTTGCGCGTATTGGCCAGGCAATGTCGGGCATGAGGCTATCAGGGGGGCCGATGGACATAAATTCCTAATGCTCTCAGGTCGGCCGATAGCAATGAATGCATCATGTGATCGAGTGGGCCGATAGAACTGATACTATCAGATGGGCCAACAGAAATATATTGCCGATATTATCACATAAGCCGATGGCAATGAATGTCTGATGAAATCGGTTGGGCAAATAGAACTAACATTATTGAATGGGCCTATGGAAATGCATGCCCGATATTCTCAGGTGGGCCAATAGAAATGATTTTCTGATGTAATCGAGTGGGCCAATGGAACTGATACTATCAGATGGGCCTATGGAAATAAATTGCCAATGTTCTCACATAGGCTGATGGCACTGAATGCCTGATGAAATTGGGTGGGCCGATAAAACTCATATTATTGGATGGGCCAATGGAAATGAATTCCCGATATCCTCAGGTGGGCCAAGAGCAATAAATTCCTCATGTATTCGGGCGGGCCGATGGAACTGACACCATCAAGTGGGCCGATCAAAAATGAATTCCCAATGTTATCAGCTGGGCTAATAGGAATGATGCCATCAGGTGGGTTGATGGCAATGAGTGTGCGATACAACCGGATGGGCCGATCAGACTGATGCAATTAAGTGGGCCAATATAAATGGATGCCTAATAAAATTGTGTGGGCCGATGGGGAGAACCATCTGATGATATCAGGCGGGCCGGTGTGGCACAGGTCTCCCTTGCGCATATATTGGCACACCTCAGCTCGGTCAGTCGGTCTCCGGGAAAGATTACTTTGAGCATTCAACATTAATTCAAATTAATCTGCAACCTTGTAATGAATCCATCTACAAAGTAAAATGTAACTGTAATGTACCATTAGAATTCGTTACCTGTCCATCTAGGCTGAAACCGAGACATCACGATCTACATCCATGTATTTCGCATACTGTGGCCAAGGTGTCCCGACAAAATTGTGAAGACTATCGTGCATGAACCATGTCCATACCACGTGATCACTGGTGAATGTGACACCATGCCTGACAATGTGTCCAGAGCAAGCAACAATGGTGCCTGAGTTATATTGCAACTGTATACCAAGGTTGGACAGGGTCATGAGCCCATCACAATAGTGGCCGACACTTGTCATGATGTCAAACCCTTCTGGGGCAGATCTTGGATGTCAGTGAAGAGGGCATTGCCTGTTACAAATGACAGCTGTGCAGTTAAACACCGAGGCCCAAAGTTGCAAATGAGTATATATGTCATCAAGGCCATTGTCCATGGCCCATCCAGCAAGTTTTATCTGAGTGGTAACTGAGGCCCAATACAACTCTGGATGCATCACTTGAAGAGCCGCCGAGGCAAGGAGTGCTGAGCGCTGCATGGATGTTATGATGGTAGGGCCACCTTCCCCCTTGAGTGTAGCTGACACCTCAGAAGCGAATACACCGGTTGGCGGAAACCCATACGGCTGGAACATTTGAGTAAACACAGCCATTACAGTGGAAGAAGCAGGCCTGACCTCTCGGCCTTGCTGGAACCAACAAGGAGCTATGTTGATGCATCCTGGAGTTAATGGCCCCCTGGTTGCTATGATGGAAATACCCAGGGAATGTTCGCCACTGGGTCTCTTCTCCACCGGTCATGCTTGTCTTCAGGAGATGACCCATGCTGACGGTGGCGTCTTCCATCTCGGCCTGTTGGGTCAATGTAAATATTCACTGATGAGCCACAATATATCAGCTTACTTGAATCCACAGGCTAATGGCATCTGGAAGGTACCATAAGATGATACGGCCGCCGGAATCCACAAGAACCGAGGGCTTGTCAAGCAATATTTGAGAACCATGAGGAAATTTTGGAGGAGCGCCTCTTCATGTTTTGTGAGCCGCCCGGTAGAGCGTTTGTTGAGGGCCTTGTTGTACCGAATCATATCAAGATTGAGTTGAACTGCGATATGTTAGCAAATCACCGACTGTATCAAGGAATGACCCACTTGGATGTAAATAGACATTAGCGAGAGCTCAGGCCAACTGCCGACATGCAAGCATGGTCGGCACATCCAGTGCTAGCGGAGGCAAGACCGACTTTTGCTGGCCACCGACATGGCAAGCAAAAAGCTGGTGCACAAAGTCACCAGCAATGCATGTGGTATGCAATGCCGTGTCAGTTGGAATTGAAGTCATGATTGAGGGAAGAGGGACAGGAATGATTCATCATTGGCTTTTATAGAAAAGGACCGAAGTATATTTAGCAACACTATATACATTTACAGCATATGTATGTTTCTGGTCATAAAGGTGAAACCGGCGATAGCTCAGTGCATGTCACATAGAGTCAGGGCTTGCCAGCAAATTGCCGACGGGAATTCAAGAGCACTTGTTCAAGTTCAGCGATCAGTGCCTCAAGTTGCGACATGGTGGATGCGGCTGCAGCCGCGATCTGGTGCTTCTGCTCCAGCAAAGAAGCCATCGCCTCACCAAGATGTTGAAGGTGGGTTCTGACTGTGACAATTTGATTGAAGAGGGCATCGCCGTCCACTTGACTGGTCACAGCAGGACCCAGCACAAGCATGGCTCCCATTGGCTAACAATTAGCATAAATGCAAGTCCAACCAGAGAGGAAGAGAGAAATGACCGACCAGTTGTTCAAAGTGGTCTTGGGTCATCTCCATGACCTCATGCACATTCAAGACCGGCAGCTCCAACCCCAAACAGTCGAAGCGATCCTTCCACCAATCATAGCGGTAGTTCAGAACCATGCGGTGATTGGAGCTCACTTGAGGACCATTGGGAGAACAGTGCAGGAAGAATTCATTGTGCAGCTGCTTGGTGGTTATGATCCCAGTTTGGAATCGGGAAAACCAGCCAATCAAGGTGCGGAGGAGGTCAGGCATGGTTGGATGGATGTTGAGGACCAACAATACATGTATGTATGGGAACACAAAACACTGATAAAGGCATTAGTTACAATATAACACCGACTGGCTGACCGACCGATGAGACACTCACATCTACCTCCCATTGAAGGTGCCGGATGAAGCTAAATTTGTATGTGGGCATCCGAGGTATGTTGTTCTGGTGACACACAAGCCAGATGCTGGTGAATTGAGAAGTAGCAAACTCTAAGACATTTGCGACATCCCATGCAGTCAAGTCACTGAGTTCATAGGTATAAAGAGTTGATGAGTTGGACATGATGTTGTAGTTGTGATCAACAGGGAAAAAGTTTTATGTGGATCGGCATTATATTCCTGACTAATCCACCACAGAACTTGCTGATGTCCGCATGCAGTTACAGCTGCACATGGACCCCTGTCACTCTGCAACCGTAGCCACCCCTTTTGTTCTTTCAAAGCTGTCTTCCGCATGCTGTGAGAGTTGGAGATATATTTGAGCCTGGCGTGCTGCATAGCAGCGGTGCCTGACCGTGTGCTCGGTATCGGCCTCCTCCATTCGGCCGACCCATTGTTGGGATTTGTGAATAAAAAACACCACTGTCCATGTCATTTCCCGACCGACCAGCAGTAGCTCCTCTGCTGTTACGTCGACTGTAGGTCGGCGTAGTGGGAACTAGGATAGGTCTTCTCAGCGACGACTCGAGTGAGTCTACTGAAGCTGAGCGTGGTCTGGCCTTGACGGAACGTCAAGGATTCCTCCGGCGATCTCGGTAAGACGGCGCTCGTCGAAATGCAGGGCTAGCGGATACGTGCAGAGGCGTATGGGAGCGACTCTGAAGTGCGGTCTCACACAAGGAAGCAGTTAAGCTTAGATGAGCAAGTTCTGTGGTAGAACCTAGTAGATTAAAGTGAAGTATAATCTACAACAATGTAGCTACTCTTATAGGGTTTAGCTATAGGTATTCTAGCTCAGTCTGTAATCTATAGTATATCGGTAATCTAAGATAACTAGACATGAGGAGAGATAGCATACATGAGGCTTAGCCTCTGATCAAGCATGCTGCGCCAAGGGCAGCTGCGCATAGGTACAGGAAGCGCCAAGCGCTCCGGGTCTTCATACATGAGGCGCCTAGGGCGCTCCGGATCTTCATGAAGCGACATGCTGTATACATGCGCTGATCTAGGGTGTCCATGAGGCGTACAGCCTCCATGGATCAGGTACAAGGCCGTCTAGGCCAGGGGCGGGGTCATAGCATCAGGCGGGGTCATAGCGCCATGAGGCGGGGTCGTAGCGGTCCAGACCGCTGTCTTTCTAGGCGCAGGCGGCGCACCGCCGCGCGGGGAGTCTAGCAGAGCGGGGGCAGGTGTAGGGAGAGCTGGGGCTCTAGTAGGTGTTACAGATCCCTGTAACATCTGCCCAACGATCACGCAGTGCCAGCGTCCTAAGCCAATGGACACGGTAAACTATCATGCAAGTAAATTAGCATCATACAGGAAAATGTAGGTCAGTGAAGTGCAGACATTCATTCATCCAGTCATTGCTTGTAGAATCCCCCTCAACATCGATGGACCAAAACCATGCTAACATGTTATTCCTTTGACCATGTGCATTCGGGTCTGCCACCACTGTAGTAGCCTTGAGGTCAGCCTTCTCCAACAGCTGATACTTGGTCAATAATTCATCGGCACCAAGATCCATTAGCTGCTTGCGGCATTTTGAGTATATCTGTGTGTTTAGATGAAGGACCTTGTCCACTGAGTGCACCCGAGCCCATGCCCTGGTCGAGCATGCTTGCGACTTTGCCGACCGAACCGTGGTGCGAAACAGAACAGCCTTGTCGGCCAGGTTGACCCTGACGGCGTGCAATGCATCATTTGCTTGCCCTTCTCTTAATGATATTTCCTGGAGCACCAGGTCAGCAACGCCCCACTGTGCACATCTTTCAATTCCGATGTTGGACGGCAATGGAATCACCACGGTCTCGGGATTGAACTCCACGGGTAGATCGTATCGGTCTCCATCGTCCGACCTATCTGGATCCTCACCTGATGACCCGACAGAATCCAATTCTGCTGAGTCCAACATTCCTGTCATGCCGTCCAGATGCTCACAGTTGTTTAATTGATCGCCGAGAAATGTCAGTGCAACCCTGACAAAGTCATCCAGTTGTCCTTGCAATCTGTCCCGACGCCGGGCTATGGCCAGTTTCTGGGTGTCGGTCGGCCGCTTTCCTAACTTTTTAACATCAATCAGGAGGGCTACCTGCGCCTCCTCCAGTGTTATTCCACAAGCCAGCCATGTTGCAGCACCCCGATGGATCTCACCGGCGGGCCACTGTGCCTGACGGTTCAGCAGGTGCAATTCTTGCTGTTTTCTTGTTGGTGCTTTGCGAAAGGATATCAGCATATTAAAAATAGATGTTGTATTGCAACGGACATTTTGTTAATTGAACTTCATATATGTCCATGGAGCTGGGATTACGCAGTCGGTCATCGTGAGCGGCCGTCGCCTCTGCTTCCCATTTGGCAAGGGTGTCATCCTCGGCAGTCTCACTCAACCGGTCGAATGCATGTTGGCTGTCTCGGACTCCCTGCAGTGCCTCCTTGAATTTCCGGGAAAGGAATTTGCCTAAATACAGTTGGATTTGTGATCTTGATAGAATGATATTACTTACTGATGCGTATCATCTTCATAAAATTGCAGTCATTCATTTGAAAGTCCAAACACTCCTTTCGGTGGGGGGTGGACATCCCTCTTGCCGACGGTGATATGATGTTCAAGGGCGCCCACAGGGTCTCCATGATTTGCCGTCGATTCTGGCGGCACCGGTGATAAAGTTGGATGCATATCGCACGTAGCATTTGTCTTGATGGCCGTGGACATGCCAGAGCCCAATGCCAGGAATAATGTCCATCTCCCATGGAAGGTCAAGATAAGGCGACTCCTCAATCCGCTTGCTCAGATGCTTGTTGTATTGACAATTAATGTCATAGAATGTGAATGCCCGATTGATACCATTGGTGTTGTACCCCAGAGCTTGACATAGCGCATAATCCATGTTCATTTGCCTTGGGTCGGCCGACTCATCAGTTGAATCCGGCCGATTTAACAGTTTGAACGACAAACCTTTCCCCCTTCTGAAAGTCCACCATCGAATGAGGAACGAAACATCCGTGTCTAGCGCAAGCACACCCGCCTATCCCTGTCGCTTCTAGCTTGTGTCGGGAAGCATTTGCCTGGTTGACCGCTCGGTGGTTGTTACATTCCGACCTTTGCACAATGTCCTGTGCCTCGGCGAGATGCATTTTGTATCGGGAATCACTGACCATGAAGCCCAAGCCATCGGTCAATGCGACCTCATCGCTAGGATTGGTGGGATACAAATGCTCTGCCTTGAAATTGCCGTCCATGACTAAAGATCTGGAATACAGCCAAGCAGGGTCGGACTCATTTCTGTCTGACAAATTGAGGTTTACACCGGGCTGAGGACATGCAGGACAGAAGAGTGCAAGCTCCCCTGCCTTCGGCTTTCGCTTCTCATGGCCAAACCCATGCCACTTGAGCTGCTTCACTTGTCTCCACTGCCTGCCGACCCTCATCAATTCTCTGTACCGGTCCTTTCGGCCATTGTCAGCAATGTAATACATGCGATCCACGTCACTCACTGGAACCAGATGGGGAAACACGCTTGAGGTGATTCGCCTTAATTTACTGTAGTAGTTCATTGCCGATGTCCCGCATTCCAGGTTGTCCAGCAGGAAGTCGTCCAACACCGCAAATGTGAATGCTGTCTTCGGCGAAGTGAAAGACGCAGGGAAGAGGCCGGTTTTGAACAGTTGCATGTCAGGGCTCGGTGCGCCAGCGCACTTACAGAATCTGATCATCATGGAGTGGAGCCCTGGACGTATCCACCACCGTGGTCATCCGAGGATCGTTAACCAAGGGTATCCATGGGCCTTCACTCAAATTGTCTCCTTCATCATCTGTGTCGCACCACTCGTCGGTCAGCCCGGGGCAAGGCTCGCCCTCGTGGCCAAGGTGGACTTCCAACCCGATCTTGGTCAAGGAAGTGCCTTCGAAAAATCCCCCGGTCCATTGACTGATCTGATGGAAAGGCATGCGCCTGTGAACCGTCCGACAGCAATGAGTACAGAAGAGTGGTTCACCCATGCAGCCGTGACATCTGTAGACTCCGTCCTTTGGACAGACCGAGCACATCCTGTTCAAAGGTGGACCCTCTCGCCGAAGTAGCAAGTCCAAGTAGTCCTTGGTCTTGTACTGCCACTCGCGCAGATAGTCATTTTGACTCTGATATTCAGTGTCAGTACATGGGACAGGGGAAGTGAATGGTGCACTTGCCATGGACTTGCGAAGACGACAAGGCTCCAAGTTGCAATCGCCCAGGTCATAGTGTTCATAGTCGCCCTCTGCCTGAACTCCTCTGGTAGATTGCTGCTTGGTAGGCGATTTTCTGGGGGATGAATGAACCGATGCTGTTCTGTTGTAACATCGAGCTTTGACAAATCGGCCTGTATCTCCTCTAGATGTTCTTTTGTTCTCCCATTGAACCAAAGAGGATGTCTTTGGAGGACTCCAGGCCTTTGGCTTTGACTTCACCATAGACCGAAGTAGTGCTATGATTGTCGGGATGTGTTGTTTGAAATAGGATGATTAGACTTTGGGACGGTTTGGTGCTTACATGCAAATGCCAAATGCAATACATAGTATGTAATAGTTCCTTTGATCTCTTGCAAATCATCAGCAGGGATATTCATGGCACAATTTCAATGTCTCATAGTAAGTGTGTATATAATATGTCAAGTGCACTTCAGGACCTCTGATTTCATGTCACAAACCCACCCATGCATCTGCACCACTCGATGAGTCTGGTAGCAATGGGACTTGCACTATTCGGCACAATCTAACATTTACGTGTACTTATGACATAGGTATGTCACTTATGTGAATCATTACTCACAAGACCCTTCCTTCCATTTTCCCTTCCATCAACCACATCAACGCTCTCCTGTACTGACATTTCCAAGTCCTTTACTCCAAGCTACCTACTGTGACATGCCTCGGACGAAGATAAATACTGGGGATCAGCCTCGGATGAACGACCGAGAGACCACCGCTCTGCAATCCCATGTTGAGGACTGGGAGAAGGCGAGTGGGGCTGAGCGACTGACACATCTTCAAAGCGGCCGCCAAAGAGGCCAGACTGTTGGCTCCCAAGATGGACCAAGAGCTCTTGAAGCAACGAAAAGAGGTCAGTGTTTTAGCTTTCATGTCGGGTCTTGCTGCAATCCACTCACCATGAACAGAAATACAGGCAGTGGTTCCACAATCACAAGAAACACAAGGCCAATGCCAAAGCGCCTATGAAGCTGCAAAAGAAATGGACAGCACGCTGGGTCATCGAGGAGCAGCGGAAGGCCGACATTCTTCAGCAAATACATGAAGAAATCGAGGAGGAGACAGGGCAGAAGCCTGCGCAAAAAGAAGTCCTCAGGAGGTATCAACCCACGATGACAGCAATCATGAAGGGGCTGGATGACAATGAGTTGGAGGAAGCCCGGGCGAAGGCCGACGAGTGGACAAATCGAGCGCCCGACCCCGCAGTGCAGGCCAAGACGGCTAAAAAGAAGGGTGAAAAAATGATCAAGCACTTCGCCAAGGAGATGTTTACTCAGGCCGGTATGAGACTCTTTGTATTGGGATCCTGGAAAGATGAGAAGGGCGGCCTGCTTACCTCTGGGCAAGTTCATTCGGTCAACCGGTCGGTCGGTCGGTCGGGCATTGTGCTTACATTATCCGGCAGGTTTGACTTCAATGAACACCTCGGTAGGGGCTCCAGCTTCATGAAATGTAAGGACTGGCAGGTCATCTTACCGGCATGGGAAGATTACATCGGTGATGAATTCAGTGAGTCTTGCAACCATTTCAGAGGTGCTTCATTAAATTTGTATGACGTCCACTAAGACCAGGATCAGGACCAGGAAGGCACGCTGCTCGGAGGCACTCGCCGGGTTCCCAAACCTTACCATGAGTTCGACCTGGACCGCATGGGTTTGCCGATGTTGCCCGAGATTGACGGTGTCTCGCTCGAGGACAAGAAGGGGATGATCCGGTCATTCCTCACTATTCATTACCGTAAGCCTGATGATAGAAAAACTGCACCATGAACTAATGTCTGCCACCACAGGAATATGCTGCGGAAAACGGAAGGTACCAGTGCCTTGGAGTGACATCATGAAGGGACAGTCTAGATTCATATCCAGCATATACCTGCCTGATGACACCAAGATCATGGACCCATCCAAACTGCAACGGAATGAAGCCACTGCCTTGTTAGAATGTTGGTTGGACCGACAGGACAACCAGGTTGGAGTGACATTGAAGTTCAAGGCCTGGATTGACAACAAGGGCAAGATGCACCCTCCTGTCAGCAAAGAGTCTGATCACTCTGACGGCAATGCTGACGATGAAGGCATGTGGCCCAGGCCAACCAAAAAGTCATCGGCTGCTGCTGCACCATCACCGGCCGGAGTTCCCAAAGGGCGGCCTAGATTCATTAACCGAGCTCATGTCAGTTCCACCAATGAAGATTCTGACAAGACCGATGCAGATGTGTCTCCACCCAAGGTAAACAAACATGCCCCAGACCGTGTAGGGAAAGGCGCAAATGCAGAACACAGTGACCAGGTGGGACATCAGTCAGGGTCAGATGACCGACCACCACCCAAGAGCTTAGGGAAGAGAGTCAGAATTGAGCCTGCCATCCACACACCTAGCACAGAATCGGCACATGAAGACCGACCGATGGTAGGTTCTGCGAGGAAAATCTGCTATGATAGAACAGCAATTGTTGCAGGGAAGACCCACATTCCCACAGCACAGGTGAGAGAGGCATCAGAAAGTGAAAGTTTTGGCAACACTGCAACAAAGGCCAGGCATCAGCCAACTCGCGATCATCATACTAGCCCACAAGCACATGGCTTCGGCCCGCATTCAACTCATCAGGGTCTAGAACATCTTGGTATATCTGCAGCAGGGCAGGACCAGGGGCTGAGGAAGACCAGGGTTGCCAGAGAGGCATCACCGGTGGTAAATGACCGGTTGCTAAAGAAGGCCAAAGCCACTAGGGATGTATTACCGGCGGTGAATGCCCAGTCACCAAAAAAGGCCAAGGCTGCCAGACCGGCGTCTTGGTCGCTTTCTGATGCGCCAGCAAAAAGCACAAGGAGTAAGGTTGACAATGCACTTGGCATTCGAATTCGACAAAAGCCCAAGAGATATGCTGACTATGTGTAGTTGTCAGCAGTCTCATGTGTCATATAACTTTTTCCATTCTGCTCAGTCATCGATGATGGTGTTATATAAATGGTATTTGTGGAACGTCATAGGTCTCGGTACTCGGTCTTGAGTACAATTGATATATACATTGTCATCCCTACTCAGTCTTCTACACTATTGGATTGGGGAATGTCCCCGGCCCATTTTCCTAAGTGCTAGCAGCAATATATGCAGCGGGTCATCAATCTGATGGTGCATGTTCATTAGATGTTCAATTTTGGCAATATCATCGCTGGCTGTGAGGAATTGGTCACGTGCATCCTGATAATCTGATATCAAACCCCGGTTGGCGTCCAAGATATCAGTGGACTGTCATCCTTGATCATCTCCTGTCAAGTGTGGCCCTCCTCATGATGTTCATTATCAGGAGCAAAATGAACTTACTGATCATAGTGTCAATGAAGTCAAGGCTCATATTTGCTCGGCACAGCAATTCCTCACCGGCTTCGACAGTCTGACTTGACAATCTCTCTCTCGACCCTGGAGATGCGGTTTGTTGCAGCAATTCCTCGCCGGCTTCAACTGTCTGACTTGGCAATCTCTCCCTCGGCCCTGGAGATGCAGCTCGGCGCAGCAAGTTCCTGTTGGATTCGGCCGTCTGACTCGGTGATCCATCTCTTGGCGCTGTAGATGTGGCCACGGAGATATTTTCAAAACACATATCATAGAATACCGGTGTATCACCAGCTGCACCTGATTGTCAATACTGGTGATTTGATTTGCAATTATGACTGACCTAAGTCGACCAAGTTTATGGTCAGTGCCACAATGGAAATACCTTCAAGGTGACCATCTCCTCCTGATGGCGAATCTCCCCAGCACATGTCGAAATCAGCTGAATAATAGTTGGTTATCCTCAGTAGTGTTAATGACCGACACTTACCCTTGTATGCGACCACCGATACAGACAGACTGTCATTCCAACACATGTCATATTGACCGGCTGCAAAGGGCAAGGTCACGTCCAAAATCTTGGTCTTCCTAGGCTCCAGCTCTCGAATTGGCGCCAAAACGACCATTGGCACATGTGGTTTGTCGTCCCAACAAAGGTTGTATAGACCTGCAGCCAACAGTGTGACTGCCTCTGGTGTAATGATCGGTGCTGAATCCACCTCGGTGTCCCAACACATGTCAAATGCTAATGAACCGGTCAGATGTATACCTTGTCAACAAGGGAATGGAGTCACTTTGGCCTCTCACTTGTTGTTCGGCCGATGGCATTAGATTCTGTGTTTCAACCATCGGCACTTGATCGGCCTCGGTGTCCCAGCACATGTCAAATACTAATGTTTTCAACTGTTAGAAAAGGTCTATTAAATAAATAAAAATCTACCTTTATCACCAACATGTTTCTTGGGAAGCGCTTGGGTGTGTGTCGCTGGATGCCATGGTGGAGACTTTTGATTTCATTACTTCAAATGGGCCGGATGGAGTTGGTACGTTAGGTCCAATGGAAATATGGTTGTGGCCTACAAGGATCCGGTCTTGTTGAGGTGATGGAGTCAAAAACAACTTCGGTGGCACCCACTGGTCCCATGTGACGAAAAAATTCCCATCAGCTTTGATGCGCTCATCTTGTAGCCTTCGAGCTTTGTCAATTGAATTTTCGTGGGAATACATCAACAATTGTGGTGGACTTGAACAATGCGGTTGATGAACAATGCAGAAGTCCAACAGCTTCTTCCACCCTTCGGCCATTTCTGGCAGTGTCACAATGCGGCACTCTGCGTCGCATCAACTTCTGTTAAGTCCTATCCACATCCAAACAGACGCCCTCACACTTTCAACTTTCAGATCTCTACTATGCTGTCACAACAAGAATCCAATGATGCTTTGGCGCTCACCAACACATTTGTGCACGATTCAGTCAGCCGAATTATATGCTGGGAAGGAGATGTCCGGGAAGTTGTTGATGAGGCTCACAAGATTGCGAGGCGAGTGGTGCGTGTTTTTTTACTTTCTTTGTTATGTACCTACTCACGATCAACAGTCTCAAGCTCTCCAACAGCACGGCAGGACATGCTCGGTCATCTTGCCGTTTGTCCTTTCTGCTGCCGCCGAGGTCCGGGCGACAATGAATCAAGGTCTTGTCCCTCAATAGAACTGTGTGCTGGCTGACGACCCATGTATGGAGTCACATCCTTTTTTCCCAAAGACTGTTGGATATAGTGAGTTGGCACTCTTTGTATTCACAGTTGCAACTTAATATCCGTGCAGAACAACTGGTACCAGCACCAGCTGTTACGCACTCAAATAGATCTGTTATGCAGAGCCCTAAGAGGGGCGTCGTCCGCTAACGGTCATTGACGTAACCGGAAGGATCCGGTATGGCGAGTGAGACTGGCGACGACAAATCAGCAGCGATCACAGATGCACGTGTCACGTGACTTCTAAGACGGATGTCTGTGAAGTCACCAGGCTCAAAGTAAGGACAGTCTTGTCCGAACGATGAGTGTCGATCGAGGTAGACTTAGTCGCAATGAGCAACTAAGAAAAGATACTAGAGACTGAAGCCTAGAGGCGTTCAGAGGGAAGTATGTTCCAGGGAAGATTGAGTAGATTCAAGTTAGAGAATCTAGTACAGGATGACCGACTACTTATACTAAGTGGAGAGGGTTAAGGGCAAGGCTACTGCACTGTAGGTAAGGGTAAAGGGGAGATGAGAATGGTATAGGTGTGTTGGCAACAGAGCCTGATTAGTGATGGGTGGTCGAATGTGGAATGAGACCGAGAAACATTGGAACGGTCCAACGGTAAGAATACAATGTGTGGGAATCCACAGTCAGAAGCGAACAGGAAAGTAGAGCCACATTGGTGGCATGAGTCAGACCGAGTCATAGGTGCAGGACCACATTGGTGGTCGAGTCAGGGGATGAACGTGCGTGCATGTGCATAGAGGCAAGTGATGCGAGGGACGGGAACGGTCCCGAGGATCCGGTCAACGGAAAGTTGGTAAAGGAAAACGAGCCGGTAGATAGTGAGGGCGAGGATGAAGGGAAAATGATAGGGGGGCCACGTGACCGATGTTACTTGTAGCACCAGCACCAGCACCAGCACCAGTGTTGGCACCGGCACCGGCAAAATCAAAAGCACTCTCCCCAGTGGCAACCCCAGCTCCCACACAGATGTCAGTTCCACCAATTGACTCACTTCCTCGTCCCGGTTGTACTCACAATCTGGTTGTTCCTGGCACCATAACCAACAAGGGCAAATGGTCTGACCGAGGGACTCGTAGATCCTGAGAGGACAGCCCAGATGCCGAGTCAGGCAGGAAGAAACCCAAGGTCTTGAAGCATTTGTCAAAGGCTGTCATCTCCGATACCGAGGACGAGGACAGGCAGCCGACAGGGACAATCGTAGTTAAGGTATGTTTTCCATTCACCACTTCCAACTAACTGCTTACACCAACTTAGCGGTCTAAGATTGTTGAATCGTCGGTTGCAGCGCTGCCAAAATCAAAGGTAAGCACGGTGGTAATGTCGGTGCCAATTTCATGGCTGACTTCTTTTCAGGGTAATATGAAGTCCATCAAGCAGGTGAGATTTACCTCTTCCTGTCAGTCCTCACACCTCAATCATCTTCAGCCGGAAGCCGAACCAAAGATCGGCCGAGCCCAGCCAAAGGGCAAAGGAAAGGAGAAGGTTGTGGAAATCGCCGAACCTATGAGAGGGCGCGGGCCACTGAAGGCCAATGCTGAGGTGGTGAGTTGGGCAAATTCATTTCAGTGACAGGGTGCTCACTGTTTCATAGTACACTCCACCATGCACGAGGTGCACCGGGGAGCCTTGTCTTGTGGTGGTTGGCAGGAAGGGGCAGGCCATCAAGTCCTGTGCCAAGTGCCACTTCCAGAAGGTGCGGTGTAACCAACCAGTGTCAGTCGATTCTTGGGGCACATCCACAACGCAGGCCCCAAAGTCACACCCTCCTCGGTCAAAGGCCACACCGGCCTCAAAATCCAAGGCTCAATCCCAGACAACCAGAGCGACCTCGCGTGTACATCCACCCACTCCTATCCTAGAATCCAAGGATGCTGTTGAGGATACCGGTAAGTGATTTTGTTCTTCGCAATAACGTCTTTTAACCCTTGCGTGTAGATGAGTCTGTTACCGGTTCCGATGATGCCGATATGGACCCTGATACCAACGCTGAGCGGCACACCGACATCGCCACCGAGATGTCAGTTGATCCTGAAGATCAAATCATGGTTGACCAGCCTGCAGACATAGCTTCTGCAGCCGACTTCCCTGCCGAACATTGGCTGGAGCCCACTGATGAAGCGCCCATTCCCATTCCCCCACCAACTCCTGTGGCTGACCCCCTTTCCCTTCCTTCAGCACCTTCATCACCTACCATTCTTGAACACCTGCTAACCCTGACTACTCAGGTCACTGCCATGCAAATGGCCGACGAGAATGCCCTTGCCAGGGTGAATGCGATGGAACAGGAGTTTGACGCCCGCATCTCCTCGATGTGTGCCGAGCTTTCCTCCATGCAGCTTGATGTCAGTGCCACTGTGACATTGGTGAACGGACTTGTCGGCCTGGTCAAGAAGCTTCGGCAGGAACGGGTCCTCGCCAATCCATCATTCCCACCACCAATGCTAAGCCATGGCAATGAATCCTCGGCCACCGCATTCGGCATGAGGTACTTAAACGGCGTGTTCGGCCCTTCAGTTGCTCCCATGCCTCTTTCTGTTGGAGTCGGTTGAACCTCGGCCTCACGACCTTCCGGTCGTCCTGATATGCAGGGTGGCACATCCACATCTGAATAAGTGTGCTCGGCATCAGCACACGCCGATCCCGTGCACTCCCTCCCCAATCATTCAGCGGATTACATAGTTGTACTGTATATCATGTGTTGGTCGGTGAATTTTACCTGTATACCACTTGGTTTTGAATTTAATTATTTTGGTATGGATTTGAATGTACATTGACTCCTGTGTGATTCATATGTCGGCACAGTTGATCTTTATCAGGTTTGCAGTTGGTGCGGCGTAGCATATTTGTCATATTTGACCGAGGTGGTCCTGGCAGGTGTATTGTGGAAGCTGGTCTGGAAAGACCGACCAATTGACCGACCTGTGTCCATGATCATTCTCCATACTTAGAATCTCAGCCCATCTGTATATATCAGTACCACCGCCCACTCAGCCCACTTGTTCACATCAGGTACATACTTCATACACTACCTACCAAAGTCAATAGGAAAGTCTACACTTATCTACTACACTACATACCATGGGCCCACTGTTTGTATTAGATACACACTTCACATCGGCCCGCCTGTGTTTAACACAGCAATACATTGATGGGCCCACATGGGATGGCCTGTGTAGAACAGGGATATTTCAACCTCGGCTGTACGCATTATACAAGGGTAAAGTGACTGCAGTATGTGGTGTGAGGCTGGACTTACCGAATGGGAAGGAGCGAAGCACTGTCACCCTCCAGAATGCCCTCTATGCCCCGAAGATGGTGTTTACCCTTATATCAACCAACCGTATAATGGCGGCCAGTTTAGCAGTCCATTTCGAGGACCGAATGTGCAGAATACTCTCTGCCAGGCCCAAGTGTACCATCATTGCAGCCATTCCCCAAGTAGACGGGCTGTATAGTATAGCTGCCCGAGCTAAGCACCATGCACACGTGGCAAGTCAAAAACTCACTGTACACGCCCTACATAAGGCACTTGGACACATCTCCCAGACAGTGGTGAAACATGCTGTTGCAAAGGATCTCGTTAGAGGCGTTCACCTCGACACTACGTCCAGCGAGCAGTTCTGTGAGGCTTGCATCAAGGCAAAGTCCTCCCATGCACCTTTTCCCAAGGAGAGCACCTGCCGAGCGGAGAGGTATGGCGAAGTCATACATACAGATCTGTGGGGGCCGGCTCAAACACTTAGCCTCGGAGGATGCTCGTATTACATGAGCTTTACTGATGATTTCTCCAGGAAGACCCAGGTTGCGTTCCTGAAGCAGAAGAGTGAGGCTTTGGATGTTTTCAAACAATATCACAAAAGACTCACCACAAAACACGACGGCTTGTGTATCAAGACCCTTCGCTCGGATCGAGGAGGGGAATATTTGAGTGGGGATTTCGATGTGTACCTGAAGGGACACAGTATCAGCAGGGAGCTCACTGTCCATGACTCGCCCCAACAGAATGGGGTAGCAGAACGATTAAACTGCACGCTTGTGGAACACGCACATGCCATGTTGATCGGACGTGGACTACCCAAGTACCTATGGGCGGAGGCAGTTGCTTATGCCATATGGCTAAAGAATAGGTTGCCGTCCAGGTTGATACCTGGCCACACGCTGCACGCGCTCGTGCACAATGAGTGCCCAGACCTGTCACTCGCCCATGAGTTTGGCACCCAAGTCTTTGTGCATGTGGAGGATGCCAGGAAGTTGGAGTCTAGGGCGGAGCAGGCCTTGTTTATGGGGGTAGACACCCAGAGTGAGGGCTATCGCATCTATTGGGAGGGTAAGAGGCGTGTTTCGGTTGAGCATAACGTCACGTTCATACCTCAGTCGGTTGATGTCGCTAGCAGCATCCCGGTCGAGGGGGAGTATAACCCTGTCGTCACGAAAGTCAGCGCCCAGGAACTGTCAGCGAACCACTCACCTCCAAGAACCCACAAGGTCCTACAAACGCCAAACACACCTCCAAGAACCCACAACCCCCTACCAGAACCTCCTGCAGCTCCACGGTCCACCAGAGTACGCCCACCGCCAGGTTATTATACTGCCCTCAATGAGGGGGAGCATGCTAATCTTGCAGCCAAAATCCAAAAGCTGGAAGAAGAAGGGTCAGTACCGGTGGACGAAGAGTATGTCACTCACCAGTACGCCATGGCCGCAGTGCAGCCAGAGCCCTCATTGCAGCAGGCGCTGAATGGCCCAGATGGTGAAGAATGGCAAGAGGCCATTGATTATGAAATCAGTCAATTGGAGAAACTCGGCACTTGGGAAGTTACCGACTTACCACGTGATGCAAATGTCATTCCATGTCACTACATTCTCACCACCAAACGCGGTGTAAAGAGTTGGTTCTATGCGGGTGCTACAAAAGTGTTACCTTAAGACTCAGAGTGCGAGTGAGATGTTCGTCCCAAGAGACTGCCTATAGAAATGCTCCTTGATATAAAGCAAGGGATATCTTGTTAAGATCGAAGTGAGAGAAGGAAAGTTACCAAGAGTGCACTCGGTGTTCCGAGGATATGTCCGAAGTACCGAAGTGGTCCGAAGGTGGTCTGACATCTAGAAACGAAGGTCCGAGGTTGCGCGGAGCGTCCGAAGAGCTTCCGATGAACAGTGAATGTTCCGAGAGAAGTACAACGGTGTAGCGAAGTATAAGACTCGCGAAGTATAACTAAGCAAAGCCTATCGAAAGAACTTAGAGACAGCAAGATGCGAAATGGCAGCGGTCAGGCCAAACAATCATTCTGAATGAACAAAAGATCGATTGCACGAAGTATGACTATCCGAAAGTGACTCTACTGACTATGACTCGTAGCAGGGAAAGTGAAGTAAAGTGCGAGTAGCTAGCGAGGCAGATTATATCCTACAGCGTGAAAGTCCAGAAACTGCATAGGCGAAACCAGTAGCGAGATAAGACATCCGAAATGTAATAAGACTCAAGGCGAGCCGCTACAGAGATATGCATGTAATAAGGCGCAAGGCGTGTTTGATATGCGTATAACTGATGGGCCGACAACATATGTGCCCCTAAACATAATCAATAACAGATAACCAAGTGGAAAACGCACCAGCGAAGTCAAACAGACACGGACGGGACATGGTATGGGGGATCGGAACTGTATACAGGTTTCGGAAATGGACGGACGACCTTCGGACAACTCGGACAAACGTACGGAACTCTCAGAAGGTAAACGGAGTGTTGAGGAATGTGTATGTGGAATACTTGTGAGTTTGGCAGGATACGAGCCCAACGCCAATCCAAGTGCTACAGTGGACCAGACGGGGAGAAACTTAAACTCTGCGCATGCCTTGTGGCCAATGGCCAGTGTCAGCAATAGGGAGTTGACTATTTTGAGATGTTTGCACCCACCTGTAACATGACCACCATCCAAACCGTTCTAGCTATGGCTGCGCAGAGAGACTGGGAAATCCACCAAGTGGATATAAAAAGTGCGTGCTTATATGCGGACGTCCAGGAAGAGATTTACATGAAGGCACCGCCAGGCTACTTGAGGAGAGGACAAGAGGGAAAGGTTTTGAGGCTGAAGAGAAGTCTGCTGGGCTTGAAGCAAGCAGGTTTTGAGTGGGCGGAAGAGTTGGCTGGTGTTTTCATGAAGATTGGATTCACTCGCTCAAAGGTCGACCAAGCCATTTATTTTAAACGCACGCTGGAGGAGCATACTGTCGTGACTGTATCCGTTGATGACATGGCCATCACATCCAACCATATATCCCACATCCAACGTTTCAAGTCCCAACTGACCGAATTCTTCGAAATCTCCGACCTAGGAGAGCTGAATTGGCTGCTAGGTTTGAAAGTTTCCTGCGACCGCACTGCACACACCATCACTCTGTCTCAAAAGGCTTACATTGACATGGTGTGTCATATCCCGTGTTCCGGACCCGGACCCAGACCAATCACACACACATCATTTCCGGACTTCTGGATCCGGCCGACTTCTCTCTATCGTCCGGATCCGACCCACTGAAGGTACAACAATTCAGATGGTAAGTCTGAACAATGTTGGGTCTTGCAGAACCTAGCTGCTATTCGACCCTAAAGGGTTTCTGGACCAGGCTCAAGGCTCAGAGGAGAGGAAATGTCATAAAAACTGCTCAAGACTCAGACAGACTCATACTGGTAACTGGTGAAAAGATAACTTGATTATGTAAGCTACAAAGTGCCAACATAAGGTAAGGTAAAGACAGTCTCTCCAAGCCTAGCCAGAAATGAATCCCTACACCGCGTCTATCTTCCATGCCTTATCCCTTTGTATGTTCCTCCTCCAGTTAGACTATACTCATTTTCCGTACCTCATTTCATTTCCGCCTTTATTTTCCTATGTCTTCATCTCCGTCTTCATTTACTATTTTCCGATAGACTAGTGTTTGACTTTTCTATACACTCCGTCCACAGCCTCACATAGCTTCGGACTGCGCAGACTGACTCTCCGTTAAGTCCTCAGTAGTATATAAACCCTGTAGAATCTTTGTACTTCCTCAGTTCGAATATTATCTTAGACTCTGCTCATTCCCTTCTCCATCCAACTTGAGTTTCTCCTCTCATCGTCCTCTGCTAGTCTTAGGATCGATTCCTATAAACTTCTTACCTCCACCTCTACCTCTGGTAGTCCTCCGCTGTTTCCTTTCTAGTTCGGACATCGTCCGTATTAGTCTTATCCTTCGTTCCCGAACGTCCACCGGAATTCCCACGCATCGGACATCGGACTCCGGACTCGTCCGACAACCTTTGGACATCATCCAACAGCCCTCGGAAGTTAGGTGCCCGTACTCGGGTAAGGGGCGCAGCACACGAGCTGAAGCCAAGCCCTTCAGATCCGACCCTTGAGCACATTCTTAACATGGTGCTAGAATGCTTTAACCTTACAGATGTGAAAAGTGCCCAGATGCCAATGGACACCGGCACCATCCTGTCTAATGACCAGTGCCCCTCGACCCACAGCGAGCTGCAGTCCATGGCCGATGTTCCTTACCAGCGTGCCATCGGATCACTCATGTATGCCACCACCAGTACGCGGCCGGACATCTCATTTGCAGTTGCCACACTGTCCCAGTTTATGTGTAACCCTGGTAGGGTGCACTGGGAGGCAGCCAAGCGCATGATGCACTACTTAAAAGGCACAGCCCACTTCGAGCTCACCCTTGGCCTCATGGACGGTGGTCTTGAGGCATTCATGGATGCGGACTGGGCATCCCAGCCCCATCGGCATTCGATGTCAGGCTACGTTGTCATGTTGAATGGCGGCCCAGTGGCTTGGAGCACCCAAAAACAACCACTAATAGTGTTATCCACCACAGAAGCTGAGTATATCGCTCTGATGAGTGTTGTGCGCAAGGTACCCTACCTCCAATACCTCACTGAGGAGCTCTACGAGGCTCCCTCGCTCCCCATGTCCATCTTCTGTGACAACCAGGCCGCTATAGCTCTAGCAGCTAACAGCAAGTTCCAGTCCTGGACAAAGCATATCGCCATCAGGTACCATTTCATCTGTGCGCACATCAAGGACGGTATGTTCGCCTTGTTCTACTGCTTGACGGACCACAATATCAGAGACACCTTTACCAAGGCACTCCCTCGACCTCATTTCCAAAATCTCCGAGGCCAGATGAGCCTAGCTTGCGCTCGAGGGGGAGTGCCGACATGCAAGAGTTCTGAGCAGCCAAAGGCCAATGAAACCGAGACGTGAGGTATGAGCGCATGCTAAAATGGAAATGGATGAGCACGCATTGACAGCGGCTCGTGCCCTCCCTTATTTTTCTTGTCTTTGATTAATATATGTTCTTGCTTGTTTTCCCTTATAGCTAGAGCCAAATAGTTAGATGCATCTCAGTCTTGTCCCAAGTACTGAGATGTGAGTACCATTAGTTGCATGTCATACAATATAGCTAATGTCTTTTGTAGCGTTTTCATTCTATTAGGTACATATACCGAATATACAAAGAGTCTTGTCCCAAGTACTGAGATCGTTTTCATTCTATTAGCTCCCTCCAACTCGTCCACTCGCCTCTAAGTTCTACAGGAATGGAATTACAACTAAGCAACTAAGGCTTGATGAGGGGGGGCAGCTCTGGCCGGTGTGTGGTTGCCATGAGCATTCCCCCACTCGAGCTCAGCGATCCTCGCTTGTAGCACAGCAATTTCGTCTGCTGGAGCAAGGGCAGGCTGCCCTTGCGCAGCAGGGGCTGGCAGCTGCACAGCTTGCTGCTGCGCATTCCACTGTATTCCTTGCTGATTGGGAGCATTAGGCATAGTGGTCTGTGCTGGATGCTGCTGGGGTGCAGGCTGAGGAACAACTGTGCCACTTTGAGTGGATGGTCTTGAGGATCCAACTCCTGATGAGGAGGTGGTCTGATGCCTCGCAGAGGACAGAATGGACGAAGAGCTACCTGCAGATGGGCCTGAGCTCTGGGTGGCCGGAGGTGTAGGCAGAGCATTAGAAGACCCAGGCAAGTGAAGACCAAGGTGTTCGTGCATTTTGACAAGGAAAAAGGAGTTGAATAATAGCAAAGAACAAAAGTAACAACGAGTGAGTGTACTATAGCTGTGGCGAGCTCGTTGTTGACGATGGGAGGAAGAAAAACAAATGTGGGAGACTGTGCTACCGCTCAGCTGGAAGTGTGGTGCCGGGCAACTCCAGCAGGCTACGTTACCTGGCACCTGGAATGGCTGTGACGACTTGTCAGACTCGGAGATAGCCACTCAAAAGGGCATCGCATGATCCCGCATATGAGCAGTGGATTCAGGCAGCTTTGCAGGGTGTCACAAACAATATCTACAAGATCATCAAAGAAGCTGCATTGGCTCACAATGCAAGCCAGTATTTCACCCTCACATGATTTTTTGCTCTGACTTAACTGACATCTGGATCTGAGGCATTAACTGAGCGGGCTTAGAAATGGCAGCTGTGACCAACTGTGACAAAAGTGTTACTTGACGACTTGTGGGGGTGACGACTCAGCCAGGACGGATAGTACTCAGCAGCACTCCAAGCAAATCACCACCAGCCAGTAGTGACAAGTGATTGCATGACTGATTGGAACAGGTATACATATATATACAGGAGTCGCTTGATGTTGGCTGTGTAATATTGCTATAATCATCATCCCCGGGCATTGATATTGTCTTCTCGTCTTAACAATCAGACAATTTGGAACGTTCAATATCAAAGCCAAAATCATGTTCAGATAAAGACAATGAACTTCACCAGCGTTCCCACAACAACCATGGCCTTGATTCACTGACAAGAGAAACTCCGATGCAGACTACGCAGTGTTAACCTGAACGCTCTCACCTGTATGTGTCACCTGCTGCATGACTTCGCCTACAGCGGAACCGTTACTGTGCTTTTGTGCACTAGTAGCAACCCCAAGCTCACTCGTTAGGCCCGCCTTCCGCACACCAAGACACTTTTCCAGTGCCTCCCATTGCTCTCGCTCAAACGTGTGCTGACAACCGGTAAACGTGTAGGTATTGAGTAGTCTGCGAGAGCTTTCCTGAAAGAAGATCAACTATTTGAGGATCATTATAAATGACAGGATGTCAAGAGGACGTACCATCGATCGCCTACTTCTCTACTTCACTCAATTCAATGTGCAGGATTGACACGACCTCTGAATACGACAGATCATGCCCGATAGAAGACGGATCTTTCACTCAAGCTGTGCTCAGTCAAGTTCTGCAGGCCCGTGAATGGTTCAAACATATGGCATTAATCATAATGAACTGACTTACCATGTTTTTCAAGGACAGCGGGATGGCTTTTGAGCCAAGAATGTAATTCTGGTAGACCACTGTTCAAAACTTGAAGCACCTGCAAAAGCGAGAAAGGCTCGTGATCTTTTGCTCATACAAAAGTGTCGAACTTGAACAATGGATCAAAGTCAAATAACCCGGACAAGCACAATACTAAGGCTATGGCATCGACAGCCTCTGATTGACTTTCAGGCAAAGAGGATGACAATGAAGTAACGCAAGACAGCGTGTGATGATAAGTAGTTTCCCTGTATGAGTCAAATGTCAACTACAACCTTCATCAGTCAAATAGAATAATACATACGGCTGCACAGATTATATAAATGCATCAACAACGGACTTGAGGAATTGATTGCGCTCTTCCTCAGAGATATCCAATTCTTGCAACCAATGTTCAACATCTTTTCTGCATAGATGCGAAGTCTTGAGCTCTCCATTGTTGGCAGCGACTTTTGGTAGGGTGGTGTGAATAGGTAGTCGGAGGGCTGAACGATGGGGAATAGCATTGATATACTGTTTAAGAACTGAGCACACAGCCTGCATAAACGTGTTCACAATGTAGTACTCACACGCAGCACTTCACTGATGGATGCTCGGAAGATGATGCAGTGAGAATATCCAGTAGTGAGGAGATGCGATGTTGAATTTCCGGTGAATTGGTCGGCCATGCCATATTGTTAGAAGGTGAGACGAGTCGGAGAAGACAAGGTTGAACCCTCGATTCCTGCACTTCAAAATCAGATCTAATTCGCTGCAGAAAATGCTGAGGATCCCCAGACGCACCTTGTTCTCAACCATTGCACAAGCTTTTCGGGAACCAAATTTGAAGGGAGGTCTTTTTGAGCGTCCTGCAGTTAAGACTTGTAGGGATGAAGAGTTGTATCTGGATATTTATGAGCGGTGAGTGCATGTTTTTGATGGGGGTGGGTGACTTGTAGATATGCCCAATACGAGGTGGCTAATGCGCGGGAGGGCCATCAGCATGCCAAGTTTAAACTCAGATCATATGTTCTCCCACTTAGCACCTATAGTGTTTACACGGCCATCTTGATGGGTCCACAGCTCAGCGCTCATTCATCATAAGAGCTAAGTAAGAAGGCGCATGGTGCGTATGTGAAACATATTTATGAGCCATTCGGCGATGAAGCTCACTCAATGTCCTAGACATCTCCATTGTTTGCCTCATGCAGAAGCCGGGGACAGGAAGCTTACAATGAATCTCAGTCCGTACGTGTCCTCTGGTCAGGCTTCAGGTAGCCAAGGTGTGCAGCACGCGAAGTCCCGAGGGCTGCGCACAACACTATATGGGTGAGGTGAAAATGTGTGTCGTGGAACTAACACGCACGGTATTCATACTACTACATGGTAGCGCGATTCAGAGCAACTTGAGTGGTAAACAAGGTGATTTATCGAACTGTCTAACATTGTATACTAATACCGTAAGCCCAAAGAATATACGAAGCGAGGAAAGCATCTGTTTCTGGCACCAGAGGTGTAATTGTACCTTTTATTGAGTTGCTCCCTACCTGGTGCAGTTTGTAACCATGTCACCTTTCGGCCGGTGGGACATTCCATCATGATTCATGATCATCGAGCTAGCCTGTTAATCATCAATTGCAGGATATCTTTGCGGAAACCCGAGCCGGTAAGTGAATCGTCAGTTTTCCCTTGCAGAAGGGCCTGAAATATTGCACCTGTCAGGTGAACTTGTGCTATTTTCGCATTTTGGCAGTGCTAGATGGACAGCGTCTCTGGAAGATTGCTAATCGGCCTTTTGCTAGCAACGCTGTACTATAAGAGCCTAGATGAGTAGTACGAATTGTTGATCGAGCAACATCCCACACATTTCACTGCCCATCAAACACATCTAACGGCAACTTCCAGCCCGCGCTCGTGTTGACCACTCTCTGCGGAGGGTGCGAAGCTGCCGCTGTCTCCGACCCCCCAAAGCCTTCTTGTGGGAGTTCAAATACTGGCTGGATTGAGTGATACTGCCTCACAAAAGTTTGGACTTTCTCACCTGCAAGGTTCTCTGCGATGCGAGCAGGTGTCATGCTCTTCGGCAGGATGATCATCTATCGATTTGGAATGGTGAGTTATGACACAATACTACAGAGATATCGAGATACGCCGCGCTGGACACTCCACGAGATAATAACCTGAGCTGGGATGATCCCAAGTTTGCATGCGATGTCTTTAACCTGTAAGAGTGTTTAGACGACAAAGCCTTGTCCTCGCGACTGGAAATGGTACCGTACAAACAGAGACTTTCCGACTTGCTTGTCGTTACCTAGGGGAGAGTACACCTCGAGAACAAGCCCATTTTCCTTCAACCACTACGGATTACTCATGAGCCCGAGTACAAGTGTCTACATGTATGAGCTAGAAACACACCTGCAACATTTCCGGTTGAGGGTTCCAAAAGTTGAGCTCGACTTGATTGACAGCTGGTTGGTACTTCAGAATGTTCACAATCAAATCCTGGAGGACATCTCGATCCTGGGATATCCGACCGTCCAACCTCATCCGACCGTCCGACCGCATCCACGCCAGTATAATAATCATCATTCCCACACATACATAATATACTACATTCAATGTTAAAATATAATTATGTATTAAGCTCACTGTTTCCCACACGTCCTCACCTCTGCGCACGTCAGGGATATTACTACATTTGGCCAAGCCGCTACTCAACAGCGCCGCCACATGCTTACCTCCCTGCACCACACTCAATGACTATGCCAATACCATCAGCCCTTGAGGCCTTGAGGTGCTGCAGTTACTGCATCATCAGCGCATCAGCTCCCTACTGGCTCATCTTCAACATTGACCATGACACAGAGGGCGCCGGCGAGGGCGGGGAAAGAGACACAAAGGGCGGGGGGCGGGGAAAGGGTGATGTAAAGTTCAAGGTGGCGTGCTTGGTGTTGTTTGTTTGTAGATGATGGTGGCTAGCACGCTGAGTCATATCTGGGGCGGATGTTGGAAAGGGTCGGACGGTCGGATATCCTAGGATCGAAATATTCTGAAATCCTGGATTGTAAACGAGAGATTTGAGCAAGATTGACTAGACTGTAAATAATTCGAACCTTCTAATATTGAAGCTATCGGTAGGATATCTATATCAGCACCCGTCCGACTCGACAAAGATGGAATTCACTTGCTAATACCGATGTTCCTCATTTGACCCTTGAGCATACCTTAGTTTTATCTCTAACGGAGTATTACAGAACTGGAATGTGCTTCGCCCACGGTGGATGTATCTAATTGTCAGAAGCGTTTGGTGGATCCTTGGCTGCCTGACTTTGCGAAAATTGTGCTGATGTTCGGGAACCTACATGTAGAACGTGTTTGGGACTTGATTAGCTGGACGTTGAAAGATTTTGCTCTCGTCTGAAATTGATTCAATGATTTACCTGACAGTCCAGTATAATGAATGTTGAGCGGATGAAACATGATACTCATCATCTTGGTGTCATGGAACGTTCCTCTTAAGGTTAGCAATTGTTATCAAGTCCGATGCACTGCACGAGTATCACGACGGGAAAATACAATCGACGGCGAGGCGAAAGAAGTATAGATATAAAGAAGATGAAATAGTTTTTCGTGTGCTACAGCATCAACGGCCATTGGTGCTTGGAAGAGGTGCACAACAAATCAAAAGCACCAGACGGGCCAACAACGTGAGGACTCGTGACTTCATGGTCACTGCAGCTGCTGTGGGAGCCTGAGTACTACTATTTGGAACAGGCGTCGGAGTACCGGTAGGTTGAGATTGCGATGACGATCCCTGACCATGCAATTGGCTGCTCTGCTGCTGCTTCTGTTTTGGCCGGGGAGCAACAAACAAAGTCTAGAGCGGAATTTTTGAGCCACAATGAATGAAAACGAATGGGAGGAATGAATACCTGTTTGTCCCGTACTGCAGCAACTTGGACAGCACGAGGACCACGACGAGAGAAGATCCCTTGCCTTTGGGTTTGTTGGAGTTCGTCGCCGCCGCCGGAGTGAGAGGGGTGAAAAAGCGACGGAATGCGGGCAAAGAGTGCACGTGCACTCTCAATAGATGGTGCGAAAAGGCGATGGGAAGAAGGGTGATGAACACCAGGCGACGTGGAGGACTGATTGAAAGACTCGGAGGTGAGAATAAGAACTGGTTGCAAAAACGCTGAGAACCCACATGAATGCCAAAATCATCAAAAAACGTTGGAGGTATTCGACGGGCATGAATAGGTGGGAGTCGGGTAGCATTGCTCTAGAGTGACGACCTTGAAATGGTTGACAACATCAATAAATATGTCACATACGTTCGTTGGTGGCTTTGCAGCTGGCACCTGCGAGTCAGAAATTAGCGTTTAGAGCCGTTTAGACAACAAAACGCATACATACCACACCGTTTTTGAATTTGAGGGCCGCCTCCAGATTCCATACATAGATTTTTTTGTCTATTCCAGCGCTGGCAATGTATTCTCCATCGGGGGACATGACAACAGCCAAGACTCTGTCATCGTGCAAGAGTGGATCTCCGACTGCCTCATTGGTCCCGAGATCCCAGATGCGAATGGAGAAGTCACTTGATCCGCTAACAAGATAGCTTTCATTGGGAGTAAGACAGAGGGATCTGACAGGTTGGGTGTGACCCCGAAAAACGACAAGTTCCTGTCCATCAATAGCCCGCCATTTTCGGATTGTTTTATCAACCGATGCGGAGAATATGTGTGTGCCGTCCTTCGACCAACACAATGACGCCACCCAGTTCTCATGTCTCTTGATCTCGATAAGCAGCTTGCCATCCTTTGACCATATGCAAATCGGACCGTTCCCACAGCTCATGAATTTGTCGCCTTGTGGAGAGTATTTGACGTCCATAGCCCATCCGTGACTGATCTCTATGGGTGGTGCTATTTGTCGACCAGTATTCGGGTTCCAGCGTCGTATGGTGCCATCTTCAGATCCACTTGCTATCTCCAGGGAATTGCGAGACCAATCGAGGCACCTCACTCCAGCACTATGCCCCTCCCACGGATGGCCAATCATGCTGCCCTCCTTTATATTCCACCGCCGCAGCCTGCCGTCTCTACTTCCGCAAACAACCATTGTTTCATCTGGGGATACTACCATCGAACCTATCCCTTCCCCATCGCTATTCAAAGGTTTTCCCACTGGCTCTCCATCTCTTTTCCACTGACGGATCGAACTATCATCAGACGCGCTCATTATATTGCCACTGGTACCCAAGTAGGCAAGGCTCCATATGCTTCTGGAGTGGCCTTCGATGACGCACTCCGGCATCAAGCTTCCTGCCGGACATTCTGGCTTTGGTTTCTTCCACGACGTGGTCCGAGTGTTGTGGTTGACAAAGTAGGACCGACCGAGTGGTGAGATGTGCCATTCCCATCCAGTAACAACGAGGTATCCAGGATTATCTATGTTCAACGGTGAGTTCGTTGCTTCTTGTCACCATTTCATCCCTCACCTAGTCGCACTCCTGGTAAAGGTCGGTTCCACGAGGTCATCACGAGCGTGTCATCTTGATATCCTGTTGTACCATCCGGCGTCTTGAACTGTTGCCACATAGGAGGAAGCGCTTCATTCCCGCCTGTTTCTAATTGAGTAAGCTGGTAGGTATCACAACGTAGCTGCTCACCTTCCCAAAGTGCGTCCTGGCGGTGCTGTGCACCATATGGTGGTGGATCTTTCGCGGTCGTTCGATCTATCAATGAGTGCAATGGCGCTTCACCTCGTCTCGTCGACTTGCTTGACTCGGCTTCTTCGCGTGGCATGACAAGGATGTTGCGTTGTACAGACAGACTGGACAGTGAAATACTGCGCAGAATCAGTAATCCAGAGGAAGGAGAGACACGGGGAGAAAGTGATGAAGAGACCTGCTATTCGGGTCAGTTTGCATGCTGTGGTTGCAGACGCCTTGCTGATACCGCATGTTAGTAATGGCTGTGTTACCACCGGATCAAGTACTTACCTTGGTCCGGTTCAAATTTTGAGACAGTAAGCGTGTAGCAGCACTCCCAAGCAAAGTATTACCAGTAGTGACAAGTAATTGCCTGATTGCATGACCGACGGGGACATATCTTGATGTTGGTTGCGCAATATCACCGTAATCATCACCTCTGGGCGTTGATAGTGCCCCAACCAAAGTTTTCCCGTCTTAGGAAGCAGAGAGTTCGACATCAAAGCCGAAGTCATGTTCAGAACTTCAGATGAACTTCACCAGATTTCCCACAAATTGCAGTCAATCATGATCTTGATTCATTGACCGGAAGAACCCTGATATAGGCTACGCGGCGTCAACCTGAACGCTCTCACCTGTCTACGTGACCTGCTGCACTTCACCCACAGCCGAACTGTTACCGTGCTTTTGTGCACTAGTAACAACCTCGAGAACGCTCGCTAGGCCCCCCTTCCACGTAATAAGACGCCTCCCATTGCTCTCGCTCATACGTGCGCACTGACGAACGGAAAACGTGTAGACATTGAGTAGTCTGCGAGAGCTTTCCCGAAAGAAGATTCAAGACATTCTGAAGAAAAATCCCGTTAGCACACGAAGCGAGTGGTGGTCAACTTTTGTCTCCATAATTGCTCACCACTCTGAATAGCAGATTAATCCACCAGGCTACAGGAACGAACCATAGAGCTTCCGCCTCGGTGCAAGTTAACTCTTGAGTAACCACCTCCAACGCGTGAAACTTCAAAGCTAAACAGCCGACTACATAGCATAAGTTTGAATAACACGAGAAGGGGATTCGAATTTCCTCTTCTGACACGACAATATGTGCAGTTTGTTAGACGACACGATGTCCAAGTGAGACGGGGACAATGGACTTACAATAGATTTATTGTGCAGGAATCGTTGGAAGGCAATGCAGGTTCATCTGCACAAATGATCAATGCGAATAACATTTAACTGAGCAAATCGAGAGGTCAAACCTGCAGATTCTTCATCATCTAGCCGTGGAGGACCAGGCCATTGCTGAACCAATAACCAACACATCAGATCAGCGTCACTCCGATAATAGGATATACTCACACCCACCATCACTTCCCCACTCCAATCTCTCGTCCGTTCACGCACTCTCGTCCCCAAAGGCTGTACATTATTATTCTGCTATGTGATCACCGCCTGCGGGTTCGTTCCAACTTGGGGTATAGTGCTTTGATACGGACCTGCGGGGTTGGAAAGGCTCGCCTTTGGCATAGTGGGTAGTGCTTGACGTGGTTGTTCAAGAGAGATGGGACGATCTCTGCGGTGCGGGAGATGTATACGTACATGTAGGTGTAGAGGTGGATGTGGGTGCGGGTGTAGGTGTGGCGGACGATACGCGATGAGGGGTGAGAAGGCAAACATGATGATATGGTGGCGGGACTTATGGATGGTATGTCCACGGGAGTAGTGGACAACACTAGTTGGAGGTGGCTGCCTTCGTAAAGGCATTAGCGTCGGCGTATACGCCATGCTGCTGTGTCTTGGGAGTTGGATATGAAGCCGAATTTGACTTTTGCGACTTCGGGTTCCTAAAGAAAGGCTAAACTAATTTATACAATGCATAAAAGGCATGAAACACACCCGTGTACCACGTTGGACAGGCATAGTGTATCGATTTTCTTGGTCTTCCATCGAATACCGTTGTTCGGAGGTTGAGCGCTGAGCGGGGTTTGGCATGGACAAACAGGTATATTTGATCCTCTGCATATATCGTAGAAGTTAGTTGCCGACTGAGGTCTTTGGTACTACTCATACCTTGCGGTTTATCGATAAAAGTCCGTGTGTAGGGTTGGTCTTGAGAGGTTTGGATAGCGCGGAATAGCATATTTTCTAGGGAGACATTTAAATGAAGTCTTCTGGGTATTTGAGTATGTGAGCCTGTTTCTTGCCGAGGCGTTGCATAAAGCTGTTGGCAAACAAACAACACTTCTGACTCCGACTATCTCCAAATCACCAAACTCGAATCAAGGAGACAATATCATTGAGCCATCCGAGTTTCATTATTCGCCACAGCCTTATCGTTAGCGAAATCTCACATTCTACTAGAACAGCTCAGTCAGGGCGATCTATATGACTCAAGGGACGTGCGACCGACCTCCTTGCTGTGATTCACAACAGTTCTAACATCGAGAAAGTCAGGATAGGAACGGATATATATTGAAGAAGTTCGAGAAGCTCATAAGCAACGTGAATACAACATAGAGGCCGAACATTTGGCATTCACTTACCTTTGTCTCGCATCGTGCATTCAACAGTCATCATAAAGTGCTTGATGTGACGTGGCCCACATGCAGGTGTGTGTTGTACTTTCTGTACTTTAAGCTTCAACCGATAACAGAGCTCACAAGTGACGACTTTTTGACTGCTAGGCGAAATCACATCATCTGTCAAGAGTCGCTTCGGTGGGTTGCGAGTTCGGAATGGCGACCGACTAGCAAGAGCGGAGAACTACCTAACATTGGGAGTGAATTACTACAGATACTTGTACAAAGGGGATACATGTAGGATATGGACTTCGGCACTGAGCTTTGCACGCTCTCTGGCAGCAGGTTTGACCCTTTCGAATTTGCTTTTCGAATGCCGGACTCAAACATTGTCAGTTCGTGCCCATCCGGTAGCACATGCTACTAAATCCCGACCAGCCTCCAATCATGCGTACAGGCTCGAGCCCTCTGATGTGCCCTTTTCTCTTGATATTGCAGCTGTTCACCATCGTATCTCAATAGACCAGCGAAACTCGATAACGCCGGTGCAAATTATGGTATTAGTATCCTCTTGCACACTCTGACCCTGTTTGTATTCGATCTCGGACCTGTGTCTTTTGGATATTCTATGCGAGAGCTACACAGACACTGGCATAACCTGATGCTTGCTTCAATCACGCGTCCCTTATTAAAAGAAATATATCAATGTCGTTGCGCATGTATATGGGACGGAACGAGTTATATCTAAGATGCTTGATGCGTAAACACAGAAAGGGAAGAGAAACGTTCGAGCAACAGTTTCTAGACAATTTGATGTGAAGTGGAATGACGACCAACTTGAAAGTAAAACCCGCAGCAGGAAACTTCGTGGGGAGCTTCTCCCCTCCCACCGCTTGACTGGTGTGTTTCTGTCGGTTGTGCTTGAGATGGTTGTGCCCCTGCTGTTTGACCTGATTGCGTTGCACTGTTGGCCTGGATGCTGTTCGTACGTTGCATAGCGGCAGCTGCTTCCGCATCGCCATCAAGGGTTACATTCCAGAAGACGGGGCCAACTTCCCCAGTGATGTTGTCAACACGTGGCGTGAATCCAGGGAAAGTAGCGCAAGGAAAAGGAGGTGCACGAGGAGAGACGGATCCGAGTGCGTGGGTGATAGTTATGGTGTCGAAGATTGATTATGAGAGTGGTTAGACACAGGTGCGGGGGAAAGATGGATCCGAGTGCGTGGGTGATAATTATGGTGGTGAAGATTAATTATGAGAGGAATTAGACACAGGTACGGGGCAAAGAGAGTTTAACTGAGTATCCGCGTGCCACACGTCTTCCATCCTTCATGACTGATGCGAAGCAGGACGACGGAGACCAAAGAAAATTCCGCAGCAGCTCACTTCATACACAAAGTCTTCCGTTCCGCCAGTTGAACCTTGTGCTTGTGCTTGGATTGGTTGGACTGGAGATGGTTGTGCCCCAGCTGGTTGACCTGATTGCGTTGAACTGTCTGCCTGGTTACTATTCGTACGTTGCATAGCTGCAGCCGCTTCCGCATCAGTTTCATGGACAATACCAATTCTCTGTGGTGTGTTTTAATGGGAGGAAATAGGAGGAAAGGTGAGCCACCCACATTTTCATCTTGAGCAAGAGGTACATCGACGGCGCGCATGGAATGTCCTCCATTAAACAACTTGAAGTTGAAATTCCAGTGTCGAGATCGTCGTTCGATTGGTTGGGATGCATTTACAGGTCGTGTGCCGAAATGTATGGAAGTGGGCAAACGACGCCAACGAATGAGGGACAATGGGCCTGCGGGAGGAGCTGCACGACGAGACGCGTGGTCTGATTCGTTGCCAAAGAAATCATTGCCCTGTATCTTGGTGTCAGGCGAGAGAGGTGAAAAACAAGGAAGTGCACTGACATATCTTGCCGAACCTGTTGCTTTAACCTGCTGATTAGACGAAAGACGGGGGTCAAAGGTTTGACAAGACATATGAGAAAAGGTGGGGTTGCTCACGATCGGTGGGCGCACAACTCTCGGTTGGGCTGGATGTCCCTAGTGAAAAGTGAGATGTAGTGTGAAAGAGAACTAGAGATGACTTACCTGGAGGTTTGCATCTCCATCATCTGCGTCCTAGATGGCCAAAACAGTTGGGAAGGAAAATTAGACAACAAAACGCACACGTACCACAACATTTTTGAGCGCTGCCTCCAAGTTCCATACATAGATTTTTTTGTCTAGTCCAGCACTGGCAATGTATTTTCCATCGCGGGACATGGCAACCGCCCTGAGTTCGTCATCATGCAAGAGTGGATCTCCGACCGCGTGATTTGTCTCGAGATCCCAAATGCGAATGGAGCAGTCAGCTGATGCGCTGATAATATACTTTTCATCGAGAGTAAGACAGAGGGATCTAACGGCGTGGGTATGACCACGAAGAACGACGAGTTCCTGCCCATCAATAGCCCGCCATTTTCGGATGGTTCTGTCATTTGATGCGGAGAAGATGTGTGCGCCATCCTTGGACCAACACAATGACATCACCCCGTCTTCATGTCCCTGGATCTCCAGAAGCAGCTTGCCGTTCTTTGACCACACACGAATTACATCATCCGTGCCGCCGCTCATGAATTTGTCGCCTTTTGGAGAGTATTTGACGGTCATAACCCATCCATGATTGGTTTCTATGGGTGGTGCTATTCGTCGACCAGTATCAGGATTCCAGCGTCGTATGGTGCCATCTTGCGATCCACTTGCGATCTCCAAGGAATCGCGAGACCAATCGAGGCACCTCACTTGAGCATTATGCCCCTCCCACGGGTCGCCAATCATCCTGCCCTCCTTGATATTCCACAACCGCAGTCTGCTGTCTGCACTTCCACAAATGATCATTGTTTCATCCGGGGATACTATCATCGAACCTATCCACCCCCCATCGCTATTCAAAGGTTTTTCCGCTGCCTCTCCGTCTCTTTTCCACTGACGAATCGAACTATCGTCAGACGCGCTCATTATATTGCCACTGTTACACAAGTAGGCAAGGCTCCATATGCATCGAGAGTGACCCTCAATGACGCACTCCGGCTTCAAGCTTCCTGCCGGTCGTTCTGGTTTTGGTTTCTTCCACGACGTGGTCCGAGTGTCGTGGTTGACGAAGTAGGACCGACCAAGTGGTGAGATGTGCCATTCCCATCCAGGAACAGCGAGGTATCCAGGATTATCTATGTTCAACGGTGAGTTCGTCGCTCCTTGTCGCAATTTCATCCCTCACCTAGTCGTACTCCCGGTAAAGGTCGGTTCCATGAGGTCATCACGAGCGTGTCATCTTGATATCGTGTTTCACCATCCGACGGCGTCTTGAACTGTTGCCACATGGGAGGAAGTGCTTCATTCCCCCCTGGTTCTAATTGAGTAAGCTGGTAGGTGTCACAAGGTAGCTGATCACCTTCCCAAAGTGCGTCCCGGCGGTGCTGTGCACCATATGGTGGTAAATATTTCGCGCCCGTCCGATATATCGATGAGTGCAATGACGCTTCTCCCCGTCTTGTTGACATGCCTGACTCGGCTTCTTCGTGTTGCATGACAAAGATGTCACGTTGTATACAGACAGACTGGACAGTGAAATACTGGGCAAAGTCGGTAATCAAGGGGAAGAGATATACGGGGCGAAAGTGTCGAAGAGACCTGCTATTTGGGCCAGTTTTGCATGCTGTAGCCTTGATACCACATATTAATGGGCTCTGTTACCACCGGATCAAGTACTTACCTTGGTCCTGGAGGCAGTTCAATGTACATTGATTTGTTATGTACGTCTCATCAGCGAGTGGAATAATATGATGTTTTTTTGAGCGGGTGCATACAGACACGCTGTGCCTAGCGCGTAGCAGCACCCCCAAGTAAAGTACCATCAGTAGTGACAAGTGATTGCCTGATTGCATGACCGACGGGAACGTATCTTAATGTTGGTTGCGCAATATTGTTGTAATTAACATCCCCGGGCGTTGATATTAATTGTCTTCTCAATCAAACGCGAGGCTTGTGCGAGGCAAAGACTAAGTTAGAAATTAAAATACTTCGCACCAAATATGGCAATTACTACGCAGCATCAGCCTGAACGCTCTCAGGCTCTCACTGGCACCTGCCTGCGGGACCTACTGCACGACTTCACTCACAGCCGAACCATTCCGCGTTTCTGTGCACTAGTAACAACCTCCAGAACGCTCGCTAGGCCCGCCTTCTACGTAACAAGACGGCTCCTATTACTCTGGCTCAAACGTGCGCGCTGACGAATGGTAAACGTGTAGACATGATTGAGTAGTGTGCGGGAGCTTTCCCAAAAGAAAATTCAAGACATTCCGAACAACAATCCCGTTAGCACACATCAACATCTGTATATGAAGCGAGTGGTGGTCAACTTTTGTCTCCATAATTGATCACCACCTTGAGTAGAATCAGATTAACCCATCAGGCTATAGTAACGAACCATAGAGCTTCTGCCCCGGCGCAAGCTGAGGAACCACCTCCAACGCGTGAACCTTCAAAACTAGACAGCCAACTCCATAGCACAAGTCTGAAGAATACGAAAAGGGTATTCGAATTTCGTCTTCTTGCACGACAACGTCCACAGTATGAGCAGTTTGTTAGACGACACGACGTGCAAGTGGGACGGGGACAATGGACTTATTGCGCAGGAATCGTTGGAAGGCGATGCAGATTCATCTGCACAAATGATCAATGCGAATAACATTTAACCAAACAAATGAAGAGATCAAACCTGCAGATTCATCATCATCTAGCCGTGGAGGACCAGGCCGTTGCTGAACCAATAACCGACACATCAGATCAATCTTACTCGGATACTAATAGGATATACTCACATCCACCACTACTTCCCCACTCCAATCTCTCATCCGTTCACGCACTCTCGTCCCCAAAGGCTACATGTTATCATTCTGCTATGTGATCATCGCCTGCGGGTTCGTTCCAACTTGGGGCATACTGCTTTGATGCGGACCTGCGGGGTTGGAAAGGTTCGCCTTTGGCATAGTGGGTAGTGCTTGACGTGGTTGTTCAAGAGAGATGGGATGATCTGGGTGCGGAAGATGTATATGTACATATAGATGTAGAGGTGGATGTGGATGCGAGTGTAGATGTAGCGAAGTCACAGACATATCGGATCGGACGATACGCGATGGCGGGTGAGAAGACAAACATGATGATATGGTGGAGGGACTTACGGATGGGATGTCCACGCGAGTAGTGGACAACACTACATAGTTGGAGGTGGCCGCCTTCGTGAAGGCCTTAGCATCAGCGCATACGCCATGCTGCTGTGTCTTGGTAGTTGGGCATGAAGCCGAAGTTGACTTCTGCGACTTCGGGTTCCTAAGGAAAAGCTAAACTAATTTATACAATGCATAAAAGGCCTGATACGCACCCGTGTACCACGTTGGACAGGCATAGTGTATCGATTTTCTTGGTCTTCCATCAGATACCGTTGTTCAGAGGTTGAGCGGGGTTTGGCACGGACAAGAGGTATATTTGATCTTCTACATAGGTCGTAGAAGTAATTAAACGTTAGTTGCCGACTGAGATCTTTGGTATTATTGAGTCATACCTTGTGACTTAAGTTATCGACGAAAGTCCATGTGTAGGGTTGGTTTTGAGAGGTTTGGATAGCGCGGAATAGTATGTTGGCTGCATCTTCTAGGGAGACATTTGAATGAAGTCTTCTGGGTATTTGAATATATATGTGAGCCTCTTAAGCTTGTTGCATTTGCTAGAATGCCGTTCACTTGACGATAAGCTGAGCTGGCAGGCTCTTCACAACGTCAGCTACACAGTACGGCAGTTTCCGCTAGTCAGCATTTCAGAAGTGAATGTACACTGTGGGAAGTAAAAACGCTGAAAATCAGTGTATAGAATACTGAAAGTCAGCGTCCAAAACACTGACTTTCAGAGTTTCTGTATTATGACCACAGTCCATGCTCGAACAAGAAGATAGGTTGCGCGAGAATTCAGTACCTGGAACCCTGAAAGTGACATTTTTCAGTGTCGAAGACACTGAGATTGGATTGACGGCACACTGAATAGCACTGAGTAAAACACTGACATTGTGATGTTCGTGGTACTGAAAATAACGACTCGAGACGCTGAAAATCATGCAAGATCTCACTGTAAATTCACCATTTGTGACGCTGAATCTTCATGAGTATCATTACAATATACACTGGATGAGTGCGAGAACAAGACATATACATTATGAATAAAAATTGACATAACAATAACAAGTCTGTGCGTGAAATTCCGAAAGGCGTGCGAGGAGTCCAAGTTGACAGTGTTCGTGAGGTGAGTCCAACAATCGAGTCCACAACGAAGAGTCCAGTGCGAGATGAAGTCAGGTGTGCTTGAAAAAAGAGGTTAGTGGTGCCGGGTGCATTTTCTTTTGAAGGTGGGACCCTGTAGTAGAATCGACCGGCAAGGTGAGCATACTCAGCCAGCATTGGAAGAAATACGCACTGGAATAGGCTCTTCCTCAATGGGCATGACCGCTGCCTTGGTTTTGCTGCGTGTCCGTTTTCGAGCAGGGGACTGAGACATGAGTGGAGATGACAGGGTAATCAAATATACATGAGCATAAAAGCACTCACTGGCGGTAGTGGAGTCAGTTGAGAGAGTGCACTGTCTGGTGGACGGGAGGCCGTAGTTGAGCAGTCAGAAGAGGACTGCATGGTATTGGGGTGTTGAGATGGTCCAGGTTGTGGAAGTGTAGCCTGTTCATTGTGATGGATAGACGGTCAGTGAATGTCTGAAAATACAAATGAAAGCACCTCTATGAGCTGAAGTGTTGCCCGGCGCAACCTTGGCGGACCACCTTTACTAGACTGGTTGTCATGAATAGCGACTCTGGTGTTGGACTTTGAGCGCTGGATGTTGGTCCTGTAGATCTGGTCTAGTTCCTCGTCCGAGTCAAGAGCAGGATGCAAGTCGATTCCAGCTGATCTACTATCCAGCCGAATGGTGTGAGCTTCTGCGATGGTGATGCCGAACCTGTGTGCAATTGCACTGGTAGCGACGTATGGGACAAGAATAAAGTCTGTGAACTTTTTGACGTCGAGTGGGCGAATGGCGTTGAGTGGGAGAGTTGATGTCCGAAACATTCCTTCGAGCGCATGAGCAATGATGTGCTCTCCTTTTGGACCATAGCTGCAAGAATGAAAGTTATCAGCAATTGTCAAAAGCCAAGTACGACACTCACAAGCCGGCTGTTGAAAAAATGTAGATTGAAGAAGAGACACCTTTCCTGTCCCTTGTGAACGCATGAAGACACGCCTCCTCGGTATTTTCTTTGTAATACTGGGAAAGACAGTCGAGAAATGACTTCCAGACGATATGTTCAGCTCGAACACCTCGATCTGAAATGAGTGCAGCGATGTCAGCTTCCAATGACCATGTAAAATCATTTAGTGCAACAAAATCAGGTGATACCGGCCAACCACGCAGAGTGATATCTCGACGTCGCTGCGCCAGACGGTTCTCAGATTTGATGGCAGAACAAATGTAGAGCGTAGTACGAAGGACGTTGCGAGTGTCATCACCATCCCGCTGAATGAAGGCAGCGCGGTCATGGAACAACTTGACAAGCTCGGCTGACAGGACAGTAGGGACATGGTCTTCACAATCGTCATCTGGGCAGAACTTTGGGATGTCTTTGCTGTGCTGGGATCCAGAATGTGGTGCTGGTGTGTCTTCATGGACATCACGACGTGCTGGCTCGGATGAGGTCTTTGCTTTGGGTTTGATAGGCTGGGGGCGTGGCTAGGGGCAGGTTACATACTATTTGAGATTAAAAAATGCACGAACGGGCATACCTTTGGAGGAATCTTCGACACTGTCTTCGATGATGATGTCGAAGGAGCCTGGACTTGTGGCTGACCAACACCAGATAGTGATGTGCAGGGCCAGGGCTCAGGCCCACAGGCCCACATGGCCCAGCCCTATAGAAGCCCAGCCCAGCCCAGCCCTATGAGTGGGCTGACGAGGGCCATGGGCTGGGCCCACAACATCTGCAGGCCCATACCCAGGGCTCAGGCCTGGGCCTGTAACTTACTTTCTCGGTTCGTGCCGACAGTATTGCGACAGCATCTATACAGTTAATATACGTATTTCAAATGCAGAAACCTTCCATTGACTCGGACCATACAAACCCATTGCAGTCAGAAATATGCCGGCAACAAATCAAACTGACCAAGAGCCACCATTGCGTTCTAAACGCGCACCTGCTCCCTCGAAGAAATTAACCGATGCGTCTAACACCGCTACTCCCGAAATCAGTGCACACTCTGAAGCTGTTGCCCTCAAACGAGCCGAGGATGCCAAGCGTGCATCTGAGCAATACCAGCAATGTCTACCACTACCTCCCGCAGCGGCAGAAACTTCTCACGTTCTACCACCTGGCATCAAAAGATCTCGAGATGTATCTGAGGCCGATTTGAGCTACCACTCTTCCAGTGGTGAAGACGACAATGACAGCTCGATGGCTCCGAAAAGGCCAAAGAGTATGTTGGTTTACAAATACTTATCCATGTAGATGTGTGAGTTATAACTTATTGTTTTTAGTCCTACCCAGTAACGTCTGATTGAATTGATGAACAGTACTTGATCCGAATGAGAAGATGAACCACTTCAAGAAGTATTGGGACGAGGGTCTGCAACACGAGGCTCGTGAGAATGCAGAACATATTGTAAGTTTTTAAATTATCATTGTGACAATTATTTGACACCATATGATCAGTTTCAGAAGTATTATGTGCACATTCACGGTGATGCTGAGCACCATGCTCCCATAAGGAAAGGTCGTGGATCTGGCAGCAAAGTTACTCGGCTTCTGCGGGAACTTAGTGACAATGACACGGAAGATGACGACGATGACATTTCAGCTCCATCACAGGCATCAGCATCGTCAATTGACCCACGGAAACCTTGGCTACAAGACTTCAACTACTATGTGAATATGTTTGACCAGCTTGCCAAAAACCAAACCATTGTTCAGTGGTGGGGGGTATGTATTCTTTGACGAATTCACTCAACGAAGATACTGAATCTATTGAAAGTTAAATGCAACGAGGTATGGGCCAGTTTGGACGGCTATTGCTCGCGACTTCTTAGGAATCATGGCCTCATCGGTCTCGAGCGAGCGTGCATTTTCTTCAGCTGCGCTAACGATTACAAAGCGCCGCAACCGTCTCAAAGGTGATGTTGTAGAGGCACTACAGGTAATGAAATGCCTTCTTCGTCATGACCTGGTCTTCCGCGAGTCAGGACCTTCGTCATTGACTGAAGATCCTGCAGATGAGGAGGATGAATTACTTGATGGGTGTACAGAGAACTCTGGTGAAGATAGTATGGTATGACTGGGAGTCTAGAATGATGTTACGAGTCCATGTTTCATTGTCACACAATGCTATCTGTACTGTAGGACATGTTCACTTATTTTACAATTTCAGGCCCAGGCTTCAGCCCAAGCCCAGCCCAGCCCAAGCCCAAGCCCGATGTCAGGGCTGGGCCAAAATGTTAGGAAGCCCATACCCGCTCAAGCCCAGGCCCAGCCCTGGGCCACAGGCCCAAGCCCAGCCCGCACAACACTAACACCAGATCATGGAGGTAAGTTACACATGGGTTTGTCGAGGTCACTTACTGGTGTTGTTGCCATGGCAGTCTCACCGCTACTACGAGGCTGTGGAGCCATGGTCTTGGCCTTCTTACTGGTTCTTGTGACTTTGGATGTACCGCTAATACGAGTCTTGGCTGCTGTCATGGGCCTTTTGTTTACCTGAGGGTCAGTGCGAGGTGCTTGGAGTGCCTCCTTTGCCCGTTTGGCTTCTGAAGGGCCGTAAGTGCAGCCAAGCAACATAATATGAGTGCAGCTCACTCAAAAAATCCTCGACTCGTTTCTTGAAGAGCTCTGCAATATCAGCAGGCAGACCTCCCTCACTTCCTGGCCCAATCTCCTCGGAGTCCAATTCTTCATCTGATCCAGGGTCCGTCTCGCTACTATCATCTGAGTCAGAGTGAGCTGCAGGAGCTGGCAACTTCGCACGGCCAGTGGATGTATGCGTCCGAGTCGACTTGTTATGGCTTGAGAGTGTGATCTATATAAAATGAACAGTCAATGGTCAAATGACAGGCCATTGTTACATACCTTGTTTGAGCTGGGCGCGTCATAACCCATCCTTCTCCTATAGTTGGCGTGATTTCGTAAGAATTGTTGCAAAAAATCTTTGACGGGCCAGCCGTCCTTAAAGTGTGTGAGGTATGGGATTTCGAGCATGGCCTATTAGTATCATTAGCGCATATATGCATGTAGGAGGACAAAAAATATGTACCAATGTGATTATGGTGCCTAGTAGCGTTGGCGGCTGGTATCTAATGGTGGTCTCGAGGCGTAGACCATTGTCCTTGGCGATTTCGATGATCTTGTACTTCAGAATGTCTGTGAGAATCCACACAGATAGAAAAAAAATGCTTACTCGAATTTTCTTATACACGGTATCCCTATCATCCAGATTCATAGCGTGCTGTAAATTGAAATGTCGTCCGGCAGTGCCATCAGGACGCATAATTGCACCCTTCTTCTGACACGCCTTGAGTTTCTTGCGGGCCTCTTTCTCACCTAGATTTTTCGCAGTTAGGACATTTGACTAGTGCTAACATAGGACTTACGCATCACATGTTGTACCTCCCGCTCATTGGCATCAACTTGCCTCTGTAGTGCTCGGAATTTCTTCTTGGTTCCTAGAGAAGGCTTGTTAATAGTCCGTGTGCGAGGCATGGTTAGTGGTAAGTGGTAGGGGTTATTTACGTGTTGTTTGCATCAACCGAAGCCAATGTTTGGTTGTGTTAATGGTCACGTGATCATTACAACCGAAATTTTCACCAAGACTGGTTGAATTCTAAGTATGTACACACGTACGAATACGACTTGTTCAGCTCCAAACTGGAGGTGATACATACAGTGCGGCTTGGAAGCTGGCACGGACGCCAATGGTTCGGGTGTAGCAAGTTGTACTAGTACTGTGAGATGTACAAGTTCTCCGACTTGCCCCCCCAAACTCGCTTTGCGCAGGTGCGAACTCCTAACCCTAACCCTAAGCTTGCTCAATGGCTGCAGCCCGTGGAAGGGAGTTCCTCCTCACCCTCCTCAGTGAACTCTCCTTACTCGTCTTACAAGAGTTCGGTTGCCAAATCCGCCTATTCATTTATGGTGGTGTAGTGACCCTATGCTGGCCCATGGGCTACAACACCTACAAACCACAGCAAGCGCAGGAACTACGAAACCGTATCCATGACGCATCTTCACCCGCCCTCACATCTTCACCCGCCCTCGCATTCTCACCCAACCTCACATTCTCACCCGCCCTCACATTCTCACCCGGCCTCCCAATCTCACCTGGCCTCCCAATCTCACCCGGCCTCGCATATTCCCCGGCCTCGCATTTGAATACATACGGTGAATCAGGTACGTTTTATGTTCATTTCATCACTCATCCCCTCAAACTCATTCTCCTGCATACAGGTCCTCCATATCCAACTCTTCTTCGATCTCTCCTTTGGCACACTCCAGCGCTCCTCCCTCACCGAGCCTCCAAGTGCTTCGACACCCTCTGCGCCTCCGGGCGTTTCATGCTGCCCTACGCCTTCGCCTTCGCCAATTCTAGCACCAGATGCTGCCCTATGCCTTCGCCTTCGCCAATTCTAGCACCAGACAGTACCACTCAACCTGTCGCCTCAAGCGATGCAGTATCGAGCAGCTGCGGCGACATCGCAAGATATTCCATCAAGTCCTCAGGGCCGAAGTCTCGGTCTCACACTACGAGATGTACTCTCGCCACGCAAATGAGCTAGTGATTAATCTCTTGGATGCCGTTAGTGACCCGCAGCATCAGACTGAAATGTTCGTACCTGATCCAGCGATGTCGTGGTGTTGGATGGTCCAGTTGACTATCAATCTTTGTGACAGATACGCGGCGTCCCTAATCATTGACGAGAATCCGGCATCTTAGTTGGCATGGACACTGTGAGTCGCTACTCAAGCAGTCCTGATTCTTACTCTGATGTCCCGCAGAGTGCAGCCGCATTGCAGATATCACTGAAACCTATTTGAAGGGAATCATGAAAGATCCAAGGCATGGGGTACGAAATCCTTATACTTTTCCTCACCCTGAGTGTTTGATTTGGACTATCTTATTCTAGGCGGTGAAATACTTGACCAGTCTGTTTCCAATCTTTGGATGGATCACCCGATACAGTGAGATAATTCATTCTCCCTTTGACAAGCTCAGCCTGCTAATCGTATACGTCTTCAGATTTGGGATGGCTCACTGGCGACCTTATTGCTGGTCTTACCGTAGGAATGGTGCTAGTCCCACAGGGCATGTCATATGCAATAGTAATATTCCATCTTGACCCTTGTTCTCGTTGATTGACAAGCCTTCGTAGCTTGCATCGCTTCCTGCACAGTATGGTCTGTATTCCTCCTTCGTTGGCGTCCTTGTATATTGCGTACGTGCACGCTACTTTGGATAATTGCGGCGCTAAATTTACTCGTAGTTCTTTGCGACTTCGAAAGATGTTTCTATCGGACCAGTGGCAGTTATGTCGCAAACCGTGGCTCAAATCATCATTGCTGTAGACGCACAGTACCCTGGTAAATGGGCTAGCCCACTGATAGCCACCACGTTGGCCTTTGTTTGTGGATTTATCGTACTCAGGATTGGCCTCTTGCGCATCGGTTGGATTGTCGAGTTCATACCCGTACCAGCAGTCAGCGGGTATATGACTGGATCTGCGATAAATATAGTTGCAGGTCAGGTTCCCGCCCTCTTGGGCATTACCGGGTTCAGGCAAGGGTGTCAGTCATTTCGAACGAAATGCAATTTATGACATTTCATAGTACTCGAGCTGCCACGTACGAAGTTATCATCAATACTCTCAAGGGACTTCCCGGTATGAAAGTGTGCCTGTCATCGATAGCGAGCTCGTCAAAGCTCTCGGGCCACAGATCCCTGTCGCCACCATAATTCTCCTTCTTGAGCACATCGCCATTGCCAGATGTAAGTCACCAATCATCTGACCGTTATGCCCTTTTGACACACTACTTGCAGCATTTGGACGGGTCAATGGATACAAGATCAATCCCAACCAGGAGCTCATCGCCATAGGCGTGACGAACACGCTCGGCACTATATTCCATGAGTATCCCGCTACAGGATCGTTCTCCCGTTCTGCCTTGAAGTTGAAGTCGGGCGTGCGGACTCCTCTGGCTGGTATCTTCACTGCGATGGTTGTCATCGTTGCTCTCTATGGCCTTACCCCAGCCTTTTACTGGATCCCTAGCGCTGGTCTTTCGGCCGTCATCATCCACGCGGTCGCTGATCTTGTCGCGTCACCTTCCCAAGCATTCTCTTACTGGCGCGTATCCCCCCTCGAGTTTCTTATTTGGTTGGCTGCAGTCCTGGTCACCGTCTTTTCATCTATTGAGAACGGCATCTACATCTCCATCTCGGCATCGTTTGCCTTACTTCTGGTTCGCGTCGCACACCCTAGGGGATATTTCCTTGGGAAGGTTACCCTGACATGCAACTCAACTGAATCACGAGAAGTCTTTGTTCCGTTGCGCAAGGATGGCGTAACCAACCAATATGTCAAGGTATAAATCGATAGATATCACGCACCCAGCCGCAGGCGAGCACAACGGCACGCTCATCCTTAGTGTTGTGCGGGCTGGGCTTGGGCCTGTGGCCCAGGGCTGGGCCTGGGCTTGAGCGGGTATGGGCTTCCTAACATTTTGGCCCAGCCCTGACATCGGGCTTGGGCTTGGGCTGGGCTGGGCTTGGGCTGAAGCCTGGGCCTGAAATTGTAAAATAAGTGAACATGTCCTACAGTACAGATAGCATTGTGTGACAATGAAACATGGACTCGTAACATCATTCTAGACTCCCAGTCATACCATACTATCTTCACCAGAGTTCTCTGTACACCCATCAAGTAATTCATCCTCCTCATCTGCAGGATCTTCAGTCAATGACGAAGGTCCTGACTCGCGGAAGACCAGGTCATGACGAAGAAGGCATTTCATTACCTGTAGTGCCTCTACAACATCACCTTTGAGACGGTTGCGGCGCTTTGTAATCGTTAGCGCAGCTGAAGAAAATGCACGCTCGCTCGAGACCGATGAGGCCATGATTCCTAAGAAGTCGCGAGCAATAGCCGTCCAAACTGGCCCATACCTCGTTGCATTTAACTTTCAATAGATTCAGTATCTTCGTTGAGTGAATTCGTCAAAGAATACATACCCCCCACCACTGAACAATGGTTTGGTTTTTGGCAAGCTGGTCAAACATATTCACATAGTAGTTGAAGTCTTGTAGCCAAGGTTTCCGTGGGTCAATTGACGATGCTGATGCCTGTGATGGAGCTGAAATGTCATCGTCGTCATCTTCCGTGTCATTGTCACTAAGTTCCCGCAGAAGCCGAGTAACTTTGCTGCCAGATCCACGACCTTTCCTTATGGGAGCATGGTGCTCAGCATCACCGTGAATGTGCACATAATACTTCTGAAACTGATCATATGGTGTCAAATAATTGTCACAATGATAATTTAAAAACTTACAATATGTTCTGCATTCTCACGAGCCTCGTGTTGCAGACCCTCGTCCCAATACTTCTTGAAGTGGTTCATCTTCTCATTCGGATCAAGTACTGTTCATCAATTCAATCAGACGTTACTGGGTAGGACTAAAAACAATAAGTTATAACTCACACATCTACATGGATAAGTATTTGTAAACCAACATACTCTTTGGCCTTTTCGGAGCCATCGAGCTGTCATTGTCGTCTTCACCACTGGAAGAGTGGTAGCTCAAATCGGCCTCAGATACATCTCGAGATCTTTTGATGCCAGGTGGTAGAACGTGAGAAGTTTCTGCCGCTGCGGGAGGTAGTGGTAGACATTGCTGGTATTGCTCAGATGCACGCTTGGCATCCTCGGCTCGTTTGAGGGCAACAGCTTCAGAGTGTGCACTGATTTCGGGAGTAGCGGTGTTAGACGCATCGGTTAATTTCTTCGAGGGAGCAGGTGCGCGTTTAGAACGCAATGGTGGCTCTTGGTCAGTTTGATTTGTTGCCGGCATATTTCTGACTGCAATGGGTTTGTATGGTCCGAGTCAATGGAAGGTTTCTGCATTTGAAATACGTATATTAACTGTATAGATGCTGTCGCAATACTGTCGGCACGAACCGAGAAAGTAAGTTACAGGCCCAGGCCTGAGCCCTGGGTATGGGCCTGCAGATGTTGTGGGCCCAGCCCATGGCCCTCGTCAGCCCACTCATAGGGCTGGGCTGGGCTGGGCTTCTATAGGGCTGGGCCATGTGGGCCTGTGGGCCTGAGCCCTGGCCCTGCACATCACTACTCATCCTCGCGCACGTCAAGTACTTCCATGTACCTTCCTGCGTTCGGAGGAGGCGTTCGGCCGCGTTTTGACTCCAGTGCAACGATGAGTATCCAGTCGATCCCGAGCCATCAACCAGTGAGCCTTCTCAGCATTCATTTGGTTCTGCGCCTGATGGTGTGCTCGTATTATCCTTTCTTACTTACTTGAAATTGACACTTCACGCGACATGCGTTGTATGAACATCCAGAATAGAAATTGTTTACCTAAAATGTGATGCTAGAACAACGATAGGACGCCGTTCCTGGATGTACAATGGTTTCACCACTGATCACACTTTCACCACTTCCTCACCACGATTACTTGCTTGAACATTACTTGATACTGTCATTTATTTTCCACAATGTCCAACAAAAAAAGAAAGTATTGCCATTGCTCTCTTGAATGCAGACGCCTTCTCAGTTATCGCCAGCGACTCCGTCACTACAAAAAAGCAAAACTTATCAATCTATCACCTTCCGTTTCCCCCACGGAATCATCGGAAGATCCACAGACAATAAATCTAGAGCCTGAGATTCACGCATCCAATGCACCTGGTAATGTGAGCATGAGCGAGCATGATGAAGACTCAAGCCCAAACTATTCAGATCAGGAGTCTGATGAAGATGCTGCGAGTAATCTGAGTCATGCAGACGAAATTGTTCCATATGATGAAGAAGAAGAAAATGATGGTGTAGACGAGTTAGATGTGAGAGGTGGCCATATAGATGCTGAGATTGAGGCACTGCATCATTCACTTCGTAAGTTTAATCGCTACTGGAAAGTATTTACTAGTAACAAATGAGATTAAATATAGGCAATACCTTGTTGACAGAGCAGGATAGAGATAACCTCCGTGCTCACAGTCTCCGCATCAAGAGTCATATGCCGCGTGCGACATTCAATGAACTGCGGGAGAAGTTTAGTCACAAGATGGACATCGACTCCGAATATAAGATGCTCAAGCGTTTCGAAGGACTCACTACTATCACGCCCATGAAAATAGATTGCTGCATCAATTCCTGCATTGCATATGCTGCAAGATACAGTCACAGTGATTTATGTGACTTCTGCGGAGAAAGACGTTTTGATGTTCAAGGGAAGCCTAGACGTCAATTTTCCTACATGCCGCTGGTCCCTCAATTGCAGGGTCTGTTTGCCTGAGAAGATACAGTGGAAAAACTCTTATACCGCCATCAATATGACAGCAGCCCCCATACCATCAATGATGTCTTTGATGGTGAGATCTATCAGTCTCTCCGGGACAAGTTCGTGCTGGTGGATGGCGTTCAGAAAAACTATAAGTACTTCTCTGGAAAAAATGACATCGCATTTTCCTTAGCAACTGATGGATATCTACTGTTTGGACGATATCGCAAGGGGCCTTCTGCGACACCAATCCTTATCCAGATCTACAACTTTCCCCCCACTATACGCACCCACCACGAACATCTGATTTGCCTTGGAGTCATTCCAGGACCAAAATCTCCAAAAGATATTGCATCCTTCCTCGTCCCATTTGAGAACGAGTGTGCCAAACTCGCCAATGGCGCACTCACCTTTGATAGCCTTGGGAAGCAAATGTTCTGGCTCCATGCCTACAACATTTTCAAGCTTGGTGATATCCTTGCGATAGAAAAACTACTGGAAATCCGTGGCCATAATGGCTTTGCACCATGTCGGTCATGTCTGATCACTGGTGTTCGAAATAAGTCTGCAAATAAGACTAATTACTATGTCCCATTAACTCCCCCTACTCAACCTAATACTCCGAACCTACACTGGGACCCCCTTCAGCTCCCCCTTCGCAGCCATGCTCATTTCGAAGAGGTACTGCAAGAGATGGACGATGCAGACACTGCTGCAGAGAAGGAGAGGATTGGCAAGAAAAATGGTCTCCGTGCAGGCCACCTTCACCTTTCTGACAGGCGGCGAGTAGGGTCAATTGACTTTGCCAAGTCCTTTCCTTGGGAATGGATGCACGTCTTCCTTGAGAATATTGTCCCAATGCTTGTCAAGCACTGGACTGGAAAATTCAAGGGTATGGACGCTGGAAAAGAAGATTATGAGATAGTTGATCATATATGGACTGAAATCGGAGCAGAAACTGCTGCTGCAATCGCAAACATTCCTGCTACATTTGTTCGAGTCCTCAGCAATATCGCGGATGATCACTCAAACTTCACAGCAGAATCATGGTCATTCTGGATCATTTACCTTGCCCCAACACTCCTGCGTAATCGTTTTCCGAACACAAAATACCACAAGCACCTTTGCGAGTTAGTTTGGATCATGAAAAAAACACTACAGTTCTCAATCACGCATGCGGAGATCGATGAATTGGAACAGCGAATTGCAAGCTGGGTAGTCAAGTATGAAAAGTAAGCAGTCTATTGCAGGACGTGGTAGAACATGGCTGATATCATTATAAGGTACTACTATCAGCATGACGAGTCAAGATTACCAGCCTGCACTCTTCCAATTCACGGAATGCTTCATATTGCTGATGACATTCGTCGATGCGGACCTGTGTGGACCACATGGTCATTTTTCCTGGAGCGCTATTGTCAAAAATTCAAAATAGCACTAAAGTCAAGAGTTCAGCCTTGGGGAAACCTTAACAAAGAAGTTCTATATACGACGTACCTTCAGCAAGTGGTCCTTCGGTATGACGTCCAGGAGGAAGTGTCACTAAGTATTCGGAGGGATTGGTCCCAGCTAACAACGCATGAGACTGTTTTCGAAGATTGTAAGTCACCATCCAATGACTCGAGATAACAACATAAACAGTCCTACCAGATGATGCTTATGTTCTTCGTCCCCCTCGAGTGACTTCATATGAACCTGACCGTGATGAGCGGGTTAAAGTTGCATTGTATTTCAAGCAACTCATTGGCGGAAGGCGAGCGGTGATTGTTGCACGTCTTCCAGCTGTGATGGCACTCTGGAAAAAAGTTCGTATCCAAAATGGCGGAGACAGTATTCGGACGCACAGTGCCACCAGGTCATCCAAAAAGCAAAGGAACTCGTCATACGTTCGAGTGAGTCTACTATATCACACATTAGTTCCAAACTTGACAAGGTTACTTAGTACGAACTTGAATATGAAGACCGTGTAAATGGAGCTCTTCACGTGGTTCAGTTGGTGCAATATGGTCGTCTCGAGAAAATACTGGTTTGCTCGTTGTCAAACGACACTCAGTGGCTAGGGCTTGCTGGCAAAACTCTTCTGCTCGCGCTCATTCGACCATGTCAGACCGAGGGTAGAGATGCTACCAAGGAGGAAGCGCGTTATTCAAGGAACCTTGCCAGCATCATCACCGACCTACGGAATGTAAAAGGAGTTGTAGGGAGGGTCAAGAGTCGCGGGGAATGGACTATCATTGACCGCAGAAGCAGTTTTGCGAAACCAGCCTTTGATGGTGCTGGGTATAATACAGATGAAAGTGAGGCGGAGTAAATGTTGATATATATACATACGAGGAGCTGGAACGTGTACAGTGTATTTAATTGCCGCTTGTCCTGAAAACAGAAGCCTACTTCTTGACAATAGAAACGGCAAACATATGGAGACTGCAGGTCGTGTGCCGAAATGCAGGGAACTGAGCAAACGACATCAACGAATAAGTGATAATCACCGGAAGTGCGGGCAACTCACGCGTCCTCATTATAGTCATTCCCATGAGCATAGTCGTCGCCGTTCTTAGAGGTTGCGATATGGTCTTCTGGCTCTTCTTGGACAGGCAGCGACTTGTCGGGAGTTCGGGTCTTCATGGCCTGCAGGGGAGGTGTATTGCTTGCAAATTTGCTGACCGCAGGCGGCGTGACACGAGCATCGTCGGTGACAATGGCTTTCCGCACAGTGGGCGGCGGACTGGGAACCCTAAGGGAGGAGCTTCCATTAGATTGATATGAGTCCCGCTTATACGAAACGTAGTCCACGTCCACTGCAGTCACACTCTCACCGCCTGACGAGCCAGTAGGCGTGTGGTAAGGGGGAGAATGAGAGGGCTGATTGAGTGGAGATAGGAGTTTCGTCACGTTGGGTGCGGCTTGCGTCAAGGCCGGTGGAGAGGAGGTTCGTTTTGACTGCGGGGGGATGTTTGCAGTGGTGGGACTCGCTTGTTGTGCCTGACGCTGATTCGCAGACTGAGTTGCTGTTCAAAAATATTCAGTACTTGCGGCACTGACGAAGTGAACGCTGAAAAATATTCAGTACTTGCGGCACTGACAAAGTGAACGCTGAAAATTAGTCAGTGTCACAAGTACTGACAGACGTGACTCTCACGTCAACACTGAAAATAATGGGTTCTTTTTTCAGTATCTACGTCACTGGAATATGTCACTCAGGGTTTCTCACGTTTATTTTCAGGGTATTTACTTCCCACAGTGTGTAAGTATTGATTTCGAATGACCCCCGATTTGAGCAAACTTATAATACATCACGCTTTAAAGCTAGGTTTGATGTAGGAGTCGCGTCTGCACCGGGACCACTTGTATGATACTAATACAAGGATGATGAGCTTTAGCATTACATTACAAGAAGTGTTACTACAGTTATGCAAACCCATCAACTACTCGCAATGAGTGGTTGTCGCTCTCCGTTATCAGCGTCTGCAGCTGAAGGGTGGTATTTGCGTGCCAACCGTGCAGTCAACGCGCCGTCCTCCAATCGTTCCACCTCCTCTACGACAGTATACCCTCCTAGCCATGGCAAGACAATAATCCACAGCCAGTAATAGACTCCGCACATCTATAAAGGGTCAGTTTTATGTTAAATCGCGTTGTAAGTGTAGTACACACCGCAAGGACACCCAGGCCCACCACACAGTAACTGAATAATGGATGTGGTCAAATGTGGACTCAGAAAGGCAACAACATTAGACTTACGTTGCGTACCAGAAAGACACGTCGCCATGACCAGGTTCCGGTGGTATCCTTGTCGAAACAATCAGTTCTGCTTCAAGGCGTTTCTTTAAGGACAATACCAGGGCATTATGAGAAGAAATATCGAGCTGAGCAGGTAAAGAGAAACGTAGATATGCTTCGCACGATACTTCGAAGGTGCAAGTCCAGCAAGTGCTCGCCGCCTTCGAAGAAGCCACAATCCTATAGCAGTTGCAACATGGAACACCTGCGACTTGTTGATCACATAGTGCGCCGCGGTCGAATAAAATACCTACTAAATTTGGATAAGAAGCCAAGTCCAACAAGAAGTTGAATGCATCTCGAGCTGGGAGGGCGACCATCACGAAGACTGTGAGAAAGTACTTCAGACACACGGGTCCCAATGGCGTGCCGAATGGCTTGGTCGATGCAAAAAATCTTGGATACGGAAGTAGCCCCTGACGGGCAATTTCACGCAATGCGCGTGTCTGACCAACAGCCTGGCCAAATATGAGTCTTCGCATTATGTAGTTTCCAAATGTATTGCTCACCATAGCGATCTAGAAATGTATTTTGTGAGAAACTCGGGCACACGAAATAGCAGGATCACGCACAAGGTTTCCGAAGCAACTTAAAGCAACCATGATCGGCAGGGTTTTGCCTGCGAAGCTCTCTCCGTATACACGCTGGAAAAATAAAGCCGCGATGAGCTGCCCAGAATTTCTTATCTCGTCCTTTGGCACCGCTGCCACGTAAGCAACATTGACAAAGAAAAAAAGACATGCGACTAAAAGCAGCGATAGCAGGCTGGCTTTGCGTACTGTGCGGACAGGGTCACGCGTATGGACTTCCCCAATGACACTAAATGCGTTGTTCCAACCAGCGAATGCAAAATTAGTCTTGACTAGGGCAGTAGCCAAAGAATTTGGATTGGTCGTGCTCCCACTGAATGGGGACCGGAAATTGGCATACGGATCGCTGATGCGAGTGAAACCGCCAAGGACGAGTGCGCCCGTAAATACCAAGCTGAAAGCACAATATGTCAGTAGATGAAGGATGGTGAACGATGCGCTCACAAGACAAGAGAAAGAACCTTCAACCCAGTAAGAAAGTTCACGGCTCTTAAAGACCATTTCGTTGAGAAGGCGACGACTGCGTGGTTAAGTTCCAGATTGTACCTTGGCGCAAGAAACTTAAGAAGCTCACGAGCCATACCAGCAGCACAGACTGCTAAAGCAACAGTAGTTTGCCTTTCGGGAGTGATGGGGATATCGAAAATTGTAAGCGCATATTGGGCAAATATAATTGAATTTGTTGCGCTAAAACTGATCAGTGTAAAAGCAATTCCATGAATATCTCGTCGGACATGCAAACAGTAGCACGCACGACAGAAGGACTGAGGTTACAGCAAACATGATTGGGACCAAAAACTTTGGACGCGGATATGCCTGCTCCAAGTACACAACTTCTGCCCCAGATCTTTTTGGGAACATACTTGCGTATTCACTGTAGACCATGAGACCTCCGAATGCAAACAGTGGAGCTAACAGCCAGAAAACGAAGAGTAGGCCGACCGAGCCAACCGAATTCAGTATGACGCCTGGAACAGAGTATATTCCTGCGCCGAGCATTCGCCCGAGATTGAGCATAACAGAGGACAGTAATGTGACCTTGTAACCCAAGGGATTGTTCTGCAGACGATATGAGTATTTATCGGACACAAGTGAATTGTTGTTACCCTCTCTATTGGTGCTCCCGCAGCTGACAAAGTGTTTCCTTCATCTTGCGCGTCCGAGTCACCGCTTTGAGCGAGGACTTCGGAGTCCAGGACGTTGTGGATGGTCATGACGGTAGGATGATAAGGCTAGTACCCAAGCTTCCTAAGACGGTATCATATTTCAATTTGAAGAGCCATGCTCATTGACTAGCATTATGGCGCAATCACTGGCAGCCGGCGATGATGAGAGTAACATTAATGTCATGTGTGATAAATATAACTTTTGGCTGACTCAAGTCGGGCGGAGTCTTATGTAAAACTGGTCTGGGGCCTGGGCTCCCCCTTTGAAATACATAGCTTCTTTTTTTAGATTCTTAACTTCCGGCGGGGACAGCACCTTGAACAACTCCCCAGTTTCTGTATGGTCATTCGACTCACTTATTATAGCAAAAGATTGTCAATGTTCACCAATTCTTAAACGCCAAGGATATCGGCAGTTCGCACACTCGCTTCCTAAACCGTTTAGTGGGCGCTTTGAGCGAGAGAACAAAAATATATTCACGAAAAGTTTATATAGTAGCCCTGCTTCAGAACTTTTATCGCTCGCCTTGAAATTTGCGTCTGACATTCTGTAGCTGAGCACTATCCCTTGAAATTTGTCCGCCACTCATGGGAAGTCAGACGCTGCGGTGCATTTGTAGCTACTAGTCAAGTGAACCGCTGCTAATGCCATGTTTGTTTATTTATTTTTGTTTTTAGACTCATTGCGGAGGCTATGCACCCGAGTCCGAGACTGACCGTCAGCGTACGTATATAGTACGTACTTTTCGTATTACCAACAGTTGAAACATTCCATCATGACCACGGCACTTCGATGGGTTTACAGCTCATTAATAAGTGTTAAGAAGGCGCATGATGTGTGTGTGAAACTCATTTTTTCACCTCTAGATGGAGTATTCGACTAACGATATCGCAGCAGCGAACAGCGAGCAGTTCGCTAAGGTGCGTCTCCTTATCGATATAAGGATGAATCATAATTGAAAGTCATGTATTATCAGTACATATACAGTGCGTACTGTCTGAACCTCATGTTATTTGTCCTAACACAGTTCAGCGTCAATGGCTACGTTCTGGGTAGGCTCATTTAATCCATTCACTTCCGCTGTCAAATCCGCTTATCCACCTGCAGATTTATGATTATGCATGTTTACTTGATGAAGAGGTAATACACTTGTTCTGTGATAAACCCCGGTTTTGATGCCCACAATATGTTGTACAAAGTGGACATTTTTGCTTCGATCACATTGGACCAAGATGAAAGGCCTGTATATTGTTACACGATTCCTCCCCTTGATCCTTTGCGCCATGGGTCTATATAGTGCGTTCCGTTCGAGTACACATCACCCTGATGATGAATTAACACTTTTTTCAGGGAACCTTACCCCATTGAACATAGATGTATGTGATGCGGTTCACGAGAACGCACAACTTATTGCATGACTTTGTCAGCCATGCCGGGTGTTGGCCAATGTTGAATCAGGTACGCGCATGATACACTCATGTATGTACGTCCTTGCTGAAGGCTACTATTTTTCTGTTACAGGTCTTGACCTAGTATTGGTCAGTTCCTCCGAATGTATCTCATTTCCCCGTACTATATGTGTATTTCTTGATCGGATTCATCTAGGGTTTTTCATCCTCAGAACATTTGTGCTCTGGGATCAGAATAGATTCTTGCTTGCCACCATGCTGTGTTTCTCTTTCGTGAGTTGCCAATCCACTCACCATACCCAAGCTACTAGTGGTAGATGCATCAACCAGACTTTTATTGCAACATCCTTCGGCATTGTCTTCGCCACTGTCATCCCCGCAGCGTGTACTCGCTCTCACTTTCCCTCTGGTGTTCCACGACCACTAAAACATTGTGTTCACTTTCACAGGTACGACTGGCCCGATCCCGGGAATTACAGGGTACAACCAGATTTCGATCAGTTTCTGGTATTTGATACCATGTCTTCTCCTTTCTGTATTTAAACTGGGTGAGTAACCAGGAGGATGTATATGTACAAACCCGCGCTGACACTATTCTCTCCAGGTCTTTTGATACTCACGCTCATACGCGCCATACAGGACTGGCGGACAAACGAGAGCCCTCTGTACGTTGTCCTGGTGAACCATAACATATACTATTATGCATGCGGTCTTTGTGAGTGAGCACTCGTACGCGTTGTTTTTCCGTACTCATCCACGATCATTCTCTTTTCTGAAGTGTTCTCGTTTACGGACATGTTCACATCGCTGCTCCTACACGTGCGTGAATATAATAAACACCTTTCTAATCGAGTCATTGATGTTGTGCGTCCCAGTACTCTTACCGCAGCGTATGGTATCAGTATGCACCTCCACATCTTGCTGCGTATTCCTACTGATAATTCCCGAAATGTACACCCATGCACAGTCTTCAGATGGTGATTATTGCAATCCTCGCCACACGCATGCACCTCCATCTATGGCAGGTGAACCAACATCTACATGACTCTGCTGGCGCCCTCGTTCCAATGTCCGAAATCTCATTTGAAAATCACACGGTGTGATGTCGTATCCTGCGGCTTATTCGGTGTTGTTCGTGGAGCGAGGCTTGGACCATACAAGATGATTGGTGGGGGTGGGCTTGATAGAGTATTGTTACGTGCTTAATGAGTCTGTGGTGCGCAGCGTTGGACGGGTATATGATAGTTCTTAGTCTTTCAATCAAGTGCAGAGACTGAAATTTAAAGGTGTATTTGACCCGTCAATTATGTAAATGTTGGTTCAACTGGGAGATTTTGCCTCGAGGCATTATTTGGTCTCAAAACTGTTGCCAAACAAACGGCATCGATCACTTCAACGTTCCTGTGACACCTCCGAGTCATCTATCAAAGGAAACTCACAGCTTCAATTGTTTCCGTGTTTGACAGTACAACGCTCCAGAATTCGCGGATCATTGCATTCGTAGGTTCTACCCTTCGCATATGAATGAACTCGTGACCCAGTAGTACGTACTGTTTGCACTGCATCTTGCTTATAACTTGACAGCTCAGCGTCAATCATGGTTGGTTACGGTCAAACGTTGAGCGTAACGATCACCTTCCACGAAAAAAAAAACTAATGAGGGCCGAGTACTTGGAAGAGTTTTATTGATCTCGAGCTTTGAAAGCCAGGTCCCTCCAACTTGAACGTGGCTATTTCAGAAGCAGGGACAAGTACAATAAGCACACGCGAGTTTCCGGATTGAACTGTGCATTACCTAACTGTATAGGTATATAAGTTCTTAGAGTTCAGTCTAGAAGGGGGCGGTAAACCCGTTCACGACCACCTCTTGAACGACCCGGCGGGATGGAGACGGACTATTCGGCTGACGATATCGCAGCAGCGATGAGTTTGCAGTTCTTCCAGGTGCGTTTCTTTTTTTGTCGATACGAGGCGGGTAACATTAAGCAATCTATGTGTGCTTCAGTACATATACAGTGCGTCCTGTCTGAACTCGATCTTTATCGTCTTAACGCAGCCCAGTTTCGATAACTACATTCTGGGTGAGTTTGTCCCGATGAGTTCTCTTCTACTGTTAAACTCGCGTATCCAGACCTACAATTATGCTTGTTCACTTCACGAAGAGGTAACGTACTTGCTCTGTGATACGCCCCGGATCCGATGTTGATTGTATTCAAAGTGGAGATTCTTGCTTGTGTCGCACTGGACCAAGGCAAAGGGCCTCTATATCGCTACACGATATGTCCCCTTTCTGCTTCTCGCCACAAATCTATATTGTACGTTCAGCTTTATCGTGCATCGCCCGATAATAAACTAACACGTTGTCATGTAGTGAGTTTCATCCCGAATGAAACCCCAGGTGTACGTGAACATGCGGCGGAGACTTAATGAGGGGATGGATGTCACTTACTGCATGACTTTGCCAGAAATGCCGGGTGTTGGACAATATTTGCTCAGGTACGTGCATGATACATCTATCTATGCACAGCTTTGCTGAGTGCAACGCACTTCCTCTCACAGGGCTCGATATACTATTAGGCGTTTGCTCCGAATGTATCTAGCCTTCATCCCTAAGATATGCGCGTCCCTGATCCGATCCTCCAGGCTTTTTCATCTTAAGAACATGCGCGCTTTGGAACAACAATAGAATATTGCTTGCAGCCATTCTTGTTACGCTTTCGTGAGTCCAATATTCAGTAGCCACATCCAAACTAGCTGCTGATGCATCAGCCAGACATTTCTCGGAGCTTCCATCGGTATTACCTTCGCCACTACTGCTCCCGCAACATGTATGTGTTCTCGCCTCTCCCCTAGCGTTCTACTACCATTCAACAATTCTGTTTACTCCCGCAGATGCAATTAGTGCGATCCCTGGTATCACAGGGTGCTACCAGAGCTCGAGTAGTCTCCAGCTCTTCATACCATTTCTTCTCCTGTGCGCATTCGAACTGGGTGAGTGACCAGGAGCAAGTATATGTGTACACAGACACGCTGACAGATACTCTCCAGGACTTATGACCCTCACACTCATACGTGCCATACAGAGTTGGCGACAAAACCCAAGCCGTCTGTACATTGTCCTGCTGAATCATAACATATTTTATTATACGTGTGGTCTTTGTGAGTTGACACTTCCACCCCCCATTTTTCCGTGCTCATCCATGATCATTCTATTTCCTGAAGTGCTCTCAGTGGCAAATATATTCACATCGCTGCTCCTCCATGTGCGTATATCTCCTCAATGTATTTAATGTTCAAGTCATTGATGTTTCGCACACCCAGTACTCCTACCACGCCATACTGCACGAGTATGCATCTCCACAGCCTTCTGCGCAATTCTGCTAACAATGCCTGAAACGCATACTCGCTTACAGTTTTCAGTTCATCATCCTTGCGATCCTCGCCACGCGTATGCACCGCCATCTTTGGCAGATGAAGCGACAATCACACGGGTCTGATGCCCCCATGCAAATCCCTATGTCCGACATGTCACCTCCGGAATGTACGGCGTGACACCTTACCCGCTGGCTTACTCGGTGTCGTTCGTTCAGCGAAGTGTGTATTGTACGGGATTTGGTAGAGTTTCGCTAGACGCTTAGCCTATTCTATAGGACTACCTACTTGGGGCGGGAGATGCCTTTAGTTCTATTCAACATCCTGGGTGTCAACTTTTCAGTGCAAGCAGCGGTGGACGGATTGATGGAATAGGATTGAACATGTTAGAGCCAGAAGTAAGGCCTGACAGCAACGAGTATCATCCTGCTGGGCTCACGAAAACGTTCTAAAGACTATAATTTAACGTTCATTTACAATTACAGCAGAGATGACATGGTGAAAAGGTACGAAATGGGTCTGCAATGAAACTTGAGGTGCAGGCCAACTCAGAGCAAGTGGTAAAAAAGAGGACCATCCAACGTTGTATACTAGTAACACTCTAAGCCTGAATCACGTACAAAGCGAGCTAAGTATATGAAGATAAGCCAAGTAACACCCCCGCTGACAGACAGCCCGAGGGCGCAGCTGCACAAGTGACCAAGTTAAGATATAATGATCAACATAGAAAGTCGGAAAGTATCATACCGAGGGGAATGAACATCCATCAATCGGAAGAGGACATCTCTGTCATGATATCTTTCAGCTTGTACCTTTTCAAGGCAACATGGAATTTGACATATCCTTCGAAAAAACTGACGTAGGCATCACAGGCCTCTGAACCAGGTCTGAGGTATTCGAGGATATTGTGATGTGCTTGTACAGTTTTCTCGATCAGTTCGAGCAGAGCATCCTGTTTCAAGGTGGAGGTACGAGAGGCTGCCATGAGCGACAAGTAGTTTGTGTTGTCGCCTTCCATCTCTTCCTTGTAGTAAGATAGTATATCACTGAATGACGGCAGGTTAGGAAGCTTGATAGGAAGTGATCGATGTACTTACTTTGTGTGGTTTATGACAATCCTTAGATCCGGCATGCATTGAATGTATTCCCGGATTGGGAGCATGGAAGGGAAGGCAAAAAACCCATATGTATCCGGCATGCCTGATAGGACCCTAGAATACTCTGGGTACAACGGAGCCTTGAGCGAGATCTAGTACAATAAAAGGGGTCAAATTATAATATTCAACGTATATAAATCATACCTGCATGTCTTTAGTCTCACTATCGAGGCAGTTGAAACTCATGAAGTTGAGTGTGTACGCAGTGATAAAATTCGACACCAGCGGGGAATAAAGGCAGGTGATCTCACGCAAGATCACATCGAGCGCGTTCAGGATTGGATCACCCTGTGGTTGGCAGCTCACAAACCGCTCGTTGAAATGGTAGACATCCATCATGTCTTCTCCCCTGACCACCTTGTCATCGATGCGGGTGGCGATTGCAGTGAACAGGCACATCCACATCTTGGCTGCATCAGGAAGGCACCTCAGGCAGCAGTTTCCGGAGGCAAAAGGTAGGCTTTCAGGCCGGGTTTCTATGTTATGGGAAACCAGCCTGAAAGGCCTATGATTCTCCAATCTAATTTAGGATTCGCTCTAAAAATAATATCATACCTCGTTGCCCTCCCGCTACTACCTCGTTGCCCTCCCGCCAGGCTGCTCGCGTGCTCCACCTCCTGGCTCCAGGATGCCTGGATACCTCGCGCTGCCCTTGAGGCACGGGGACCTCCGTACCTCAACGTGAATTTGTACGTACTATGTATTTTAATTAACAAATAAAAATTTACAAGTTACTTTCTACCTTCATCTCTATGGCTCCGCGCTCAGATACTCGTGCAGCCCAGCCCACAACGTCTGGGTTGGGTGTTCAGTTTGTCAGTCCACGGAAACCAAGGAACAAACGCAAAACCCAGACGTTAGTAGAACTCCCCGGCCAGAAAGCAAAGCAACTGAAGTTGCAGGCCAAATTGGCAACTCTCCTCGCAGGAAAACTAAATTCCGAACAAACGACCACATGCCAGCTGGACATGTTACCTACCGCTGTCTCGCCTGAGGAGAACATGCCTGCCGATGCTTGCGAGGACTTGTTTCTCTTCGAAGATGAAGTCCCACCGCTTACTGAGCCTCAAGACTCGATTCCACCGCTGAACACCTCTGAGTTCATTCCAAATCGCCGCATTCTACCTGACATCGCTGCCGCACGATTATATGACACTTGGAAGATACTGATACCCACTCTCGTCGATGTTCAGCTCGAGTATACTCAGAGGACCGTTGGAAAATTTGTCGAGCGACCTCCGACGATTCTGTCTGCATGTCACTCGCAGAAGTGTGCACAGAAACGCACAACTATGATTGGCTTGTTCTTCGATGGTAAGTCTCAATCTGTGCATCGAATACTTCAAGTCGCTAAAGATGTTCGAGGCTTCACAACCCTCGACATTTTGAGTTGCAGATGTGCTACCGCACCTCAAGTCCTGGTTCTTCACGGTTTATTCCCAACTTCCCCCTCCCAGCCACGCATGGCAGTATCTACTGAGCTACTCGCCTTCTATCGAACGCTCTTCGAGCGCTCATGTGATGCTGTGAATGCTCTCGCATCCGCCCTGCACACACACTACATCCGCAGAGGTTTCCGCATGACGAATGCTAAGGTACGTGAATCAAAGTTGACTTACCTTCAGATCTGACACAACTTAGGGTGAATTTATCCAAGAACCTTTCCGGCGAAGTCTCGGTCAAGCTATCTTATGGTTTGATGTCTTACAGGTGGAGCTCGAATCCCAGCTAGAATGCGCTGTTCAAGCAAGCTGAGACTTGGTAGATGCCTCTCGAGATCCCCCAGAGCATCCCGCATCATATGCGCCCACTGTAGACGTGGTTCCGCGTGAGCGCTGTGCCACAATCCTTCTTCAGCGTTGTCCTGCTTGTTTTGGGGGGTCTCATTTGGAAGGCAGCTGGAAGAAGGTGGAGATATTCATGTTGCTACTGATGGGAACTTCCATCATTGACATCGGCGTTCAGCAGGCGATTCACCCCATTTTTATGATCCCTCTTACTTCTTACCTAAAGCTCAGGTTGATGACATTGGGCGTCATATTGATTGGAGTCACAAGTCTGCACTGAAACCGCATGCACCACTTGTACCCCATGAGGCCATTGACTTATGTGAGAATTCATACGAAGCCACCGATGGAAAGAAGCAAAAAGTGGCCATGGATAGCTTTGATGACACGGGAGTCATGGCATTAATATGTCGCCATGACATTCCCCTCTTCTTTGCAAACATCGACACTCCAGGCGAGCAGCAGAAATGTGCCGTTGCCCTTATTGATCACCTTTTTGCGTTATTACCTCGAAGTGCAACAGTTGTCACTCTGTATGATGTGGGATGTGTTCTCTCACGATCATTAAGTCAGGTGAGTCATCTTTGTGATTCTTCGAACCTCGTTGCTGATCCGTTTAAGTACAACATACTTCCCGAAGCCGTGACGAAGCGCTTGCGATTTGCAACAACAGCCATGCATGCCTATGGCCACGAATGGTCGTGCCAACTTGTTTACAACCCATGCATATGCGAAGGCCTTGGCCTTTCAGACGGAGAAGGCACCGAGAGGCTATGGTCAAGATTTATCCACTTGATAGGTATTCAGCGCTCCTCATCTGTATGTATCCTCAAAATTTTGTTTCATCTCTACTGATGTTCGAGTTACCATAGAGACAGCGTCGGTTATGGCTACTTGACCGACAAGCTGCTGCCATCGGTCTTGAGATGCGCGCTGACCTCGGTGATTGGATCCGGCGTCGCCTTAAGCGGGGAATTCATGAACAAGGGACAGCTGCACAGACCACGCTGAGTGAGTGTGATGCGACGATTGAAGATCTGCGACATCAATGGGCTCTGCAGCGACAGTCACAGTTGTCCATCCGTGCTCGTGCATTCTTTTTCTTTCGCATTGTCCAGCCTGAGCCTGATTATGTTCTACAGATGCTCCTGCTTGGCTCAAGAAAGAGCTGGACACCATGTTTGCCCTACAAGGTGACCTCGATGCCTCCGACAAGGCTCTTCAAGCAACAAGTGAGGTTATTACAAAGGGAAATGTATCCCAATGCACACTCGATGCGATCGAGAGCCTCGAACGAAGTCACCAACGCCTCATGGACAAAGTTGATGTGTTATATGCTTCCCTCAACGTTCACGACAAGTTCCCTGAGCTGGAAGGAATAAACATCGAATTTGTTCGGACACTTCTCTTGGCACGTGACCTCAAGATCAACATTCGGAAGCGTGCAATTGGAAGCTTCTTTGAATGGGACAAGCTCGATCATGCCGTCGGTGGCACACAACAAGCATTAGGTAGGGGGCTAGACTTGCTTCATGATGTGTGTTAACACTTTGCAGGGATGAAACTTCACCAGCAGACCCGAAAGGCCATATTGAAGCGACAACCAGCCTTGCTGGCTGCACTACGTAAATTCAATGGATACTGCGAACACCTTGAAGAACTATATGAACCAGGCTGTGGTATTCCTCTTCCAATGCCTCTCCCCACCAAGCTGAATGAACTCTGCAATGATCAAACACTGATGGAGGATATTTGGATCACGCCTTCAGTTGGGGAGGTTCCTCGTTGGCTGGATGATCAGGATATTCGTGATGGGATACGTGCTATGTTAAAGCGCGATAGATGCATCGAGCAGCGACGTCTTGGGCTAGAAGCTGACAATCTTTGCAGGTGGTTTGGTGATGAACTCGCTGCAATAGAACTCGCCCTGCAGTTGCCTGAAAGTATGTATTTTTGTTGACGTCCATCTTTGACATATGCACTAATTGCTTCACAGACATCAGATTTTCTATCTTACTACGTCAGCGGTGGGAACATCTCCAACATCTTCAAATCCGTTGGTCTAACCCACTTGCGTCATCACTACGGTTTGAGTCCCGTGCAAAACATGCTGAATCGTTAGCGATGCGGATCTTAGGTGCTTCCAAAGACACTGCGCTTCACTGGATTCCTCAAACATCGATATCCTGTGCCACTACCCTGGAGGAGGGCGAAGAGGAGGGCGAAGAGGATCCAGAGGTTATCCTCCACCCGAGCACATTGCCCTTGCTGACATAATAAATGTTGACACTCCTGACAGCGAAGATGAAGAAGACATCAATATTGCAATCGAGCCTTGCGCACTCATCACCTGGCACACTCCCGAGGTAAGTAATATTTCATTTGCAGTTGTCTGGGTGTTCATAGTTTATCTAGCAAGTCATTGTCGACCCAGTACCACCAATGAATGACACTACTGTTATTGTCCCTGGAGTCATCACCACCAGGGTTCGTCCTCCCCGTGATGCATTCCCACATCAAATTTTCGAACCAAAGGATATCAAGATCCTCACATCGCCTACTGCACTGCTGAACAACAGCCTCATCAATGGCTGTGCAGCGTTGCTTTATTCTGAGTCTCTGCAAGCTTCTCCTGCTGTAGCGCAATATGCGATCTTGTCCACGCACGACCTCCCCGCATTCAGTACAATGCGTCTGATGACGTGCTTTGGCGCAACATATCGTGGACTTGTTATTGGGCCAAGGACGTGTGGATCATACCGATTCATAGACCCTCAATCATTGGTCATTGGGTGCTATGTATTGTGCACCTCCAGAGCAAGGAACTTCACCTATTCGATAGCTTTACCGAGCAACGACCTTGGAAGAGCGATGTCAGAGTGAGCACCATTGTAGTTCCTCTTTTATCGTTCATCCAGACTCAACACATCTAGGATATTATGAAATTGATCGTTCGACTTTTCAACATCGTGCATTCAGAGTTGATATCGACTTTGACAATTGGATTGCACGTCCGCTGATAGTAAGTATGTCATAAATCGGACATGTACGTGTGTTCTAATTCAACCTCAGACAACAGCTGTTCAGACTAATGGCTATGACTGCGGTGTATGGGTGCTTGCGATGATTGCAGCAACATTGCGTGGATGCCACTGTACAGCTTTGAAGGAAGATGATATATCTGCATTTCGTTACCACCTTCGCACACTTGTAGTATCAATCCCTACATTCTGATTGTGTAGCTAAATGTATGGATTGAGTCTGCTCAACATCTTCTGAACCTCGGTGTGATAGAGATAAATCCTGCGCGCACGCCATTGTAAGAGGCATTGGGCCATCCTGAAGTGTCTATCACAGTCCTTCGTACCAGAGATGTAATCTTGTAATATGTACCACTGTCCTAGCAGCACGCCAATAGCATCTTTCATCTCTGTACAAAGATTTAGCACTCCTGCGGTGTACTTCTGTACACATTGTTGTAGTTCTTCCTTCTCCAAGTGTGAGTTACGGCCATGCATGACCTGTACAAGGTTTTCCGTGAAACGAACCTCTGCTCGGGTATCGGATGGAGGAGGCATGGTGTATGGAGGATTATTGTCCCACTGTGGGAGCTCTGATTCGTCCAGATTGTCAGCACTTTGGGAAGTGAGATGAAATAGCTCGCCATCTGGAAGGGAGGTGACTGCTAGATTGATAAGACTTCGAGGTAAAGGTGGAAGCTGGGATGATATTAGGGGTGGCTTAGATGAGCCTTTGTGGCTGTGTGCTTTAGCATAGTTTTGAGAACGTCGAAGTCGACGAGTAGCTTTCCCCCTGCCAGCAACAATTTGAAGGTTAAGAATACTGACTGTATGTATAGTATAACGACATACCTCTCAGACTGTGCATGGTTCACCTTCTGTCTGTGCAATGCAGCAGTTTTCTCTGCCAAGGTAAGATATCTGGCTTTTCGACCCATACAGACGGTAGAGACGTAAAGACTCAATGAAAGGTGTGCACACAATTAGTTTCTTATTGCATTGTTGGACTTCCTTCATTCGAACATTGGGAGATATCGGTACCAATCGAACCGGCAAATGACAGAGATCTCAAAAATCGATGTCTGCAAAGTCAGCGTAAAGACAAGCGTAGTTGAGACATGTTTTTTATTAGTCGTGAATTTTATTTGAACACTTATTGGCTAATCAAGTCGCACGCGCCACCAGACCTCCAGCAGGCAGCCAGCTCCCCCAAGTGCTCCAGCGCCTCTCACTCGAGTCGAGGATCCCACCGGCGTCTTGTCACACAGGTACACAGTCAATCTTCTGTCCTAACTTTTAATTCTGTCAGAGGATCCCAATGGAATATATTATATAAGTCATCTACCCTCACAGGAGCCTCCGAGCATACGCGACCCTCTTGGGAGTCATTCACCAATTATGGTAAGTCAGAGCTCACCCTCGTTTTTTCGAAGCTCAACATTTCGAATACACTAATTATTTATCCATGTTCTGAAGGTTTCTATGGCCTGTTATCGATCACATCCTGTTGGACGACGACTACATCCATGTCGTCACACGTTGATGCTACCACACAGATGGACGCGCACTCTTTCACAATTTCTCAGATAGTAAGTCACCTAGTCAAATTGATTTTTGGGTCCTGATCATCGCTTCTAGCTCATAGATGCGGCAGTGTCGACAGAGGATCTGGGAGGAGAAGATCGTGGAGTTAGTGAGCTTACCACAGGTCTCCAAGTTGACGATGGATGGAAGGCTCTCGATGGCATTCCTTGCGTTATGGGTGGATTGACAGCGCTTGTCGGTAAGTCTTGTCACCTCCCTCTTAGACTAATCTTGACTTTCTTCTAGCATCTGTTGGTGGCACCCTTTGTGGACGTGCCAAAAACAACTTTCCTTGGAAAACCCTACCTAAGGAACTAGCCCGGCTTGGATTTTTCCTCAAAGGCTACCCCGACGAAACTATTATGCCCGGCGAGATTCGACCTTCAATCACTCGGTCCAAAGGCATCCACGATTTGACACGTGCCCACCGTGAAAATCTTGTCAATGCACTCAAGTCAGGCACCCTTACCATCCGAGCCGTCACAAGCGACACTGCTCGCACACGCCTCATCATGTCAAGAGACCCTATCGTCATTGGGGAGGCACCCAGACATCGCTCAGTCCACTCCCACGGGCGACGTGCGTTTGCTAATGGTGGCTTTGACCGAAATGGGCCTCCCGTCTTGCTACCCCTCCTGCTACACCTCTTACTCGTCGTCGTGTTGAGGTCTTCGTAGAGATCTCACGCCCGCCACCCCGGCCAGCTTCTAGAGTGATCCCTCCACCCCGGCCAGCTTCTAGAGTGATCCCATGCCCGCCGCCACCCCGTCCAGTCTCTAGGGTGGTCCGAAACACAAGACATTCATCCATCACTCAAGCAAGTGATCTTATCCCGCCAATCACTGCTGTGGAACGGTCTGCGTCGAGCTCTGAATATGCTAACGATACAGATAATGAAAGCATGTCTCCAGATGAGCAGCTACATGTTAGAAAGAGTTGTCATTGCCCTGCCAAGCATCCCAGGTATTGATATTTCTGTGCGCGCTGTTGTAACTGTTCCTTCTCCAATTTGTGTGATATATCCCCCCTACCCGATAGTAGTAGTCAGTATCATAGAACCACACACTGTTGTCACAATTAAATTGAATTTTGGGCTGTAGTCACGAATCATGTATGCTACTCAAATCTTGATTCCCTTCTGATACATCAGCTCTCCCAACCATTGTGCTATTGTAAGCTCTACAACTCCTCCGGACATTTCAAGAAGCTGGATATCCTCCAAATATGCGACTGTAGTCTTCAAGAATTGAGAGACTGTGTCAGCAGCATGCCACTCAGAGTCAGGTGAGAGACCACAGAAATTTAGGATTTTGTCTTGCGCAGCAGTGACACGCTTGAGTATACTTTCGATCTCACTGATTGAGTTTGTGATGATACTAATATCACCCTTAGCGCTGCAATCGTCTGGGATGCTCTTGACGTACTCGGCCAACTTGTCTTTGGCGAACTCACAGGGGTCGGCACCAATCAAAACAAGCATGTCGTCCTTGGCAATTTTGATAGCGTGTAAGCATGCTGGCAGATCGGATCTGTTGGACATTAATTGATTTCAATCTATGTTTCTATTTTTAAACTTACAGTATGTCATCGTCGCTCGAATTATCAGTGTCTGATTCAGACTCATTGTCGTCACGGCCATGCAATTTTGCCACAGCTCTCAATATCTCTTTTGTTATCGCCTCTTCTTCCTTGTCACGTTTCTGGACACCATGCATCCTCCGCCGTTGTAAGATTGCGTCTCTATGTCTTTACAAGTAAGTGTCAGGAACAGTCTCGGGACCAATTAATAAAATAATGACATACTTTGCATAATAGTGTTTGTTCTTCTCTCGTGCCTCAATTCTTTCTTGAGCCGTGTTATGAATAGTTGGACGAGCCATCAGATAGTTGTTGGAGAGGACTAAGGTTGAAAATTGTAGTGGAGGTTCAGAAATGAGCCTCCCAAGAGGAGAGCGTCTTATTATGCAGGTACGCATTCAATCGCCGTTGATCTTCTGTCCTAATTAACATTCTATCAGCCTGAGAGGATCGCAATGCAATTTGTTCGAGTAGCGCAGCACTTCTTGCTTCCTGCCCACCATGATGCATATGCCACCCTTTTGGGCAAGCCGAATGCGATGGTAGGTATCTCCCACTTCTTCTCAGGTGAGCCTTTTCAACCTTTCAGAATACTCTACTAATTCTCACGTTTTTTCTCCCAGCAGAGCAGACCATGTCGACGGCCATACCATTTGTCATCGAGCGTGTTTTCTTCTCACCTCAAGTCATATTTCTCAATGGCGCACTCTCCACTGCAAGGCCAGAGCTCACCGTCATCAATCAGAACCATCCTTGATTCGAGAATGCTGTGAGATCATTGGCAGACGAGTGTGTGCTTCATGTCTACAAGGCCGTTTTCTACAACATTCCAGGTATGTCATTTAACAAATGTATCCTTCTTGCTAAACTGTCATAATATTCCAGTACAAGTCAAACCCTCTCAAATGGTCTTCTGTGTCATGCGTGGGGCTCACATTGGTGTAGTGGCAGGCTGGTGAGCGCAGATTTGTTCCAGGTACTTATCGTATTTAATCATTTTGACACCAGGGAGAATGCGCTTAACTGCGTTCTGGGTGTCACTGACGCTGTTTACTATGATGTTGATTCCGTCGCAATTGGGGAGGAAAAAGTTAGGATTGCAATCGATGAAGGACACATTGAGATGGTGGAACCCTAGGCGTCCCCAGAATTGTAAAGTAGTTACACCTATTGAATGTATAGTATTGCTTGACAGCCGACACCAGACAAAGTGAAATTAAGACTCGCGTGATGTTTATTGGCTGATTAAGCTGCACGCGGGAACCTCATGTCTAACCTCGCATGCCCTCAGATGCTCCAGTGCCTCCCACCCAAGTTGGAGGATCCCTCATCATTTAGCAATTTCCATGGTCTTGCGAGCCTTCCTGGAGGAGTGCACTTATGCTATGTCACAAAGGTACGCAGTGAATTGCCGTCAATCTTCTGTCCTAGTAACTTTCAGTCAGTGAATCCCTATGGAATACGAGCATTCTGGTACTCTCCCAGAAATATGAAAGGCATGGAAGCATCACACGCACTTTTTTGCGCCTGTTTCCTCCCGCTCGTATCGCCGTCAGTAGGATCAATGTTGCCCTCGAGCAAAAAATTGCTCTGTCACCACACCTTGCTAGTATTTGCTTAGACGAAGGTGAGTGCATCTTGAGCTGCACCATTTATCACTGATCTATGTTGCATCAGACAGTCATTTTAAACATGGACTAGCCTTGTGTTGGTCTATCACCCTTCATATCTTACATCTTTCGCTCCTCTCCCAAGTAAGTTCGCATGTTCATAATCTGCCATAGTTTATCTGACCGTGTTTCTAATGTAGCAAATGAATGAACAATATTACCCTGCAATGAATCTGCCTGAAAATTTTCTGCGCTCCTCAACGCCCTCTTTCACACCTATGGAATCTCACTCCGAGCAAATTGGAGGAGGACGTCAAAAATCACCCTCCCCTATCCAGACTCCTACCAAACTTCGCACTCGCATAAGACCCACCTCACGCGACGGTGGTCTTGTTTGAAAAAGTGCCCACAATAGAGCGAAGCTGCTTCCAGACAATGGCTCTGATGGCCATGCACCAGATGGCATGCCCAGTTCACACCTAGAACACTTCTCTGGTGGTTCTTCCCAAGGTCGGCTGGAAGTGCCTGGTGGGGTACCTCCAGGCAGCTCCTTAGAATTCTCCAGACGCAGTGTGTCACACGAGAGGTCGCCTGCTGGTGGTTCTTCCCAAGGTCGGCTGGAAGTGCCTGGTGGGGTACCTCCAGGCAGCTCCTTAGAATTTTCTAGATGCAGTGTGTCACGCTAGAGGTCGCCTGTGGGACCTCATGACCCTCACTTCATGCAGGAAGTGTTCCCAGCACCCTGTGAGGTGATTCTTCCTCAAGCACCCCTCATCACTATGCAGGAACAGACCCAACAAGATCTGCCCATCCGCAGCGGTGAACGAGATGCCTACGACTTCTCGTCGCTCGACGTCCCCGCCCCATCATGGGACTATATGGCTGGGGGATTGTTCAATGTCATGCAGCCAACCAACCTTTTCATCCTGCACGATCTACCAGAACATAACACACCTCCACATGTTCCACTTCTACCTGGACTCAATATTCCTGCAACCCGTGTCATCCCTCCCACTCCCGCCAACGCGATGGACACCCAGGGAGGGCCTTCAGGTGCGGCCGTCGTTGGTCGGAGGTCAGAAGATGCCAACGCTGCAATGGAAAAACAGTTTGACCTCATTGATTGCACCATCGATGAGCTTGCAGTTTCGACTGGCATGCCAACGCAGCAAGTTTTAAATTTATTTCTCAAGTCTCGTGGCCGCATCAATAACGGAACAAACTACTGGAACATTTACGGGCAATACTTCAAAGCTCACCGCCTGCGCGAGCTACAGTGAGCTGGCAAAGATGCGAATGTCATCAGTAAGTCTGTCTTTTAGTTCAGTCGTTGTGACTCATGTTGGGGTGCAGTCACATCAACTGTCCAAGGCGAATGTTATAGGTCCTTCCAGGATGCATATCCCGATGATTGGCAAGAGATCCTTGACACATTCGACGAGACACGGATAGCTTCAGGCCCACCTCTGACCGTCGCACAGCGGTCACAAGAATTCACGAGGTTGACAAAGAAAGTGACATCCTTGGTAAGTCTTACATTGTATACTCAATTTTCACGCACTGATGGAGCATACAGCTAGATATGGCCACCGCAAAGCATGGCTTTGAAGCAGCGCTGCTTATGTGCGGGAAGGTCGTGAATCAAGATGCATCAATCGGGTACATACACACAACCTCTGGTGCAGAAGAGGTAATTTTTAATCATCGGTGTATCATAGGCCTTGCTGACTGCGTGTTCTCGTAGTTTTGGGCTTCCCGTTGTCGTGCCGATGAGGACACGATGGTGGGGCATTTTAAGGCCCATGTGTAGTAAGTCAATTATATTTTTGCCTCAATACTTCAACTGACTTCTTTTTCAGCCACCAGGCTTCTCTTGCTGTTGTCGCCGAGGACGTTTACGGTGAGGCTCAGCTCAAACCTTCAGAAAAGAAAATAGCATTGCCTGGGCGGCACGCGCGCGCGCCAGCGGTAGCAGAAGAGGATGATGAGGTACAGGAGGTTCCCGACAATCTCAATTGGAAGACACTGGCCGACCACATACAATGTATCAAAGTCGGCATGACCTCGATGTTCAGTAAGCTCGGCGGGAAATTAATGGCACAGTCAGGAACTTTCCCATGGAAACTATTACCCACCGAGCTGGCGCATCACCGTTTTGTGATGAGAGGGTATCCTGAAGACATGTTAATGCCGGGAGAGCCACATGTAATGGTTGCACGACCCAAAGGCATCAGCGACCTCGATAAACGTGAACGTGTCGTACTTGCAGATGCCTTGCGATCAGGCAGATTGACCATCGAACAACAAAAGATGGGAGACTTGAGTACGTGCGAATCAATTCAATTCTCATATGGCTAACTAATCATTTTATAGACAAAACATCTCCTATTATATTCGGCGAGGCTCCTCCTGAAGAGTCCATGCATGCACGCGGTCGTCGCATGCTTGTAGATGGCACCATCGATCGTGAGGGATTGGCCTGTCTTGGACCAAGTGCAGCGGGCACAAAGGTCCAGAAGCCCCCAACACACAAGGAAGCAGCTTCCCATCGTCATGCATCCCCCGTTCTCGTGAACAACCAGTCTCCACAACCACAGACAATCCCTCGCAAGCAGAAGCTCGTCCCGATTGTTGAGCTCCGTAAGCGTCCTCCTCCACATCCACTGAAGGCAACCGGAAAGAAGACATCCATACCAGCAGCACGCGAGGTCACTCCCATCGACATGTCCAGCGCACAGGCCAGCTCGGAGTCAGACGCCGAGGATGAGTTGAAGGAGGACCAAGACCCTGTTGAGGGTGACGACTCGGAGTATGATGATGAAGTCGCCACCTCTCGTAAACGCAAGGTCAAGGCATCTAGAGGCTCTTGCTCACAGAAACGACGTGTCCTATCAAGCGATGTTGAACTCATTGAACCATCACACGATGAGAGAAAAGAGGTCAAGGGAAAGGGCAAAGCGACTCACCAGGGCACTGGCAAAGGGCAGAAGACTGCAAAGAAGGTGCGTTATCGCTCAGTCACAGTGGAATCAGACTTGGGGCAGGAGAAAATGCCTGGTAAGCAAGGCTTTCATATGTCATCCTGTTGTACTGATCAATTTCTCTTTCAGAAATTGAGCCGTTACGCCTTTGTGATAGCCCAGAGCAGCCTTTGAAGGCACCAATTCAACGTAGTGAGTCCGAATGATGACTTACATGCTGGACTTTGGCTGATGACTCTTATTTAGAGCGCCCCAAGCTGAAGAAGATTGTTCCAGGTTCTGAGGAAGCTGCCCATCAAGCTGCTGTATACATCGAGGGTATGCGAGGAACAAATGCCACCAATGATGGAGGTTCTGGCGTCAACGGGAGTTCTGACACCAACGGAAGTTCTGACGCCAATGGGGGTTCTGACCTTGCCATGCAGCCGATGTTGAGACCTGTCCAAGCCCGCCTCCCGGGCCCATGTGGCATCCAAGAACGGGCCCTCGCGCTACCACCATCATCAAGTGACTCCATGGATGCAACGTCACATGTTCATGCTGTGTCTCAGTTCCAAGTCTCACAAAATCGACATTATCCTCAGGCTGATCAGCGCCACATCGAGCCGATAAACTATTATCAACACGGCAACCAGCCTGGTCAGCATCGCGAGCAGATAGACTATCAATGTGTCAGCAACAACCAGCCGCAATATCGTCAAGACATGATGTACACACATCATCCCACACCCTATGCGGCTCGGCCTGAAGCTCGTGAAGGCAGAGCTGGAGGGTACCATGAAGGCAGTGGACCATCTGGAGCCTCAGAAGCCTCTTACCAGGACTCGAGGAGCTATCGCAACGATACTCAGCCCATGTACCCCCAAGATGCTGTCTCTCGTCAAGAGTCTCGTTACCCAATCTATGCTGACAATGCTCTTAACTTACCCTACTCGTCATCTCCAGCTCCTTCTGAAGACGGCTACATGAGTGGGGCTCCATATTGATTGTGGGTACATCAACGGCACCATAATTCGTCTTGTGCATCTTTGTCATCTTGCTTCTTGCCTAAAGATATTAACGCACATATCTATTCACATTCCTGGTGCCATCCTTACTTTTGATCCTGTGTGCTCGATGTTTCTGCATCTCACTCGTACTTGCTTTGATCAGTGGTACTTAACTGCCTTCGATGATAGTTTACATTTGTATTTCCTATTCTGATAAATCAGAAGTGTCCGGTTGAACAAACATACTTCAGAAGTTCGCGAGGCGATCAGGATAAAAATGAATTGTTCAAGAAAAAAGCTGCTTGAGTCAAGTGATTGTAGTTACAGGGACACTCGAACTCTCCTCCCGCGCCACCTCGTCGACGAAAACTCCATGTTTTCATCGAGGTACCAGTTCCCCCATCCTCCTGGAGATTGCATGCAACAAGGCAATGCTCGAAGGAGGCATCATCGAGGACGACGCAGAATTACAATGGTATGTTGCAGAGTATGTATCAGTAATGTCCGTGTCCGTGAGCCCCCTGAGCCTTGCAACCCTCGCAGACCCTCCATTCGACTCTCACAGACCTCTGGGCTCCTCCTCGCTGGAGGTTCTACGAAATGCACTACGGTCCTAAACAGGATCTGAGGGGAGGCCTCCCTGTGGAGGTAGGCTTTCAGGCAGATTACTACCTACAACGAAACCCACCCTGACAGGCTCTCAGTACCTTTTTCAAGTGGTGCCAAGGGTGCAGGAAGGTGGGTGTAAGCGTTGGACGCCATAGCCACACCAATGTCCATGTATTCGCGGATGGAATATTTCCCATCCATTGGAAAGCCACGGTTGATTGCCTCCTGGCAGCATTCAGAGTAGTATGCTTCATCGATTGCGACGTCCATGTATTTCAAACCGCAACGCCGAAGAAAATCAGCGATGGACTGGCGGATGCCTGCTAGGACCTATATTCAAGAGAACATTCAGGGTATGAAAACGTGGTAGAGGGGATATACGGACACCACCATCGAGAGTGGATATGGAGTGTGTGTTAGTTGACATTACGAGAAGCTAGCAGACAGGAGATTGAGTGAGAGAATGTTTGGAATATGTTTCATGTGCTTGATACTTATATCCCATTAGCCGGGCATGATCAAGATGATCGTCAGTTATAACGACTATTGGTCCCGCAGACTTCGTATTAGTGCTGCCGTTGAAGCGAGTTAGTAAACTCGAAGTGGACTCGATTCGGTTTGGAAATAACCCGAGATTTACAATAGATTTTGTGCAGTGTGCACTTTATCTCCATACGTCGTAACCCCCTGCAAATGGCCCCAGGCCATACTATGGATAACGCGATCTTTGGGTGCAGATGACCTCGTTTCATACGTCCATTAGAGTCGGCAAGACGCAGACCTGACTGGAACTATCTGGCACACCCTCAGTATCACAGTACTAATGTGCTTACCAACTCGACAGCAATACTTATATGCCTCGCGGTCCTTTTCTGCTGGATATTAGCAAAAAGAACATATATTTCCACTTTTATTCCACGTCGCTATGGATGTCCTGCCTGCTCATGCTCAAGCTTCATCGGTGCCTTTTCACAACATTGGAAGCAGAATACAAGCCCAGTCAGCGAAACGACTACAAAATTTCGTAACTCCACCAATATTTTGGACATGGACGATAAGACTCGTCTGTTCGAGCCTATACCGTTGAGATAAACTGATAACGGTGACTCGGTTCAGTTCGTCAAATAGTAACCATACCATACCGTATAGAGATGAACTTTGTGTGTGTCAGAAGGCCTCGTGCACCATGGACGGCATAGTTCACCTAAATACTGCAAAAACTTCTCTGATGGCCTGTACCCGGAGTCCATAAAGTGCCGGAGTCGGAAGAGGGCTGCAGAATTGAGAAGGATGAATTCAATGTAGTGGCTGAGAAAATGAGGCCAGAATATCAAATCCATGCTATTATAAGTTTGAAATCGATATAAACTTTGAGTTCAGCCAGTCCGCTAAGGTCAACGAACATGCGAGCTCGATGAGTTCAACGGTCTAGTTGTGAACTGGGGCGAGTGTGAAATCGATAACTTCGCTCTGATCATCTTTAGCTGAAAAGATGTCTACTATGGTCAAAATTAACACGATAGTAGTAGACTACACATCTCAATAACGGGATAGACCTTATGATTTTCAATCCGATGCCGTACACCTCGTGCTTGCAGAGTGGTGGAAGAGACTCAAGAGCAGGTGATGCTTATTACGCCACCGGTCTGGGTATATCAGTGGAGCGCCCGAGGTGAGGTTCTCGGACGTCACAAGCAAAAGTATTGGATTACCTATGACCGACCTCTACAATCATAAGATATGATGCTAGAGGGTGCTGCGGTTCCTCTCTTGCACACCATGTTCGTTCAGGATGGACTGGTCAAGAGTGCGTACCTTATCGTGCAACGCTGGCGCAGGCGCTACTGGAGCACGTCAAGGTTGATTAACTTTGCTTCATTAGCAACGTTATCAACAATAAAACCGGATGAACGGGAAATACTCGATGTCGCTGTTCACGTGTGTCCCTTCCATTTGATGTGAAACTTCATTTTACGATGGTAGCGTCTCGTAGTCGGACCATATAGAAGGAAGACAGCTTATCGTTCTTGATTTCGATGGAAAGCTAAGTCTGGCACTTGAAAAGACCCCATGATGGCCTCGTATCATCTTTCTTAGGGTGATCGTCAGCATACATTTATTTTTAGAGAAGATATGGTCGGCGCTCCAGGTCTCAACGTTACACCGCTCACCTTATCGTCCGAAAAAAGCAGGATTCGATGTGTCATCTCGCAGATGAAGAATTATTCTATCACAAAAGGTTTCTGTGCATCTGCGTGTCAAACGGATCGTATTCGGATCGTACTTTAGAATGACGGCTCGCTCCGGCTATGGGACCTAGCAAACAGCGCCCACCGCGCAGATAGGACACGGCTGACAAGATGAGGATGACAAGGCAGAATATAGAGCATAAAATTAGAAAGACTGTTCCAAGCGGAAGGGATAGTGAGATCCTGTGGCGAGACGGGGAAGGTCAGCGGACAGGACACAAGTACCAAGTATGTCACGGTGTGAAGTCAGTGTGAATGTTAATCAGACCGGCAAAAAAGTCTACCGGACAGGAGTCGTTCAGTGGCAGTGATATTCTCGCTGGAATATCAAGATCAGGGATGGCAAGACGGGCAAGTTGCTCTGCGCACTTGAATACACGAGCTTGACAAAGTTGAATTGATATTAAGAGCCGAAATCCTAATTATTACATAAGTAAGATCGCAATCGATTCATCGTGATATATGATACCTTACTTGCTTCAGTAGCTCTCCCTATCGTCTTTCAACATTTTCTCCTACTAAAATTCGTGGGCCTTCTTCCCACAGTAACAGCGCCGTGAGTTTCCTGTGGGGTCCGCTAACCTATGAAAGAGAAGTGTTCCAAGTTACTCTGAAAGGATGAAGTCGGAGGAATGCCCAGGACCGTTCTCTCCTCCGCTCACCCAGGGCCATATGCGAGGTATTCATATTGAATGTGACGAGGGATGAAGACATCAGATTCGGCAGGCTGGCAACTGAATCTGAGAGAAAGTGCGACATGAGGCTCCAGCCGGATGTTTTTCATAGCCTTAAGTCGCATACAGGAAGACGCACATAGCGCCGGTTGAAGACCTGATTCTTGAAAGACAACTTGGGCGAATGGGTGCCCAACTTCCTCAACTGTCCACCTTCTCAGTTTACACTCCGTCCTTGTGCGTTTCTCTGGATAGGTGCTTTTTGTGAGTGATAAGTACTCCAGGCTGATATAACAAAGATCTTTTGCGAATTCTTGCATTTCGCCACACATATGTACATTGTACCAGGGCGATCTGGCGCAGGTCCTCGCACTAGGAGTCCCACACATTCGTCTTTCATAGTGCAACCGCGGGCGGTTGCATTTTGAGGAGATGGGCAGATGGAACGGGGCGTCCCATCAGACCTAGGCAGGTTCGGGCGCAGTAGCAAGTGTCCTGGCGCGGTGGCAGGAGTCCTGGCTTGTAGTCTAGAATCTCTAGATAGACGTAGCCTATAGAGCCAGACCTTGGGTCTCTTGCAGTCCGTTCCTGTTACAACATAGAGTCCGGGCGTCGTAATGACTCCAATAAGAAATCTTCTAGCGATGGGGGCCGGGGTGGCGACTTTCTAGCCTCTGTAAGTCATCAAAAATTGAAGCGAAATGAAGTCACTTCACATTTGGTGTCTCCGTGTACTTTGATTCACGCCAATGCCGAATGCTTCTCCGGTGCTTTGAAGACCCGGTTTCTGCCCTCCTGATAGAAATAGCGTGCCCCATGAGGCACACTGTTTCTGGCCGGAGCCCATTTTTCCCTGTAGGACAGCATGTCCCATGAGAAAATGTGTCCCAGTGGGCACTGGGCACGTCTCTAGTTGTTTTCAGGATCAATGATGGCACGCATTTCTCGCTCGTCCAACCGCACGTCGCCGACCACGACAAGCTCGCGTTATCTGGGGTCAGCGCAAAGACCGAAGCTTGAAAAATTAACCAGGTGTGAGCGTCCCTAGTAACTAGATACGGTAGCCAAGTCGGACTTGTGCTAACGTGGTTTACATAATTTATGTAAACCCGTGACCTCGGTCTATAAACGTTAACCGGAACCGTTAGCGACTCAACGTCAAGAGAACACAACCCCGATTTACCAGCGACTCCGGGAGCATTATTTGCGCATAGCCGCTTGGTGAGAACAAATTGGGTTGTAAATTGGCACTACAAGGTCGTAGTGATGATGGTGTTCGCTCGTAATGCCACCAGACAGATGCGCAGCTGGTATGGTCACACGTCGTCTCAGAGGGCGTAAGTCCTTCCTGAATCCAGTGACAGTTCGCTTACACGTTCACGTCCGGAGTCTCAAAATGAGTTTGGAATCCTCCGGTATACTCCAGGCAGGGGTTTTTGTGTCGACTAAAGGTGTTGACACTGGTGCTCAGCTCGTCGCTGGTTTAACCTCCACTCTTGATCCCGATGAGGCTTTGAGAATAAGGTGCGTTGCTAAGACTGTATGCACATTAACATTGTATGATTTTGTTCCAGGAGGAAAATTGATGGACATGTCATGCCTTTGATGTGTGGTGAGTCAACCATTGTTTGAATCAATGATGATCGCGTCTGACAATCGCGGTCCAGCTCTCTACTGGTATGTTGACTGTTTTCACCACGAATCAGCGCTCACTCGCGCACAGCCTGGGTCCAATTCATGGACAAGACAACCTTAGGTTCTGCGGCCATCCTTGGAATTCAGTAAGGGTCGTGTATCAAACCCGGGACTGACTCTGTTATCAGGGAGGCCACGCATCTGACCACGAATGAGTAAGCTGTTCTTACCTTGGAGTTGACGCTTGAGCCTGATGTTGAACTATCTTCAGGTACAATTGGTGAGAAGATATACACCACTGGATCTTCCATGTGCCTCATGTACCTTCCAGGCTTGGCACAGCGTTCTATCTCAGTTATCTTATCTTCGAGTATCCCCAGAACCTTACCCTTCAAAGATTCCCAGTCGGAAAATGGATGAGGTAGGCTTCAAACACATCATCGATATGGTCTTCGATGACAGCATGCGTCAGTATCAATGTCTTCGTCTGGGCAGCTGCACTTGCATGTCATGCAGCATGCAAAAACTTTGCTGGGCTTCTTGTTGTGCGCCTGTTGCTAGGCGTATGTGAGGGGTCGATCACTGCCGGATTCTTGATTGTTAGCTCCATGTCCTACACTCGGACGGAACACACCCTACGGGTTAGTTATTGGTGTAAGTTCCCATACACACATGATTGCCAAGCAAACTAATTAAACGCGCGCCAGTCGTTTTTTCGCAGCATCCGTCAGCATTATCGTCGACACTAGCGTCTCCACAGCATGTACGCACTCTCACCTTCCCTCTGGTGTTCCATGAAAACTGAAACATTCTGTTCACTTTCAGTATGTGGCTTACTTCGGCGATCTACCTAGTTGTCTTCAATATCACTCATTACACGATATTAGACTGGACTTTTGATCGGCCAGTACCCGAGTGCGTTTGATGCCTGGTGTGAGTTTGTGTACTCATTGCTTCATAGCTGGGGTCAGTGTGCCTAGGTTCATCCTGTCGTCGTTAGTGTGACTGCTGGTCATACGAAGAAGGTAGGTGATATGTAACTCATTGAAGTTATTCCTCAAGTTAAAAGCTACCTGCAGGTTGTTACCAACGCCATCATGCTCTCAGCATACTGCATTGGCAACTCAGCTGGCCCCTTGATGTGAAGACACAATACAAGCCGCGGTAGGTTATGGTTATTCTCCGAGAGACTCTAGGAAGGAAGGTTCGAATCACATACGCAGTAACCACGTCCCATGCCACTGGGCTGTGATGGGCGCATGTTACATCGTCTGTCCGGTACTTCTCCTTCTCATCCGTGTCGTTCTCGTCCGAGAGAACAAGATCCGTGATGCTGAGCCTGTTGACGATGAACTTGAAGAGGAATATGTGATCGAGAGAATCACTGAGGATGGAAAGCGTGTAGAAGTTAAGGTCAACAAGGTGGGTTCTGTGAATCGATGATTACAGTTTGTATACAAGGCTGATACCTTAACTTTACTAGGAATTCCTGGATTTGACGGATAGGCAAAGCAGGGACTTCAGATACGTTTTGTAACATTAAGCATGCGTCATCCCTCTGCGCGTTCATTGTTGGGGTTCTTATTCGTGTTACCAATTCATCATACTCATTGATAACAGGACCTGGGTGGTATCATGACATTGCACCTTTATGTACATGTCAATTACAAGAAACTGCACACAATCGCCTGAGCTTGAACTCAGAAATCATAGTATATACCTCGCGCCTCAGGCCTCAAAGCTCAATGATATTTCAAGATGCCGACGCAGAGCTTCTGTAGCTGGTGCCTGTAGCTATGTCATCTTTCAGCCGGTGGGACGTTCCATCATGATCCCCAAGCTAGCCCGTTAATCCTCAATTGTAGGATATATTTGAGAACTCGGAAACCCGAGCCGGTAAGTGGACCGTCAGCTTTCCCTTGCAGAAAGGTCTAAAATATTGCACCTGTCAGGTGAACTTGCGCTGTTTTCGCATTTCAGCAGTGCTAGATGGACAACGTTTCTGGAAGATTGCTAATTGGCCTATTGCTAGCAACGCTAGCCTAGATGTGGCATAGTAGTAAGAATCGTCGATCCCACACATGTTTCACTGCCCGTCAAACACATCAAAAGGCAACTTCCAACCCGCGCTCGGGTTGACCACCCTCTGCGGAGAGTGCGAAGTTGCCGCTGTCTCCAACCTCTCAAAGTCTTCTTGAGGGAGTTCAAATACTGGTTGGAGTGAGTGATACTGCTTCACGAAAGTTTGGGCTTTCTCACCTGCAAGGTTCTCTGCGATGCGAGAAGGTGTCACGCTCTTCGGCAGGACGATCGTCTATTGAGGTTTGGAAAGGTGAGTTATGACACGGTGCTATAGAAATATCGACATACGCCGCGCTGGACACTCCACGAGATGATAACCTGAGCCGGGGTGATCCCAAGTTTGCATGCAATGTCTTTAACCTGTGAGAGGGTTTAGACGGAGTCTCGTCCTCGTGATGTGAAATGATACCTCGGGGACAGAAAGAGACTTTCCGACTTGCTTGTCGCTGCCCAAGGGAGAGTACGCCTCGAGAAGAAGCCCGTTCTCCTTCGACCACTACGGATTACTCATGAACTCGAGCACAAGCGTCTGGATGTCTGAGCTGGAAACATACCTGCAACAGTTCGGGTTGAGGGTTCCAAAAGTTAAGCTCGACTTGATTGACAGCTGGCTGGTACTTCAGATTGTTTGCCGTCAAATTCTGGATCCTGCGATAGATTTTAACAAGGTTGATTTAAACCACAGATCATTCAAACCTTCTGATATTGAAGCTATCGGTGAGATGTCAGCACCCGTTCGACTCGACAAAGATGGAACTCACTTGCTGATACCGATGTTCCTTATTTTACCCCTGTCGACAAGCTCTTCGAGCTTCTGCCAAGTAGGGTATGGATCGGCGGTAAGATCCTCGTCCAAAACAGTAGTTCCCTCCTTGAATGCGACAGGCCTTGTTGGGAATCAGCAAAATGCACAAGTGGGTGAGTAACCACCTCACCAGTGAATCAAGTACAAGTCAAGATAATCGGTACCAAGCTTTGTAAGCGATTCGTCTAGCGCAGCCTCAATGTCCTCAGGTGCGTGGAAAGTGTTCCAAAGCTGTTGTCATTCAGTGAGAGCTAAACTGATTGAATCGAAGGTACTACCTTTGACGTGAGCCAGAGCTCTTCACGAGGTACAGAACTCGCTTTAAGAGCTTGACCGACTTCTTCTTCGTTCTGCAACTATCGTCAAAGAGGTCCGTCGCGATAAGGGACTCGGACGTACACGATAAATCCAGGCTCCATCGATGTGTCTATAACCGGCCGACAAAGCAGTCTAAAAGCACGTGAGTGTAAGTACTCGAGGGACTGCGGTGCACGTACCTTTACGGCGTTTCCAACTTCCCCCTGGCTAGCCTGCCATACACCTGACAATCAATGATTAGTTTAACATTAACTTGATAAGCATTCACCGCTGCCGTACCCAATGCAACTGAGGGAATCTTGTCTCCCGATGGTAAGGTATAGTGAGAAGGCAGATTAGCCAGTGTAGAAGAGTTACGCTGTGGGCTATTGCAAGCAGACAAGGAAGCCCTAGACCTGGCCATCCTTATACAAGGGATGGAAACACCCAAAAACATAATGATAGCGATGACGAGGAAAGGAGACCTCCTCAGGCTTTTGCGCGGGTCTTTACGTTGGAGAGATTCGTGTTCTCCAGCATGCTTATCGAAGGTGGGGAGTTGGTGATATTTCTGTGAGAACGACATGGATTGACGTGGCTCAGTGGGCCTCAGGAGGTTCACGCCAAGTTGATATATGTCATGTATATAAGCACGGAACGGATTCCGAGTCCGCGGAAGCAGTTCGCGTGACTGCTAAAGGCGGCCGTGCGTCATACCATTTTTGATCATTTTCTTCCCGCGTCGCTTTCCATTATTGAATCTAGACTATCATTTGTATTTCGTTAGTCATCTCATGATCGGTCCGCATGGTTCAGACAAATATTGTTCTTTTCAAACGAATATACAGTGGCTTGCAGGGCGTTCTTGATGGAATAATGCGTGCGTTACATTGTCTCGCGAGTAAATGAGCTGTTTGCTGAATAATCCACCAGATCTTGTCGAGTTCGGACCAGGTCAAGTCAAACCTTGAGGTTGGCTATCGAAGTCAGCATGAACGCATTCTTTCTACTACGTTGTATATCCTACCCGAAAAAGGCATGAACTCGTCATCTACTGAATACTTCTATATGCTCTTATAATTATCCGTCAAGTACTGTGTATTCATCTCCCACCCATCTAACCTCAAGCTCTCGACTTTCCGCACAGCATTGCGCTTATGCGGCTTGTCAATCCAGGAAAGTGCATCATATCCCATGCTACTGGGCACAGGTCCCAGGATAGTCAGTACTATATATACACACCTGTACTTCATGATCTAGCGCTGCCCTCCATCGTTGCCCATAATGTACACCACATCTTCTCTCTTTTTCCACACTCTAGCCCAGGTCGGCATCACTCACGCATTCGTCAACTGGGGCTCTGATCACCCTGCACTCCTCGAAGACCTCCAGCGCCAACGCGCCGACCATGGCAATACCGCTGTCGAAATAATCACTTGCCCTAATGAAATGGCTGCGCTGAGCGCGGCACAAGCATTTACGCAGGTTACGAATACGCCCGCCGCAGTCATTGTACATGTTGATGTCGGAACTCAGGTTAGTACATATATGCTCGGCTTTCTAGGATATTGCCGTCAAACACTTTGTGATAGGCCCTAGCTGGTGCCGTCCATAATGCGAGTAGAGGCAAGGTTCCAATCCTGGTGTTTGCTGGTGCATCCCCGTCTACTGTGGAAGGAGAGTTGAAGGGGTCAAGGAACGAGTGGATTCATTGGATGCAAGGTAAGATACCCACTTGATTGGTTGAAGACAAACCTCAGATGCTTTATGCGTAGATGTACCCGACCAACCTGCCATTGTCAGGCAATACATGCGTTTCACTGCACAGATTAACGCACCCGAAAATATACCTCACCTCGTCAGACGTGCCCTCCAAATGTAAGCTCCTTTGGTTCATTCGAACTCAAAATTGGCTAAAATGTGCACCCCAGTGCCACAAGCGAACCAAAAGGACCAGTATATCTTTGGGCACGCAGGGAGGTATTGGAGAAGGAGATCGATGAATCACTTTTCAACTCTCCCGCATCTCTTTACAAATGGCCTTCGATCGAGCCAACCGCACTCTCTCCCTCAGGTAAATTACCATAGTAAGTGAGACTACTGGATGTTACTTATCGTGCTTGCAGCCGTGAACGTAATTGGTGACGCCCTGGCTCAGGCAAACAACCCACTTATCATCACGTCGTACATTGGACGGAATCCTGCAGCCGTCGGTGCCTTAGAGATGCTTTCCCGACTGATGGCTATTCCTGTATTCGTGACCTGCCCCAGCGCTACCAACGTATCTCTCTCGCATCCATTCTTCGTGGGCGTTTCCTTCCTCGCACCTGGCACACACACCCCACTACTCAGCACAGCAGACGTAATCCTCGTAATCGATGCAGAGGTGCCATGGATCCCATTAAACAAGGACAATCAAGGCAACTCCGAGCGCCCCAGCGATGACGCCCGCATCTTCGTAATCGACTCTGGCGACCCTCTCAAAGAAACCATCGGCATGGATCACGTCGCCGGCGTCGCAGAACTCATTTCCCGTGCCAGCGCTGAAGTCGCGCTCTTCCAACTCCTGAACTCCGGGAGCACAGGCTCAGCGACAGGATACTACACGCGTTCTAGGAACATACAGGCGATTCACGATGCGTTCATCGCAGATATGCGTAACGCGGAGACAGTCATGTCCGAACCGAATATGCCGTATCTGCCCTCGCGCATCTTTGGGGCTCTGCGTACGGCGGTGGAGAATAAGGTCCCGCATCCCGCGAGCACGCTTTACCTTAACGAGACTATCAGTAACTACCCGCTTTCATGGTCACATCTGCATCCTGACACGCCTTTGGGCATGTTGAGCTCCGGCGGCTCGTCACTCGGCTGGGCATTAGGTGCGGGCGTTGGTGCGGTGCTAGGAGGGGTAAATGCAGGCAAGGGTGTAGGGAAAGTGGGGTACGAACTTGTAGTGAGTGTGGTGGGTGACGGTACGTTCTTGTTTGGAGCGCCCAGCAGTGCGTTCTGGATGGCGAGGCGGTATGAAACGGTGAGTGCCACTTACTGATATTGAGTAATGGGTTCTAAGGACGCATCGAACGACAGCCATTCCTGACCATCGTTCTGAACAACGGAGGCTGGAAATCACCAAAACTCTCCATGTTGGGCATACATCCCGAGGGGCACGGCTCCAAGGTTACCGGAAATCAGCTTACAGTGGGCTTTGGGCCTGACATGCCAGCCTATGTGGGTATCGCAGTAGCTGCGACTGGGGGGTGGGCGTGGGGAAAACGCGTCGCCGCGGGTGATTCCCTGTGGGAGACGATGTCTGAAGCTGTGCGAATCGTGGTTGAAGAGCGGCGGTGTGCGATCGTGGAGTGTGTATTGGAGAGTATTTAGTATTTGAGTGGCGAGGGTACAGAAGGTGCGCTAGTTGCTATCGGGTCTATGCTGTAAAATTGGTTGGTTGGGTTTGTGCTTATACCCCTAGAATTTAACGAATGTCATTAATACATTGGGCGTCTCATCGTCGATAGATGATGTGCGACCTCCATAGATTGACTGTCGGTATATTTTTACTACGTAGATTAAAACTTTGCAATAAATGGTAGGCGTCCTTAGAACAGCCAAAGTTTATCTCTCTATCTCTACGAGTGTCTCTAAACAAGTCTCTGACAACTCAGAGGTAGACAATCACATCCATCAGTTTGGAGGTGGCAGAGAGAAATTTTGTTGAGGAAGGCTATAATATATCGGACACAGCTGCTTCGAAGAATCTATCGCTGATCGTCAGACCAGCTCTAATAGTCCATGGTGCGATGTACTCACCACTGAGAGGCTGCGAAGCCGCTACATCTTGAGAAGCCTCCGCAAACACCAAAGCCATCCCGCTGCGCTCATACAAATCAAAAGGGCTTCCGCAAAAGAAACAAGCAACTCACGAATATAGATGCCAATCGATATGACTAGTACACACAAAAATCCCAAAGTCATCAACATCATCGACGACGAGGTATCACGAACGATGCTTACCAGTGCAACAGCCACGGCCCAGGATTATCAGTGATGAACCGGATGGTCACGTAGTCACCGAGAAAGCCGGTGTTCACTGTATCGCGCAATACGGGGTTGATGTAGTTGTATCTGCTACTGCCCGCACTTCTGATGACAGCGAATTTGTGCTAAGAATCATTTATTAGTATGGATGTGCATAGATTACGGGCAAGACGTACCCCGTGCAGGTGAAATGGATGCTGTTGAAGCTTCAGTTGATTGCATGTAGGTACATGATACTTTGGGACTTACAGGTCGACCTGGGGCTAAATCAGGAATCCATGAAATCTCGATAACCCTGTTCCTTGGTAGAAAATATATGGAACCATTGGGAGCCATTTCAGAAGTCGACACATCGCCGTTCAGCAACTGTAGTAGGACAGGGATAGTAGGAGAAGTGTACTGCACGCCGTTGACAAGGAAGTTGAAATTGGTCTCATTTTGTGCAAGAACGATAGTCAGCTTGATGGCTGCGCCGTCTTCTTGAAGCAGCATAGGCAGAGATGGATACAGCGGGTGTAAGTCAGGCTCTTGTAGAGCGACCGGGTTTGGAGTTAGCCTGATCTCAGGGTCTGCATCGGGAGAGCCTGCATATCGCAAGATGGCCATGGAGCTTATACCTAAGTTTGGGACCGCATGCACCCAATAGTTGTCGACAGGCCGGTTTGTTTCAAGAATGAAGGAGTACCTCTGTGCGGCGTAAATCTGGATAGAGTCGACTACGAGCGGTTCGACGTATTGACCATCAGCTTCGATTATGATAAGCTTATGGTCATCGATCGAGAAAACATAGTTGGGCTTGCACGCCATGTTCAGTAAGCGGAATCGATATCGCTTGTATGGTTGAACGTTGATGATGGCGTAAGGCGTATCTGGCCCTCCTGGATAACTTCCGACACCGTTGATAAGCACCGAGTCTGGAACCACCTGTCTCTGGACTTGAGGTGATGGTACGTGGTACCTGAGAATGGAGCTGAGTCAACCATTCGAAAGAACCGTTAGCTTTGGCTTACCAGTCCATCAGCGTGATGACCGTAGACTCTTCGCTTAGGTGTCAGAATCGAAATTTCACTTTATCTGACTCACTGACCATCATCAATATCGTACAGGAAGCGGTACGGATCTTGTGGGTCATAGATGATCAGTGCACCTCGTAAACCGTCACAGTATTGGACCTGAGTTTCGTTCAGTAATCGGTTGTAAGTGAGTCACTCGGAACACGAACTCCATAATGAGAGTGATACCAGTAGGTCCCTACTTGTTCGCCGGCATTGAACTCGTACAGAAAAGAATGACCAGGAGAGATCGGGCATTGCGTCACAAATGCTGCGCCGTCCATTTGGTTACTATGGCGTTGGAATAGTCCATGCCAGTGCTGTCCAGGGTAGAATATCATCAAACGCTCTATGTTTCAACCAATTGGTGCTTACGATGCTGGTACTTGTGAGCATTGTTTCGTCATTCAAGTGATTGATGACGTTGATTTTGAATGTGTCTCCCTTGAAAGCACATAAGATCGCGAAGAGTTTGTATACACAAAGTAATCTTACTTTCTGACCCGTAATGATAGGCCCGGGGAGAGTGCCGCTAGCAAGAACCGCCCTGCCATGACCTCAGTAATCAAGCAAGATGGAAATTATACAGAAACTCACGACTTGATAAATCCGTCGGGAGATACTTGAGCATTTGCGATGACTAGGTCAGCAACTGGACCAATAGTAACGGCGTAACTCTGAAGACCTGTCAGAACGCACAGCAATATATAGTGTTGAATCATGACCCGGAGGATGAGCGAAATGCAGCACATTCTTTTGCTTAAGTAGTGCACTTTGTATTCACCTTTTGGATCTGGACCTCGCCCTGCTTCTTTTGAATCTTTTCCGGGCCGTGGATCGAAGTTGTCGACCTAGTAGTATAAAGCAACCATCTCCAGTTGCGATATCGTCCCAGTGGCTTCCTGGCACTTGTAAGTCAGCACTGATCAAGTTGGATACATGGTAGAACGAAACGACAACACTACTTAGCTTCAGACTACATATGATACTCACCTCAGCAGCACGAGGTAGTACAAGCTCTTAGATCTTGCGAATTTCTCGGTGCTGGCTAGCGTTTACAAGTGGCGTATGGATTCCCCGAAGCGTTGGAATAAGGTTCCAGACTCTTCGGAATGTTCTTGAGACAAAGATGAAAACTTAGCATCGCATGAAGAAGTAATATCACCAGGATGAACAATGCTTCGGGGTATTTCAAATGTGGAGCAGTAATAATAAGTTGTGTGGTAGTTGCTTAATGACTGAGTGTGGGCAGCAGAGTCGACTTATGTACGCTGGTTGCAACCGCCACGTGCACCACGTCACTTATCATGAGGATGTCAACGCACATCCAATGCACATTGCACACACCTGAAGGATGAAAGTGATAGATAGGCTAAGTTTTATTATATCTCGGTGTTTCAGGGAGCCATACCATTGTTTACCAGTGGCATTTGATTCGTCGGATGCCACTCCGGCGGCTTGTTGTCATCAAGTACTCGTGGTATGGAAGGCTTTCGACCTCCTTACGATCGAAGGTGTGAATCGTGATGACCACCGAGGCCAGGCGAGATGTCTGCAACTTTTCGGAGGCGCTGTTATCATTCCGGGTAATCTGCGAAAGGAAGGTAGTCGAGATGCAGACTATAATAGGTCACGAGTATTCTTATTTCTACAGAGCTAGGCACGGAACGAGATGTAAGGACGATCGATGCATACCTCTGAGGATCGATAAAGGAAGATTGCAAGGGACCACAAGTATCGGCGGCGCGACCCACGGGTAGGTACCAGCACAACTAAGTAGACTGATAGCAAGTCGAGTACATGTCCGGTCATCGGGGATGGTACAAAGGAATGTAAAATTAGCCCAGCTGCAGGACCAATCTTCGAGATCAGCTGTGATGAAGCAAATAGTTACATAGTCACCGATTCCAGTGGTCATGGGATCGTGCATGACAGAGTTGATGTAATTATAACTGATGACAGCGAAGCTGTAAACCATCTGTTGTACATACATAGATGACATCTCAAGACGCACCCCATAGAGGTAGAATGGATGTTGTCAAAGGGTCGGTCTGTTGTCGATCAAAGACATATGCATAGGCGATTATGAGAAGGACTCACAGGGAAGCATGGGGGATCATCAGCGTTCCAAGAACTTTGTCCCGCAGAAGAGTGTATACGGAGTCATTAGGTGCCAGATTCGAACCCGTCACATCACCGCCCAGTAGCTGCAGTAAAACTGGGACACTATTTGAAGTGCATTGAACACCGTTGCTGTGGAAGCTGAAATTGGTCTCATTTTTCTCAAGAATCAGACGGAACTTGACGTCTACGCCATCTTCCTTGATCAAAAGAGGAGGAGGCGGATATAAGGGGTGTAGGTTAGTCTCATTCAGAGTGACCGAGTCTGAAGTTGTCCTGATCTCGGGGTCCACATCGCAAGAACCTGCATAACCCAAGATGGCCGCGGACTTTGTTCCTAAGTTCTGATCTGTATGCACCCAATAGTGGCCGTCAGGCTGATTGATCTCGAGAATGAAGGAATACTATTCTGTAGCATAGATCTAGATGGAGTCGACCACGAGTATTGGCCATCAACTTCGATGATAGTGAGCTTTATGGTTATAGTTACCAACCGAGAATATAAGTGTCGTTAGGCTTGCAAGCCATGTTGACTCGAAGTACTAAGCGGAAACGATACCGCTCGTATGGCTGAACGTTGATATGACAGCGTCAGGCATATCAGGCCCCTCTTGATAACTCCTGACACCGCTGATGAGTACTGATTCAAGATTTACCTGTCTTTGGACTTGTATCTAGAGGCGATGGAGTATCATGATGATACCTGCAAAGTCGGAGCCGGTTACATCACGGGTATTGATTCATCGGGTTTGCTTGCCGATCCGATGATGGTGCTTGAACTCTTCGTTTGAATGTCAGAAACGCAATCCATTTCTCCGAGTTCACTGACCATGACTCACCATTATCAATATCATGCGAGAAACAGTATGGATCTTGTGTGTCGTAGACAATCAGTGCACCATCACAGTATTGAACTTGGACTCCATTCAGTTGTCAATAAATGAATGAACTGGACACGTTACCCTTAAGGTTATGACACTGGGGCTTCCTTGGCTTGCATCGCCCATCTGTAGTAACATCGTACTTGCGCTCTTGTTCATACCACAGAATAAGACAACTGCATCTCATAGACCAAATGAGATGTTAGTATGATGTTGAAGTCGCAATGGACACGATTTACCTGCACACCAAGTATACATAACATCCAGACCTTGTGGTCAGGATTTGGAGGATTGAGAAGTACAAACAGCGGCGATAGATAGGGCTTTTATCCAGAGTTAATCCTGGCAATATCCGGCACGAATGGGGAGTACCGGTATCGAAGAAGATTTCAGTCTAGAAGAGCCAAATGACGATAAGCACAGCAAGTGTGCTTCGAATACAGCAGTGATAACATGCTGTACAGCTTATATCAGACATCCAGAGGTTACGACATCCGAGTTCCAAATTTTCTAGAAGAAATGCACAGCACTTAAGCTGTGAAACAAATGAGAGGATGGAATACGCACCACGATACATGACTTAAAAGGATGGATGCCCATCAATTCCCTACTCTAAACCAAACATCCATTTTCTCAGTTTACAAGTGACTGTAGTGTCATCTGTTTTTCAGTTAGTCTGAACAGGTATGTCTCGTCAGTAACACTATCTGTAAATCTGATTACGTGCTTACCGACGACTTAGATACCACTTTGAGAATTCTGACACTGTCAAGTACCGGGACGTCATACATAGTCCGAAACCGTCCCGCGCGTTTAGACTGAATTAATCCCGTGAGGAGCTATTCTCGTCAGATTTGATCGACAATGGTAGGCCCATTAGCTCACCAGCTATCTTTGCCATTATCAGAAAACTATTGATCGCACACATTGTCCACCATCAACCGTAGTGAAGGCTCCAAGCGCCAACCATGACATCCTCAACCAGTAAAATGCCAGCGATTACACCACGTCGGACAATGCAAGGCCATACGAGCCAAGTACTCGATATTGCACACCTGCATGACGGACGACGCATCATCGTATGTTCAGCAGACGGCTCACTTCGATCATGGGACCTGGAGAACGATGCACAAGTCGGCGATACATGGCGAGATGAGGGGCACAAGGCAGATGTGAAAAATATAGCGTTATCTCCAAGTGGTCAGACCGTTGCCAGCGGAAGCGATGGTGGGACGGTGAGATTGCAGTGTGCTGGAGTGGAGATGGTGAGCGAGTCCTGAGCGGATCCTGGGACGGGACTGCGAGGGTGTGGGATGTCAAAACTGGGAGAACTGTCCTGGAAATCAAGAACGGTCACCAGTACGTGTGGGCGGTGGCATACTCGCCGGACAACACAAAATTCGCGACAGGCGGAGAAAACGAAAACGCTGTAAAAATTCGGAATGCCAAGACGGGCGAGCTGCTCAGCACACTCCACCAGGATCAATCAGTTCGAAGCTTGGCTTGGACGTCAGATGGAAAGAAGCTTTTCTCCGGGTCATTGGGTCCGATTGAAATATTCGATACAATCACTTGGGAGCAAATCGCCGTCCTCAAGGGCCATATTTTCAACTTGACTTTGGCTCGGAACGACCGCTTCCTTGCAAGCACATCAATATGGGATGAAACAGTATGCCTGTGGAACCTCAACACGAATCTCCCAGTATGCCTACCCTTCCAACACGACAAGGATGTGAGCTGTCTCGCTTTTTCCGCTGATGGAAAATCGCTAGTCACCGCTTGCGAGGACAACGTCGTGTACCTATAGGATATTTATGCCATCCTCAAAGAAATTGTCTTGAAGACCTGTTGTCCATTCCTGATATGAGTTTAATTTGTGGGTAAAGCAACCATCACTTATAAAAATGAGCGATATTTTGCATTGCACTGATGCATATCTGGTAATGGAGAAATGTTGAGTTTTGCATTAGCTGTCTTTATGTTGTTAGTAACAAGTTAAGGAAGACGTCGATGATCCGGTCAAGATGATTTGTAAAAAAACGATTTGTCAGAACCGAAAATGTGATGTTCAATGGCCCTCATCACCATCTCAGGTTACCCCTCCTCTGGAAAATCAACCCGCGCAGCCCAAATCCACGACTTTCTCTCATCAGCTTCAAGCCCTCAGCTCAAAGTAAAAGTTATCTCAGACGATGACTTGGCCGTTGACCGCGTGTCATATGATGGTATTGTCGCAACTTCTTCCTTCCCTTCAGACTGACCCCCGAAAATTAGACTCCCTTCAAGAAAAGATCGCCCGCGCAACTCTCTTCACCGCTATCACAAGGCAGATTGCCAAAGACACGATCCTCATCGTAGACGGAATGAACTACATCAAGGGGTTCAGGTACCAACTGTATTGCAAGGCCCGAGAGGCTGGAGTAAGGGTCGCTACGGTGTGTAATAGATCACGACATTCTCACTCGCACAACTAACGCAGTTGAGAAAAGTAGGTCTATGTACTTGCTACGCCTGGTCAATGTCAGAAATGGAACGATGAACGAGGAGATGGGAGGAGATATAAACCTCAAACGTCAGTCTTTCCTCTTTCTATTTCTCCACCCATTCCTAACCTCGAAACAGCCTCGACGCCCTCATCCAACGCTTCGAAGAACCCTCATCCATGGTCCGCTGGGACGCTCCACTCTTCACCATCCCCTGGGACGACCTAACACCCCCACTCGAACGCATATCAGATGCAGTCACAACTGGTATCGTCAAACCTCCAAACGTCGGCACCCAGATCACACCAAAAGCACCCACAGACGCCCTCCGCACTCTGGAGCATACGACAAACGCACTGGTTTCTGCACTCATGGCTGCTCAGGTTGCTGGCCCACTGGGGGGACCTATCGTCCTCACCATCGATTCGCTTGAGCATAGTTCGAATACCAGTGCCAATGATAGCTCTGTTCTCCGTGTTCGCTTGTCACTCCCGCATCGTGCACTGACGCTATCAGAGCTGCAACGGCTCAAGCGCCAATTCGTGGCTGCACGCCGGAAAGCTGTGACATTGGGAAGCACGGAAAAAGGAAGGGTGGAGTGGGGAGAGGAAGGCGTGGGACGTGCATTTGCAGAGTTCTTAGAGGAGGGGTTGGGCGTTGCGAGGTGACTTGCACGTTAAGCATCCAAAACAAGAGCCTTGGTTTTAGAATCCCGGGAGTAATACAACACAGGGCTTGTAATATGTGGTACGCGCATCCAAGGTCAAATGATTAACTCAGGTGAACACGATCTCTCATGCAGTGTCACTTTCTCGTAGAATTTATAGATGAATCGTAGCATTCACCTTCACGAAGAAGTCTTCTCCTTGATCTTGTTGAACGGTTGTGCTGAGTCACACCTTTCCCAGGTGCCCTTCGCTCCTTAACATCTACGCAGGACACCATCGAATTCTGAAACGTTATACCCTCAAGAACCCTCTCGGATGTACACAACTATGGAGGCTCTGCATGTTGTATGCTCGTATGACGAAGAAACTGGTGTTGCTGATGCCCTGCTCTTTTCAGAATGGTATCATTTTTACGTCTTGATGGTGGTGCGCCGCCGCGAAAACCAGGCCACCAGCTCTGCTTCACCCTCGACTCGTTCGGGTGCTTCAGTAAGCCTACTTGGTCAGTCGTCCTACTCTTGTACTTGGCGCGCACTGTCGCACCGGAATCCTTGGCCCGGTGTGTACCATAGACGTTGAGACAGCGGTTGGCGGAGCCTGGCTAGACAGGCAAGCATACAGTAATGGTATTTCTTACCGGCGACAAACGCCAAACTCCCATTCAGCAACGATGATCAAATCAAGTGAGCCTAGAACATCGATACATGCTACATTGTCGACATTACATCGCACCATTCCTTCGTGCCCTCTGGCACACATCATGCTAAGCGAGCATGTCAACACTGGGACTCTAATGGCAGAGGAGAATGACGGGCTCACTCGGGCTCACTAGCAGCTGAAGACGCCATCGGTTACCACACAGCAATTTTGACACGAGCATGGCTCATAGGCATCAATTGTGCCATAAGGTCCACAAATATACCCAAAATCGTTGTCGTTGTTCCAACCTTTGATGCCCGTTGAGCACCCCACCGAATCTGCGAATACCAGCCATAAGCATGTAGTCTAATGCATGTAGGCCGCAAAAGTGCTTACTAGGGTCGTCGCAGGGTAGGCCCCCAGGATTTATTATTAAGTCATCAGAGGCGACAGCTACACTAGCCATCGCTGCGACAGATATGATCATGGTAGTGAGTGAGGTGAATATCATCGCTAAAAGATAATGGTATTGTCTGAGTCAAGCTACGTTCGCTTTTATACACAGGTAGTGTGGGGGCTGGCCGATCTGCATGTGGCCTGCACTATTGGATAGACAGATGCCAGCTCACGCACTGTGACATAAAGGTCCATCGCGAGAGCTCACAATAACGTAGCGGACGCAGTTAGCGAGTTCGGTCTATGATCATAGTGATTTATTCAGCAGATTTTCAGATTTTCAGTCACTCACTAGATTTCAAACCTAGTCCGTGACCCCAAGCCACCCGAAAGGCCTTTTTTTGGCTGCAAAATGCAAAGGTGACGTGGCGGGCGCTGGAAAATCTAACGTGGACGAGGGTGACACGAATAGATGACAAGCTTCCAGCTTGGGCTTTTGCAAAATTCGAGCCCCGAATCTTGTGCGGGCCGTGACCTGGGCTCGGGGCTCGGCTCGACTTATTGAGACATGGCTCGGGTTGGCAGCTGCAGCGTGTCCACCTTCATAAGGAGCCACCTGTTGAGCGACCTAGAAGTGGTCGCGTAAGCCTATGCTTACTGTGTGACTAACGCTTCGCAGTTACTTCGGGTGAATTGGACACCGTATGTTCTGTATTTGGACCAACAGAAATGAATAATCGCTTATACGTATGAGCACAGCATGATGCACAACCAAATTGCCACCCTCGAAGGTCACACAAATACCATCTCCCTGTCTCAAAACGACCGCCTGCTGACAAGTGCATCATATGATAAAACGGTGCACCTATGGAACCTCGACACAAACCTCCCAGTTGTCCCTCCACTCCAGCACGAATACAGTGTGGAATGCGCAGCCCTTTCGACCGATGGAAAACTGCTAGTCACAGGCTCAGCTGGGGTTGACAAAATTGTACATGCATGGGACATTCAGGCTGTCCTCAGAAAAGCTGGCTTGCAAGACCTTCTCCTACCTGATGTACATCTCACCGCTCTTCGCTAAATACACGCTGATATCTCACCCGCAGGTGGCAGCTGCAAAGTCGCCAATGAACGTACGTGACGTGTTTCTTAATGTATTAGGCCATTTCACGGTTGTCACTCTAGAGTAATGCTACGCACCGTCCACCTATTCGTGGCCCTCGGATGCCACCAGGCTTTTTCGATGGTGTGCGAGGAGACATTCATGTGCGTCGTCTGTTTTTTTTGAATTAATTGTAGTTCTTACCTCTTGCAATCAGTCCTCCACGTCTCCTGGTGTCCATCACCCATCCTCCCATCGTTTTCTCGCACCTTCTATGGGGAGTCTACGTGCACTCCTCACCCGCCTTCCGTCGCTCTCGTGAAGCAACTGAACTCCAGCAGCGCTCAAGGGAAAGGACTTTCTCTCATCACGGTCCTCGCATCATCGAAGTTCCTGCAGTACAGGATAAAAAGGTATTTTTCCAAATTCCTCGTGCGTCTTTCTATTCACCATGACTCAATAATTCCGCTGTAGTCCTTGTTTGTTGCTCCCCGGACAAAAGAAAAGCAACAGCAGAGCAGCCAATTGCATGGCCAGGGGTCGTCATCGCAATCTCACCATGCCGCTACTTCGACGTCTACCACGCAACCCACTCCAAATAGTAGAAGTCAGGCTGCCGCCCCAGGTGCAGCAACTATACAGTCACGAGTACTCACGTTGTTGGCTCGTCTCGTGCTTTTGATTTGTTGTGCACCTCTGCCAAGCACCAATAGTCGTTAATGTTGGATATTGAGGTCATAGACTGCAGCTCGTTCATTTATTCTTACTAACAGTATATAGTATTCGCGATACACTTACTTGACAGACACTCCTCAGGCTCTGTTTTACCTTCCCACTTATATAAAACGGAACGTTTGGTCCCGCGGAAGCAATCCGTGTGACTCACACCTGAGCTCCACATGCACTCTATCGCTCGTTGCCCATGTGTGCTCGGCAGTCTCCTATTTGCGTGTGTCGTTCACCGCCATGGCTTCGGTGTGCTGTTGTGGGCGTCCAAAACACTACTCTTTATGCTCTGGGGCCGAGAAAAAGCCTTTGGAAGATACAGATGGGTTTGTACCGGTGTCTCTTGATCCAGAAGACAGTGTCGGGGATCTTTCTGTCTCCGTCTTCATTTTGGACGGTAGAAATGCACCATCTGATGATGGCATCAATGTTCATGTGATTACTGCCACTGCAGACGAAGAAATCACTTTAGGACTTTATTGTGTCGATGCATATCAATGCACCTGTTCTTATCCATTTATCTGCTCGGTGAGTGTTATATACAATTTTTTGAAAAAAAAGACATTCGGAATAGAGTAGTGCGCGACAGCGACCGGTATGCCTGAAAGTAATAGCCGTCAGTTGAAGTTGCCAGTGTTACCGCTGACCTATCTTGAATTCTCTATGAAATCTCCCGGGAATTCGTAGGGCCGGATCTATGGCATTCGGCCAATTGGTTGTCCCGATAACGACGACCCTATCGTCAAAAATCGTGCTCACATTATCAATACCATCCAGAACCGTCAAACGTGTCGCCACCACCCATTTTTCAACATCGCTACCTGCGCCTTTGGGACAAGAGCAGCGACCTCGTTGAAAATGATGATACATGGGCTTAACTCGGGCTTCCTGCAAAGTCATCCGCGATGACGTCATTGTTGAATTGCAAATTGATACCGGACGGAGTTTTGCAATTGTGCCATGATTCTGCACAGCTGCACGACTCAGCTGCTGGTCAATTGGACACAATTGTACTATCAAACAGCTGCGGGAGCTTTGAGAAATTACAGACATCTCACGCAGAACTTATCCTACAGCCCCACTCAATCTTACAGATAACGAGCAAGATGCTGACGAAGAGCATGGTTCTCGCGACTTTTTGCTGGCCATGACTATTGGTAAAACTAAGGTGGCCGGCATCATCACTGCCTCAAGCATCGAAAGTGCAACTGCATCTGCTATCAAGCACTCCCCGGCGGTACATCCAGTAACCGGTGAAACGCTCCATCCGAGAACATCCCACTGTTTACGCCGCCACATTGATGGGTTCGTAGCTCATTCATAAGAGCTAAGAGGGCGCATGATGTACGTGTGAAGCACATTTTTTAACCTCTACATGGAGTATTCGACTAACGATATCGCAGTAGCGAGGAGCTTGCAGTTCGCTACGGTGTGTCTCCTTTCTCGACACGAGGGCGACTCACAATTGACAAGTCATCTACCATCAGTACATACACGGTGCGTACTATCTGAACCTCATATTCTTTGTTCTGATATAGTTCAGTGTTGACGGCTACATTCTGGGTAGGCTTATTCCGATCTATCCACGTCCGCTGTTAAACTCGCTTTTTCAGACCTATGACTATGCATGTTTACTTCATGAAGAGGTAATACATTCGTTCTATAATACCTATTGATAATATTATTGCTATGTACAGTGGACATTTTTGCTTTTATCACGCTGGAGCAAGATGAAAGGCCTCTACATTGTCACACGATACCTCTCCTTCATCTTTCTCGCCACAGATCTATATAGTGCGTTCCGCTCCAGCACACATATCCCCGATAATGAATTAACACTTTTTTAGTGTACTTTGTCCCGAATGAGAACCTAAGCGTATGTGATGCTGTGGCGAGCTAATGAGAACGAACGACTTACTGCATGACTTCGCCAGAAATGTCGGGCATTGGACAATATTCAAACAGGTACGTGCACAGTACATCCATATATGCACAGCCTGACTGAGGGCAACCTACTTTCACTCACAGGGATCGGCATGCTATTAGTTGTTTGCTCCGATTGTATCTCTCCTTCCTCCCCAAGACATGTATATTCCTGATTCGATTCATTCAGACTTTTTCATCCTTAGAACATACGTGCTCTGGAACAAGAATAAAATCTTGCTCGCGGCCATGCTGTTCACCTTTGTTGTGAGTTCCCAATTCACTCGCGATACCAAGCTAGTGGTAAATGTGTCAGCCAGTCTGTTATCGTAGCATGCTTCGGTGTTGCCTTTTCCACTATCGTCCCTGCAGCATGTACGCGCTCTCACATTCCTTCTGGCGTTCCACGACCACTGAAACATTCTGTTCACTTTCACAGATGTCACTAGCACAATCCCGGGAATCACAGGGTGCTACCGGAGTTCAGACAGTTACCAGCCCTTTATACCATTCCTTCTCCTTTCTGTGTTCCAATTGGGTGGGAAACTAGGAGCATATATATGTAGCAACGCGCGTTGACCTGTGTTCTTCCCAGGACTCATGATCCTCATGCTTATACGTGCCATACAGAGCTCGCGGACAAACCAAAGCCGTCTGTACGTTGTCCTGGTGAACCATAAGATATTCTATTATGTATGCGGTTTTTGTGAGTTAACATTCGCACATACCATTTTTCCGTGATCATCCTGATTTCTGAAGTGTTTTCGGTAACGAATATCATCACACCGATGCTCCTCCAGGTGCGCCGATCTCCTAAATGCCTTTTATGATTGAACCGTTGATGTTCTGCGTCCCAGAACTCCTACCAGACTATTTTGAATAGGTATGCACCTCCACATCCTGCTGCATGTTTTTACTAATAATACTCACGTATAGTGTCCAGTTCATCATGCTTGCAATCCTTGCCACGCACATGCACCTCCATCTCTGGCAGGTGAACCGACATCCACACGGCTCTACTAGTGCCCTTGTTCATATTCCAATGTCCGACATTTCATTTGAAAATCCCACAGTGTGATGTCTTACTCCGCGGCTTAATTGGTGCCGTCCATGGAGCGCGAGGCTTGGAACGTACAAGATGACTGCTGGATGTGGGCTTGGTAGACTTTGTTACATGCTTAACTTATTGGACGAGTCTGTTGCGGAGTGGGAGGAGCATTTGGATGTCCTCGGTCTACCTGACACCCTAGTTTGTAATGTAAGCGGTGGCAGATTCAGGATCCAGAATTTGAGTATGCTAGAGCCAGACGGAAATGATCATTATGGTACAAGTCTACTGGAGTACATCAAGCTCCACGAATTAACGAAACGTCCCTGTTATGATTAGGTCTTTTGGTATTGACAGAGGGTCGGTGATTGCGTCCTGGGACGAAAAATCCACATATCTTCTTCCATTTTGTGTTCTGTCTTGCTATGACCACAGTGCGGGGTGTTTAGTACATCGTGCGCTTGTTACCGTTAGATATCTGCAAGCTGTTATATCAACCAAATTTTCCTGTCTTCAAGTTGTTGCAGACAAATTAGTCTCATCCGTCAGTGATATCTAGATGGGTTGATTCCTACTGACGCAGTCCTAACTTTCGTCCTTGCCTACAGAATTTGGGCGTTCGCGTATGTGCTCAGATTAATTGTATTCGTTTCTCAGACGATCTTGCAGACTTTGCTATCCGTGATGGAAATACTGCTACCTAAGTGTAAGTGGGATATTCTACGGTTCTTCAAGTCTTGTGCAACGTTGTAAAAGCAATATCTTACGGATTTATTTTTGGAATCAAATATGAGTTCTATTTTCGAAGAAGAGCATGTCCACACCATTCGCAGGTGGGTTGATCGCTGCAACACTGGTTCATACATACAGGTATGTGTAGGCAAGAGTCCCTCAAACCAAGCTTGAATGCTATCGCATTGAGGATAGACGCCGTGGAAAATACAGGTGTCAAATAGACGAAGGATATCCAAATGCCCCTACCTCCCCGTGACAGACTCATCCTATAAATTCAGCAGGTAACAAAACTCTATCTAGCCCACCCCATCAGTCATCTTGTACGGTCCAAGCCTCGCTCCATAAACGACACCGAATAAGCCACAGAATAAGAAATCACTCCGTGGTATTTGCAAATGAAATGTCAGACATTGGAATATGCACGAGCGCACTAGTAGAGCCGTGTGGATGTTGGTTTATCTGCCAGAGATGCAAGTGCATGCGCGTGGCGAGGGTTGCAAGGATCGTAAACTGGAAACTGTACGTGGATGTACGTTTCGGGTGTTATTAGTAAGAATATGCAGCAGGATGTAGAGGTGAATACCCATTTAAAATGGTCTGGTAGGTGTCCTGGGGCGCCGAACATCAACGGCTCAATCATAAAATGCATTTAGGACATTCACACACCTGAAGGAGCAGCAATGTGAAGACGGTCGTCACCGAAAACACTTAAGGAAAGAGAATGATCATGAATGATTAAGGAAAAACGGCGTGTGCGAATGTTAACTCACAAAAACCGCATACATAATAGAATATGTTATGGTTCACCAGAACAACGTACAGACGGCTTTGGTTTGTCCGCGAGCTCTGTATGGCACGTATGAGCGTGATGATCATGAGTCCTGGGGAGAACACCTGTCAACGGGCATTCATACATATATGCTCCTGATTACCCACCCAGTTCGAACACAGAAGAGAGAAGAAATAGTATGAAAAGCCAGTAATTGGTCGAACTCCGGTAGCACCCTGTGATTCCCGGGATCGCGCTAGTTGCATCTGTGAAAGAGAGCAAAATATTTCAGTTGTCGTGAAACTCAGGGGGAAGGCGAGAGCATGTACATGCTGCGGGGACGATAGTGTTGGAGTGGGCTCTGCTAGAATGCGTGCGCTGGACTCTACAACGAAGTGATGCCTGCTACTGCTGCCGGAACTCTACCTAACGCCCTGCCTGCGCTCCAAACACCGCCAAACAACCTCTATGACCTAACCCCTCCCTAGGGGTCCCCCGCTCCATGTGTCCCCCTTAAAAACAGCGACGACCGCGTCGCACCTTTCTATGTCGTTTACATCTTCGTTTTCGTTTCTATCTTCATCTTCATTCTCGCTCTCCTCTTCGTCTATCTGCTGCTCTTCGTCACAAGATCCTGTAGGGATAATGCATTAAATATGATAGATATCAGTAGAATTTGATGCAGGAGACAGGCTAAGTGGCTGCATTACCTTCTCACCCAAACAGGCAGTGTAATGCATTATATCTACTCCCCCTATTACCAGGCCTGTCCTATACACAGCCGCACTTTTTGCATTTTTTAAACTCAGCTATTGGGTGACTATCCGTAGGCTGAAATAATGCGGAATAAAATAAGATAGAATAAAAAAGACCATTTAAGGAAGTCGTGCCGCGATGCCGCTGTTCATTTGCATCAAATTTGCAAAACATTATTTTTTGACCCCCTTACAAACTCTAAATCTAGAAGGGGGGGGGGGCCCCCCCCCTTACAGATTATTCCGGATTATAAATGACGGATTAAATCCGTTTTGGGCCACTACACCTAAGCTATCTGCTGACTAATCCATGACTTGAGGTCTGCCTGACACATGTTCAGCATGGTGATGGTCGCCACCTGGTCCAAACATTTTCCAATATACGGAGTCCCATCCCTGAGCTCCCTGGCGAAGTTTTTAGCTGAAATTTTAAGATTGCTATCAGCAGACGACGCTGACACGTACCACTGCGACCGGCCAGGGTACAAGGTGAGCAGTGCTGACACCATTCTCTCCCTATAAGTCTAGAATTGCGAAAACAACTCATTCCCCAAGCTACCGCGACTGTTTCTTTTTCATTAAAGACTTGATTTCATGTGTGTACTAATGTATTCCTGCGACCACCGCTGGGCACGACAAAGGTACAGCCGCTTAGGGTTCTGAGTTTCAACACGATCAAGTCGAGCTAGCTCTATTCCAGCAACGAGTGTAGCTGCTAACATCCTCGCGTCTTCTTTGTCGTCAAGAAATGCTGTCTCTTCTCCGTCATTCACCAGATTGTGGTACTTAGTGCTGCCACGGTTTGGTCCAGAACCATGGTTCGAACCTGGACTTCCCTGGACCGGACCAGAAGTTCGGTCCAAGGTCCGTTGGAGACCTTGGACCGGACTTCTGGTCAGGTTCGCGGTTCGATCAGTACTGACAAATTGTGAACGGGTTCGGACTGGTCCGAACCAATAAGGTAACATCAAGGTTTGGTTGGTTACCACATAGTCGGTACATCAAACACATGGATACCGCACACTTGGTTCAAGTGTTGCACACGTTGTCCCACTCAGTGCTCCCTTCCCCCACAATTGATCCTTGTCGTTGACCTTCATCGCAGTGGGATCGGTCCTGCGATGTCACTGGTATGTATGTTCCCCATCTTGCTTATTCTCTAATTTCCCGTCCAATTTTTCTTATTTTGACATTCTCAATCTGTCAATGGCTAATATACAGTATCACAATGCCCATCTCAACTGCTAATATGTTCAATTTCTAGGAGATATTCATTGTTGCCTTACATTGTAGGTGCACGGGCCTTCAAGGTCCAAATAAAGGGATCACCAATAGCACATCTGAGGTGAGTACCTTTCTCTTCTCTCGCAAAATGACCAACTGTGCTGTTGGTGCTGATGGGGCATTGAAGGATGCCTCCGAAATTCAATGGTTCAATGATGCGGATGATGACACACCAATTACTCCTCCTCCTGCCAAAGACTCACTCGCTGTCCTTATGCAAGGTGGAAGGCAGCCGGCATCTATCAAAGGTGGTACTCGACGCTCTTCTTGCCCTTTCAAGCCCTCTGCTCGTCTTCGAGCAGCTGATAACACTTCACCTGAGTTGTCTTCAGGCACGCGCCCACGCAAACGGGCATTATCGAGTGCAGACGATGCACCCATCAAAAAAGTTGCCATACGAGCGGCTCCTGAGGAAGATGACTTAGACGACAACCTCATCCCTCCCATTGCTGATGGAGACGACTCATCCGCTGATGATTCAGAGTACACTAACAATCTCGATAACAAAGCTGAAGAAGCCGACGACACCAAGGAAGCATACTGTTACGACAAACGGTCGTGCCATGTTACTGTAACACATACCAGAAGACCAAGTCACTCGAAGATGCAGACCACCAGGTACATTTTTTTCTTAATTATAATCTACGGACACATTTCTAATCAACATTGTCAGGCCCGCCAAACATCCAGGAGGACAGATCGCACAGCCGATCTCCGGACCATTTTCACAGAAGAGAAAGGGTGTCTCAACCCAGACACTGGAACACCTGAGGATGGCTGGTGGTGCAATATTTGCAAGTACGTAAATTTCTGGACCGTAAAATCTGCCTTGTAGGATACTGACATGTACCTTAGGGATGCAGGGCTGCCAGCTCATCAATCGTTTTTCAAAGGTAGTATTTCTACGCGCCATACACACATTTCAAGGTGAGTATCCTCACTACCTGCAAACTTAATGCCAACTAACCCAACAATATAACAGGAATCCGAAGTGTCATTTCCCGGTCTACAAGAGCCGATGCGAGGCACAAGATATCGCGCTGAATGAACGTGCTATTCCTGCAAGTGTCCGAAACTCCAGCGAGCACCAGAAAACATTGGATGGGTCACTTGCCCCCAAAATTCCTCAGTTCACGAAGGCGGGCTTGATGGACTACATAGTTGAGCTCATCGTCTCCAAGGATGAAGCCATCCAGCTCATCGACAAAGGGCCTTTCCATCGCCTCTTGCAGTATCTTTGCCCCAATCTTTCTGATGGTGCCATTCCTCACCATACGAAAACCTGTGAGGAGATCCTCGAAAGAGCCAGACTCGCTGTCAAGACAATCAAGGACAAGCTCGCGCACATTGACAGCAAAATATCGATGATGTTTGACTCCTGGACATCTCTCATAGGCGACCCTTTCTTATCAGTCACAGCTCATTATATTGATGCTCCCACTGACAAGCCCCAAGAGTGCTGAGGAAGTGAAATAGATAAGAAATTGAGTGTGGGAAAGTTCAAAGACCCAAAACATCGAAAATGGTCAGTTGGGCAGTAGTAGGACTTTAATGCTGGGTCAACTCAAATATACACTACATTCCTTCCACAACCCTCTAAGCTCAGGGCAATATGTAGTATAGATTCCTTTGGTAGTCTACCATATATCCTACATATTTTTAATGAAATATTTGACCTGTAGCATATATAAATGTGACTTTGTGTAAAAAGATGTCAATTGTCACTGTTCACACATATGTCATTTTACTTGACATTTGGTCAGTCCTTCATGGATCTTTCTAAAACTTTGGATATATCATTAGGGACATATATGAGAGGTATCCCAGGTCTCTGATCACTTATCACAGGCTTGACTACTATGTAGGCCTCTTATCAATAGAAATATCCCCTGTACCTTGAATTTCAAATTTGCGCCCTATGTAGGGCTGATCTTTGTCATAAAAAGCAAGTATATATGCTATGCTAATGATATATGAACAGGTTAGATAATTTAAGTAAGGAAGTGTAAAACATCAAAAATGTCAAAAGTGAGATTTTCAGTGTTTTGTTCTTGTAGCAGGATCCTATGTGTGTCCTGGGTCAGATATATGATAGATCTACTCCAAATATACATAGAAATAGACCCCTCGCCTCAATTAAGGTCCGGTCCTACAGGAAAAATTTTCACAGGGGGTAAACCATCAGGAGAGGGAGGATACACCATGCAACAAGGGATTCTCCTATGGTCCTGGGCTCCTGATACATTGTTAATATTGTTGAATAGATGCTGGGGAATCATTTTTCAAAGTCTGTTCACCCATAAATAATTAAATGAGAACATATTTTGTGTTTTTCTGTATATGTGCTATATCTACTGATGTAGGACACTTCAGGGGGTCAAATAAAGATGGGAATCTATTCATATATGCTCATAAACATGTTCTGAATATCATAGAACACTTCCCCACCAAAGGGGCAAAAATGCGAAAGTGTTTTGTACCCTACCCTATGTTGAATTGCCCCTGGAGGAGAAGCAGTCACACAAACAAACAAAAAAAGCAGTCTATTATATTATATTATACATATATATACTAAACTACTACTTATATTTAAAGGGGGAGCTATTGTGGTGTGGTGGTGAAGCTGCAGTGAGGTGGGGAGGGTGTGGGAATAATTGATATTGAAGAGATTCCCAAAATGGTCGATGTTTTTGGTGTTGTGGGGTAATTCCCACACTGTGGGGCTGAAAAATGCGGAGATGTGATGTGTGGTGACAAATAGCTGAGTTTAAAAAATGCAAAAAGTGCGGCTGTGTATAGGACAGGCCTGGTGATAGGGGGAGTAGATATAATGCATTACACTGCCTGTTTGGGTGAGAAGGTAATGCAACCTACACTTAGCCTGTCTCCTGCATCACAATCTACTGATACTTAGCCTGGTTTAATGCAATAGAATGACACTATAGCCTGTCTTCATTCTGGATTTCATCGACTTGGGTTTCATCGACTTAAACGTTTTCTTCTTCTTGTGCTAATTGTGCTTCTTTTTCTTTCTGCTCTTCCCACAACTTTGTGCCCTCCCTCGGTGTAAACGCTCTCAACCATCTTGCGTGGAACTCGCTTGATAGCGGTTCTCCTTGTATGGTCTCCAAACGGTACGAGTTGCATATCCTTTCAGTAATCCGATGAGGATGTGACCATTTCGGCAATAGTTTTCGTTTCGCTTCGAGTGTATTGTGCGCACTGCTATAATAAAATTGAACGAGTTGTCCTTTCATAAAGATCACTTCCCTTGGTGAGCGTGATAGTACATGTTTGTCGAATGCCGCTTTCCTCTTGATAGCATGCTGTACTATAGCCTCATATCCATCTAGACGTTGCTGCGCGACGTACGCCATGTGTATATTGGCATCCGATATTCGTAGTGCTGATGCACTGTTAGCTATGTCTGTCCTTGGAGTATTGATCACCTGTCCCAGCAAAAGTTCTTTTGGCGAGAACTTCAGAGCCGGCAAGATTCTATAATTCAAGGCTGCAACTGTTTCCTCCAGGTGCTTTGGCCAACTATTTGGCAGGGTGTCCCACGATATTGCTTCATATTCGTCTTCACCGAGGTTTGGGGCACATAAACATTTGAGTACGTGCAATAGGATTTTGTTTGTGCCTTCTACAAGTCCATTGACCCATGGTGAGTAAGCTGCTACAATGTGTGTTTTACATGACCACTTAGCGCAATATTCTCGAACTTCCGTGTTATTAAAGTGCTTCCCCCCATCACTCATGAACGTTTCCGACGACGTGAAGTTCTGGAAGATTCGCAATATACTGTCTATCGTTGTGCACGCCGTACCGGAGGATTTATACTTGAAGACCCATACATGCTGTGAGAACGTGTCCAAGTAGATGCCTAAGGTGTTGTACCCTTGGGCTTTGGGAAACGTTAAGTAGTCGCCAATGAGGAGCTCGAAAGGATGTCTGCGTGTTATAGGTTCTAATAGTGAGTGCAAATGTTGTGATCCGAAGTTTTTACACTTAGCGCAATTTGTTATAGCTTTCATGATTGATGTGTCGAGTTTGGGGCTGCATATTCAGTCCATGAGTGCTATTTTGATAGTGTCTCTCCCCCAATGTCCCATCTGTTCATGTTGCGTTGTTGCCATTTGCTCAGCTTCTTCCTGGGTAACACACTCTGTCCTGCTTTGAGCTCTAACTGTCGTTCCTCTGCGCAACCTCCATAGTTTCCCGTTTTCGATTAGGTACTCCGATGCTCGATGGTGCGCACGTTTACGATCTCTTAATGGTTTGTTTGAGTTGACCTGTGCTATTGACTCTATAACTTCTAGAAAAATTGGTTTGTTAGTAAAACGTTCGAGGAGACTTTTCACCGTTTGTTCGTATATCATAGAGGTTAGTAGAATATCATTAATCAAACCTGTTTCTGTTTCCCAGTCCTCACTGACTGTCCAAGTACTCCCATCTCGTAGTCCTGCATCTCACGGCTGACCCTCCCATTGCCTACTAAGGCCATCCGCTATGACATTTAGCTTACCCAGTACGTGTTGCACATCTATTATGTTGTGTGCTAGGATTCTGTCCCGCCATCGAGCATGTGCCGCATTGAGATGGTCGCTTAACAATACATCCCTTAGCGCTTGACAGTCCGTCTCGATTTCTACCAGAAAGCCCCATACGATGTCCAAGAACTTGTCTAGTCCGAACTTTAGCGCTGCGAACTCCAATATAAAAGGTTTGTATTTTTGTTCCATGCTTGATGTCCGTTTTGATGTGAATGTGATTGGTAGCAAATGTTCTATCCACTTTCTGGATGGTCTTTGCATGCGTGTCCGTTGTGACAACACTGCTGCTAGTCCTTCTTGGCAACCATCGGATGTGACAATGAATGGTGATCCATCGTACTTTGGCGCTTGTAGGATCGGGCACGTTACTAATGCAGCTTTTAGGTCTAGGAATGCTTTGGTGTGCTCTTGCGTCCATTTGTTGTCCAGTTTGTGGCCTCTTAAGATGTGTTGATACGTATTCTTGGTGTACGGGTGCGTTAGTGGTGCTTCCTTTACTAAGTTGCGCAACGGTCCTTCTTGTTTTGCGTATCCTAGCACTAGATCCCTAAAATGACTTGTTAGTCCTAAAAATGACTCTAGGTTAAGTGCGTCTGCTGGCCTTTCCCAGTTTACGATAGCAGTTAATTTTTCGAGATCAGGTTGAACTCCTTTGGGACCTACTGTTGCTCCGGCGAAAGTTGTCTCTGACATGAAGAGTCAGCATTTCGTGGGTGATAAGGATAATTTCCGGTCTCGGCAATGCTGAAAGATACATTCTAGTTTCCCAAACATGTCGTCGAACATGTTGCCTGCGCTCCCTCCATCATCTACAAATATTTCCATAGTGGTATCAGCGATTAGATCATGCAGATGAGTGGCTGTTACTTCGCAGAATGTGGTGGGCGCTCCGGTGAGTCCCATCGGCATGCGCTTGTACCAAAAGTAACCACGGCCTTCTACATAGAATGCTGTGTAGGGCCTGGATTCTTCTGGAACTTCGACAGCATAGAACCTGGACGCAAAATCAAATACTGACACGTACTTATGGCTGCTTAGCCTCAATTGTTTGGCTCGTATGTCCCCTTGTGGCATTGGCGCTATAACGGTATGTCTGTTTACTTCATTGAAGTTCTGACAAATTCCCCATTTCTGCGGCTTGTTTTCTAATGCTTCTCGAGGTGCCTCTTGTACTTCGCGTTCTGGTATGATGAAGGCTGGCGGTTGTCCATGCTTCGTATACTGTTCATTGACTTTGTATTGTAGTTCTTCCAGCATGAGTCCTCCTTGTTCGTGTGCCTTCTGCGCTAATACCGTGGTGGCGCAGCATTTGACCTGTTCTGCTGGTGCCTTTTCGATTATCCCCGCCGCTAGCATTTCGTCAATCCGGCCATGTAAGAACTTGGCTTGCGGTGGTGTAAGCGCTCGTTGATGGATGCGTAGGTTAAATGTGGCGTCTTCTGGTATATTCAGTCGATGTTGGGCTCCTGGTATCGGGAGGACCTCTGAAAGTGAGCACGCAAATATGTCTGCATATTTTTTCACTAAATCTTCAACTCGTTTGCATTCCTCCTCTGTCAGTTCCTTTCCATACTGTACCGCCTTTACGATATATGCTACCCGTTTCGGGTTTCCTGGATTTGTCGTTCTCGTGAAGACTGCTGCCTCATCCTTGTTGTCTGTCGTGACACAGACTGGGATGTATGTTCCTAAATTCATTTTTTGGTCAGTATAGATCTTTGGACCTGAGTTATGATTGTGTGCTGGGACTTCTCTTGTGAGGATATGTTCTTCTCTCTGTGCAATATCTTCCTCTTGACTTTGGTTGTAGATTGTCTTCGAACCTCCTTCCCCTGATATGTGCACCATGTCTGTTTCGTATTCGTGTATCGCTCGAAATGCGCGTAATAGTGGCTTCCCGAACAGGAATCTCCACCCACCTCCACTTTCGAATACTTCGAACTCTCCATGCGTTTTGATTCCTTCTATCATGACTTCGCCTCTCCATACAGCTTTAGAGGGTACTATTGTGCCGTTCGCCATGCACAACTGCTTCGTCGATGTTCCCCAACTTCCTAGCCTATGTTTCACTTGTTCAAATTCCGTTGCACACATGGCGTTGACCATGGCGCCCTCGTCGAAGAGTGCCTTGATTCGTATGGTTTCCCCTTGTGCTCCTTTAAGTGCGATGTGTTGTAGGAATGGTTGGCATTTATGGTGGGTCTCTTCATCGTCCGTCGAGTACAATTCAACGACATCATATTGTTCACTAGAATGGGACTGCATAGTGACATGTTCTGTACGGTTTGCATTCTTGACGGAGGTGTAGTGCTTGTCCTTGTGTGTCTCCTCTTGGCACACGAGGACAGATTGTTCCTTGTACTGAGGTATTATATGTGTTAGGGTCGTTCTGCTGTCCTCTATGCCAACGACCCTTGGCCTTTTCCCTGCTCCATTACATCTGGGGTGAAAATTTCTTCAAGCACGTAATTAACTTGTGGTGCGGTTGCTCTATTGAATGCTCCCAGCGTTCTGGTGCATATTCCCCGCCATATTGTTTCGTTCTTCGGCAATTGCACGTCTGGCTGCAGTTGACACGCTGGGCTTATGTGTCTGTGCGCTCCGCACCGGAAGCACTCCCCTGAACATATTTGCGCTGTGCCTGGCGTTAATGGGAATGGTGTGCTCTCTGTGCTCCTTGCACCTTCTCCCCATCTCGCTGCCCACTGTCGTCGTTGTTCATTGTAGGCCGTGTGTCCTGCGTCTGTGTCTACATGGTGCAGCAAGTCGTTGATATGTGCTCATAGGAGGTCTTGTTCTTCTTGTGTAGGTGTGCTTTGTATTGGACTTTGTCCTAACTGTGCTTGATTGGCTGCTGTGTAGCATACTTGCCTTCTGGCGACCTGCACTTGCTGCATGTTGGAGTTTCCTGTCGTCATTCTTGTCTGCGACATTGTTGCTCCCATTGCTTGTGTAGGGTTATCCGTTCCGAGTGTTGCTTGCTGCATTTGCAAACATAACACTTCTACTGGATCGTTCCGCTGGCTTTCTAGACGTGCAATACGTGCGTTCTGCATTCTCTCTACTTCTTTCCTCTCTTTCTCACGTTTTGCTTTGTCTTGCAGGATGTCTACATTGACGCTTGCGATCTCCAATAAGAATGTATTCCAATCGGCTGGTGCGGGCGTTGTGAGGTCTCGTAAGACCCGCGGGAGTGCATCTCGGACCTGGTGGATCAAGACTGGTGCGTTTGCTATGCCTGCGTCTTGTACCAATGTCGTGAGTTGATTATGGAAGTGTATGTGGGACCAGGTGGTGATTTCGGCTAAGGTGAGGCGTTCTCCTACGTCTTCTTCTTTCAACCGTAGTGCTAATAACTCTTTCTGATACTTGAGTTGAGTCTTTCCTGCTACGGTTATTGCTGGCCCCTTTGTTTCGAAGGCTGCTTTGACGTTCCTCCACAAAGTCTTGTGCTGTGCATCAAGGTTCGTCCACCAATGGTCTGCCTGTGAGCCTGCTGAAATCAATGCTGCAAATAGTGCGACTTTGATAGCTTCATCTGCGATTTGGTTAACTAGGAAGTATGCTTCCGTGCTTTGCAGGAAGTTTTGCGCATTCTCGCTCTCTTTCCCATGGAACAATGCGGGTAGTGGAACACCTGTCATAACGTTGACTGGCTTATTCGGCGTGGGTGGGGGGACAACAATTGGTATGAACTTAGGAGACTGAAGGTTTGGGAAGATTAGCATGGACGGGTCTGGCGCTCCTGGTAAAGATTTTTTGTCGTCTGCTAGCTGTTGGATGACTTTGTGTTCCGACTCCTCATGTTCCCATTCTAGTGCTCGTTGGTTGATCTCTGGAGTGTCTAAGGGCAATGAATCTGAGGATGGAAGCATGGTATCGGAAAGTTCTAGGTTAATGGCTTTTTTCTTTGTGAAGCGCCCTTTCTTGTCTCTGGGCAGTGGTTCTCGTGGAGGATTCAGTTTGACTGCAGTTGGGGGTGTTAGCGAAAAAACCGGGTCTTTATACTGATTAAAGGCTATGCTTGGTGTGTTTTCCTTGTGTTCTGACACGAGGTGTGACATTCTCTGGATTCAGCTTGACTCTGTTGCTCTGGTTCTGCTCTATGCTTGGTGCTCAATACTCTGCTCTATGCTCTAAAACAGAAAGAAAAAGGAAAATTGGGACGCTCTCACTCTGTTCACCAGTTGGAGTGGGCTCTGCTAGAATGCGTGCGCTGGACTCTACAACGAAGTGATGCCTGCTACTGCTGCCCGAACTCTACCTAACGCCCTGCCTGCACTCCAAACACCGCCAAACAACCTCTATGACCTAACCCCTCCCTAGGGGTCCCCCGCTCCAGTGTCTAAGGTAACGCTGAAGGATGCAATGACAAAAATCTAGCTGATGGCATCCACCACTAGCTTGGGTATTATGAGTGATTGGAAACTCACGAACAAGGTGCACAGCATGGCTGCGAGCAAGATTCTATTCTTGTTCCAGAGCACATATGTTCTGAGGATAAAAAAGCCTGGATGGATCAGATCAGAAACACACATAATACGAGGGGAACGAGAGTTACATTCGGATAAAATGACTAGTACAATTCTGAGATCTGTGAGAAGGAAGTAATAGCCTTCGACAAGAACGTGCATGTATGGATGTACCCTGCACATACCTGATTCAATATTTGCCAACACCCGGCATTTCTGGCGCGAAGTCATGCAATAAGTCGTTCTTCCTTATTAACTCACCACCGCATCACATACAGCTGGGTTCTCATTCGGGGTAAAGCCCACTGAAAAACATGTGTTAATTCATCATCGGAGCGATGTGGGCTGGAACGGAACGCACTATATAGATCCGTGGCAAGAAAGATAAAGGGGAGGTATCGTGTGACAATATACAGGCCTTTCATCTTGCTCCAGTGCGATTGAAGCAAAAATGTCCACTTTGCACAGCATGTTGTGGATATCAGAACTGAGGTGTATTATAGAACAAGTGTATTACCTCCTCATGAAGCGAACATGCATAATCATAGGTCTGGATAAGTGAGCTTAACAATGGACGTGAAAAGATCAGAATAAGCCCACCCATAATGTAGCCATCGAGGCTGAACTGTGTTAGGACAAAGAATTTGTGGTTCAGACAGTACGCACCGAATATGTACTGATGGTACATGACTTGTCAATTGTGGTTCACCCTTATATCGACAAGGAGACGCACCTTAGAGGACTGCAAGCTCATCACTACTGCGATATCGTCCGTTGAATACTCCATCTAGAGGTCAAAAAATGTGCACAGTATCATGCGCCTTCATAGCTCTTATGAATGAGCTGTGAACCCATCAATGTGGCTGCGCAAACATCAAGGCTGGGATATCATTGAAATTAGTTCGAGATTAAACTTAGCTAGCTTGCTGCGGTCATGATGGAGCATTTCACCGTTCACTGGATGTACACACCAGGGAGCAACTTGATAAAAGATGCATTGGATGACTAGTGGATGACTTCCCACAGCATTTGGAACATTGTTCCAGTTCTAAACATCTCATGCCAAGCTGAGGACCCCGCGACAGTGGGTTTGTGACTATCCGTTTTTTATTCATGGATGAAACTATCTAAGAAGAGGCGAAGAAATACCGGATATTGATGTCAGGTTGTTAGTATCGGCCACAGCCATGTGACAAAGCTCTGATACGACCCCTCTAGATCTGCACACATCATGACGATAGGCTTCGACGCCTATGGTTTCGCAAATGAGGTCCGTGCAAGGGAGGCCAGTCTCGAGAATCCAGATTCAGAGATGCTGAAGGGGAGCATAGAGGTGCTCCTGAAGTTGATGCAGACTTCCGAGCCAATAGGGAGGGACAAAGAAACCCAGCCGTTCCCACGAAGGAAAAGTTCTCAACTCTGTGGGGAGGTGCCAGTGGTTCTGGTCGATGTTGGTAAACATGATGAAAGCGTGGATGCCCTGTTCTTGCCATTCCCTTGACAGAATTGTGCCATATGCACAAGCTTCAATCCATGCGTCCTCTGACCCGTCATCAAACTTTTGAGGAGCGCTCCGTTTTGTAGCGCCACTTTAAGCACCGGAACAAGCTGACAACAAGCTCCTGGGTCCTCAGGTCGTCGGGTGCTGTGTAGCAAGACTGTTCTTCCCTTGGGACTCGTTGAAAAAGTTATAGTGACTTGTTGACGAGTAGATATTGGCTGTGTGTGCCTGTTTGTTGCTGAGTTAGAACGGCCGACCGCCCTATACACTGATCAGATATTTTTACTTGTATTTGCTTCCGGTGTTATGCTACTACTACTAGTACTTATTCTTGTATATTTTGATCATCTCTGCAATGCTGTCCAGGTCACTGCCAGTCTGTTTCCTGTATACCTCCGTTCCTGAATCACCACCGCCACGGATTGTAGTTGATGACCGGTGGTACAGTTGTTTGATCGTGTGATAGACTGAAGGCGAGTATTTCTTAGCAGAGGACGAACGTTCATGGGGAGCACTGCATTAAATTGAATAGTAGGTTTCGTAACTTGCCTTTCGCTCAGCGACTCGGATTGAATGAATTTCAATCCCTTCTCCACATGTACAAGCAGTCCATAGTTATCGTGACAGCGCACAGGACTTTTGATCGTACAGGACGGCAGGAGGTTCTCAGGCATTGGGCCATCTGAGTAGCTGATCACCGATAAAGTATATATCGTAATTGAGAAGTGAGGTTGGGTCTTTACAGATGTCAGTCGCCATAGATAATTACGAGAAGTAGTGCATTACCCTACAAACGTGCGGTACAGACACTGCTTGATCCAGTTTGACCTCTCCATTGATGATATCTTTTGATCACATCTGGCGTGATTTGCCTTTGGATGGCACCTGCGACTGCGACAAAGGCATTTTGCGGGATCTGCAGAGAGCTACGAGCAAAGTTCGCCAAAGTAGGGACTTTTAAGAGCTTACAAATGGGGCGTTGATATCTTTCTGCATAGTCAGTAGAGCAGCCTCCTGGCACAGGGAGCTGATTTCCGCGCTGCTGCAGCCGTCTGTCTGAATGCAACGTTACACTCTGCTCAGATGCAACAGAACTGTACTCACCATGGCTGCTATTGCATGAAGATCTAAGTCAGATTCGACGCTCATCGTCCTAATCCTGATCTTCAAGATCTCTTCACGTCCGGCGTGATCGGGAGGTCCAACATACATAATGCAATCCAGCTTTCCGGGACGCATCAGAGCTGAGTCCTGGCGATCCATGGTCAGAAATACAACAATGATAGTCAAAGCAGATAGACTTGCAATGACGTCGGGGCGATTCGTGGCTGCAATAATAGTCACCCCCACAAGCTCCTGAACACCGTCCATTTCGTTCAAGAGGCTGGTGAGAACCCCTTCATGTGCACTTCCAGTATCTGAATCTGAGAAGCGCGATGTTCCAAGGGCATCAATTTCATCCTGTGTTTGTTAGCATCAACTCCTTAATAGTAGGACGGCGCTTACGAAAAAGATTATTGACGGTGACGCAGCTCTAGCTTTACTGAATACATCTCGCACGGCTCTTTCCGACTCTCCAACATATTTGTTTAGAAGCTAATTGACAACAGTAAACAGTATATTGTGAGCATGTTGCCTGGACGCGGAACCAACTTGAAGAGTCAAACCTCGTGACCTTCCACAGCAACAAAGTTAACACCGCTTTCCATTGCACAAGCTCGAGCTAGAATGGGTTTGCTGCACCCTGGATGTCCGTACAACAGTAGGCCCTTTCAAGTTGGTGGTCGGACTCCCAGTTGGTGGAAAGCCTCTGGATGTGATGATGGCCACTGGACTGCTTCCTGGGGTTTTTGTATGATGTCGGCTTGCCCAACTATATCTTCAAACCGAATGGGTGGTGTCTCAATGAATAGGAAGCGCATTTCGGACGGCCACACAGTAGGAAGCGCTTCTGAAAGGTCTGATGGCGTCAATTCCAGGGTCATTGTTGTAGTTGTTGGGTAAGCATTGGAACCTGGTGGAGTCACTGGAGTGTGTCATCCATCATTTGATGGCAAGAGTCACAGCCTCTCGAACTACAGCACTGAGGTCCGCACCAACATATCCATGAGCACAGCGCGTGATGGAATGGAGTTTTGCGTCTGTTATAGTTTGGGAGAGGAGGACATTCAGAATGGAGTAGCGTGCGTCTGCATCCAGTATGCCTGGAAGTAAAAGCCGTCTGTCAAAGTTGGGTGTGTTACCGCTGAGCTATCTCGAATTCTCTTTCCCACAACCCTATCGTCAAAAATCGTGCTCGCATTGTCAATACCATCCAGAATCGTCAAAAGTGTCGCCACCACCCATTTTCCAACCTTGGCATCTGCGCCCTCTTCCCTTCTTAGGACAACCTCGTTAGCTCAGGCTTCCTTGAATACATCCCGGAGTTTTGACTCTGTTTCTCCGTGATATGCTGAAAAAAGCTCAGAGAGTTGCACGTGCAAGGTGCGGAGGTAGTCATCTGCGATGACGTCATTAATGGTTGAAATCAGTCACGGAACCAATTGATGCCGAACACAGTTTTGCCACTGCGTGTCTGGCTCTGGCATTTATTACACCTGTGCCAATTGTCGACCGCTATATGGAGGTCTTTCGCATGAAGTCCGCCGGGTACAATTGCGCAATCATGCATAATTTTGTGGTGCTCAAGCAACTGCACAGGAGCTTCAAGAAAATACAAAACATCTCACACAGAACTCACCGTCAGCTCTGCTCAATAGCTTACAGATGTGACTAGCAAGATGCTGGCGAAGAACTTCTTGCAACTTTTCACCATGCATGACTATTGAAACTGTGGCGGGCAGCATCATCACTGTCTCAAGCATCAGAGGTGCAACATTTGTTATCAAGCGCTCCCCGCCGGGCTGTACATCCAGTGACCAGTGCAACGCTCCGAGATCCGAGACTGTCCCAGTGTTTACACCGCCACATTGATGGGTTCATATCTCATTCATAAAAGCTAACAAGGCCCATGATGTGTGTGTGAAGCACATTTTTTAACCTCTACATGGAGTATACGACTAACGATATTGCAGCAGCGAGGAGCTTGCAGTTTGCTACGGTGTGTTTCCTTTCTCTATATGAGAGCGAATCACAATTGACAAGTCATCTACCATCAGTACATACACAGTGCGTACTATCTGAACCTCATATTCTTTGTTCTGATATAGTTCAGTGTCGATGGCTACATTCTGGGTAGGCTTATTCTGATCTATCCACGTCCGCTGTCAAACTCGCTTATTCAGACTTATGATTATGCATGTTCACTTCATGAAGAGGTAATACCCTCGTTCTATGATATACCTCGGTTTTGATATCGACAATATCATTGCTGTGCACAGTGGACATTTTTGCTTCGATCACGCTGGAGCAAGATGAAAGGGCTCTATATCGTTACACGATACCTCCCCTTCATCTTTCTTGCCACGGATATATATTGTGCGTTCCGCTCCAGCACATCGCCCCAATAATGAATTAACACTTTTTTAGTGTACTTTACTCCGAATTTGAACCCAGGTGTATGTGATGTGATGAGAGTCGATGAAAACAAACAACTCACTGACTTCGCCAGAAATGTTGGGTGTGGGTCCATATTGACTTAGGTACGTACATGGTACACCCATATATGCACAGCCTGGCTGAGGGCAACCTACTTTCACTCACAGGGATCGGCATGCTATTAGTTGTTTGCTCCGATTGTATCTCTCCTTCCTCCCTGAGATATGTATATTCCTGATCCGATTCATCCAGACTTTTTCATCCTCAGAACATACGTGCTCTGGAACAAAAATAAAATCTTGCTCGCAGCCATGCTGTTCACCTTTGTTGTGAGTTCCCAATTCACTCGCCATACAAAGCTAGTGGTAAATGTATCAGCCAGTCTTTTCTCGTAGCATGCTTCGGTGTTGCCTTTGCCACTACCATCCCTGCAGCATGTACGTGCTCTCATCTTCCTTATGGCATTCCCACGACCACTGAAACATTCTGTTCACTTCCACAGATGTCACTAGCACAATCCCAGGAATCACAGGGTGCTACCGGAGTTCAACCAATTACCAGCTTTTCATACCATTTCTTCTCCTTTCTGTGTTCGAATTGGGTGGGAAACTAGGAGCATATATATGTAGAAACACGTGCTGACCTGTGTTCTCCCCAGGACTCATGATCCTCACGCTCATACGTGCCATACAGGACTGGCGGGCAAACCAAAGCCGTCTGTACGTTGTCCGGGTGAACCATAACATATCCTATTATGCATGCGGTTTTTGTGAGTTAACGTTCGCACATGCCATTTTTCTGCAGTCATCCTGATTTCTGAAGTGTTCTCGGTAACAAACGTCGCCACAATACTGCTCTTTCAGGTGCGTGAATATCCTAAATGCCTTTTATGATCGAACCGTTGATGTTCTGCGCCCCAGGACTCCTACCAGACTATTTTGTATGGGTATGCACCTCCACATCCTGCTGCGTATACCTACTAACAATATCTGAAATGTACACCCACGTGCAGTTTCCAGTACATGATCCTTGCAATCCTAGCCACGCGCATGCACCTCCATCTCTGGCAGGTGAACCGACATCCACACGGCTCTACTAGCACCCTCGTGCATGTTATATCCGACATGTCATTCGCAAATCCCACGGAGTGATGTCTCATTCTGTGGCTTATTCTATGTCGTTCGTGGAGCGAGGCTTGGGCTGTACAAGATGACTGGTGGAGGTGGGTTTGGTGGAGTTCTTTATCTGCTTAACTTATAGGATGAGTCTGTTGCGAAGTGGGACGAACGTTTGGATGTCCTTGGTCTATTTAATTCCCTAATTTTGAATGTAAGCAGCGGCTGATTCAGGATCCAGAATTTGAGGATGGCAGAGCCAGACGCGCAGCCTGAAGGCAATGAGTATTATGGTACAAGCCCACTAAAGCATATCAAGCTCTAGGAATTAACGAAACGTCCCTGTTATGATAGGATATCATCGAGAACCACCTGCTTCGTCTCACTCGACTGGGCAAGTTGTTTGCACCTCATGACTTGCCAATGAAAGATAACTCGTAAGGTTGAGGAGTCAGGGCATCCCGCCTTGATGCGGACTTCATTGTTTCGATGCATATCAATGCATCTCTTATCCATACCTCTACTCAGCGAGTGACCCTTCAAGTAAGGCAATATAAAAGTAAACAACCAAAGGTGAACGGATCGCTTGTCAACGAATACGAATCTTGCTAATTCACGACCTCCGAGCTGAATATGAACCATGCAGTCTCGATTTCGTCGACGATGCAGCCCAGTTTTTGATAGATGCGAGTGTAAACGAAAGAAACTGTGTCACACCCGTTTTTCAACCTCGTCACTTGCGCCCTCTTCGCGTCTTGGGGTAAGAGCATCAACCTCGTCCAAAAATGACGATACATGGGCTCTTGGCTCAGGCTTCCTTGAATAAATGCCGGAGTTTTGACACTGTTTCTCCGTGAAAGGCTGATAACAAGCACCGATGAGTTGCACGTGCAAGGTGTAGGCGGAGGTAATGTTTGTCCGTAATGACGTCATTGTTGAATTGTAAATGAGTCACGGAACAGATTGATGCCGAACACAGTTTAAAATTATAATTGCATCCATATACACCTGTACCAATTTTCGACCGCTATGTGGAAATGTTCTGCACGAAATCAGCCGGCACAATTGCGCTATCATGCTTAACTGTGTAGTGCTCACTGGCAAACAGCAGCAGGAGCTTCGACTCGGAGAAAATACAGACATCTCGCGCAGAACTCACGCTGCGGCTCCGCTCAATCTTACAGATAACGAGCAAGATGCTGACGAAGAACTTCTTCCCTGGCTCTCGCGACTTTTCACCGGGCATGATTATTAATAAAACTACGGCGGCCGGCGTCATCACTTCCTCAAGCATCGGAGGTACAACTGCATCTGTTATCAAGTGCTCCACAGGCTGTACAATCAGTGACCAGTGAGATCCGAGATTGTCCCACCGCCACATTGATGGATTCATAGCTCATTCATAAAAGCTAACAAGACCCATGAGGTATGTGTGAAACACATTTTTTAACCTCTACATGGAGTATTCGACTAACGATATCGCAGCAGCGAGGAGCTTGCAGTTTGCCACGGTGTGTTTCCTTTCTGTACATGAGGGTGAATCACAATTGATAAGTCATCTACCATCAGTACATACACAGTGCGTACTATCTCAACCTCATATTCTTTGTTCTGATATCGTTCAGTGTCGATGACTACATTCTGGGTAGGCTTATTCTGATCCATCCACGTTCGCTGTCAAACGTACTTATTCAGACCTATGATTATGCATGTTCACTTCATGAAGAGGTAATACACCTGCTCCATAATGCACTTCGGTTTTGATATCGACAATATTATCATTGTTGTGCACAGTGGACATTTTTGCTTCGATCACACTGGAACAAGACGAAATGCCTCTATATCATTACACGATACCTCCCCTTTATCTTTCTGGCCACGGATCTATCTAGTGCGTCCCGCTCCAGCACACATCGCCCCGATGATGAATTGACTCTTTTTTTAGTGTACTTTACCCCGAATGAGAACCTAGGTGTATGTGATGCGGTGGAAGGTTAAAGAACGAACGACTCACTGCATGACTTCGCCAGAAATGCCGGGCGTTGAACAATGTTAGCTCAGGTACGTGCATGGTGCACCCATCTATGCACAGTCTTGTTGAGGACAACCTACTTTATCTTACAGTGTTAGGCATGCTATTATTCAGTTGCTCCGATTGTATATCTCGTTCCCCCGTATTGTGTGTATCTCTGATGTGATCCATCCAGGTTTTTTTATCCTCAGAACTTATGTGCTCTGGAACAAAAATAGAATCGTGCTCGCAGCTATCGTGTGCACATCTTTCGTGAGTTCCAAATCCACTCAACATATACAAGCTAGTTGGTAGATGCATCAGCCAGATTATCCTCGTAGCTTCCTTCAGCATCACCTTCGTCACTGAAATCCCTGCAGCATGTACTTGCCCTGACCTTCCTTCTGAGTCGCACGGCCACTAAAACATTTTGTTCACTTTGACAGATGCAAGTAGCACAATCCCGGGAATTACAGGGTGCTACCAGAGTTCAACCAGTTACCAGTCCTTCATACCATTTCTTCTCCTTTTCGTGTTCCAACTGGGTGGGTAACCAGGAGAGCATGTATATGTATAAAGACGCGCTGACAGGTGTTCTCCCCAGGACTCATGATACTCACGCTCATACGCGCCGTGCAGAACTGGCGGATAGACTCAAGCCGTCTGTACGTTGTCCTAGTGAACCATAACATATCCTATCATGCATGCGGTTTTCGTGAGTTTACTTGTTCGCGCTGTTTTCCCATACTCATCCATGATCACTCTCTTTCCTGAAGTGCTCTCGGTAACGAACATAATCGTATCACTGCTCCTCCAGGTACGTGAATATCTTAAATCCCTTTTATGTTTGAGCCGTTGATGTTATGCGCCCCAGAACCCCTATCCGGTCATTTCGTTTGAGTATGCACTTCCACATCCTGCTGCGTATTCCTACTAATAATAACCGAAACGTACATCCACGTATAGTTTCCAGGTCATGACCCTTGCACTTCTTGCCACACGCATGCACCTCCATCTCTGGAAAACGAACCGACGCGCACACGGCTCTAGCACCCTTATGCATACTCCAATGTCCGACATCTCATTTGCAAATCCTATGCTGTGATGTCTTATTCGGTGCCGTTCATGGAGCGGTGGTTTGGTAGAGTTTGTTACGTACTTAAAACTTGTAGGATGAGTCTGTCGCGAGGGTGGGAGGAGCATCTGGATGGCCGGGGGCCCCACCTTTGGCGATGCCTCATTCCCTGAGGAGAGCGCTTCTATCTCATCCTATTGTCGTGCTACATGCGATTTCAGTGGAGCACATCTGGATGATTTAGGCACATGTCCCACCTTCAGGCTGTAGCCAAGAGTCCTTTGACTGCTATCGCATCCTAATAGATCGGAACCTACATGTAGGACGTGTTTGTGACTTGAGCTTGATCAGCTGGACGTCGAAAGATTTTGCTCCCGTCTGAGATTGACTCAATGATTTACCTGGCAGTCCAGTATAATGAATATTGAGCGGATGAAACATGATTACAGCAATATGGCGCAACCAACACCAAGATACGTTCCCGTCTGTTATGCAATCATGCAATCACTTGTCACTGGTAGTGCTTTGCTTGGGAGTGCTGCCACGCGCTATGCACAGCGTACGGATTCGATATGTGTATGTACCTGCTCCGACAAATATCATATTATTCCACTCGCTGACGAGACGTACATAACAGACCAATGTACATCGAACTGCCTCAAAATCTGAACCGGACCAGGGTAAGTACTTGATCCGGTGGTAACACAGCCATTGACATGCGGTGTCAGCAAGGCGCCTGCAACTACAGCATGTAAAACTGACCCAAATAGCATGTCTTTTCATCACATTCTCCCCGTATCTCTCCTTCTCCCCGATTACTGACTTTGCGCAGTATTTCACTGTCCAGTCTGTCTGTACAACATGCAACACGAAGAAGCCGAGTCAAGCATATCAACGAGACGAGGAGAACCTGGAGAAGCGCCATTGCACTCATCGATATATCGGACGACCGCGAAATATCTACCACCGTATGGTGCACAGCACCGTCAGGATGCACTTTGGGAAGGTGAGCAGCTACCTTGTGATACCTACCAACTTACTCAATTAGAAGCAGGCGGGAATGAAGCGCTGCCTCCTATGTGGCAACAGTATAAGACGTCGTCGGATGGTGAAATACAATATCAAGATAACTCGCTCGTGATAGTCTCGTGGAACCGACCTTTACCAGGAGTGCGACTGGGTGAGGGATGAAATTGCGACAAGGTGCGATGAACTCACAGTTGAACATAGATGATCCTGGAGATCTCGCTGTTCCTGGATGGGAATGGCACATCTCACCACTCGGTCGGTCGTACTTCGTCAACCACAACACTCGGACCACCTCGTGGAAGAAACCAAAGCCAGAACGTCCGGCAGGAAGCTTGAAGCCGGAGTGCGTCATAGAGGGTCACTCCGAATGCATATGGAGCCTTGCCTACTTGGATACCAGTGGCAATATAATGAGCGCGTCTGAAGATCGTTCGATTTGTCAGTGGAAAAGAGATGGAGAGGCAGTGGGAAAACCTTTGAATAGCGATGGGGGAGGGATATGTTCGATGATAGTATCCCCAGATGAAACAATGGTCGTTTGTGGAAGCGCAGATGGCAGACTGCGACTTTGGAATATAAAGGAGGGCAGTATGATCGGCGACCCGTGGGAGGGGCATAGTGCTGCAGTGAGGAGCCTCGATTGGTCTTGCAATTCCCTGGAGATAGCAAGTGGATCTGTTGACGGCACCATACGACGCTGGAACCCGAATACTGGTCGACAAATAGCACCACCCATAGAGGCAAGTCACGGCTGGGTTTATGCCGTCAAATACTCTCTAAAAGGCGATAAATTCATGAGCGGCGGTGCGGATAATGTGATCCGCGTGTGGTCAAAGAACGGCAAGCTGCTTCTGGAGATCCAGGGACATGAAGACGGGGTGATGTCATTGTGTTGGTCCAAGGACGGCGCACATATTTTCTCCGGGTCAGGCGATCGCACCATCCGGAAATGGCGAGCAATTGATGGACAGGAACTCGTTGTTCTTCGGGGTCACACCCAATCCGTCACATCCCTCTGTCTTACTCCCAATGAAAGGTATATTGTTAGCACATCATTGGACTACACGATTCGCATCTGGGATCTCGAGACAAATCACGCGGTCGGAGATCCACTCTTGCATGATGACAAAGTCTTGGCTCTTGCCATTTCCCGCGATGGAAAATACATTACCAGTGCTGGAACAGACAAACAAATCTATGTATGGAATATGGAGGCAGCGCTCAAAAACGGTGTGGTGCGTATGCGTTTTGTTGTCTAATTTCCCTTCCAATATCATGGCTCTACACCCTAATTTCTCACTCGCAGGTGGCAGCTGCAAAGTCACCAACGAACGTATGTGATGTATTTATTAATGTTGTCAACCATTTCAAGGTCGTCACTCTAGAGCAATGCTACCCGACGTCCACCTATTCATGCCCCTCGAATACCTCCAACGTTTTTTGATGATTTTGACGTTCATGTGGGTTCTCCGCGTTTTTTGAATCAGTTCCTATTCTCACCTCCGAGTCTTGTAATTAGTCCTCCACATCGCCTGGTGTTCATCGCCCTTCTTCCCATCGCGCTCTCGCACCATCTATCGAGAGTGCACGTGCACTCTTTGCCCGCATTCCGTCACTTTTTCATCGCTCTCGCTCCGGCGCCGGCGACGAACTCCAACAAACCCAAAGGCAAGGGATCTTCTCTCCTCGTGGTCCTCGTACTGTCCAAGTTGCTGCAGTACGGGACAAACAGGTATTCATTCATCGCATTCGTTTTCATACACTGTGGCTCAATAATTTCGCTGTAGTCTTTATTTGTTGCTCCCCGGCCAAAACAGAAGCAGCAGCAGAGCAGCCAATTGCATGGTCAGGGATCGTCATCGCAATCTCAACCTACCGGTACTCCGACGCCTGTTCCAAATAGTAGCACTCAGGCTACCACAGCACGTGCAGTGACCATACGATCACGAGTCCTCACGTTGTTGGCCCGTCTGGTGCTTTTGATTTGTTGTGCACCTCTTCCAAGCACTGATGGTCGTTAATGCTGTAGCACACGAAAAACTATTTCATCTTCTTTGTATCTATACCTCTTTCGCTACGCTGTCTATCGTGTTTTCCCATCGTGATACTCGTGCACTGCATCAGACTTGATAACACCTGCTAACTAGAGGAACGTTTCATGACTCCACGATGATGAGCATCATGTTTCATCCGCTCAATATTCATTATACTGGACTGCCAGGTAAATCATTGAGTCAATCTCAGACGGGAGCAAAATCTTTCGACGTCCAGCTGATCAAGCTCAAGTCACAAACACGTCCTACATGTAGGTTCCGATCTATTAGGATGCGATAGCAGTCAAAGGACTCTTGGCTACAGCCTGAATGTGGGACATGTGCCTAAATCATCTAGATGTGCTCCACTGAAATCACATGTAGCACGACAATAGGATGAGATAGAAGCGCTCTCCTCAGGGAATGAGGCATCGCCAAAGGTGGGGCCCCCGGCCATCCAGATGCTCCTCCCACCCTCGCGACAGACTCATCCTACAAGTTTTAAGTACGTAACAAACTCTACCAAACCACCGCTCCATGAACGGCACCGAATAAGACATCACAGCATAGGATTTGCAAATGAAATGTCGGACATTGGAGTATGCATAAGGGTGCTAGAGCCGTGTGCGCGTCGGTTCGTTTTCCAGAGATGGAGGTGCATGCGTGTGGCAAGAAGTGCAAGGGTCATGACCTGGAAACTATACGTGGATGTACGTTTCGGTTATTATTAGTAGGAATACGCAGCAGGATGTGGAAGTGCATACTCAAACGAAATGACCGGATAGGGGTTCTGGGGCGCATAACATCAACGGCTCAAACATAAAAGGGATTTAAGATATTCACGTACCTGGAGGAGCAGTGATACGATTATGTTCGTTACCGAGAGCACTTCAGGAAAGAGAGTGATCATGGATGAGTATGGGAAAACAGCGCGAACAAGTAAACTCACGAAAACCGCATGCATGATAGGATATGTTATGGTTCACTAGGACAACGTACAGACGGCTTGAGTCTATCCGCCAGTTCTGCACGGCGCGTATGAGCGTGAGTATCATGAGTCCTGGGGAGAACACCTGTCAGCGCGTCTTTATACATATACATGCTCTCCTGGTTACCCACCCAGTTGGAACACGAAAAGGAGAAGAAATGGTATGAAGGACTGGTAACTGGTTGAACTCTGGTAGCACCCTGTAATTCCCGGGATTGTGCTACTTGCATCTGTCAAAGTGAACAAAATGTTTTAGTGGCCGTGCGACTCAGAAGGAAGGTCAGGGCAAGTACATGCTGCAGGGATTTCAGTGACGAAGGTGATGCTGAAGGAAGCTACGAGGATAATCTGGCTGATGCATCTACCAACTAGCTTGTATATGTTGAGTGGATTTGGAACTCACGAAAGATGTGCACACGATAGCTGCGAGCACGATTCTATTTTTGTTCCAGAGCACATAAGTTCTGAGGATAAAAAAACCTGGATGGATCACATCAGAGATACACACAATACGGGGGAACGAGATATACAATCGGAGCAACTGAATAATAGCATGCCTAACACTGTAAGATAAAGTAGGTTGTCCTCAACAAGACTGTGCATAGATGGGTGCACCATGCACGTACCTGAGCTAACATTGTTCAACGCCCGGCATTTCTGGCGAAGTCATGCAGTGAGTCGTTCGTTCTTTAACCTTCCACCGCATCACATACACCTAGGTTCTCATTCGGGGTAAAGTACACTAAAAAAAGAGTCAATTCATCATCGGGGCGATGTGTGCTGGAGCGGGACGCACTAGATAGATCCGTGGCCAGAAAGATAAAGGGGAGGTATCGTGTAATGATATAGAGGCATTTCGTCTTGTTCCAGTGTGATCGAAGCAAAAATGTCCACTGTGCACAACAATGATAATATTGTCGATATCAAAACCGAAGTGCATCATGGAGCAGGTGTATTACCTCTTCATGAAGTGAACATGCATAATCATAGGTCTGAATAAGCGAGTTTGTCAGCGAATGTGGATAGATCAGAACCAGCCTACCCAGAAGGTAGCCATCGATGCTGAACTGTGTTAGGAAAAAGAATGGAGTACGCACAGTACGCACCATATATGTACTGATAGTAATACATGATTTGTCAATTGTGAATCGCCCTCATATCGAGAAAAGAGACACACCGTAGCGAACTGCAAGCTCCTCGCTACTGCAACATCGTCAGTCGAATACGCCATCTAGAGGTCAAAAAAATTGTTTCACGCATACATTATGCGCCTTGTTAGCTCTTATGAACGAGCTGCGAACCCATCAGGGTGGCGGCGCAAACACTGGGATACCATCATTGGAGTTAGTTCGAGTTTAAACTTAGCCTCTTGCTGCGGTCGTGATAGAGCGTTCCTCCATTCACTGGATGTACCTGCCGGGGAGCGACTTGATAAAAGATACAGCTGCACCTCCGATGCCTGAGGCAGTGATTTCACTGATAGTCATACTTCAATACTTGCCACGCACCTGAGATCTGAGACACAGCCGGAAAAGTTCTATAAATGTTGTCTAACATTTTGGGTGTCACAAAACAGTAAATTTTATTTTATGTAACCTTTTTAGGATCTTTTCAACATTTTTCGTCATGAAAAGTCATTCATGCTTCCAGTGTATCTACAAGTTACCCCACTCCCATCAAAAACGCGCACTCACCGCTCATAGCTGTCCAGATACAACTCTTCATCACTACAAGTCTTAAACGCGGGTTGCTCAAAAAGCCTCCCTAACCAAGCTTCAAATTTGGTTCCCCGCAACATTTCAAATCGGCGGTAGAGTGCTTCAAAGTTCAAAACATTAGTCGCTCTGAATATCCCTGCTCCACTGGATCAGATGAAAAGCTTGGGCGATGGATGAGAAAAAGGTGCGTCCCGGAATACTCAGCATTTTCTGCAGTGAATTAGACCTGATTTTGAAGTGCAGAAATCTACGGCGACTTCAACCTTCTTCTCCGACTTGTCTCACTTTCTAACACTATGATATGGCCTAACTCACCAGAAATTCAGCATCGCACCTCCTCGCTCCTGGGTGTTCTCACTTCTTCTGAGCATCCATCAGTGAAGTACCGCGTGTGAGTACTACATTTTGAGCACATTTATGCAGACTGTGTGCTCAGTTCCTAAATAGTATATCAATGCTACTCCTCGTCATTCAGCCCTCCGCCTACCTATTCACACCATGCTACTAAAAGTTGCCGCCAACAATGGTGAGCTCGAGACTTTGCGTCTATCCAGAAAAGATGTCGAGCGGTGGTTACAAGAATGTGGATATTTCTGGGGAAGAGCGCGGTCAATTCCTTCAGTCCATTGTTGATGCATTCATACAGTATGGCCAGCCGTACGTATCATTACATTTGACTGGTGAAGGTTGTGGTTGACATTCGATTCATACTGTATACAGGGAAACTACTTATCATTACACGCTTTCTCACGTTTCTTCATCGCCATCCTCATCCCCCTGAAAGTCAATCCGCAGCGATCAATGCCATAACCTCAGCATTGCGCTTGCCCACCTTGTTCAACTTTGATCCGTTGTTCAAGTTGGACGCTGTTGTATCAGCAAAATATCACGAGCCTTTCTCGAGTCCGCAAGTATTCTAGAATAGCGGTCTACCAGGATTACATTTATGACTCGAAAGCCATCCTGCTATTCTTGACAAATATGGTAAATCAGTTCATTATGATATTTGAACCATTCACGGGCCTGCAGAACGACTGAGCACAGCTTGAGTGGAAGATCCGTCTTCTGTCATTTGCGTCACTGGGTTTTGTACGCGTCAGACATGACCTTCTGTATTCAGAGGTCGGGTTGATCCTGCATATTGAACTGAGTGAAGTGGTCAATTGATGGTACGTCCTCTTGACATCCTGTCGTTTGTAATAATATTTGAATAGTGATCCGTACTGGTCTTCTTTGAGGAAAGCGAGAGCAATGGGAGGTACTGGAAAAGCGTCTTGTTGCGTGGAAGGCGGGCTTAGCGAATGTGCTGGAGGTTGTTACTAGTGCACAAAACGTGGTAACAATTCGGCTGTGGGTGAAGTCGTGCAGTAGGTCACGCAGATAAGTGAGAGCGTTTAGGTTTATGCCGCGCAGCCTACATCAGGGTTCCTCATAGGTTCCTCAGTTCAATGAATCAAGGTCATGGTTGTTGACTGCAATTTGTGGGAACACTGGTGAAGTTCATTGTCGTTTATCTCAACATAACCTTGGCTTTGGTATTAACTTGAATATTAAACGTTCAAAACTCTCTACTTGTTAAGACGAGAAGACAATCAGTGACAAATCATAGGTCATTCTAGATGTCGTCCTATCATAACAGAGACCTTCGTTAATTCATGGAGCTTGGTGTGCTTTAGTATGTCTGTACTATATTCGTCAGGCTGTGCGTCCGAGTCAGGCCCTCAACACACTCAAATTATGGATCCTGAATCTCTCGCCGCTTACAGTGGAAATCAAGGGTTTAAATAGACCAACGCCATCCAGATGCTCCTCCCACCTCCGCTACAGACTCATCCTACAAGTCAAGTACGTAGCAAACTCTACCAAACTCACCCAGCAGTCATCTTGTACGATCCAGGCACCGCTCCACGAACGACATCGAATAAGCCACGGGTCACGCCATTGAATTTACAGATGGCACGTCGGACATTGGAATATGCATGAGGCTGCCAGAGCCGTGTGCACGTTGGTCCGTTTGCCAGAGATGGAGGTGCATGCGTGTGGCAAGGATTGCAAGGGTCATGAACTCGAAACTATACGTAGGTGCACGTTTCGGGTATTATTAGTAGGAATACGCAGCGGGACGTGGAGGTGCATACTCATACAAAATGTTCTGATAGGAGTACTGGGACGCAGAACATGAACGGCTCGATCATAAAAGGGATTTGAGATATTCACATACCTGGAAGAGTAGCGATCCGACGATGTTCGTTACCGAGAGCACTTCAGGAAAGGGAATGATCATGGATGAGTATGGGAAAACGGCGTGAACAAGTGTAAACTCACGAAAACCGCATGCATAATAGGATATGTTATGGTTCACCAGGGCAACATACAGACGACTTGGGTTCATCCGCCAGTGCTGTATGGCGCGTATGAGCGTGAGCACCATGAGTCCTGGGGAGAACACCTGTCAGCGTGTGTTTGTACAGATATATGCCTCTGGCCCACCCAGTTCGCACACAGAAAGGAGAAGAAATGGTATGAAGTACTGGAAACTGGTCGAACTCTGGTAGCACCCTGTGATGCCCGGAACCCCGCTAGTCGCATCTGTGACAGTGAACAGAATGTTTTAGTGATCATGGAACGCCAGAGGGAAGGTGAGAGCGAGTACATGCTGCGGGGACTCCAGTGGTGAAGGCAATGCTGAAGCTTACTGCGAGAACAATCTGACTGATGTATCTACCACTAGCTTGGATATGGTGATTGGATTGGGAACTCACAAAAAAGGTGGACAGCATGGTTGCGAGTAAGAGTCTATTCTTGTGCCATAACACATATGTTCTGAGGATAAAAAAAACTGGATGGATCAGATCGGAAAGACACATGAGATGGGGGGAACGAGAGATACTTTCAGAGACGATGACTAATACTATTCCAAGACCTGTGATAGGGGAAAGTAGTAGCCTTCAGAAAGGATGTGCATACATGAAATCACCACACACGCACCTGATTCAGTATTTTCCAACACCCGGCATTTCTGGCGAATTCATGCAGTAAGTCATTTGTTTTCAGTAGCTTCTCACCCTATGACATACACTTGGGTTCTCATTCGGGGCACAATATACTAAAAACAAGTGTTAATCCATCATCGGGCGATGTGTGCTGGAGCGAAACGTACGATATAGATCCGTGGCGAGAAAGATGAAGGGGAGGTATCGTGTGACGATATAGAGGGCTTTCATCTTGCCCCAGCGTGATCGAAGTAAAAATGTCCACTTTGCACAGCAATAATATCGTCAATATTAAAACCGAGGTACATCATAGAACGAGGGTATTACCTCTTCATGAAGTGAACATGCATAATCATAAGTCTGGATAAACGAGTGTGACAGCAGACGTAGATAGATCAGAATAAGCCTACCCAGAATGTAGCCATCGACACTGAACTTTATTAGGACAAATAATATGAGGTTCAGCCAATACGCACTATGTATGTACTGATGCGTAGATGACTTGTCAATTGTGATTCGCCCTCATATCGAGAAATGAGACGCACCGTAGCGATTTGCAAGCTCTTCGCTGCTGCGAGATCATCGGTCGAATACTCCATCTAGAGGTCAAGAATGCGTTTCACACATACATCATGGGCCTTGTTAGCTCTTATGAATGAGTTGTGAACCCGGGCCCATCCGAGTCAGAGTGGCGGCGCAAACACTGGGATAGGATCATTTGAGTTTAAACTTAGCCTCTTGCTGTGGTCGCGATAGGGCTTTCCTTCACCGTATGTACGTACTTGCCGGGGAGCGATTTGATGAAAGATACAGCTGCACCGTGACCTCTGCAGATCTGATGCCTGAGGCAGTGATTTCACTAATAGTCGGCCTTCAAACTACATGGTACAAATAGCCAAAATTGGCAACCGATGTTGATAGTTATTTGGCGTAATGACTCCCTTGAGGCCAGTTACGCCAACAGGCAGCGATAATCAAAGCTCGCACGCACCCTTGATGATGGCGCTGCATCCTCCTCCTAGGCCACTGATCTTTGTTTCAATGCAGATAAGGCTATCAACTTGAGTGTTACAGCCGCACCAGAAGACCTTGCCGCCAGAGGGAGACCAGGCATCGGGCGCTCGAGCTTGAACGTCTGCACACTTTGTCATTCGACATGACGTACTCAGTAGGCTCTGCCGAAGTCCTGAAAGCAAGCTGAGAATGATAGAGCTCGATGTTCGGCGAACTAGTACGTACTCTCCTACCCTGTAATGCAATAGCGCCTCATGCTGACGACATAGGTAGCAAGTAACTTGTATTTTCAAGGACTCGTCAAACCTTGCCAGGGTCACAACAGGTCTAACTTCTGTAAGACGTCGTCATATTTCACTCCACTAGAAGAATAGCCGTTCATTCCAGACCACCCATCTCCACTACTATGTAATGCGCTGAACAATTGAAGCCCAACCCAACCCTTCGTTTGCACGGACTGAGACTGCAGTCAAAAGCATGTACGGAAACTCGAGTTGAGGAACGTGCAACTTTGGCTGTGTCACGGTGTGATCAGGTCAAATTTCTCGTAAGATACATGATCATGTGTAGCAGGACTCCGGAGCAGAATTAGATGATCCTTGATTTTGGGTCTAGCACACTCAAGATTTGGATCCCTGCGCCGCCACCGCTTGCACTGGAAAATACAGGTCTTAAATAGATCAAGGACATCCAAATGCTCCTACCACCCTGCGACAGATTCATCCTATAAGTTAAGCACGTAACCAACTCTACCAAACCTACTCCCACCAGTCATCTTGTACGGTCCAAACCTCGCTCCACGAACGACACTGAATAAGCCACGGGATAAGACAATCACGCCGCGGGATTTGCAAATGAAATGTCGGACATTGGAACATGTACGAGGTTGCTAGTAGAGCCGTGTGGATGTTGATTCACCTGCCAGAGATGGAGGTGCATGCGCGTGGCAAGAATTGCAAGCATGATAAACTGGAAACTATATGTGGGTGTACATTTTGGGTATTGTTAGCAGGAGGATGTGGCGGTACATACTTGAAAAAAAAGGTTTGGTAGGAGTCCTGGGGCGCAGAACATCAACGGCTCGATAATAAGAGGGATTCAAGATATTCACGTACCTGGAGGAGCAGCGATGCGAAGATGTTCGTTGCCGAGAGCACTTCAGGAAAGAGAATGATCATGGATGAGTATGGGAAAACAGCGCGAACAAGTGTAAACTCACGAAAACCGCATGCATAATAGGATATGTTATGGTTCACCAGGGCAACATACAGACGGCTTGGGTTCATCCGCCAGTTCTGTATGGCGCGTATGAGCGTGAGCACCATGAGTCCTGGGGAGAACACCTGTCAGCGTGTGTTTGTACAGATATATGCCCCTGGTTACCCACCCAGTTCGAACACGGAAAGGAGAAGAAATGCTATGAAGTACTGGAAACCTGCCGAATTCCGGTAGCACCCTGTGATTCCCGGGATCGCACTAGTCGCATCTGTGAAAGGGAACAGAATATTTGAGTCGTCGTGGAACGCCAGAGAGAAGGTGAGAACGAGTACATGCTGCGGGGACGCCAGTGGCGAGGACAATGCTGGAGGATGCTACAAGAAAAATCTGTTTGATGCATTTACCACTAGCTTGGGTATTGTGAGTCAATTGGGAACTCACGCAAAAGGTGGACAAGATGGCTACGAGCAAGATCATATTTTCGTTCCAGAGCACATATGTTCTAAGGATGAAAAAAGCTGGATGAATCAGATCAGAAACACACATAATACGGGGGGAACGAGAGATACTTTCGGAGACAATAACTAATACTGTTCCAAGACCTGTGAGAGGAAAGTAGTAGCCTTCAGAAAGGGCATGCATACATGAATGCACTACGTACGTACCTAATTGAGTATTTTCCAGCACCCGGCATTTCTGGAGAAGTCATGCAGTAAGTCGTTCGTTCTTGAACCTTCTACCACATCACATACACCTGAGTTCTCATTCGGGATAAAATCCACTAAAAAAAACAAGTGTCAATTTATCATCAGGGCGATGTGCTGGAGCGGGGCGCACTGGATAGATCTGTGGCCAGAAAGATAAAGGGGAGGTATCGTGTAACGATATAGAGGCCTTTCATCTTGCTCCAGCGTGACCGAAGCAAAAATGACCACTGTGCACAGCAATGATATTGTTGATATCAAACTCGAGGTATATCATAGAACGAGGGTATTACCTCTTCATGAAGTGAACATGTATAATCATAAGTCTGGATAAGTGAGTTCGACAGCGGACATGAATAGATTAGAATAATCCTACCCATAATGCAGCCATCGACGCTGAACTGTGTTAGGACAACGAATTTTGGATTCAGGCGGCACCCACCCAATATGTACTGATGGTACATGAGTTGTCAATTGTGATTCACCCTCATATCGACAAGGAGACACACCTTAAAGGACTGCAAGCTCATCGCTTCTGCGCTATCGTCAGTTGAATACACCATCTAGAGGTCAAAAATGTGTTTCACGCTGTGAACCCATCAAATGTGGTGACGTAGACGCTGGGATATCATTGAAGTTAGTGTGAGTTCAAACTCAGCTAGCTTGCTGCGGTCGTGATGGAGCATCTGTTCACTGGATGCACCGGTCGCGGAGTAACTTGATAAAAGATATATTGGATGACCAGTGCCAATTTCCAAATGACTTCCCACAGTTTCATTTAGAACGTAAAAGTCATCTCAGACGATGACTTAGCCGTTGACGTCCCATCTTCTTCCTTCCCTTCAGACCAGTGACCCTCGAAAATCAGACTCCCTTCAAGAAAAGATCGCCCGCGCAACTCTCTTCACCGCTATCACAAGGCACATCGCCAAAGACACGATCCTCATCATAGACGGAATGAATTACAATCAAGGGTTTCAGGTATCAACTGTATTGCAAGGCCCGAGAGGCTGGAGTAAGGGTCGCTACGGTGTGTAATAGATCACGATATTCTCACTCGTGCAACTAACGCAGTTGAGAAAAGTAGGTCTATGTACTTGCTGCGCCTGATCAATGTCGGAAATGGAACGATGAACCAGGAGATGGCAAGGGATATAAACCTCAAACGTCAGTCTTTCCCTTTTCTATTTTCCTACCTATTCTTAACCTCAAAACAGCCTCGACGCCCTCATCCAACGCTTTGAAGAGCCCTTATCCATGGTCCGCTGGGACGCTCCACTCTTTACCATCCCCTGGGATGACCCAACACTCCCACTCGAACGCATATCAGATGCAGTCACAACTGCTATCGTCAAACCACCCCCAAACGTCGGCACCCAGATCACACCAAAAGCACCCACAGACACGCTCCGCATTCTGGAGCATACGACAAACGCACTGGTTTCTGCGCTCATGGCTGCTCAGGCTGCTGGCCCACTGGGGGGACCTATCGTCCTCACCATCGATTCGCTTGAGCATAGCTCGGATACCAGTGCCACTGATGATAGTTCTGTTCTCCGTGTTCGCTTAACACTCCCGCATCGTGCACTGACGCTGTCAGAGCTGCAATGGCCCAAGCGCCGATTCGTGGCTGCGCGCCGGAAAGCTGTGACATTGGGAAGCACGGAAAAAGGCAGGGTGGAGTGGGGAGAGGAAGGCGTGGGACGTACATTTGCAGAGTTCTTAGAGAAGGGGTTGGGTGTTGCGAGGTGACTTGCACGTTGAGCATCCAAAACAAGAGCCTTGGTTTTAGATTCCCCGGAGTAATACAACACAGGGCTTGTAATATGTGGTACGCGCATCCAAGATCAAATGATTAACTCAGGTGAACACGATCTCTCATACAGTGTCACTTTCTCGTAGAGTTTTTATAGATGAATGGCAGCATTCACCTTCACGAGGAAGTCTTCTCCTTGGTGCTGCGCAGGATTAGGCTTCACCCAGTGACACTATTTTGGTATGAGAATATGCAAACGTCACGTTTTTTGTTCACCTTTCATTATCGAAGGCGTGATGCCACTACCAGGTTTGTTTCGTGGTCTCTTCTCTCATATCGGACACTCCCCTGGTCTTCAATTCCAAAAATACGACCCAGTCAGTACATGTTTAAGATGCAGTCTTTGATTTTCGTGACAATCATGCTTGTGATGGGTGGACAGCAAATCCGGGCAACTGTCTTTTCTTTGGTGGGAGGAATAACATCTTCAAGTACGTCGCTCTGCTACTCTATGCACTGGGTCAGTCGTTTTGTCTCTTTTCGAGCTCATGCATCAATAAGTCCTCATATGACGAAGAAGCTGATGTTGTTGATGTTGTGCTCCTTTCAGAATGGTATGATTCTTACGTCTTGACGGTGGGGCGCCACCGCGGAAACCAGGCCACCAAGCTCTCCACCCTCGACTTAGTCGGGTAAGCGTACTTGGTCAGTCGTCCTACTCTTATACTTGGCACGCACTGTCACCTGAATCCTCGGCCCAGTGCGTAGCTTTAGCCCTAGCTCATCATAGACGTTGAGACAGCGGTAGGCGGAGCCTGGCTAGACAGGCAAGCATACAATTTCTTACAGCGACAAACGCCAATCTCCAATCTTCCTGTCAGCACCATGATCAGATCAAGTGAGCCCAGAATATTGATACATGCTACATTATTGACATTACATCGCACCACTCCTTCGTGCCCTCTGGCACACATCATGCTAAGCAAGCATGTCAACACTGGGACTCTAATGGCAGAGGAGATTGACAGGCTCACTCGGGCTCACTAGCACATGATGACGCCATCGGTTACCTCACAGCAATTTCTACACGGGCATGGCGCATAGGCCTCAATTACGCCATCAGGTCCACAAAGATACCCAAAATCATTGTCGTTGTTAAAAAATTTGATGCCCGTTGAGCACTCTAGCGAATCTGCGAATACCAGCCGTAAGCATGTAGTCTAAGGTATGCAAAAGTGCTTACTACGGTTGCCGCAAGGTAGCCCCAAGGGAGTTATTACCAGGTTGTCAGAGGCGACAGCTACACTAGCCATCGCTGCGACAGATATGATCGTGGTGGTGAGTGTGGTGAATATCATCGCTAAAAGCTAATGGTGTTGTCTGAGTCATCAAAAGCTAAGTTGGCTTTTATACACAAGTAGGGCTGATCTGCATGTGGCCTGCACTATTGGATAGACAGATGCCAGCTCACACTCTGTGAGTCTGTGACATAAAAGTCCATCACAATAACGTAGCGGACGCAGTTAGCGAGTTCGGTCTATAATCATAACAATTTATTCAGTTGATTTTCACATTTTCAGTCACTCACTAGATTTCAAACCTAGTCCGTGACCCCAAACCAGCCAAAAGCTGGCTGCAAATGCAAAGGTGACGTGGCAGGCGCTGGAAAACACGTGGATGAGAGTGACTGGGAACACGAACAGATGACAAACGTCCAGCTTGGGCTTTTGCAAAATTCGAGCCCAAGTCTTGTACGGGCCGTGACCTGGGCTCAGGCTCGGCTCGACTTATTGAGACATGGCTCGGGTTGGCAGCTGCAGCGTGTTCACCTTCATAAGGAGCCACCTTTTAAGCGACCTAGAAGTGGAGGTGTAAGCCTGTGCTTACTGCGTGACTGACGCTTCGCGTTTACTGTGGGTTAATTAGACACTGTACTTATATCTGCAAACAGCTGTAATGATTAATGCATAATGATTCGTTGAACTTGGGGACGGAAACAAGCTTATCTCCGCTTCATATGGCCAAATTAGGATATTTGTCACAGCCACCGGGAAGGAGACTGTGACCAAGATATCCGAGCCTTTTATGCAACGCCTCGGCAAGAAACAGCAAAGAGAATGGCATTCCAGCAAATGCAACAAGAGGCTCCCATATCAAAATACCCAGAAGACTTTATTCAAATGTCTCCCTAGAAAACGCAGCCAACATGCTATTTCGCGTTATCCAAACCTCTCAAAACCAATCCTACACATGGACTTTTATCGATAAGTCACAAGGTGGCCCGGGCCGTATGATTGATAGTACCAAAGACGAGTCAGTCGGCAACTAACTTCTACGACGTATGCAGAAGATAAAATATACCTCTTGTCCATGTCGAAACCCGCTCAACCTCTGAACAACGCTATCCGATGGAAGACTAAGAAAATCGATACACTATGCCTGTCCAACGTGGTACACGGGTGCGTTTCAGGCCTTTTATAGATTATTTTATCCTTTCTTCAGGAACCCGAAGTCGCAGAAGTTAAATTCGGCTTCGTACCCAACTACCAAGACACAGCAGCATGGCGTATGTGCCGACGCTAATGCCTTCACGAAGGCGGCCACCTCCAACTAGTGTTGTCTACTACTCCCGTGGACATCCCATCCGTAAGTCCCTCCACCATATCATCATGTTTCCCTTCTCACCCCCCATCGCGTATCGTCCGATCCGATATATCTATGACTTCACCACATCTACACCCACACCCACCTCTACATCTACATGTACGTATATATCTCCCGCACCGCAGACATCGTCCCATCTCTCTTGAACAACCCCGTCAAGCACTCTAACACTACCCACTATGCCAAAGGCGAGCCTTTCCAACCCCGCAGGCGGTGATAACATAGCAGAATAATAATATGCAGCCTTTGGGGACGAGGGAGCGTGAACGGACGAGATATTTGAGCGGGGAAGTAGTAGTGGGTGTGAGTATATCCTATTATCGGAATAACATTGATCTGATATGTTGGTTGTTGGTTCAGCAACGACCTGGTCCTCCATGACTAGATGATGATTAATCTGCAGATTCGACCTCTTCATTTGTTCAGTTCATGGTTAATCATTTGTGCAGATGAATCTGCATCGCCTTCCAACGATTCCCCCATAATAAGTCCGTTGTCCCCGTCTCACTTGTATATTGTGTTATTTAACAAACTGCTCGTATTCGTATTGTGGATGTTGTCGTGCAAGAAGACGAAATTCGAATCCTTTTCTCGTGTTCTTCAAATTTGTGGTAACGGTTCGGCTGTGGGTGAAGTCGTGCAGCAGGTTACGTAGACAGGTGAGAGCGTTCAGGTTGACGCCGCGTAGCCTACATCAGGGTTCTTCCGGTCAATGAATCAGGGTGACGATTGACTGCAATTTGTGGAAAATCTGGTGAAGTTGATTGTTCATCTGAAATTCTGAACATGACTTCGGCTTTGATGTCGAACGTTCGAAACTTTGATTTGCGCACTATCAACACCCAGTGGTGATGATTGCGCAACCAACTCCAAGATACGTTCCCGTCTCAGGTCTGTTATGCAATCACTTGTCACTAGTAGTGCTTTACTTGAGAGTGCTGCCACGCGCTATGCACAGCATATGGATTCGATATGTGTATGTACCTGCTACAACAAATCCACTCGCTGACGAGACGTACATAACAGATCAATGTCAATCGAACTGCCTCAAAATCTGAACCGGACCAAGGTAAGTACTTGATCCGGTAGTAACACAGCCATTGACATGCGGTGTCAGTAGCGCTGCAACTACAGCATGCAAAGCTGACCCAAATAGCAGGCCTGTTCATCACATTTTCCCCGTATCTCTCCTTCTCCCCGATTACTGACTTTGCGCAGTATTTCACTGTCCTGTCTGTCTGTACAACGCGACATCCTTGTCATGCCACGCGAAGAAGCCGAGTCAAGCAAGTCGACCAGACGAGGTGAAGTCCCATTGCACTCATCGATAGATCGGACGAGCGCGAAAGATCCGCCACCATATGGTGCACAGCACCGCCAGGACGCACTTTGGCAAGGTGAGCAGCTACGTTGTGATACCTACCAGCTTACTCAATTAGAATCAGGCGGGAATGAAGTGCTCCCTCCTATGTGGCAACAGTATAAGACCTCGTCGGATGGGAAAACAGGATATCAAGATAACACGCTCGTGATTTCCTCGTGGAACCGACCTTTACCCGGAGTGCGTCTAGGTGAGGGATGAAATTGCGACAAGGAGCGAGGAACTCACCGTTGAACATAGATTATCCTGGATATCTCGCTGTTCCTGGATGGGAATGGTACATCTCACCACTTGGTCGGTCCTACTTTGTCAACCACAACACTCGGACCACGTCGTGGAAGAAACCAAAACCAGAACGACCGGCAGGAAGCTTGATACCGGAGTGTGTCATTGAGGGTCACTCCAAATGCATATGGAGGCTTGCCTACTTGAGTACCAGTGGCAATATAATGAGCGCGTCTGACGATAGTTCGATTCGTCAGTGGAAAAGAGACGGAGAGCCAGTGGGAAAACCTTTGAATGGCGATGGGGGAGGGATAGGTTCGATGGTAGTATCCCCAGATGAAACAATGGTCATCTGTGGAAGTATAGATGGCAGACTGCGGCTGTGGAATATAAAGGAGGGCAGCATGATTGGCGACCCGTGGGAGGGGCATAATGCTACAGTGAGGTGCCTCGATTGGTCTCGCAATTCCCCGGAGATAGCAAGTGGATCTGAAGACGGCACCATACGACGCTGGAACCCGAATACTGGTCGACAAATAGCACCACCCATAGAGATCAGTCACGGATGGGTTAATGCCGTGAAATACTCTCCAAAAGGCGACAAATTCATGAGCGGTGGGAACGGTCCGATTTGCATATGGTCAAAGGATGGCAAGCTGCTTATCGAGATCAAGGGACATGAAGACGGGGTGATGTCATTGTGTTGGTCCAAGGATGGCGCACACATCTTCTCTGCCTCAGCTGATCACACCATCCGAAAATGGCGGGCTATTGATGGGCAGGAACTCGTCGTTCTTCGGGGTCACATCCACCCCGTCTCATCCCTCTGTCTTACTCCCAATGAAAGGTATATTGTTACCGGATCAAATGACTACACGATTCGCATCTGGGATCTCGAGACCAATCAGGCAGTCGGAGAGCCACTCTTGCACGATGACAAAGTCTTCGCTGCTGCCATTTCCCGCGATGGAAAATACATTGCCAGTGCTGGAGCAGACAAAAAAATCTATGTATGGAATCTGGAGGCGGCGCTCACAAACGTTGTGGTGCGCATGTGCTTTGTTATCTAATTTCCCTTCCAATATCATGGCTCTACACCCTAATTTCTCACTCGCAGGTGGCAGCTGCAAACCCACCAACGAACGTATGTGATGTATTTACAGGTGGCAGCTGCAAACCCACCAACGAACGTATGTGATGTATTTATTAATGTTGTCAACCATTTCAAGGTCATCACTCTAGAGCAATGCTACCCGACGTCCACCTATTCATGCCCGTCGAATACCTCCAACATTTTTTGATGATTTTGACATCCATGTGGGTTCTCGGCGTTTTTTGAATCAGTTCCTATTCTCACCTCCGAGTCTTGTAATTAGTCCTCCACATCGCCTGGTGTTCATCGCCCTTCTTCCCATCGCGCTCTCGCACCATCTATCGAGAGTGCACGTGCACTCTTTGCCCGCATTCCGTCACTTTTTCATCGCTCTCGCTCCGGCACCGGTGACGAACTCCAACAAACCCAAAGGCAAGGGATCTTCTCTCGTCGCGGTCCTAGTGCTGTCCAAGTTGCTGCAGTACGGGACAAACAGGTATTCGTTCCTCGCATTCGTTTTCACACACTGGCTCAATAATTCCGCTGTAGTCTTTATTTGTTGCTCCCCGGCCAAAACAGAAGCAGCAGCAGAGCAGCCAATTGCATGGTCAGGGATCGTCATCGCAATCTCAACCTACCGGTACTCCGACGCCTGTTCCAAATAGTAGCACCCAGGCTACCACAGCACGTGCAGTGACAATGAAGTCACGAGTCCTCACGTTGTTGGCCCGTCTGGTGCTTTTGATTTGTTGTGCACCTCTTCCAAGCACCGATGGCCATTAATGCTGTATCACACGAAAAACTATTTCATCTTCTTTGTATCTATATTTCAACGTCCAGCTAATCAAGTCCCACACGCGTCCTACATGTAGGTTCCCGAAGATGAGCACATTTATGTCGGTATTTTCGCAAAGTCAGGCAACCGAGGATCAAACGCTTGAAAATTAGATATATCCACCGTAAGCGAAGCACATTCCAGTTCTGTAATACTCCGCTAGAGATACAACTAAGGTATGCCATGCCGGTGTTTACTATTCCCTTAATTAGCGACTGAGCAGTTGTAAGCTACCGCACGATCTTAGCTGATTTCTGCGATGAGTGAAAAAAGCTTGTGTTGGATGAGAGATTCCAGGAGTATGAGAAGATCGCAGACTCAAAGGTGATGTTGGCCAGCTGAGTCAGTCGGACGCCGTCCTTGAGCTTGACGAGTTGATGATATGCATATGCATCCTGCTCGCGTGCGCGAGTTAATCAGGTTGGCACAGCGTGGCGATGGTCGTTACTTCGTACTTGATGCTCTACTGTGGTGGACGGAATGTTTCACCAAGCTGCAGGTTAATGTCGTCGAAGTGCACCCTGCCGGAGGTGTTGAGCTTATGATTGAATGGCACCCTCATACATGATTCTTGTATACGCTGATCATGATGTGTTGACTTGAGATCATATGAATAGAGTTTCACTTGCCTGATGTCCATTACTTCGACATTGCGCAGCGAGTCTTGCTGACGCCAGACAGAGATGTTGGCAGAATGGGTCAATTCCGTCATCCGATGATCAATATTCTGGATCGAGACCAGTGCGAAAGTTCACAATTTAATCCATATTACAAGTCGACAATAAAAACAGCGATCCCATAGTTGTAGTAAGATGTGATAGCAGTCGCGGCTACAGCCTGAAGGTGGGACATGTGCCTAAATCATCCAGATGTGCTCCACTGGAATCCCATGTAGCACGAGACACTAGGACGAGATAGAAGCGCTCTCCCCAGGGAATGAGGCATCGCCAAAGGTGGAACAAGTCTTTGAAGAGCCAATTTGACTGGGAGGGAAAAAAATATGGTCCAAACACATCGGAGGAAATGAGCATTGCATAAGACGACTTTTGTGTAAGTGATAAAAGGGTATTCTCATTACTAATAGGAATGTGCTGCTTATAACCTGTGAGACAGATAGTGAGCTTCAAATTTATGGAAAGAAAGAGGCAAGGATAGAATCAGTGGTGCAAATATTTGGCTTATGCTCTACCGTTCGTCAACGCTTATAGCTACGACTGGGGCGGCAAGCGAAATCATCATGAGAAAAAATAGGAACGTCACCCACCTTTTACATAGATTTCGGACTGCGGCCTAATAGACGAAGGCCACCCAATCGAATCGGCTCTACAACCGTCCGAGAGAACATTGGAGAAAGATACAACGAAAGGCCAATGCGGACAGGTAAAAGTGCCTGAACGAATATCAGTCACTATCCCAACCGTGGTAAAGGAAAAAAATACCTTAACTGCACCATAAGCCAGAATCGCATTAGCAACGTCCCCCGCTAGCTTACCAGACAACTCGCTCATCTGGGTGTGGTCAACAATCTTGCCTTTCTCAAAGCCGAAGATGCCATATCGACGTCCAACACGACCAGCCCATTGCTGGCCTTCATCAACCCATGATCTGAGCTGGATATTTACCCAGGACTGGTCGTTGACAGAGCCATCCCGTTTGAGAGCAACAGCATTGACGACGCGTTCACCTGCGTTTAGACTGCGTGCCGTGTAAAAAATACCCACCATGGGAACGATGGCAGTTAATTCATGAAGGATGGCGAAGGAAATTATGAGAGAAGGTAGCGGTGTTCCTGTCCTCCCAGAAACCGCGGTGAGGGCATTTCTGTAAGGTGCAAATCGTCCTCTAGAATTCGACATGCAAAAATTTATAGAGGATACGGCTTAGGTAATAAGGTGTCGAGTGGCTGTGCAGGTAAGCGCACGAGGCGTTCAACTCCCACCAGTGACAACGATATAAACTGTCCTTTAGCTTCCATGCAGCAACGCGGCACACGGGTATGGGTTTTCTCTCTCCGCAACAGTGTATCAAATACGATAGCCCCTCCCAAGTATCTCGAAGTCGCAGAAGTCAAACTTGATTTGACACCTATCATCTCAAGACACAGCCGCATGCGCTCAGTTGCGCTGGTGCTACTGTCTCCACAATGGCGGGCCCATCCTCAAATACCAGTATTACAGGCTCGTTCACTACTTTCGCATACCTCAAATCTATGAATTCCTACACTACCGTCTATTATCTCACTAGCCCATCGCGCATTTTCCAATATGTCTTTGACCACACCACATTTCCCTCACCCAGATGTTGTTACATCTCGTGAACAATTTCATCAGTTCAAATAACTTACCAAGTCGAGTGAGACAATTATGAATTGTTGATAGCGTGGGTCGTTGCAGATGTCGGCCTATCATAACAGAAACGTTTCGTTAATCTGGAGAGTTTGGTGTGTCTAAATCTCTACCACAATGCTCCATGCCGTCAGGCTGTGCGTCTGGCTCAAATCCTGGATCTTGAATCTGTCGTCGCTTACAGTGAAAACCACGGGTGTTAAATAGACCCAAATGCTGCTACCACCCCGCGGACAGACTCATTCTATAAGTTAAGCACGTAACCAACTCTACCAAACCCACTCCCACCAGTCATCTTGTACGGTCCAAACCTCGCTCCACGAACGACACCGAATACGCCACAGGATAAGACAATCACACCGTCGGATTTGTAAATGAGATGTCGGACATTGGAACATGCACGAGGTTGCTAGTAGAGCCGTGTGGATGTTGATTCACCTGCCAGAGATGCAGGTGCATGCGCGTGGCAAGAATTGCAAGCATGATGAACTGGAAGCTATATGTGGGTGTACATTTTGGGTATTGTTGGCAGGAGGATGTGGAGGTACATACTCATACAAAATGGTTTCGTAGAAGTTCTGCGGCGCAGAACATCAACGGCTCGATCATAAAAAGCATTTAATAGATTATCACACCTGGAGGAGCAGCGATGTGATGATGTTCGTAACCGAGAACACTTCAGGAAAGTGGCTGAGTACGGGAAAACGGCTCGAAAGATTGTAAACTCACGAAAACCGCATGCATAATAGGATATGTTATGGTTCACCAGGACAACGTACAGATGGCTTGAGTTTATCCGCCAGTTTTGCACAGCGCGTATGAGTGTGAGTATCATGAGTCCTGAGGAGAACACCTGTCAGCGCGTGTTTGTGCATGTACATGCTCCTGGTTACCCACCCAGTTCGAACACGGAAAGGAGAAGAAATGCTATGAAGTACTGAAAACTGGTCGAACTGTAGCACCCTGTGATGCCCGGAACCGCGCTAGTCCAATCTGTGAAAGTGAATATAATGTTTTAGTGGTCGTGGAACGCCAGAGGGAAGACAAAATCGAGTACATGCTGCAGTGACGCCAGTGGCGAAGACAGTGCTGAAGGATGCTACAAGAAAAGTCTGTCTGATGCATTTACCACTAGCTTGGGTATTGTGAGTCGTTGGGAACTCACGAAAAAGGTGGACAATGTGGCTACAAGCAAAATTATATTTTTATTCCAGAGCACATATGTTCTAAGGATAAAAAAAGCTGGATGAATCAGATCAGAAACACACATAATACGGGGGGAACGAGAGATACTTTCGGAGACCATAACTAATACTATTCCAAGACCTGTGAGAGGAAAGTAGTAGCCTTCAGAAAGATGAATGCACTACGCACGTACCTGATTGAGTATTTTCCAGCACCCGGCATTTCTGGCGAAGTCATACAGTAAGTCATTCGTTCTTTAACCTTCCACCGCATCACATACACCTGAGTTCTCATTCGGGATAAAATACACTAAAAAAACAAGTGTCAATTCATCATCAGGGCGATGTGTGCTGGAGCGGGACGCACTGGATAGATTTGTGGCCAGAAAGATAAAGGGGAGGTATCGTGTGACGATATAGAGGCCTTTCATCTTGCTCCAGCGTGACCGAAGCAAAAATGTCCACTTTGCACAGCAATGATATTGTCGATATCAAACCCAAGGTATATCATAGAACGAGAGTATTACCTCTTCATGAAGTGAACATGTATAATCGTAAGTCTGGATAAGCGAGTTCGACAGCGGACGTGAATATATCAGAATAATCCTACACATAATGCAGTCATCGACGCTGAACTGTGTTAGGACAAAGAATTTTGGGTTCAGGCTGTACGCACCCAGTATGTACTGATGGTACATGAATTGTCAATTGTGATTCATCCTCATATCGACAAGGAGACACACCTTAAAGGACTGCAAGCTCGTCGCTTCTGCGATATCGTCAGTTGAATACACCATCGAGAGGTCAAAAATGTGTTTCACACACACACGTACACACATCATGCGCCTTCTTAACTCTTATGAATGGGCTGTGAACCTATCAAGGTGGTGGCGTAGACGCTGGGATATCATTGAAGTTAGTGTGAGTCCAAACTTAGCTAGCTTGCTGCGGTCGTGATGGAGCGTTTTACCGTTCACTGGATGTATCGGCCGGGGAGTAGCTTGATAAAAGATGTATTGGATGACCAGTGCCAGATGACTTCCCACAGTTTTTAGAACGATGTTCTGGTTCTAAACAACAGTTTTAAACGCCTCTTGCCAAGCTGAGGACCCGTGTTTGTGGCTATCCGTTTTTATTCATGGATGAAACTATCTAAGAAGAGGCAAAGGAATACCGAGGTTGTCAGTATCGACCACAGCCGTGTAACAAAGCTCCATCTTCACCTGATACGACCCCTCTGGATGTGCACACATCATGACGATAGGCTTAGACACCTATGGTTTCGCCAACGAGGTCCGTACAAGGGAGGCCACTCTCAAGAATCTAGATTCAGAAATGCTGAAGGGGAGCATAGAGGTGCTGCTGAAGTTGAGGCATTCGAGCCAATAGGGAGGGAAAGAAACCAAGCCGTTCCCACGAAGGAAAATTCTGCAGGGAGGTGGTCTGTGACGTCCGCGTCAGGACTTGACTCTTTCGGGCTTTCGGACTTGGTCAAGGGCCTGGACGGGTCGGTCACTCGTTATCTGAAACCAAGTATCTATCACATGTTTGTCACGAATAATCACAAGCTCCTACTTACAGATAGTATAAAGAGTCGTTGGGTAGCTATCTGTAACGTGGGCGTTCTTGAATCTACTTGACTTGTATCTGGTTATTCTTGCGCGTCTTATTAATCTCTCACTGTGCCATATTCGAAAGCACCTGCTTCTCGTATCTGTCACATATTTTTTAACCTTCAACAAGCTTAACTCTCTCATCTTGCCCTTCACTCGGAACACTGGTCTGATCCACCAGTCGTTCTACGTCTAGGCAACATCTATCCATAACAACATGGCTATTACAACTACCACTACCGAATCTCGTATCCCTCGGTACCAGCTGCGCGATACACGTGCCCGCAAAGCTACTACTGAGAAGACCATCAAGACAACTATCAAAGAGGCTGGACCTCTTCGTACCAACAGTGAGTCTGCCCTCTCTTTGCTTGTCTCGTCCCCGGGAGAACCACAGCCTCGTGCCGTGTCTCCTGCGTACTCCACCGGACAGCACGCGCGCTCATACAGCGACGTGCTAATGGCGCGTATTCCCCCGATGCCAGGTGCACTCGGGGAGACACCCGCTCGTCCACAAAGTGAGATGGCGGAGACCGAAGGGCTTAGCCTGGGTGGAAAAACCCCAGTAGACAATCCTACCTCTGTTAGTAGAGATAGTAAGGAAACAGAGAAGAACACTCACTTTGAGACTCCAGCAAATGAAAGGAGCTGGTCCGCTGTAAGACCTGAGGATTCTGGCGACGGCCAGAGTGGGAACTGGACCACCATTGAACGAAAGCGCTCTGCAGGCGCCAAGGGTGCGACCCAAAATAAGGGTGAGCATCAGAACCTAACCCGGGAACAAGAAAACCTGGTGAGAAAGGCCGAAAATAAGTTAACCCCGGCTGAAAGAGAGAGAATTCAGACTAGATGGAACTTACCTAGTCGCCCTGCCTCCGATGGCAGTGAGTCAGAGGAATCCCCAGGTGAGGGACCCTCCAGAAGCAAAGGGAAGGCTCCAGATCCTCGCAACTGGGGAGACGCGGACATCGAGGAGGACGACCTGGACTTAGAAGCCCAGAGAGCTGCCCTGGACGCATATCGAGCCGCTAGAGACAAGGAAACCCACCACCGGGAGCAGCGCGAGATCCCGGATGATGCCATGGTCTCTAGGGCAGAGGCCGAGACGGCAGTCAGAGCTGCAGAAGAAAGAGTTCAGAAACGTTATGAGGCGCGCCTCCAAGAATTAAGGAACGAAAGAACTCACTACCTGCGAGCAACCGAGAGTGACAAAGAGACGTTGGACGTCTCGCTGAAAAAGAAAAGAGGTAAAATAAGAACCTCTGGTCGAAACAGAGATCCAGTGGGAGCTCTAGTCGACCAGGCGCTAGATAGATCATCGGACCCAAGGGAAAGGCGATCAACGCCGAAGGCGATGGATCCGGTCAGGCAGGTGGCGCCGAAAAGCTACATCAGCCAAGCCTTAGGACGTCTGGATAAGTCATCCAGACGAAACAAAGACAAAAAGGGAAAACATACCAAGAAAGGTCGGAGGAACCCAGATGATGAGGACTCAAGCGACTTCAGCCCCAGTTCTTCAGACGAGTCCTCCAGCACGTCGTCGACGTCTAGCTCGAGCTCCTCAAGCTCGAGTGGAGGAAGCACCTCCCGATGACGTAGAGCCAGGAAGCGTCGAAACCAGTCTAAGAAAAAGAACACACTTAAACCAATTCCACCGGTCACTATGACGGCTCACCTGACTCAAGAGCCTACCACCAGTTCCTCACCGAAGGAACAGCATACGTCAAGGATGGGCAAGTCGAACGCAAACGGCGTGTCTTCATCCTGGCCCATTATCTGAAGGGAAGAGCGCGTGAGTTCTATGTAAGGGAAGTGTCTGGGGACCCATACCGTTGGAGGCTCAGAGACTTCTTTACCGAGCTCTTCAATTATTGTTTTCCTGTAAACTTTAGAATGGAGCAAAGAGCCAAATTGAATAAATGTTACCAGAACTCGAAGACGGTGCGAGAGTACGTCTACGAGCTGAGTGAACTCTGGAACATGATCGGGGATGTGGAAGACCGGCAGAAGGTCTCTCGATTCTGGACTGGGCTAAACCCCAGCATCCAGGCCGAACTCTGGAAAAAGGAATTAAACCCTGAGTCGTCGAGTTTTCGCGAAGTTAGAAATGCGGCAGAAATAATAGAAATAGCTCACTCGGTGCCTACCCACCGGCGAGACCACAGGGAAAAGCCTTCCCCAAGTGCTGGGGGAACGAATGGAGGTGGCAATAACACCAATCGCCGGGAAGAAGGACGGCAGCGAAACAGGGACAAAGAGAACCGAAACTCGCATAAAACCGATGGAGGGTCCCGGAGGAGAAACGGCGCTGTCGAAAATGGACAGAATCAAGGTCAGAGGAGGAATAACGGACCAGGAAAAAGCTCACCTCCAGAGAGAAAACCTGACCATCTGAGTCAGGCCGAGAAAGAAAGACATGCAGCGGAGGGGCTGTGTTATGTGTGCCATCAGCCAGGGCACATCTCTAGAAACTGCCCAGACCGTACCACTGTCAAGCGGTCCGGGGCCAACAATGCTCCCCCTGGCGTGCAAAACTTTAGCATACAGGTGGACCTAAGCGAAGCAGATAGAGTAACTCACCAGAATGAGAACGTGACCTCCAATGGGGCCACAGATCTGTCATGCGCTGCGATGGACTTCTGGCATGATGACTTTGACTCCAGGGATGAATCGGATTGGGTTAGCGACTTGGAGGAGCCAGCAATACCCCTGCTGCGTGGACACAGGCCAACCGCCTTGCATGATGGACCTGCGGGGAAGGAAGACTGGGCCTCTAGAGGCACGAAGATCAATGCCATGGGCGAACCATTGGCGATGCGAGCCAAATACGTACTAGAAGGGGGATTTTACCTTTGGGAACGGAGGCCATGGCTGCCCGCTGATACCGAGAGGTTCTTCGTCTATAGCGTGTCTGAAAAAGAGCATGTCATCATGGATAAAGAAAATAGATGGGAGCATGAAGTAACGGTGCCCACCCGTAAGTTGCTGGACCCGAAGTTCTGCCTGGCAGAATGGTATGCACGAAAGGTTAATGAACTACGGGGAGAGCACCCCCACACATGGGGAAGATGGAGGCGGGAAGAGCCTCGCCCAACGAGGTCCATGGATACTCCTCTAGCTGCCCGAGCGGAGCAGCTATTGAAACTATGGGGCCATTATGATAACGACCCCCCATGCAACGCGCTAAACCCAGAAAGATTTGAGTGCGTTGTCTTCTTAGATAGATGATCTATAGATAAACACCTACAAAATCAAAAATCTCCACGGTCAGTGATTCAGACAAATACCAATGACTGATAACGTGGTTGTTCGTGGGTGGCTGTTTACACTTCCCCAAGCTATGTTCAGACAAAAGTACTTCCTGTGAGGTCAGTAGCAATACCAGTCAATCCAACAGTATGGACGCAATAGAAAATAAAATAAACAGAATGTAGTCAGCCCAACGGTATGGTGATGACAAAAAGAAATTGATTCACTCCAACGGTATGGCAGTGTTTAGAGAACAGAGAAAAGTCAGCCCAACAGTATGGTACTGATAAAAAAAAGAAATAGATTGATAAGAGAAACCCTTCCTTCAGTAACAATGCTTCTTGTAATAAATTTACTACAGAAAGTCGTGCGAAATTATAGCAATCACCCCCTCAGCACAAACAGGTAGAATCAAAGGTCAGGACTAATCAGTGATCAGTAGAACTCTTAGTTCACTATTGAACCTGCTGCCAAGGAACTCACGATGAGTATTAAACAGAATCAGGAACGGACGTCCTTGGATTTCAGTACCAAGTCCCCTATTCAACAACTAAAGTCTAGCAGACAAAGAAAACCCTGGCTCAGTATCACTACTCAGATGAGTGAGGTCAAGCGTCACTATCAACTTCTGAAGTCTTCCCACTAAGCTGGTGCTTAGATGGACATAAAGACAACACAAAGATCTTGAAACAAATTCAGACAATAACACTGAGACGTGAATGAACTGAACGGAAAAAGAGACAAATGAAAAGAAACAAACAAACAAAGAAACAGAAAAGAAAGAGAGAAAAGAAAAGAAAAGAGAAAGAAAAAGAAAAGAAAGAAAAGAAAAGAAAGAAAAGAAAAGAAAAGAAAAGAAAAGAAAGAAAAGAAAAGAAAGAAAAGTTTGCTCACTGTTGAGCACAGTGAGCTCAAGATATTTCACAGTTGTTGACGATGAGCTAAAGGTTATTGCTGGATGTTGCTTACAATGACCTCTCAGTTAGTTGCTTAACAGCTCTTGTCACTGTTGTTGATACTGATCACACTTCACACTCAAATTTATTTTGTGGGGCTTAAAAGTTCCCTATATGCATCTTTTTATTGGCAAAAAGTGGGGTCTTATATAGATAAATTATGGTGGCTGTGTTACTATTTCCCACGTTCTAAGGGGAATAGGCTTAGTCAGATTGTACCAATACTATTTACCGTAGTCATGTGCTTTATAATTTGTGTCATCAAGCTTTAGTCATCTCAAAAGGTTGCTTTGTCATGATTTGGTTTAGGGTCATAGGTCACCTGACTGTTAGAGTCATATAACTTAGTATCGTGTGACAAATATTAAGTAACAGACTGATTATGTTATTTGTTGGTGTCTTGTTATGATGTTACTTTATTGACCGTAGAAATGACACGAGCCATGTATTTAGAGTGTTAAGAAAGTTCCCACAAGGCAAATTATGCAAGAACTATTTTACACTGTTACTTGACATGTGTGGGATTCAGTCTGAGCCATTGTTATTGCTGACTAAGCAGAATTTACCGCAAAATTAAATATACAAGAATATTCAGCCTATCTGAGTCTGTCTGAGAAATGAAAATACTATCTGAACTGCAGTCTGAACCATAAAGTAAAGGAAGATTGTTCATAATGATTTCTAGGGTATCGGGCTCGTGAGAGAGCATTAGTCATCCATGCACTGAACCGGTTTGGTGCAGGTCAGCGTTAGAAGAAGGGACGGGACACACCTGATAAAGGACTATGTCCGATCGTTCGTAGTGGAGGTGCCGTTGCACCTCCTGTTAAACCCTAAGTTCGTGTTAGCATCCTGGTACAATAAGAGATTGAGGGAGGCTCACGACGAACTTTGTGACGGACTGGTACAGGACTCTCAAGAGTCCAATATGCTCCGGCTATTGGACCAGGGTCCGTTGACAGACCTCGAATGTCAGTTGGATGACGTGGCGAGGAGGATATACACCCTATCCTCAGATGCGAAGTTCCTATACAACAAGTCATACTTGTTTGTATTAGAGTTAAATGGACAGCAAATACCGGCGGGCACTTACCCAGCGCTGCAAAGAGGAGCTGCCATGACCAAGGACTTTAAGCGAATGATACCGAAGCCAGTGGTCGTTGTTGTGAACATTAACGGACAACCGGCTCGTGCGCTAATTGATTCTGGGTCCCTGTCAGATTTCATGTCAGTGACTCTGGCAGAACAACTTAAAGTACCAAAGGTTGAACTTACCAAGCCGTTGGTAGTGCAGCTTGCGGTCCAGGGATCCCGGTCTAAGGTGAATTATGGCACTAGGGTGCAGATGAAGTATCAGAACATTAGCGAACAACGCTACTTTGACGTCATTAACTTACAGAATTATGATCTGGTGCTGGGGACACCATTTCTGTTCCAGCACAAGGTCATGGTGGGGCTGAACCCACCACGCGTGACAATAGGGAGCGCATCGCCATTACCGATGAAGGGAGTCGAGGTGACGACGCTCGAATCGCGCGCAGTCGCCGTAGAGACAGAGGATCTAGAGAAAGTGCGCGAATATCTGCGTCAATTAGCAAAACCGTTGTGTGCTAAGGCAAGCGAGACGAGCTTACCTCCCTTGCGCTCTATCAACCACACCATACCTCTCATAGATGAGAGTAAGATCTACCCCTGGAGACCATCCAGGTGTCCAGAACCGCTAAGACCACAATGGGCGGAGAAAAGACAATCCTACCTTGCCAGCGGCAGATGGCAGGTTACCAGTGCTGGCAACATGGTGCCTATGCTATTTATAAGGAAACCCGGGTCAGATCGTCTGAGGACAGTCGTTGATCTGCGGGAGAGAAACAAAAACACTCACAAGCTGATGTCGCCATTGCCAGACATGGAGGGAATCCTGTGTCACATTGCACGTAAGCCTTATTGTTCCCTGATGGATGGTCAGGACGCATACAAGCAGATACGCGTCATACCGGAACACGTACCTCGCACGGCGATGACGATGCTGGACGGTAACATGGTGAGCCAGGTGTTACAGCAAGGTGACTGCAACGCGCCGGCCACATACCAAGCTGTTATGAATCAGTTATTTGGAGAGTACATTGGGAAATGGATGGACGTTTACCTGGATGATATAATCATCTACTCTGACATGCTGTCAGAGCACCTAGACCACATTAAGATCGTTTTGAACATATTAGAGCGTGAAAAACTTTACTTTAGTGAAAAGAAGCTGAAGTTCCTGTGCAACGAAGTGAAGATCCTCGGACGCGTGGTCGACAGCAGTGGGATCTGCATGGACCCGGAGAAAGTCGACCGTGTCCTCAACTGGAAGACTCCCGCGAACCGGGACCAGTGCCGGGGTTTCATCGGTTCCGTGGGGTACCTGGCAGACGACATTTACAAAGTCAGAATCCCGTTGGGAGTCCTGTCCGAGGTGACGGGAGACACAGTACCTTTTCGATGGGACTTCGCGCAGCAGCGCGTGTTTGAGGAAGTCAAGCGATATGTAGCCATGTGCGCGCCGCACTGCCGTGTGCCATTGGACTATACTAAGGGCGCGCCTCCTATCTACGTCATGACTGACGCTAGCCTGGGAGGTATAGGCGGGGTTGTATGCCAGGGGACGGACTGGAAAAGCGCGAGAGTCGCGGCGTTCTTCTCCGCGAAATTGAATCCGGCGCAGCGCAATTATGCTGTACATGAGCAGGAAATGTTAGCGGGGGTGGAGACTATGCTGAGGCATAGGGATGTACTGCAAGGGGCCAAGTTCACTTGGCTCACGGACCACAAGGGTCTAATCCATCTCCTGAATCAGAAGAATGTCAGTGGCCGCCAGGCACGCTGGCTTGAGAAGATTGGCGAGTTCAACTTTGATGTGAAGTACATACCTGGGGAGGAGAACTTGCTGCCGGATGCGCTGTCGCGCATGTACGCGTTTGATGGACCTAGTGAGGCCCGCATGCCCAGTGAGTATACTGAGCATGATGAAGATAGTGGGGCCGGGGTGGACATAGCTCACCTGGCGTCGATCCCCATGGTAGCAGTAGGACCGAATGATGGCCCGCCTTTGAGGCGTAGCTCCCGGGTCGCAGCGAAGCCAGTTGTGGTGCCCGATTGGCTGCCCAAGAGACGTCATGCCGGCCAAAGGTCAATATTGGGCGAATCTAGCGCCCAGGTTGACCCGCAGGGCCAACGATCAATACTGTGCGAATCTACAGCACAGATTAGCATGGAGAGCCAACAATCAATATTGGGCGAATCTACCGGGCCAGCTCGACGCAGTACTGCAGCGCGACGACATGTGGTCCCTGCGGAAAGTGGACGGCCAGAGACGTCCAAGGAGTTTGCCAGGAGACTGCGGGATCGTTTCGTTCTGCTTGGACCTGGTGAACGAAAGGAGGGTGGGGAGGAAGGTGACACTCACCTCCCTATACAACCGACACAGCCAGAAGATGATGAGGAGCGGTTTACACCACTAGCCCAGTTACCAAGGATGGAACTGGACGATGAGACTCTGTCAGAGATCAGAGGTCAGTACTACCAGGACCCATTCTTCCAAAAGGTGATGAACTCACCAAAGCAATTCCGCAACTTCGACGTTGCGGAAGGGCTCATCCACATCCGGCTAAACGACAGAACACTGATGTGCATACCGGACATTAAGGTTGACGGTCGAAGACTGCAGGAGAATATAATCAGTCAAGCACACGTATTGCTGGCCCATTTGGGTGCACAAAAGACACTTACATACTTGAGAGATCGCGTCTGGTGGAAGACGATCGTGCGTGACGTGCACGCCTTCTGCGAGTCCTGCGCAACGTGCCAAATGAGTAAGTCCAGCAACCAACGACCATATGGACTGCTGAGACCCTTACCTGTACCCTCCCAACCCTGGGAGGCGATGGGCATTGACTTCCTGGGGCCGCTACCCTTGTCCAAGGACAGGGACGGCGAATACGACTCGATAACTGTGATAATCGACCTCTTTAGCGGGATGGTACATCTGGTACCGAGCAGAATCACTTACATGGCTAAGGAAGTGGCTGAATTAGTCTTCACCGAGGTGTACAAACACCATGGCGTGCCTAAGTACATTGTCAGCGATAGGGACGTGTTGTTCACCAGCGCTTTCTGGACCAATTTCAATAAGTTAATCGGTGCCAAGCTGAAAATGTCAAGTGCTTACCATCCGGAGACTCACGGGTCTACTGAACGCGCCAATAGGACCGTAGTTCAAATGCTGAGGGCCTGCATAGCCCCGAACCAGAAAGACTGGGTGCCTAGACTGCCGGCGATCGAGTTCGCTATCAATATCGCGAGCTCAGAATCAACGAAGCACTCACCATTTGAGACGAACACTGGGAGGACTCCTAGAGCGATGGTGTGGGATGACCCTACGGAATCTGAGTACCCAGGAGTTAGGACCTACCTGCAAAAGATTAAATGCACCATCATGGAAGCACACGACAGCATCATTAACGCTCGGGTGAAGCAAACAGTGGACACCAATAAGAAACGGCGCCCGAGTCCATTTGAGCATGGGGACTTGGTGTACATATCCACCAAGAACTTGAACTTTCCTAAGGGGTTAGCGCGCAAATTACTGCCAAAGTACGTTGGACCTTACCGAATAGTTGAAGACTTCGGGAACAATTCCTATCGTATCGAGCTACCTGCCAGGCTGAAGCAGAGGGGAATACACAACGTGTTTCACACGTCTTACCTAAGGTTACACGTCCCGAACGATGACCAAAGGTTCCCAGGACGTTTGGATAATCAGGTTGCTGAGTTTGAAACCCAGGAACGGGAATGGGCCGTCGACCGGATTCTATCGCACAAGGGAAGCCGGGCTGACGCAATGTTCAAAGTCCAATGGAAGGCGGGAGACGTCACGTGGTTACCTTTCGATCAGGTTGACCACCTTGGCGCCCTGCATGACTACCTTGACATCTTGGGCGTCGACGACATCTCCGACCTAACGGATGGCAATGGGTTGCCTGATCAGCCCTCAGTGAGTCTAGATGTCTCAAACACTGACTCACATGTGTTTTTAGGCGCAATGGGCTTGGGCTGGCCTGACCATATAAGCCAGCCCCACCGCCCTTCTTCCCCATCGACTTCTACCTCACCATCCACTCCCTCCACTCGAACCATGTCCTCTATGCCACTACCTACCCCCTTGTTCCATGCCCAGAATGGGGTCTTCGTCATGGCGGACCGTTACCGCCATGGCGTCTCATTGGCCATCACCCTTGACCAACTGCGTCTGTACCTGCAGTACGATGCTGACCTGCGCAGCGGGGCTTCTCCCGACACCATCATTACACCCATCGGCTACGACGACTTCGCCATTGCCCTCAACTCAAATGCCAGTGCAGGCATCCAAGTTGCCATGGTGCAAGAGGAAGATGAGGGAGTCCGCATCACCGGACGCCCTCCAACCTTAGCTGAACTCGTTGGCCTTGAAGCCACTCGACGAGCAGCACCCACCCCTCGTGACCCTCGGGAAGACGCTGGAGGTAAATGGTTAGACTCGTGCCGCACTGAGCTCATGGACCACGCATTGTGGGACAACCTGGAGCGGATTAAGAAACAACGCGCTTGGCGCAACAAGAGTGTGGCCGAACGTCAGGCTAAGCGAAAGCGACGGGAGGACGACGAGGCGATGCGCCCTTTCGCGCCCTCCACTTCCCTGATCAACACTCTCACTGGGCCCTCTGGCCAGAACAATCCCACCACGCCATCCATTCCTCCTCCACCTCCTATCACACCAATCCCAGACCCTCCTGCTCCTCCAGCCAATGACGAGGATGAGGAAATGGGCGATGGTAGTGCTGAAGAACGTACCCAGGGGAAGGGTAAGGGAAAGGGACTTGGTCGCATCCTGAAGAAGTAAGACGTCGCTGGACGACATCTGGTTGGGGGTATGTGACGTCCGCGTCAGGACTTGACTCTTTCGGGCTTTCGGACTTGGTCAAGGGCCTGGACGGGTTGGTCACTCGTTATCTGAAACCAAGTATCTATCACATGTTTGTCACGAATAATCACAAGCTCCTACTTACAGATAGTATAAAGAGTCGTTGGGTAGCTATCTGTAACATGGGTGTTCTTGAATCTACTTGACTTGTATCTGGTTATTCTTGCGCGTCTTATTAATCTCTCACTGTGCCATATTCGAAAGCACCTGCTTCTCGTATCTGTCACATGGTCGATGTTGGTAAATATGATGAAAGCGAGAATGCCCGTTCTTGCCATTCCCTTGACCAACCCTTGACAGAATTGTGCTTTATGCACAAGCTTCAATCCATGTGTCATCCCCGTCATCAAACCCTTTGTTACAAGTAACATCGGTCACGTGGCCCCCCTATCATTTTCCCCTCATCCTCGCCCTCACCATCTACCGGCTTGTCCTCCTTTACCGACTTTCCGTTGACCAGATCCTCGGGACCGTTCCCGTCCCTCGCATCACTCGCCTCTATGCACGTGCACGCACGTTCCTCTCTTGATTCGACCACCAATGTGGTCCCGCACCTCTGACTCGTGCCACCAATGTGGCTTTCCTCTTTCTGTTTCCCCTGACTGCGGATTCCCGCACGTTGTACTCTTACCGTTGGTCCGTTCCAACGTTTCTCGGTCTCATTCCACATTCGACCATCCACCACTAATCCGGCTCTGATGCCAGCGCACCTATACCATTCTCGCTTCCCCTTTACCCTTACCTACTGTGCGGTAGCCTTGCCCTTAACCCTCTCCACTTAGTATAAGTAGTCGGTCACTCTGTACTAGATTCTCTAACTTGAATCTACTCAATCTTCCCTGGAACATACTTCCCTCTGAAGCCCCCTCAGCTTCAGTCTCTAGTATCTTTTCTTAGTCGCTCATCGCGACTAAGTCTACCTCGATCGACCTCATCATTCGGACAAGACTGTCCTTACTTTGAGTGACTTCTCAAGACATCCGTCTACGAAGTCACGTGACACGCGCGTACTGTGATCGCTGCCGACTCGTCGTCGCCAGTCTCACTTGCCATACCGGACCCTTCCGGTTACGTCACGAATGTTAGCGGACGATGCCCCTCTTAGGGCTCCGCCTAACAGATCTATTTGAGTGCGTAACACCCTTGAGGAGCGCTCCATTTTGTAGTGCCACTTTAAGCACTAGAACAAGCTGAAAACAAGCTGCTGTGTCATCGGGTCGGAGGCTGCATCAGTAAATTCACAAACTCCTTAGTGTCCTTTTTCGCCACTTGTCACGAAAATCTTCAACATGTTGCCGCTTATTATTCTTATGCACTTGTCATTTTTCTTTCACAAGCACTCACAAGTAAATGTGTGATTCACAAGTGCCCACAAGTGCCCACAAGTGCAACAAGCGCCAAAAGCAAGGAAGACTAAAGTGTGTCGTAGATTACAAGTAGATAAAATTTTACTATGAATAACTACTCCTTGAACATTTGCGAATGAGACTTAAGTTCTAGTAGTCACGGCGCGCATAGGACTGGACGCGTGAGAACATTGTCAGTGACTGAAAATTTCAACTCTAAACAACTTGCTCACCGTTCTGAAAAATGACGCTCGCAGATATGGTACGTACGTTCGTACGTGGATCGCCGATAAGCCTCTTGTCACCAAAGGCAGGGGTCGCGTGGGTGGAGCTAAAAGGTTAGCAGCTGATGCTAGCGTCGAAAATCCTGCAAGTGAGGATGAGGATGGGGAGCCGGTCCAAACCAAAAAGAAGAAACTGGCGGTGAGAGAGGCAATTCAAGCAGTATTAAACGCTGGCATCGTTATCGACTCAACAAAGGCACATGATGGAGAAGTTCAGAAGACGTCTGATGTGTGAGTTTGTTTATCTATCAGTAACTATGATGATGCTTCTTTTGACTGAAACTACTCTTTTTTTTCTCGATATCACGACATACGATTCTGATGCTACAAGTTCCCAAAAATTTGCACTTGCTGGACGTGTCCCAGGGTGGCTGTCAAATCTTCCCGCGACTGCCTCAAAGCCAGCCGCATCGTTGAGGGGGAATCCTTCTACATCTTCCATTCAACCACGGACCAGTTACTCTAAGCTCACAAAGGGGAGTACCATCAGCAGCAATGTTCCGCCCCCACTCACACCCATCAGTACCTCAAACGCTGGAGGCTTTACAGAGTTCAATATGTACGCGTCTGATGAGGACGAGGATGACGAGGAGCTCGCAAAACCTCTTTCTCATATTACAAGCAACAAGGCTTACGCGGTGAGTCTGATTCTATCTATTTAAATTCTACGTAGTTTTAACCACAGCTGCAGGGTATTACGATTGTTCCCAAAGCTCTTGACGGTGTAGTACCTTCAGATGTTACCTGTCGCGGTGCAACCGAACAGCCTGATCCGATTGAAGATGCGGACGACATCGATGTCTTCGCAGACATCCGCGGCCACTTTATAGATTCTGACGGCGCCGGCCCTGCTACACAACCTGATTTTCTAAGGGAGTATAAGGCCAATGATGATGCCAATCACGAGCTACAGTCCTTGGACCGTGATTCTGACCTTGAACCTCCTCCCCTCGCCCAAAAACCTAGGTCCCGCTCCACACCCCCAATGGATTTTGACTTCCTGGCGAGTCAGAAGCGGAAGCTGTCACCTCCTCTGGACTATGACGACATAATGGAGCTGTCATCCGAGGCCGAAAGTGTGCAGGGTGCCAATGAAGATGTGAAGACCGAACCTGTTGACCCAGTGTTCACACGCCGGGTGACCTCTACAGTAAGTTTCAGTGTCTCATACTACATTTTACTGATTACAAGATATTAGACTAACGTTGCTGTCACACTCAAAGCCCCTCCAGCAAAGCGGCTGAAGTCTGAGTCCTCCGCTCCCTCCAAGCCAATTGTACGCTCTGCGTACAGGAAGAAGCATCTTCCTAAGGGTTGTCAGGTGGGAAACAAGTGGGCACGACAGTTCATCCCTACCGTCATTCGCTGCATCGGCGATCTAGATGAAGTATGGACCCTTGCAGATGACGTTGTCTGTCCTATCTTGCAGTCAGTCTGGAATGCAGTCTACAAAGGCAAGATTCCACACACGGTTGAAGCTGATGGGCCTGTCCTTGCTGTTGTACGTTTTGTTTTCAAACATGATTTAAATCTGTCATTTATTTTTCTAGACCCTCCAGCGGCTGTCAGAGTGGCGCAATACCTTTAGCAATGTGGCTCTCGCCGTGCTCGCCAACTTCATGACCTCACAAGATGACCTCAAGACTGACGAGGACCGCAAAGATTTTGCATCGGCCTTACTCGACAAGTTCACCTTTTTATTTGGGGACATCGCGGAGGACGGAGAGGTCTCCAACCCGTTCCAGTCTGACCTTATTGTACAGGTTCTCGTGCAGCACAAGTGTGCCATGTCCGGCACTGTCAACCTGCCGGGAATGAACGATACAGTGCCGGGGCGCTCGAAGGGCACTCTTAGTCTTGCCACGGCAGCAGCACGTGTTTTCTACCCTCTCATACAGCTGACTTAACTTACCCTGTATTTCAGATGGAACGCGCCATCAGGCTTTTCGTCAATGGACACATGCTCCTAGGAGACATCGACGCCTCTGGCAATGGTCGAGGCAACAAGACCCCGCTCGACGTCAATCCGTCCACAGGCAACCAGAGCAGTGTCCCCTTGGCATTTTCAGAAGCCAATTGGGGTGCGCACACGAGGGCTTACATGGCGTCTATCACACGCTTGCCAGACTCGGTCCTTATCCGAAACTCTGAGCTTGCGCAGAGCCTCGCCACGAAGAGGCGTGGCGGCGCGCGGATGGATGTGGACGAAGAATCTGGGGATGAGCGAGCATTCATTTTCTAGAGGTAATGTCCTTCACTCTTGTAGTTTATTTTGCAACTGACTAGGAGCTTCGACGCTGCTAGTACCTTCAAGGTTATTCATGCTATGTTCCCTGGTCTTTTTTACATGCTGTCTCGTTGCCGCCTCCATTTCCTTTGTCGCGCTCGTTATGTCTTGTTGCCGCCTCCATTTGTCGCGCTCGTTATGTCTCATTGCCGCCTCCATTCGTCGCGCTCGTTATGTCTCGTTGCCGCCTCCGTTTGCTTTGTCGCGCTCGTTATTAATCTACTTGCTAGTCCTTATTTTTCTCCTTGTTTAACCTTTTATCTACTTAATCCTCTTGTCCGGTTGAAATGCAATTCTTTTTCCTGGTAACAAGTGTGAACAAGTGTGAAAAAGTGTATATAGTGTGAACAAGCTAAAAATAAGTGCGACATAAGGGGATTGTAATGTAGCTCGTTCTAAAAATAAGTGCAAAAAGTGTAGGACAAATGAAAAAAAGTGCGAAAATGCTCAAATCAAGAGGAAGGGATCTTCTTGGCAGCTTGTTGCTCCTTGTGACAAGGAGGTGTTCTGGTTCTTGTCCGCTCTTGGGTGAGAAAAATAAGAGCTTAAAAGGAAATTAAGCAATTCGTGAATTTACTGATGCTGTGTAGTAAGACTGTTCTTCCGTTGCGACTCGTTGAAGAAGTTCTGGTGACTTGTCGACGAGTAGTAGATCTTGGCTGTGTGCCTGTTTGTTACCGAGTTAGACCTATTCTGTGTCACTGTTTCTTATGTGCTATGCTGCAGAATGGCCCGAGGGCAGTCACGCCTCGGGCTCGGCCTTGCTAGCTGAAAAGGGTGTTCCCATCATGCCCCAAGCTGTGTACATTGGATTGATGGTTACATAAAGAGCTGCTCGACTTTTGCAAGCTTGCAGCAAAAACGGCGTTGGAAAGAAGTTGCCGACATCACCAACAACTGCAACTTTCCTAAATTCTACCAGGTGCTTCCTCTTTTATTTGATTTTGCACCGCAATACTCACTTCGCCTGTGATGATGTTCAAGTAGTCGCATGCGTAACACTGGTTCGGAAATCTTCGATCAAGGCAGTCCACGAACGCTATCGTCATACACCACTAACATTCCCCACTCGCTCACACCCATCCCTCGAACATGACCTTTGTCTCGAACGATCCTGCTTGGTGGCCGTTCATGAATGTGACTGTGACTCAAATTTTTTCCTACTGGACAGGTTTGTTGCATCAAGATGTCTAGGTCTAGCATTGACTTGTGGTTTTACAGTTGCCACCGGCGTCGTGGTAGTATACGATTGGGGTGAGCAGGACAGTGTTCGAAAATCGCTGATATTCTCATGATATTTCCAGTCTTAACACTCGGACAAGAGGTACGTCGACGTTATCGCAGCAGCGGCTATCTCACTAAGAATGGTGTCTTAGATTGAACTCATCTGGGTGAGTGATAAGAATCCCATATTAGAAGAAAACAAGCATGCAATGAATTCGCGACAGAGAAAACGCTGGTCTTTCATGACTCTGCTGTATTTGATTGTTCGTACCTCACGTTGTGCTTTAGCGTGGTGGGCAACTTGTGCTGACTCCAAAATGTTCTAGATACGCTATATTGGAATACCATATTCTGTGTATGTGTCGAGACCAACAACTTTGCACTGTGGTAATTGCTCATCTCTGACAACTAGTGTCAATATTCTGTGTATGTCTCATTGCGCCGTGTTCCATTTTTCTGACCGGCGGGACACAGGAAATATGCCATCAATATCGCTGACAGATGCAGTAAGTATTCTGCAACCATCTCATTCCCATCCAATCAATACACTCATGTAGGAGTGAGTGAGATTCCAACCATCGAACTTGGCTCAACATAATGACTCAATAGGTGTAGGTCGGAGTCTTTGATACTAGTGCGAGGATGTCCATTGATTGGGAGTTTTAGGCGCTATCATGTACTACACAGTAAATGGGACAAATGTGGCCTTGACTGCCATGTTTGGCGGTAAGTTACCCAGCTGCAATACCTCTGTGATATTGACCTGACTGACACACGACGCAAGTCATCATGATTGCTCGGTTGTATGCCATGTATCAAGGATCTAGAACGATGCTCATCTTCCTTGTTATTATATTTCTGGCTGTTATCATTGCCTGCGGATCGATCTCGGCAGTAGAATTCAAGTATACTGTACCAGGTAAGCTTCCCCTGTTGACTTGAAGAACACGGCTGATTGGAAAAATACCAGAGGAGGTGATACTCCCTGGCACGCATATATGCGGTTATGGACATGAAGGGGACATGCCGCTTCTGTTTTCAATGGTTTGGATGCTCAACACTGTTTGGGAGGTCCTCGCATTGTGTCTTTCAGTCTGGGTGGCTGTGAAACACTTCCGTGAGCTGCGACGACTTGGCCCATCGACAGGATCAACCATTGGGGACTGTTTCAGAGTGCTGATACAATCTCATGTTCTTTATTTTGCAAGGTGAGCTTGTAATGTGAACGCGGTTATATTTTTCTGCTCAAGTTTCGCACATGTTAGCTTTGTCGGTGTCTCTTGCCTCCAACTTGCTGTTATCTCTGCGAAAATCTCGGTGCGCTGACCTATCGTCAACATCTGCGTGTCAACATTGCTCATCATTCTTGTAGAATATTGTCGGTCTGATACTTGGTGGCACTGTTCAAATTTTATTGGTCGTGCAGATGTTTGTGCTGGGACCACGCCTCATCCTGAGCATTCGAGAATACCACGCCAAACTCGTGGCATACTCCGATGCAGAAACTAGCATGAATTCGATTGTTTTCCAGGAACGCGTACATGTATCAACTAGCAGTACTGTATAGGGACACGCTTGGGTCTAGACCAGTGCGAAAGTTCACATTTTAATCCATATTAGAAGTCGACGACACAAACAGCGATGCCCTAGTTCTAATAAGATGTGATAGCAGTCGCAAGACTCTTGGCTACAGCCTGAAAGTGGGACATGTGCCTAAATCATCCTGATGTGCCACCTGTATCTGTAGGTTTGATGTATCACTTCTTACAATTGTAGATGAAATGGGATACAATAATTACTGAAGTCCATAGATACCTATCATTGTAGGGCTGATATATCAATGGAGGATCCTGTCAGGACACTCCCATAATAATCTCACACCCCTAATTTTCGCATTTTTGGCCACCTACTGTGGGAATTTCCCCACAACACTTAAAAATAGATTGCTTCTCCACATTTTCGCATTTTTAGCCACCCCACTACACCTAAAACATCACCCATTTTGGGAATCTCCACAATATCAATTATTCCCACACCCTCCCCACCTCACTGCAGCTTCACCACCACACCACAATAGGTCCCCTCTTGTATCTAAGTAGTATTTTGGTATATATATGTATAATATAATGTAATAGACCGCTTTTTTTGCTTATTTGTGTGCCTGCTCCTCCTCTAGAGGCTATTTAACATATGTTAGAGTAAAGAACACTTTCGCACTTTTGCCCCCTTGGTGGGAAAGTGTTCTATTATATTCAAAACATGTTTATGAGCATATATGAGTATATTTCCATCTTTATTTGACCCCCTGAAGCGCCCTACATCAATAGATATAACACATATGCAAGAAAACACAGAATATGTTCCCATTTAATTATTTCTAGGTGGACAGACTTGGAAAAATGATTCCCAGCATCTATTCAACAATATGAACAATGTATCAGGAGCCCAGGACCATGGGATGATTCCCTGTTGCATGGTGTGCCCCCCCTCTCCTGGTGGTTCACCCTCTGTGATTTTTTTTCCTGCAGGACCGGACCTTAATTGAGGTGAGGGGTCTATTTCTATGTATATTTGGAGTAGATCTATCATATAGCTGGCCCATAACACACATAGGATCCTGCTACAAGAACAAAAACATAGAAAATCTCACTTTTGACACTTTTGATGTTTTTGAGTATCTTACTCTTGCATAAATAATACAGCCTGTTTATATATCATTAGCATAGCATATATACTTGCTTTTTATGACAAGGATCAGCTCAAAATAGGCTGGAGGTTTGAGCTAGTGTAGATACTTGCTATTTCTACTGATAAGGAGCCCATACTTTCAAAACATCGAAATTTAATAATCAGACACCTGGAGTAGATTTAAAGTACATTCACTATCATATACCTAAATTTACAAAACAATCCAACAAGAATTGAGTCCTGAGGAAGTGAAATAGATAAGAAATTGAGTGTGGGAAAATTCAAAGACTCAAAACATCGAAAATGGTCAGTTAGGCAGCAGTAGGACTTTAATGCTGGGTCAACTCAAATATACACCACATTCATTCCATCACCCTCTAACCTCAGGGCAGTATGTAGCATAGGTTCATTTAGTAGTCTATCATATATCCTACATATTTCCAATGAAATATTTGCCCTGTACCATATATAAATGTGACTTTGTGTTAAAAGATGTCAATTGTCACTTTTCACACATATGTCATTTTACTTGTCATTCAGTCAGTCCTTCACTGATCTTTCTAAAACTTCAAGTCCATCATTAGGGACATATATAAGAGGTATCCCAGGTATCTGATCACTTATCACAGGCTGGATTACTCTGTAGGTTTCCTATCAGTAGAAATACCCCCTGTACATCAGATATCAAATTTGCGCCCTATGTAGGGCTGATCCTTGTCATAAAAAGCAAGTATATATGCTATGCTAATGATATATAAACAGGCTGTATTATTTATGCAAGAGTAAGATACTCAAAAACATCAAAAGTGTCAAAAGTGAGATTTTCTATGTTTTTGTTCTTGTAGCAGGATCCTATGTGTGTTATGGGCCAGCTATATGATAGATCTACTCCAAATATACATAGAAATAGACCCCTCACCTCAATTAAGGTCCGGTCCTGCAGGAAAAAAAATCACAGAGGGTGAACCACCAGGAGAGGGGGGGGCACACCATGCAACAGGGAATCATCCCATGGTCCTGGGCTCCTGATACATTGTTCATATTGTTGAATAGATGCTGGGAATCATTTTTCCAAGTCTGTCCACCTAGAAATAATTAAATGGGAACATATTCTGTGTTTTCTTGCATATGTGTTATATCTATTGATGTAGGGCGCTTCAGGGGGTCAAATAAAGATGGAAATATACTCATATATGCTCATAAACATGTTTTGAATATAATAGAACACTTTCCCACCAAGGGGGCAAAAGTGCGAAAGTGTTCTTTACTCTAACATATGTTAAATAGCCTCTAGAGGAGGAGCAGGCACACAAATAAGCAAAAAAAGCGGTCTATTACATTATATTATACATATATATACCAAAATACTACTTAGATACAAGAGGGGACCTATTGTGGTGTGGTGGTGAAGCTGCAGTGAGGTGGGGAGGGTGTGGGAATAATTGATATTGTGGAGATTCCCAAAATGGGTGATGTTTTAGGTGTAGTGGGGTGGCTAAAAATGCGAAAATGTGGAGAAGCAATCTATTTTTAAGTGTTGTGGGGAAATTCCCACAGTAGGTGGCCAAAAATGCGAAAATTAGGGGTGTGAGATTATTATGGGAGTGTCCTGACAGGATCCTCCATTGATATATCAGCCCTACAATGATAGGTATCTATGGACTTCAGTAATTATTGTATCCCATTTCATCTATAATTGTAGGTATTTAATGTATCATTCTTACAGTATGGCCTGGATGTGCTCCACTGAAATCGCATGTAGCACGAGACACTAGGACGAGATAGAAGCGCTCTCCCCAGGGAATGAGGCATCATCAAAGGTGGAACAAGTCTTTGGAGAGCCAATTTGACTGGGAGGAAGAAAAATATGGCTCAAACGCATCGGAGGAAACGAGCATTATATAAGACGTCTTTTAAGTGACAAAAGGGTATGCTCATTACTAGTATGTGTCACTTATATGACGATAACCTGTGAGACAGATAGTAAGCTTCAAATTTATGGAAAGAAGGAGGTAAGGATAAATCAGTGGTGCAAATATTTGGCTTTATGCTCTACCGTTCGTCAACGCTTATAGCTACGACTGGGGCGGCAAGCGAAATCATCATGGAAAAAAATTGGAACGTCACCCACCTTTTACATAGATTTCGGATCGCGTCCTAATAGACGAAGGCCACACAATCGAATCGGCTCTACAACTGTCCGAGAGAACATCGGAGAAAGATATAACGAAAGACCAATGCGGACAGGTAAAAGTGCCTGAACGAATATCAGTCACTGTCCCAGCCACGGTAAAGAAAAAAAAATACCTTGACGGCACCATAAGCCAGAACAGCATTAGCAACGTCCCCCGCTAGCTTACCAGACAACTCGCTCGTCTGGGTCTGGTCAACAACCTTGCCTTTCTCAAAGCCGAAGATGCCATATCGACGTCCAACGCGACCAGCCCATTGCTCGCCCTCATCAACCCACGATCTCAGCTGGGTGTTCACCCAATACTGGTCATCGATAGAGCCATCTCGTTGGAGAGCAACAGCGTTGACAACACGCTCGCCTGCGCCTAGACTCCGTGCTGTGTAAAAAATACCCACAATGGGAACGATGGCAGTTAATTCATGAAGGATGGCAAAAGAGACTATGAGAGAAGGTAGTGGTGTTCCCGCCCTCTTAGAAATCGCGGTGAGAGCATTTTTGTAAGGTGCAAATCGTCCTCCAGAGTTCGACATGCAAAAATGATGCGGCTTAGATAATAACGTGTCGAGTGGCTGTGCAGCTAAGCGCAATAGTAATCATTTTTGGTTCAGCTCAACGACATACATATATGCCCGGCCCCCGCAGCAACGCGGCGCACGGGTACGGGTACTTCCTCCACAACAATATATTAACTACGATAACCTCTCCCCAGTATCTCGCAGTTGCAGGAAGCAGATTTGGCTTTACACTTAATTCCCGAGACACAGCCGCATAGCACATACGCCGGTGCTACTGTCTCCACAAAGGCGGTTACCCTCAACTACTAGTAGTGAGGCCCGCCAAATCTCTCGCGTACCACAAATCTGTCAATTCCAACATCACCGTATAGTTGAACCCGTCGCGCACTCTCCAATATACCCGTGACCGCATTGCATTTCCCGCACGCCAGATATTCAAACATATCTCATGAACAATACCATAAGACACTTACCCACTATACCATGAATATCGGCCTTTCTATAATGTTATAAGCGATATGGCGGGTCAAGAAGTGCTTCCGCTCCACGTCAAGGCGGGATGCTCTGACTCCCCCATGATGCCATCTTACAAGTAGCCATTCATCGACAGGCCACAAGGTGCTAATAGCTTGCTCAATCGAGCGAAACAATTTGTTAGAAGCACATCCTATCATAACAGAGACCTTCGTTAATTCGTGGAGTTTGGTGTGCTTTAGTATATCTGTACCATATTACTCATTGTCGTCAGGCTCTCAACACACTCGAATTATGGATCCTGAATCCCCTGCCGCTTACAGTGGAAACCACGGGTTTAAATAGACCAAGGCCATCCAGATGCTCCTCCCACCCTCGTGACAGACTCATCCTACAAGTTAAGTACGTAACCAACTCTACCAAACTCTTTTACGATCCAAGCACTGCTCCACGAACGACATCGAATAAGCCACAGGTCACTGAATTTACATACTCATACAAAATGATCTGATAGGGGTACTACATTACGCCGCTGAATTTACATACTCATGCAAAATGATCTGTTAGGGGTACTGCATCATCTGCAAATGACATGTTGGACATTGGCACGAGGGTACTAGTAATGTCGTGTGGATTTCGGTTCACCTTCCAAAGATGGAGGTGCATGCGCGTGGCAAGGATTACAAGTATGATGAACTGGAAACTGTACGGTTCGGTTATTATTAGCAGGAATAAGCAGCAGTATGTGGAGGTGCATACTCATACAAAATGATCTGATAGGGCGGGTCCTGGAGCGCATAACATCAACGGCTCAAACATAAAAGGGATTTAAGATATTCACGTACCTGGAGGAGCAGAGATATCAAGATGTTCGTTACCGAGAGCACTTCAGGAAAGAGAATGATTACGGGAAATCATCGCGAACAAGTGTAAACTCACCAAAACCGCATGCATAATAGGATACGTTATGGGTCACTAGGACAGCGTACATACGGCTTGGATTTATCCGCCAGCTCTGCACGGCGCGTATGAGCGTGAGTATCATGAGTCCTGGGGAGAACACCTGTCAGCGCGTATTTGTACGTATACATGCTTTCCTTGTTACCCACCCATTTGGAACACAGAAAGGAGAAGAAATGGTACGAAGGACTGGAAACTGGATGAACTCCGGGAGCACCCTGTGATTCCCGGGATTGTGCTAGTTGCATCTGTGAAAGTGAACAGAATGTTTAGTGGTCATGGAACTCAGGGGGAAGGTGAGAGCATGTACATGTTGTGGTACTGTCGAAAGTAACGCCGAAGGATATTGCGATAAAAATCTGGCTGATGGCATCTACCACTAGCTTAGATATGGCGAGTGGAATTGGAACTCACGAAAGAGGTGCACACCATAGCTCCGAGCAAGATTCTATTTCTGTTCCAGAGCACATATGTTCTAAGGATAAAAAACGCTGGATGAATCAGATCAGAAACACACATAATACGGGGGGAACGAGAGATACTTTCGGAGACAATGACTAGTATTATTCCAAGACCTGTTAGAGGAAAGTAGTAGCCTTCAGAAAGGACGTCCATACATGAAGGTACCACGCACGCACCTGATTCAATATTTTCCAACTGCCGGCATTTCTGGCGAATTCATGCAGTAAGTCGTTCGTTCTCATTAACTCTCAACAACATCACATACATCTGAGTTCTCATTCGGAGTAAGGTACACTGAAAAACAAGTGTTAATTCATTACCGGGGCGATGTGTGCTGGAGCGGGACGCACAATATAGATCCGTAGCAAGAAAGATAAAGGGGATGTATCGTGTGACGATATAGAAGCCTTTCATCTTGCTCCAGCTTGACTGAAGCAAAAATGTCCACTGTGCACGACAATGATATTGTCGGTATCAAAACCGAAGTGCATCATGGGACAGGTGTATTACCTCTTCATGAAGTGAACATGCATAATCATAGGTCTGAATAAGTGAGTTTAACAGCGGACGTGGATAGATCAGAACAATCCTACCCAGAATGTAGCCATCGACACTGGACTGTGTTAGAAAAAAGAATGTGGAGTTCGCACAGTACGCACCATATGTGTACTGATAAATATATGATTTGTCAATTGTGAATCACCCTCATATCAACAAAGGAGGCGCACCGAAAGGAACTGCAAGCTCCTCGCTACTGCGATATCGTCAGTCGTATACACCATCTGGAGGTCAAAAAAAATTGTTTCACACATACATCATGCGCCTTCTTAGCTCTTATATGAATGAGCCATGAACCAATCAGGGTGCCGGCGCAAACACTGGATACGATTATTGGATTTAGTAGGGGTTTAAACTGAGCTTCTTGCTGTGGTCGTGATAGAACGTTCCTCGGTTCACCGGATGTACGTGCTGGGGAGCGCTTGATAAAAGATACAGCTGCATTTCCGATGCCCGAGGCAGTAATTTCACTGATAGTCATACTTCAAACTACATGATACTTGCCAAATTCAAAACGCGTGGCTGAGCGGGTACAAATAGCCAACCCCGAGTAAAGGGCTAAGTCCAACATAGGGTCAGAGGACAATCAACTGGATTTAAAAATAAATACAAATAGCCAAAATTGGCAATCGATTTTGATATTCATTTGGCGCCATGGCTTTTTTTTTTACCAAGTAGCGCTTAAGACTGTCACTTGACAGGCCCAGCGATAATCAAAGCTCGCACGCACCCTTGATAATCGATGATCCCGGACAGTATTCATGCTGATTAGGGGAACTCAGGTAAGCAACGAGTTTACAGCAGCAGGCAATTGGTATTGACGGAACGTTATTGACGACATGAGACGACAGATCATATTTTCTTCCTTTTTGCGTTCTGTCTTGTTATGATGATAATATGATCGTGTTATGGCCGCCCGCACCGCCGCACATGGTACATTTGTTACTGTGTCTGTTGGACATCTGCAAGCTGCTGTGGACGGTCCACTGTCTACCAAATTTCCCTTTCTTATCGCAGACCAATGAGTCTCATCCATGGTATTTGGATGGGTTGATTCCTGCTGACGTAGTGCCGACTTTCGTCCTTGCCTCGGAATTTAAGTGTTCGTATATGTGCTCAGATTAATTGTATTTGTTTCTCTGATAATCTTACAGACTTTGCTGTCCGTGATGGAAATACGCAGTGCTACCCAAATGAAATGCAATAACACCTGATGCTGACGACATGGGTAGCAAGTAACTTCAAGGGCTCATAAAACCTTGCGAGGGTCACAACAGGTCTCACTTCTATAAGACGTCGTCATCTTTCACTCCCCTTGAAGAACAGCCGTTCATTCCAGACCACCATCTCCACGACTGTGTAATGCGCTGAACAATTGGAGCCCGACCCAACCCTTCGTTTGCACAGACTGAGACTACAGTCAAAGGAGCATATACAGAAACTCGAGTTGAAGAACGTAAAACTTTGTCGTGAACAACTCCTTCTCTATCTGAGTGACCATCCATGGCTGTGTGTGATCAAGTCAAATTTCTCGTAATATAAATATACATGATCATCTGTAGTACTAGCAGGACTCCGGAGGAGAATTAGATAATCCTTTGATTTTGGGTCTAGCACACTCAAGATCTGGATCCCTCCGCCGCTACCGTTTACACTGAAAAATACAGGTCTCAAATAGACCAAGGACATCCAAATGCTCCTACCACCCTGCGACAGATTCATCCTATAAGTTAAGCACGTAACCAACTCTACCAAACCAACTCCCGCCAGTCATCTTGTACGGTCCAAACATCGCTCCACGAACGACACCGAATAGGCCACGGGATAAGACAATCACGCCGTGGGATTTGATGAGATGTCGGACATTGGAACATGCCCGAGGTTGCTAGTAGAGCCGTGTGGATGTTGATTCACCTGCCAGAGATGCAGGTGCATGCGTGTGGCAAGAATTACAAGCATGATAAACTGGAAACTATATGTGGGTGTACATTTTGGGTATTGTTAGCAGGAAGATGTGGCGGTACATACTTGAAAAAAAAGGTTTGGTAGGAGTCCTGGGGCGCAGAGCGTCAACGGCTCGATCATAAAAGGGATTTAAGATATTCACGTACCTGGAGGAGCAGCGATGCGAATATGTTCGTTACCGAGAGCACTTCAGGAAAGAGAATGATTATGGATGAGTATGGGAAAACAGCGCGAACAAGTGTAAACTCACGAAGACTGCATGCATAATAGGATATGTTATGGTTCACCAGGACAACGTACAGACGGCTTGGGTTCATCCGCCAGTTCTGTATGGCGCGTATGAGCGTGAGCACCATGAGTCCTGGGGAGAACACCTGTCAGTGTGTGTTTGTACAGATATATGCCCCTGGTTACCCACCCAGTTCGAACACGGAAAGGAGAAGAAATGGTATGAAGTACTGGGAAACTGTCGAATTCCGGTAGCACCCTGTGATTCCCGGGAGCGCACTAATCGCATCTGTGAAAGGGAACAGAATGCTTTAATGGTCGTGGAACGCCAGAGGGAAGGTGAAATCAAGTACATGCTACAGTGTCGCCAGTGGCGAAGACAATGCTGAAGGCTACTGCAAAAATAATCTGGCTGATGCATCTACCACTAGCTTGGGCATTGTGAGTCAATTGGGAACTCACGAAAAAGGTGGACGAGATGGCTACGAGCAAGAGGATAAAAAAAGCTGGATGAATCAGATCAGAAACACACATAATACGGGGGGAACAAGAGATACTTTCGGAGACAATGACTAGTACTATTCCAAGACCTGTGAGAGGAAAGTAGTAGCCCTCAGAAGGGACGTGCATACATGAATGCACTACGCACGTACCTGATTGAGTATTTTCCAGCACCCGGCATTTCTGGAGAAGTCATGCAGTAAGTCGTTCGTTCTTGAACCTTCCACCATATCACATACACCTAAGTTCTCATTCGGGATAAAATACACTAAAAAAAACAAGTGTCAATTCATCATCAGGGCGATGTGCTGGAACGGGACGCACTAGATAGATTTGTGGCCAGAAAGATAAAGGGGAGGTATCGTGTAACAATATAGAGGCCTTTCATCTTGCTCCAGCCTGACCGAAGCAAAAATGACCACTGTGTACAGCAATGATATTGTCGATATCAACCCCGAGATATATCATGGAACGAAGGTATTACCTCTTCATGAAGTGAACATGCATAATCGTAAGTCTGGATAAGCGAGTTCGACAGCGAACGTGGATAGATCGGAATAATCCTACCCAGAATGCAGCCAACGACGCTGAACTGTGTTAGGACAAAGAATTTTGGATTCAGGTGGCACCCACCCAATATGTACTGATGGTACATGAGTTGTCAATTGTAATTCACCCTCATATCAACAAGGAGACACACCTTAAAGGACTCCAAGCTCGTCGCTTCTGTGATATCGTCAGTTGAATACACCATCTAGAGGTCAAAAATGTGTTTCACACACACGCACACACATCATGCGCCCTCTTAGCTCTTATGAATGGGCTGTGAACCCATGAGTCAATGTCGTAACGCAGATGCTGGGATATCATTGAAGTTAATGTAAGTTCAAACTCAGCTAGCTTGCTGTGATCGTGATGGCGCGTTTTGGCCGGGGAGTTGAACTTGATAAAAGATACATTGGATAACCAGTGCCAGATGACTTCCCACAACTTTTAGAACAATGTTCTGGTTCTAAACGTCTCATGCCAAGCTGACGACCCCGTGTTTGTGACCATCCGTTTTTATTCATGGATGAAACTATGTAAGAATTGGCGAAGGAATACCGGATGTTGATATCAGGTTATGAGGCTGTGTGCGCTTGTTTGTTTACCGAGTTAGAACAGCCGACCGCCCTATATGTTGATGTTGATATTTTTACTTGTGGCATTTGCTCACGGTATTGTGCTACTAGTAGTACTTATTCTTGTATATTTTGATCATCTCTGCAATTCTGTCCAGATCACATCAATGTCTGTCAGTCTGTCTCCTGTGTACCTAATCACCGCCGCCGCTGCGGGTTGTAGTTGATGACGCGGTGCAGCTGTCTGATCGTGTGATAAATTGAAGATGAGTGTCTCTGGCAGTGCATGAACGTTGAACGTCTATGGGAAGCACTGCATTGAATTGAATAGTGAGTTGCATCTTGTTCTCCACACGTGCAAGCAGTCTATAGCTATCATGAAAGCGCACAGGACTTTTGATCATACAGGACGAGGGAGACCAGGCATTGAGCGCTCGAGCTTGAACTTTGTTATTCGACACAATTCTCCCATGTACTCAATAGGCTCTGCCGAAGTCCTGAAAGCAAGCTGAGAATGATAGAGCTCGATGTTCGGCGAACCTGTACGTACTCTCCTATAATGTAATGCAATAGCACCTGATGCTGACGATATGGGTAGCAAGTAACTTGTATTTTCAAGGGCTCATCAAACCTTGCGAGGGTCACAACAGGTCTAACTTCTGTAAGACGTTGTCATCTTTCACTCCACCAGAAGAACAGCCGTTCATTCCAGACTACTATCTCCACGACTGTGTAATGTGCTGAACAATTGGAGCCCGACCCAACCCTTCGTTTGCGCAGACTGAGACTGCAGTCAAAGGCACGTACAGAAATCGATTTGAGGAACATACAACTTTGTCGAGGACTCCTGCTTCTCTATATGAGCGATCATCGATCATCCATGGCTGTGTGTGACCAAGTCAAATTCTCGTAATATACATGATCATGTGTAGCAGGACTCCGGAGCAGACTTAGATCATCCTTGATTTTGGGTCTAGCACACTCAAGATTTGGATCCCTGCGCCGCCACCGCTTACACTGAAAAATACAGGTCTTAAATAGATCAAGGACATCCAAATGCTCCTACCGCCCTGCGACAGATTCATCCTATAAGTTAAGCACGTAACCAACTCTACCAAACCCACTCCCACCAGTCATCTTGTACGGTCCAAACCTCGCTCCATGAACGATACCGAATAAGTCACGGGATAAGACAATCACGCCGTGGGATTTGCAAATGAAATGTCGGATATTGGAACATGCACAAGGGTGTTAGTAGAGCTGTGTGGATGTTGATTCACCTGCCAGAGATGGAGGTGCATGCACGTGGCAAGAATTGCAAGCATGATGCACTGGACACTATATGTGGGTGTACATTTTGGATATTGTTAGCAGGAGGATGTGGAGACATACCTATACAAAATAGTTTGGTAGGCGTAGTACTGGGACGCAGAACATCGACGGCTCGATCATAACAAGCATTTAATAGATTATCGCACCTGGAGGAGCAGCGATGTGATGATGTTCGTAACCGAGAACACTTCAGGAAAGAGAATGATAACGGCTGAGTACAGGAAAACGGCTCGAACGATTGTAGACTCACGAAGACCGCATGCATAATAGGATATGTTATGATTCACCAGGACAACGTATAGACCACCTGAGTTTATCCGCCAGTTCTGCATGGCGCGTATGAGTGTGAGTATTATGAGTCCTGGGGAGAACACCTATCAGCACGTGTTTGTGCATGTACATGCTCCTGGTTACTACCCACCCAGTTCGAACACGAAAAGGAGAAGAAATGCTATGAAGCACTGGAAACTTGTTGAATTCTCGTAGCACCCTGTGGTTCCTGGGATCGCACTAGTCGCATCTATGAAAGTGAACAGAATGTTTAAGTGGTCGTGGAACGCCAGAGGGTAAGAGCGAGTACATGCTGCGGGGACGCCAGTGGCGAAGACAATGCTGAAGGATGCTACGAGAAAAGTCTAGCTGATGCATTCACCACTAGCTTGGGTATTGTGAGTGAATTGGGGACTCACGAAAAAGGTGGACAAGATGGCTATGAGCAAGATTCTATTTTTGTTCCAGAGCACATATGTTCTAATGATAAAAAAAGCTGGATGAATCAGATCAGAAACACACATAATACGGGAGAGACGAGAGATACTTTCGGAGACAATGACTAATACTATTCCAAGACCTGTGACAGGAAAGTAATAGCCTTCAGAAAGGACGTGCATACATGAATGCACTACGCACGTACCTGATTGAGTATTTTCCAACACCCGGCATTTCTGGCGAATTCATGCAGTAAGTCGTTCGTTCTTTAACTTTCCACCACATCACATACACCTGGGTTCTCATTTGGGGTAAAGTACACTAAAAAAACAAGTGTCAATTCACCATCAGGACGATGTGTGCTGGAGCGGGACGCACTGGATAGATCCATGGCCAGAAATATAAAGGGGAGGTATCGTGTGATGATATAGAGGCATTTCATCTTGTTCCAGCGTGATTGAAGCAAAAATGTCCACTGTGCACAGCAATGATATTGTTGATATCAAGAACGAAGTGCATCATGGAGCAGGTGTATTACCTCTTCATGAAGTGAACATACATAATCATAGGTCTGAATAAGCGAGTATGTGAGCGGATGTGGACAGATCAGAATAAGCCTACCCAGAATGTAGCCATCGATGCTGAACTGTGTTAGGACAAAGAATGTGGAGTACGCACAGTACGCACCATGTATGTACTGATAATACATGATTTGTCAATTGTGAATCGCCCTCATATCGACAAAAGAGACGCACCTTGACGGACTGCAAGCTCATCGCTGCTGCGATATCGTCAGTTGAACACACCACCTAGAGGTCAAAAATGCGTTTCACACACACGCACACACATTATGCGCCCTCTTAGCTCTTATGAATGGGCTGTGAACCCATCAAGGTGGTAACGCAGACGCGGGGATTTCATTGAAATTAGTGAGTTGAAACTTGGCTGGCTTGCTGTGGTCGTCACGGTGATGAAGCGTTTTACCGCTCACTGGATGTACCGGCCGGGGAGTAACTTGATAAAAGATACATTGGATGACCAGTGCCAGATGACTTCCCACAGCTTTTAGAACGATGTTCTGGTTCTAAACAACTGTTCTAAACATCTCATGCCAAGCTGAGGTCCCCGTGTTTGTGACCATCCTTTTTTATTCATGGATGAAACTATATATCTAAGAGCAGGCGAAGGAATACCGGATGTTGATATCAGGTTATTAGTATCAACCACAGCCATGTGACAAAGCTCCATCTTCACCTGATACGACCCCTCTGGATGTGCACACACACATCATGACGATAGGCTTCGACGCCTATGGTTTCGCGAACGATGTCCGTGCAAGGGAGGCAAATCTCAGGAATCTAGATTCAGAGATGCTGAAGGGGAGCGTAGACAGACCTTTGAGCCAATAGGGAGAGACAAATAAACCAAGTCGTTCCCACGAATCAACTCTGTGAGGAGGTGCCAGTCGATGTTGGTAAACATGATGAAAGCGTGGATGCCTTGTTCTTGCCATTCCCTTGCCAGAATTGTGCCTTATGCACAAGCTTCAATCCATGCGTCCTCCCCATCATGAAACCTTTGAGGAGCGCTCCATTTTGTAGCGCTATTTTTAAGCACTGGAACAAGCTGAAAACAAGCTCCTGGGTCGGAGGCTGTGTAGTAAGACTGTTTTTCCGTTGCGACTCGTTGAAGAAGTTCTGGTGACTTGTCAACGAGTAGATCTTTAAGGCTGTGTGCGCTTGTTTGTTACCGATTTAGAACGGCCGACGGTCCGCCCTATACGGCGTACGCTGATGTTGATATTTTTACTTGTGGCATTTGCTGGCGGTATTATGCTACTAATAGTACTTATTCTTGTATATTTTGATCATCTCTACAATGCTGTACAGATCACATTGATGTCTCCCTGTCTGTTTCCTGTGTACCTCTGTTCCCTGAATCACCACCACCGCCACGGGGGTTACAGTTGATGACCGGTGGTGCAGTTGTCTGATCGTGTGATAAACTGAAGATGAGTGTCTCATGGCAGCGCATGAACGTTGAACGTCTATGGGAAGCACTGCATTGAATTGAATAGTGAGTTGCATCTCGTTGGTCAACGATTGAACGAATTTCAATTCCTTCTCCACACGTGCAAGCAGTCAGTCTATAGCTATCGTGACAACGCACAGGACTTTTGATCATACAGGACGGCAGCGGGTTCTCAGGCATTTGGCCATCTGAACAGCCGATCACCGGTATAAGTATATTGAGAAGTGAGGTTGGGTCTTTACAGATGAGTAGCCTTGCGTTTGTGGTGAGAACTTCTTATGTGTCGAATGTGTCGAATCTGGTAGAGCAAGGTGAATAAGATGATGGTCCCCCTAGGTAGGCCGACGACAGTGCTCTTCTGTATGTGATGAGACAGATTTCCCATATGGGTGTGTTCTGTTGCTGTCACGCTGGCGTATTCTTCTTCGAGTTCATCAACTTAACAGTCATTTTCGATGTATCTGCGATATGCCCTGTTCCATCACCTTATCATCCAGGCTGAAGCGACGGTCTCCCGACCCGACACGCTGAAGGAGGTATTAGTCTGATAGGGGCCCAACGCCCGCAGTTTGACGGCACGCTGCTGATCGGCTTCCAATCGCATGAAGCTTAAAATTATCCTTACCTGGGAGAATGTGTTTAATACGCAATGTCAACCAGGGAGCCCATTCACGTCTGCATCGCCTGACTACATGATCGAGATCAGGTGCCTCCGCACCTCGCATCGGATGCTCGAGCCTCGGACATATCATGTAGGTATGCTCCAAGAAGCTAGCCGTGGGTGATATGCGTCGGCTTGCACCTCAGATGGGCGAGATTTTTCTTCATTTCCGTAAGAGAGATCTGCGCGTGGCTGATTCATTCGCAAGCTTGACTTACACAATGATTACCGGCATGACGACTGAGATTAGCTGAGACTCCGCTGGACGCAGTGGTTCGATTGGTTCACAAGACCCAATGACCGCCGAGCTCCTTATCGATAGATATGGAAAACGTAACAGTCGATCGGAACACCAGGGATGTCTTTGATTCGGATATGAAAGATAAGCTTGAAAAGATTTATCGTCGTTAAAGAGAGCGTGCTTTGGTGTACCGTTAGCGACGCGAGTCAGATCTGGTGGTACATTTGACGTGATTGGGATTAGGTATCAGAAGAGTAAGAGCTTATCAGCGCGAATAGGAGGTAGGCGCGGAAACCGGGACATCGGCGCCCGGCCCAAGACGTTGATAAGGGCAATAAAGCCAGACACATTTGATGACCCTGCTCTTATGTGCGCAATCAAGATTCTGTGTCGTTTCGATCTAAAATTTACCACAAATGCTCAGGCTATACTTAATTACGAGAAGTAGTGCATTACCCTACAAACGTGTGGCGTAAGTACACAAAATGAATGACCAAGGGTCAGGAACATACTGCAATTGATTCAAACACTCCTTGATCCAGTTTGATTTCTCCATTGCTGATATTTTTTGATCACATCTGGCGTGATTTGCCTTTGTATGGCACCTGCGGCTGCGATAAAGGCGCTTTGGGGGATCTGCAGAGAGCTATGAGGAAAGTTCGCCAAACTAGGGACTATGAAGAGCTTACAAATGGGGCGTTGATATCTTTCTGCATAGTCAGTAGAGCAGCCTCCTGGCACAGTGAGCTGATTTCTGCGCCACTGCAGCCGTCGGTCTGAACGCAACGTTACACTCTGCTCAGATGCAACCGAACTGTACTCACCATGGCTGCTATTGCATGAAGATCTAAGTCAGATTCAACGCTCATAGTCCTTGTCCTTATCTTCAAGATCTCTTCACGTCCGGCGTGATCGGGAGGTCCAACGTACAGGATGCGATCCAGTCTTCCGGGACGCATCAGAGCTGAGTCCTGGAAATCCATGGTCAGAAATATAACAATGATGATCAAAGCAGATAGACTTACAATGACGTCAGGGCGATTCGTGGCTGCAATAATAGTCACCCCCACGAGCTCCTGAACACCGTCCATTTCGTTCAAGAGGCTGGTGAGAACCCCTTCATGTGCACTTCCAGTATCTGAATCTGAAGAGCGCGATGTTCCAAGGGCATCAATTTCATCCTGTGTTTGTCAGCACCAACACCTTCATAGTAGGACGGCGCTTACGAAAAAGATTATTGATGGTGACGCAGCTCTGGCTTTACTGAATATATCTCGCACGGCTTTTTCCGACTCTCCAACATATTTGTTTAGAAGCTAATTGACGACAGCATATAGTGAGCATGTTGCCTGAGCGCAGAACCAAAATCTGCACCTCAGGACCTTTCACAGCAACAAAGTTAACACCACTTTCTGTTGCACAAGCTCGAGCCAGAATGGTTTTACTACACCCTGGAGGTCCGTACAATAGTAGGCCCTTTGGTGGTCGGACGCCCAGTCGGTGGAAAGCCTCTGGGTGTAATAATGGCCACTCGACTGCTTCCCGAAGTTTTTGTATGATGTCGGCTTGCCCACCTATATCTTTAAACCGAATGGGCGGTGTCTCAATGAATAGGGAGCGCATTGCGGACGGCCGCACAGTAGGAAGCGATTCTGAAAGGTCCGACGGCGTCAATTTCAGGGTCAATGTTGTAGCTGCTGGGTCAGCATTGGAAACCGGTGGAGTGTGTGTCATCCATCGTTTGATGGCAAGGGTTCCAGCCTCTCGAACTACAGCACTGAGGTCCGCACCAACATATCCATGAGCGCGGCGCGCAATAGAACGGAGCTCTGCGTCTGTTATACAATGGGGCGTTTTGGAGAGGAGGACGTTCAGAATGGAGTAGCGAGCGTCTGCGTCGGGTATGCCTGAAAGTAATAGCCGTTAGTTACAGTTCGGTGGTACTGTCGATACTGGCGCTGACCTATCTCAAATTCTCGATCGAATCTCCCGGGTCTTCGTAGCGCCGGGTCGATAGCATTCGGCCGATTGGTTGTCCCGATAACAACGACCCTATCATCAAATGTCGTGCTCGCATTGTCAATACCATCCAGAATCGTCAAAAGTGTCGCCACCACCCGTTTTTCAACCTCGCCACCTGCGCCCTCTTCCCTTCTCGGAACAAGAGCATCAACCTCATCCAAAATGACGATACATGGGCTCTTCGCCCGGGCTTCCTTGAATACATCCCGAAGTTTTGACTCTGTTTCTCCGTGATAGGCTGAAGAAAGCTCAGGTCCGTTGATGACAAGCACCGATGAGTTAGTGGATGATGCAATAGCACGTGCAAGGTGTGTCTTGCCTGTACCAGGCGGACCATGTAATAATATTCCCCGGGGCGGTTTGAGACCTGATTGAAAACGGGTATTGTCATCAAAACTTCTCTATGGGGATGTTTGCCCATGCGCACCGAAATACCCAAAGAGCTCTGGTCTAGTGAGCGGTATCTCAAGAAGATCCCGTATCTGCGTGATTGTCTTGTCAAGTCCTCCGACAGCCGTGTATGCATCAGAAATTGATGTGTGAGGTAATGTTTCGATGTCAGACTAGGTAGTCATCCGTGATTATTATCACAGATGTTTCTCAGAAGATTTTAGAACATGTACCTTTTGCGTGAGGCTGACGTCATGGTCGGCTACATCCTCCAGTACGGAAACAATAGTATCCCACCCTGCCGTCCAAAGTGATGGCTTGACCTGAATTGCAAACGAGTTAAGGTCGCGTGTTATGGTATTCACGGAACCAACTGATGCCGAGTGATGGGCTGACACAGAATCAATGGAGAATGTTCGAATTTCGCCCTGATATGGGACTTCGATAATCTGAGTAGAAAGAATATATTTGAGACTGACTATAAAGAAATTCCACGCATTGATGGAACGGCGCTGTTAGTAACATTCTACGCCACCTAAAACTGACGTACTAAGGTATTCTCGCAGTAGTAGAGTGAGCCAATCTCTACGCTTTCCTTTTCCCTGCGAATCGGCCAAATTTTGCATTGTCCGTGTTCTTATGGAGATTTCTCTCAGACAGATGGTGCCAGCTTCTTGAACATCTCGCATAGTTGGTAAGCCGGAAGGGGGTCTTCCAGCGCCTTGATCGGACACGTCAAATACTTGTACCGTTGCGCCTTCCTTGAGGCGTGCCGTAAGAAAAAGCGAAGACGATATCAGAATGACTGGAAGTAAGGTTATGTAACCGCAAAGTCGAGCTTAGCCCAAGATCTCGTGTCATCTGATACTGTACATACCATCTTGCGGAATATCTAGAGACGGCCACAATGTCCCGATTGCAAAATCCTGCCAGAGATGATTTGAAGTAATTCACGATGCGATAGAATGACCGGATGAGCTGTAATGGAGACGCTAGCATGCAGGATAGATGTGATTCTCACCTTCTTGGTGACTTTGTCATCTGCCCCTGATAAGGCGACCACATCACCAGAGCACAATTGTGAAGCTTTCAAAATACTTGCGTGCACCACAACGCGCCGGATCGCGCGTACCCCCGTTCCAATGGCAGCAGGCGCACTGCACCGAACTGTCAACTTAGGCATCGACATGGATGCAGACGTATTTTGGCGCATGAACCTGGAATCGCGACGCTATGGAGTTTTAAACTCTGTGATGATGATTCGCTCCAAGACTATAGGCGAGTGGAATGAGAGATGCCTGCACTCACCGCCTAAACCTGTTTCTGCGAGCAAGCTCTTCGCCAATTTTATCAGGTCAAAACAAAACAAAACAACAAATAAACAATTTACAAGCTCGGCGGGGTGCAACGACTAGTACCGCCACTGTCAATGCCATCTATTATTGTTCACATATATCCTGTCACATTTCGTCGCATGCTGTATGACCTTGCAAGCAAGGTGATTTACTATGAACCCTATAATAAGATTCAGTATTCAGACCGCTGCGAAACACGAGTATGATCCACTTGACATCCACAAACATCATGATTCAAAGACCTTCCTAGGATATGTTATTTTCACAAGCACCTGGATCATAATAATAATCTTCAACTCCGATGCACATGTAGGTTGTCGACGTGGTTTTAATATCAGTTAATATAAGTTAATATCCGCTTAGAAACTCCGCTCCTTCTCCCCAACTGTACACTTGAGAAATCAGCGAGGTTGTTTCAGATAACTCATCAGTGACCGATCTTTTGAACGACCTACGTACGGTGGGTGGAATTAATGTAATGTGTTCAACTTCAGCCCTTATGTGATACGCCTAACAGTCGGTTTTGCTATGCCATACAAGTATCTGTGTTCTCAACCACCATCATGTCTCGATTGGGCAGTTTGACATAGCATAGCCCAAAGTGCAGGATCGAGATGTTAGGACAACACTTCCCATTTTCATTATACACTTCTCAAGAACAACGAGGCGTTGTCCATTTTGTGGAGCTACCCGAGATGGTATCGAACGGCAAAATCATACCGAGACACGATGCTCGAACCCATCATATAGCCTTTCTTCGATTACTCGTCACTCCGACTCACTCACTCGAGGATCACCACACGGTATTTTTCAGCTCTTCGGCGCGTAAAAATTTCGTAACGCATCTCTCTGAAGATAAGCAAAGATCGGTGGTTTACGACAACAGCACAGCACCATCAGCAAGATACCCTCAAGAAGCAAGCCCTTGTATATGTGTGCTACCACGAGGCATGAAAAAGAGAATACGGAAAATCAAATCAACAGAAATGCATTACATGCGTCGTGATATGACCTGCGGCAGTCCTGCTCCATGTCTTCACCTGCACCATGGCAGCAATACATATTCCTGCTGACTGAAAATGAAGGTACTATCTCAGAGTGCACATTCAATCTGACCTTATTATCTCAACTACACCATTCAGCAGGTACCTGGAATGGTATTTGTTCCCGGTGGCCTCGGAAAGCAATAACGAATTCCGTTATTCCTACTGGTAATCAAATCAGTGTCCGCACCTGCGTGTGAGTACATCGTCTAATGAGACCTCGATGGTTGACAACTTAAAATCAAGCTTTCATCTCTATCAGCAATCCCTATATTTCGCCAGATCTATGACGTATGGTGGACACACATACGTGTATAGATTAAATCTAAAGGTACGACTGGCACCACTGAATTAAGACTTGGGCCGAGTCGTGGGTCATTTAGCATCATATTCCACATCCCAGACTACAATAACCTCAAACATGATCGGTCTGGCGATATCCGGGATTAAGTAGCATCTATGTGTTCCCTCGTATGCACTAAGCTACTTCGAAACACTGGTAGACTAATTGCTCGGAATTCTGTTGATTGATAGCATCAGTCTACATCACATCGTGCCCGTCCAAACCACAATTGTCTGTGGAGAAGGAAGTATGTACCGCATTCATGAACGTCTTCGTCGCCCGGTGCTTAGCCCTTAGGAAGTTCTATAATTCTATTTATGCGAGTTAGGGATCAAGGAAGTGATGGGCCGTCGATGACGTTAGGGATAAGCCGGGCACCTAATAATAAGACAATAAGATGATCGATCACGCAAGAGAATTGATTCTGTTCGTGCAAGCACCCTGCAGTCACTCCGATGATGAAATTTGGGTAGTAGGTGGTCTTTCGAGCGGTCCGCCTATGCTCTTGTCACACAAAAAACGTGCTCAGTGCTCACCTGCAGTATATTGTGGCGTAAGGGCAGTACTTGCCAAGAGTCACATCTTTCATTCTGCCGCCCAGGAACTGCCACACCGTGAGACTTCGGAGGGCGATCCATGCCTTACTTCGCCGGCATGTTCCCAAGTAGTAAATGCTGCCAGCAAAGGTCGACACTATCACCAATATGCACCAAGCCGTACTTGGACGGAGTAAATCTTATATCCTTCTATTGCGTTTCGGATGTCATTTTACTGAGCGTCCCGGTAAGCAGCAACCACACCTGCCAAATCGGACGTGCATCCCTGACGAGGCACTCGCTTCTGTACCCATGGTAAATAGACGGTTTTACATCGAAGCCAGCTGAGTACAAGTACAGCTGTCATTGAATACTCAGCTGTATTCATTGGCTTAAGCCTTATACACATGTGAAGGCTATGTGATGAGCTTTGAGATATTTCTGATAAAGAATTATCACGCACAGCCACATGACAACCTCGTCCTAATTAAGCTGTGAACCGAGAACCAAGGAATCCCAGAAAGAACCATCGCACATCGTCCCTCCGACCCGTCACACACAGAAACCACGATATACAGCATGGGATGCTGGCATGTGGAGATCCTGCTGACAATCATCATACATGTACAAATCCTACTAGAACCTTTATGGGCTATTTATTCAGCTACTCTCTTTCTTGGTATTCCGACCTCGGGAACGTATAAAACCGGGCGGATTCAGCTGTAGGAGAACTATATCTGCCCATCGACATCAGTACACTCTTGTCTTATTGCATCTCAATCATCCATCAATCTATCTAACTATCATGTGCAAACAAGTAGCGTGAGCAACAGATCATCTCTGCAGAAATGCTCGCTCACAATGCCCTGCACAGTGAAGGAACACGCTGGCTAAGATGCGGGGTACGAAGATAATGCAATGCTCTTTTTTTGGACAGACTTTGACGGGAGCCGCAGCACTTTCAAAGGCATCTCGTCATTGCCATCGTAGATTGCAATTCAACTCGCTGCGAGCGCAGTTACAGACATCCGCCAAACTGTCGGCAACCAAACTGTACTAAAGTAGGTGATGCGTATAGCAACATACCATACCCATAGTTGATACCTTTCAAGAACTTCGGAGCCGAAATCCAGCGCTCGATCGACGATGTCGATGAGATTTGCCTACAGTGTCGTACAGCACTGGCTCGCAGGCGTGGTTGACAAAGCTTGAGCATCGCATCCGTCCTTAGAGAGCGGGCAAAACATCTTTCCCCACATTGATACTCTCACATTATTCGTGTTAGCATTATATTGCACCATACTTGTAACATATGCATTTCATACCTTCCGCTCTCGGGATTAAACTCTCCGCTCCCGAAGGCTTTCGGTTTAGACACCACTTTAGTCTGTATCAGGAAGAAGCAGGTAAGAGCCGGGACGATGGCAACCTACTAAAAGAAGCCACAAGCGTAGGTCCCATGATTGCAAGAAGGCACAGCTCCTGCGTCACCGTGAGTGTGCCGTTATCGTGATAAAAAAGGACGGTCGCGGTCGTCCCGCAAACCCATGCGAACAATGCAGGCTTCAATCGGCAATTGTGCCTCGATTTTTAGGTAGTTATCTCGCTCACTATCGATTTGACATGCTCCAATGAGCATTAACAGCAACAACATTCCAGCTGTTTGGCATGGCTCTAGAATAATCTGTGGAACCAGCAACAAGGTATATGCTTGTTCCTCGACCAACGACCAATCACCGCATTTATCTCGCGGACTCATCGGATTGTTCAGACCCATCGACAAGCATCGAGAACACCACTTGAGATGAGATACCTGGGAAGTGACGAAGCAAGGCCAGCACGTGTTATGGAGTCGAAAGAAGCTCACGTCGACCGCAGGAAGGCTGTCAATAGAAACACGACTGAAACTCATGTTGAAGCCAGAGAACGTGCCTGCATTTTAGATCGTATGGAAATCTGTACCTTTTAAATCCCCGATGCATTCGCGGCGCCCAAGGAGTTGTGTATTTGATGAATATTCACTTTTCCACACAAATGACAGGGGTATCATGATCATCCCCTTGTCGCTGAGAGTAGTAGAAAGTTGAGGATATACCAATGCAATCGGGCACTTGTTCTACTCACCGGCGGTAGCTTTCACAACACCAGGGCGCTAAATTTGGTCAAGTCCACACAAGATTTACTGTTTTGTCTATGCACATTGGGAAAATGATAGTCTATTTCTCGTGCATACAGCAAGTTCTGTGATAACATCTCTTTACTTCCGCGAACACGATTAGTGCGGGTGGTTCTTGTGATGTTCTGATACACGCTTAACGAAGAATATATTGAGGTGATCAACAGTGACTTACTCAAGTGCACTGAAATACCATGCATCAACATTTGAATATGGGTGTAATAACAGATTACTCACTCTGGTAGTCGATGGTGTATCCGAAAGTGAAGAGACCCAAGATTGTCAAAACGAGTGGAGCAGCGGATGCGTTCTTGCCGTTGAAGTATCTAGCCTTAATTCCGCCACCAGAAACCGCGGATGCTGGACCCTTGGGCAATTTTGAGTAGAAGTTGACCAGAGGCGTGAGGCTTGAACCAGAGCCCGACGTCTTAATTGCGGAGAAACGGGGAAGAAGTCACGCGAGGCGCACCGCTGTAAGAATTTAAAAACGCACCAAAAGTGATGGAGTAGCAATCTTGGGAGGAACGATACCCCCCAACTGACGACGAATAAGTGACGCGTGCATGGCGAGAACGAATGAATTGTCGACGTCGGGATGGCCCGGACAAACTTGGTTTTCATGTTGGAGTGTATTTGGTTGTCAACGGTCACATGACGTGATCACGTGTGTGAAATCCTATTCACGTCCAATTGTGAAACTTCAGGTTTGCACAAGTCCTTGACATACTTATACCCCATTAGAACTTGAAACCGACTAGACGCCACTAGCAAGACTCCTTGCGGTGCCCTTGCTACCGAACTCGTACCAACACGTGGGTGTGGAGGGACGACAACCGGTTTAGACCAGTCCACTTTGGATGCAAACATTTAGTTTCGCTTGGACCATTCACAATCTCTTGGTATAATAGACCGCGGACCAGTCAAGTTCGAGTCATCTCCTCTTACATATTCATCCTTGGTTTTGCAGAGTACTCGTCATGTACGGCAACACTAAACCATTCCTATCTATCACATCCGCCCACCTGTTGTCTGGACTCTTCGCCTTTATCTATGTCGGTTCCATTTATGCTTTCAAGAATGCTCGTCTTCGCTTCTCCAAGAGGAAGGTCAACCTTCCAGAAGGGCAAGCTAGGCTCAAATTGCAAAATGAACGTTGGAGAGATGATCCGGATGTTATCAAGGCGCGATTACTTGCCGTTACCAGCGCCACTTTGATCTGCTGTCTCATCGTATTCGTCGTGATGAAGAATTCAAACCGCGATGATGAATTTGTGGGTCATCAAACTTGCCTCAATGGGGAACGTCTGCCTCACTACCGTAATGTGCAAAACAGCATAACCTTACCACAGATGCTTGGCTTCACCTTGGATTCACATGGTCCAACACACTTTCCCTCCTGATAACCCCATTGTTATTTTCTGGGCCGCTCTACGTTCAATTTCTCGAAAAGACACTACCATTCCAAAAGGACTGGAATTTTCAAGATGATGTCCTGTTTCGATTTTTCTCGATCGTCGGTCTTCGAAATTATTTTGTTGTGAGTGCAAGTCCTTTGCAAAGTATCGCTTGCAATTTACCTTACATTGTAACAGGCTCCGATCACCGAAGAAATCGTGTTTCGCGCTTGTGTTCTCACCGTCTATCATTTGGCAGACGCGTCCAGGACGAAAATGATATTTCTCAGTCCTTTGGTCTTTGGCGCAGGTATGCGTCGGGGTGATTTTTTTGGGCTATGAAAGCTGATCGTCATGTTCCCGAAATTTTTAGCACACGTTCATCACGCCTTTGAAACATACCACAGATATGGCCGTACGGCCATTGCGGCAAAACGTGCACTTATATCTACTAGTGCGTATGACCGTCCCATTCCCAGCGAGTGGCACTAACACTTCACATATAGTCATACAATTTACATACACGAGTATATTCGGATTTTACTGCTGCTATTTGTTCCTTCGCTCCGGATCATTGCTCCCACCCATTGCAGCTCATATGTTCTGCAACATTATGGGTATACCCCAACCAAACTATGAAATAAGTCTGATGCCTCATCGAAAGCTATGTGGGTAGCTGCTGTTATACTGTCCAATACAAGCTGATTGCATTCCTTTTTCTGCTTCTAGCCATTTCAGCCGCGTATCTTTTCGGTATTATCGGCTTCGTTTTCATGCTCAAGCCTTGGTCGTACACGGATGGCAGCTTATACTGGCAGCGAAACTAGTTTCCTCGAGCCTCCGACCTATGCGTGCTGTTTGACAGTGATTGCGCCCTTGTCCGCCTGCACGAACCTTAAGCTACCTACATCCTACAGGATTGGACCTATTTTATGCGGCTTGGTTGGATTCCACTGTATCTATATCAATAATCACCAGCTCTGATCATTTTGTATACCGCGACGCTCTTGAAATTAAGCGCCATCATGGTCATTCAAAATCCTATTGACGAAAGTTGGGCCGAGCAAGGACTTGGATCACTGACTTGCTACGTGTCACTACCTGGGCTAGGCAGATTCGGTAGAAGGAAAGCAATCGTTCCTTTTCCGGGATGCGTTGCGGCAATAAATACAACAAGCAAGTGACCATCGCATTGACGTACTGTGTGAGTGTAAGTAACTTACTAAATGTGAAACAGATGCTTCTCGGTCTGGATTTCCGATTGCCTGCTCGACATCGAGCGATACATTGAATTGATCTCGTTATTCGCTACCTTGAGACATGCACGCGGGACTGATCTGACTCAAAGACAAAAAAAGTGCCCCAAAACCCATGTAATTACCACACTCAAGTTGCGAAATCGAATTTTTGCATCATGTACAACCGCAAACCATCGTGACTTCGCTGCTCCAGGCCTTTATGTAATTTCGTGATCTCGTGCAAGTCGAGCGGAAGCACTAGACGCCTGTACTATGCAGGCGCGTACAGACCGTTATGGGAAATGCCGCCGGTAGCTGTCAAATTTACGAAACATTATTATTTGAAATCTTCCATCCAGCTTTTTCGCCTTACCAATATTTTGTGCCGTCTACATGCCGCACAAACGTGCCAAACGAGCTGTTCGTGAACGAGAAAGATCCCTGAAGTAAGTGATCATATTACATATATATATGTACCTCCAGCTCACTTGTGAGTTTCAAACTCAAAGAGGGGATAATCTGCCGCCAAAGCACCTTGGAAATGAGGAGACGGTGCCAAAGTCTGTAGCTCGCATTCTTAATGCCGAAAAAATCCGTCTGGAATTCAGGGAGAAGAAGCGGAAGATCGATGAGCCCAACGGCGATGAAAGCCCTCAACTGAAACGAAGACGGCCGCCCAGTGATGTAAACAGTCGGAAAGGGGAGATGCTGAAGATTCAGCCAGGAGAAACTATAGCTCATTTTAACAAGTGAGTTTCAGAACGAATCTGGTTGCGGCGTGTCACCATTAAGCACGCGTGCAGGCGAGTCGAGAGTAGCATGATGCCGCTCATTAGAACAGCTATGCAGCAGTCATCGGCCCAGGTCCGGAGAGTCCAGAAGCGTGAAATTGAGCAGGGAGTCGCCAAGCCTGCTGCACAGGTCAAGACGATGATTAATGACAGTACCAGTGCAGACGTTTCAAATCCATCGCTACCCCCTTCGACCAACACACCCCTCAGCCGCACGGACGCTTTAGATCTATCACCGCCCGCATTGACCAGCACACTCCAGCGGCAGCATCGTGATAAACCTAAGGAGTTTCGTGTATCTTCAACCTCAGCACCGCGCCGCCTCAACGATATCGCACAAGAACCGCCACGATTTGACAGACTGCCTCGGGGTGCCCGATCAGGCAAAGACTCTTCGAAAGAGAAAGTCACGGGGATGCTGAGCATGGCACAAAAGGCAATGATGGAAGAAGAGAGAGAAAATGTCATCAAACGTTACCGGGAACTTAAAGCTAAGAAGTTGCGTAGTGATTGTAGCGGCGCAATGGGCGAGTGAGCTGAGTCGATCGCAGTTCTCATTGACTACGTTTCCGATCTGGCGCAGTAATCTTGCCTGTCGTCACTGTCCGTTGAGTGTCCCGTGGCGTTGGTTTGATCTCTACATTGACGTTGACGCTTACTCTGCAGTGCGTTTCTCCGATGAATGCTCGATCCCGTTCCCGTTCGCATTCTGACATACTAAGGAGATAATTCACGTTTGGTTTTCCTGCCAATACGGCTTATCCATTTAACTCGTTTCAGTGAGATAATACTTTGGAATTCAAGATCCGCCCCAGCACTCCACATGAAGTCCTTTGTCCCAACCTAGGCGGCGGAAGACCAAATTTCCGAAGCCCTCGGATGACTCTATTTGACTCCCTTTCCGCTATAGACGGTCCCTGGTACTCCTCCATGTACCCATTCAGGTTATGCGGCGGTTAGTTCTTACCCTGAGAAAGGAGGGATTGTTATCAGTCCCTCTTCGGCTTGCATCGTCATGATGAGCCACAGGGAAGCGCCCGATTGTATAGTGGGTGCTTTGCTGTGCTGTTGCCAAGATATAGGGTGTGCCGAACTTGCACTGATCACTTTAGTTCTTCTCGATAACTCGATTATGAGTCTATCATTAATCATCCATGCGCATGGGCACTGGGCAATGATGAAGCTCAAGTCGGCCCTGCGGAGACTCGTGTCCACGAACCACGGCCCCCACCGTCATTCAACCGACTTGCCGCGATGCCTACGTGCGATCACGTTCCGCGCTGAAGACCGAAATTACGAGCTTCCTTCCACCATGCTCAAAAAGATATTTGCCTCCCTCATCCGGTATATTCGGAGGAGCCTGCGAAAGCGGGGATCTGATTTTCCGTACAGGAAGTCCTTTATAACGGACAAACGATCAGTTGCCTGTAGCTGTCTGCTGACACCTTTCTTTCTGCCCACTTTACCTCGGCTCTCGTCGTGGTGGTGAACTGTATCATCCATGGAGGATGTGGAGAAGCAAGCGGACTGCTCGTCGTTTCGAGGGCCAAGCATTGAAACAAGTACATATGAAAACCTTAATCGACACAGTGCTTTGCAACCTCCTGACGCGCTATTACTGCCCTCAAACATGACAAACCGAGATGGAGGATGGGCTGGTTGGTTGTCTGTCTTCGGAGCATTTCTGGCCCTTTTCTGTTCGTTCGGTCAAATGAATGCTTTCGGAACATATCAGTCGTGGTATTCGCATCATCAGCTTTCAAGCCATTCGCAATTCAGTATTTCTTGGATTGGATCCCTCCAGCTGTGGACATTCTTCTTCATGGTGAGTTATATTGGCTAGCCAAGGTCGTTGTTGCTCAATGATATCATATGAGAATAGGGAGGACCTATAGGACGCCTTTTTGACGCCTACGGGCCGTCGCCCGTGATGCTATTCGGGACAGTGCTATTAACTTTCAGCACATTGATGACAAGCATCTCCACGAAATATTATGAATTCTTATTGTTCCAAGGCTTCTTCTTTGGCCTTAGTGTTGGATCGCTGTAAGTCCCTTCCTGAGCGCTGCGCGTCTACTTTTAAGTTTATCGCACAGCTTCTATCCCTCTTTAGCAGCGGTTTCCACTCACTTTGATAAGTATCGTGCATCGGCCCTTGGTGTTGTAGCCGCTGGCTCCGGTATTGGTGAGCGGTCCGCTATTGTCCGTCCAATCCAGCTGAGTTAGTCTAGGTGGTGTTGTTTATCCCATTATGCTCCGCCAACTCTTCTTGCGCACCGGTTATGCATGGGCCGTTAGAGCATCAACGTTACTTTCTGTGGCATGTTGTATCGTGGCCCTTGTTACCGTAAAGAGAGTAGAAGGTCCTAAGAAATGCTCCGGATGGATGGATGTCAAGATGCTCAAGGATGCATGCTTCATGTTGCTCGCTACTGGATCCTTCTTTATCTGCCTCGGTAAGAAAACAGATTCTTTCATGAGGTTATAGCTAACAAGGGCAACCAAGGTATATTTACACCATTCTTCTACATTGTGATTTACGCCGAGGATCGAGCACTGGTTTCTCAGAATACCGGGTTTTACGTTCTGTCAGTAATGAATGCTGGAGGTGTATTCGGCCGCATCGTTCCCGCGATCCTCTCCGACAAGATGGGGCGGTACAACCTCCTTATGCCCACCTCCTTCTTAGCAGGCCTATCGTGCCTCGTATTTTGGATGCTTGCGAAGACCATGATCGCTGTAATGGGTTTTGCGGCGGTATATGGTTTTCTATCCGGTGCATTTATATCCGTCATTACTCCGTGCGTTGCACAAATATCAGATATCAACGAGATCGGGTCTCGAATAGGTGCATTGTATACACTCATATCCATCCCGTAAGATTGTAGTTGGATTCGTTTGACCTGTGCTCACCGTAGTTCTTTCAGCTCTCTTGTTGGTGGACCCATCGCAGGAGCTCTCATTCAATGCCAGGGCGGTTCATACACGGGAGTAATTGGGTTATCGGGATCAAGCATCATCATCGGGTCATTCTTTATTCTAGCTTGCAGGCTCAGGATAAACCGAAACATCTGCGCAAGAGTGTAGCGAGTTGTATACCTACAACCCTCGTATCCTTATTTTCTAAGTTTTACGACTGGGAAAATTACATCTTAACGACGACTTTGATTCTTGCACTACTATGTATGGTGTAATTATTCTGTATTTTTATCATTGCGGAATGCACAGGGCGTTATCATGTCAGGGTCGGGTAGTAACTAGTAACTGCCGCACGTTCCAATATTCGGAGGACATTACGTACGTGTCTTATTTGTGCACTAGGGTGTGAAGATGCACACTACGAGCGCTGTCACATGTCCACCATGAGCAGAGCGATTGGCCAAAGTTGAGGCAACGATGGGTAAAATGCTCTGAAGCGACGACCGTGTCTGATTTCAACCGTACTTAGCTAATTGTAAATTTCCCCAGTTAAACAGACTTAAGTTTGGGTTCTCCTCAGTGAATCACACCTGCCTCCTATAGTCCATAACCATGAACATGAACATCCAAAACCCAGGCGCTGAACGCGACTACATCCCTATCGCTGATCATGGCTTGTGCGTAGCTTCCTAATTAACATTATACACATGTTCTGATAAGATCCTATTAGGATCGGGAATCTGAGGACTGCTGCGCTGGTGAGTTAGGGCGCCAGATCGTGCATTCTGAGCCTCTTTGTTAATCCCTGATGTTCATGTAGGTCAGTCTCGATGGATCGAGTGAGTAATTCTAGTTTCAGATAGTTTGGGACGGGAAGAATGTTCTCTTGAAGTTGGCTTCCAAGTCGGATGGCTTGGACGAGCACCGGGGCTCGCTCGCCCGGAGCTTCTGTAATTCATCCATATGAGTTTTATCTAATGCATATCCCGCACAGTCGAGAGTTATTGTGTCCCAAATTTCGATTCTCCATCCATCTTTGCGCGCATCTTGGACAAAAACAAGGTTTGAGCTTTATCATAGTACTTAGGGGGCTTCCCTGATTGTCAATGGGGCTTACGGTAGGGCGGACATTTCTCCATTACACCGACGGTTCCTTTCAGCACCAAACACAATTACTTGCCGAGCTCAAACGTATTACAGACCAAGTTTGTCTATCTTCTTATCCATATGCGAATCATGGCTGAACATGGGCAGGTTTCTCAACGAGAAGGGCGTGGTTAGTGTCACCGGTAAGTCACTCATGTCAACTTATACCGACAATTGCAGGAGTTCATTGGATACATCCAGACTTCCTTCCTCGCCCAGAAAATGGCAAATCTACGCACCCGTTACTGTTCTGGCTCATCAGACGTGTTGAGGTGAGCTACTCTCCTCTACAACATCCCACTTAGGTTTTATATCACGATCTTCACTCGTTAGGTGGTCCGCGGTACCGTCCCGCTGCGCGTCGAATGCGCCCCCGCCTTCAACTATGCTCGGGACCCCCACGCTACCCAAATCGTCCCCGACGATACCATCCCACTCCAATTTTCCAAACAAAACAAAGTCGTCTTCACTTCGAGGCCCGCGGCTTCTCCATATCTTGCGAAGGGTGCGAGCCCACCGAACACGTCGCATAGCCCGCTCACACTCGATTTGCGATTCCTCCCTGAGTCCTTGCTTGAAAATGTTCCTGTGCCTGAGGTTTCCTTGGAAACCCTGAATCTCAGTGCAAAGGGTCACCTGGGCTTGGCCGCACAGACGGAGTTGACGCTTGTAGAGGGTCAGCGGGTGACGTTTGTGTTGCGGATTGCGCCTGAGCATAAAGGAAATAGTGGGTCGGGTATAGATGAAGAGCAAGCAGAGCTGCTAGGACTTGATTATCAGAGTGAGCACTTCTAGTCATTCCATATCAGATTGATGGTCATGGTAAGTAGAGCTGATGGCGGGTGCGCACAAGATGAGGTCAAAGGATGATCCGGTCATGACTAGCGTGCGTTTTGGTGATTGTGAACCTTTGAGCTTGCTGACGCTCCCTTTCTAGGAACTCCTCGACCATCTGTTTGTCGTACGTCTCTTGTTTGAACATCGTTTAGTTTCTGTTTTACCCGCTCATCTGCGCTCGTAGTCTACCAATAATTACTGGAACTCTTGGATCAGGAAATCAACCTACCAAGGTTCTTGGAAGGAGGCCGTGAACCGAAGTGCATTGGCACTAAAGTTACTCATATATGAACCCACTGGTACGTGTTTCGTCTTGTTCGGACGTTTGGCCTTTCTGTATTTGGGTGCTAACATCACTTCTGCTCACCTCTGCGTGTAGGTGCCATTGTCGCGAGCCCAACATTCAGCTTGCCCGAATACATAGGTGGGACTAGAAATTGGTACGCTTGTCCTTTCTTCACATACTTCGATTTTCTCACTAACCTATGATATATAGGGACTACCGGTATGCATGCATCCAGTATTCCTCATAATTCGGTGATTCATATCATGGTACTTATGCAGGGCCTCCTGGATCCGTGACTCTTCGTTCACGCTATACGCTCTGATTAGACTCGGTTTCACTCAGGAGGCTAATGGAATGTCTCTTCTCTGCATGCTGTCCTCAGCCCGTGCTGACCCCGTTAATTAACAGCATATATGGACTTCATCTTTGAGCGGCTGAAGGACAAGAACCCAGATGGTTCCTTACAGATTATGTACGTTTCTGACCTCTCTCAGTTCGCTTCGTAGGCTGATTGTACATGAAGGTACACGATCCATGGTATGTCTAATATGATATGATTCACAAGGCAACTCTGATCGCCCTTCCGTAGGTGGGAAAGATCTGGAGGAGATAGAGCTTCTCCACCTTGATGGACACAAAGGTTCTAAGCCTGTTCGGTTCGTCCCGCTTATAACCTACGCAGTACTCGCAATCTGACTAATACCAAAAGTATTGGTAATGGTGCAGCTGACCATGTCCAACTGGTACGTCTCGCGTGTAGTTGCAGTATGACCTGGGAAGCTGATCTGGTTGACAGGACATTTACGGTGAATTGTAAAGTTCCACCTATGCTCCTTCAAGTAGTTGGTCAGCACTGATCATGGTCAAGGATGGATTGTATTTACCTCGGACAGAAGGTATGCTCCGAGGCCAATCCAAAACGAGTCCATCTAATATCATTTACTTTCAGTTCGGTAGACCATTGGTGAGTCTTATTTAATTTCCTTTGCGGTATCAACATCTCAATTATTCCGGAAGTCGTATGACACATGGTGCGTATTCGGACCAGGCCATGGGCGGCCATACTGACTAGGTTACATTTGATTGAAGGGTATTGGTTCGGGAACTGTGAGTTATTCGGGTTGACGGTTGCACACGGCTGCTGATTCTGCTCTCATTCAGTGTAGACTGTACGTCATCTATGATCTTTATTTTCCGACGTACAACCAATACTTTGTAGTCGTTGTCGCAAACTGCAAGAAACCCGACTTGTGCGCCTCACATTATTTCTCTAACTATCCAATGACTCAACTCGTATTACAGATCCATATGGTCAGTACGCGTCAGGCAGGAGTGTTTTGAGACTAAGTGTCAATGTCCATGTCGCAGGGAAGTCCGGGGCAAGGAGCGCCATTTTACTGTGTGTATTCTCACTGCTACCTGGAAAAGTCGGTACTGATTCATGCTCTTGTTGCCAGTACTCGAAGGTGAGTTTTTACTGTTGAACTGGACAATATTGAGATGGCATGTGGAAGATTATGCTCTGGTATGTCACATTGCCTTGAAATAGACACAGCAATGTTGATTGAAGATGCAGGGTTGCAATTGATAGAGGTGCGAATCACGGACTACACAGATGCACTCACACGCTGATGAACACGCACTCGCACAGGCCTTCGGCTTGCGGACAAGCGTTCTCTCCCCTGTCCTCGCCGCCTAGAGTGGCTTGCCGCACGCGACGACCTTTACGAAGAGATCATGCACAAGGCGTGGAATAAGGACCTGCAGGTCTTCGGGCAGAGTTATGAAGAGACAGACGTGCTTGATTCGTCGGTGCTCATTATGCCCCTCGTGTTTTTCATGACGCCGGTATGTTTAAACCCTTATACCTGTCTGTTCAGGGAATGTTAATATGTTCGCGAAGTCCGATACACGGTTCGTGAGCACACTGAAGCAGATTCTCAAGACGCCTGAAAGGGGAGGATTGACCTCTAATGTGAGTCCTACCTCGGTGTCACAAATTAACATGCTGATTGTGGACCAGAACCTCGTCTACCGGTATGATGTGAACAAATCTGATGATGGCGTAGGAGGCGAGGAAGGCACGTTCTGTCTCTGTACGCTATGGTGTGTTGAGGCTTTAACTCGTGCCGGTGAATACGAGAGGCCACTTTTGCAGCGTGCAGTGGCGATGTTTGAGGTATGCCCTATTTTTCTCTAGCCTATCAGGTTCAGTGAGACTAGTACTGAACGGGATGAAGGACTTCCTGTTGTATTTGAATCACGTGGGCTTGTGCACTGAGGAGATCTCGGAGTCAGGCGATGCGTATGTGAAATTCCATTTTTCTTTGAACTGTTGGAGCCTAACATCCTGCTACAAAGGCTTGGAAATGCCGTCCAGGGTTTCACGTACGTTCTCGTTCATTCATTTTGATTTGTGTTAACATTTCTGTATAGCCATGTAACCCTCATTTCCGCGGCGTACAATCTCTCGAGGACTCTGGCAAATCAACGATCCGTATAAAAGTCGAAAAGAATTCCGAACCTCCTACATAGATCAGCGCAATGTTGTAATCGTGACTGTAATTGTTGTACTTATAGCTGTGGTTGTTCTTGTTCTTGCATTCCATTATGTAATAGATCAGATGGAAGTTCCAGCCAGGAGGAGCGACTATCTTCCCTTTGTGTACTACGGGAGATTACAGCATACCTTGTAAATTGCATTGAGCTTGCGGTTCTAATCCTTTAAAACTGCCGCTGATAACTGTTCCTAGTCAAAGAGAGATTCCACAAATGCATAGAGATACGAATATTAGAGCTAAGTGCAGGTAGACTCCGATTATAAGGAACGACAGGGGATGGAACAAGAAAATGTGCAAAATGAGAAGTTAATGCTAATGGACACTTGGTTTTGAGATATCATAGGATATGACACGAAGACTTCTTCCTATACTCCAGCGGCATGCACAATCAGAAAGTTTCCTCTTCATCAACAGGAGCGTTTTCAGGAACTTCAAAACCATCCTGCTCAGGCCGGTGAGTTTCGGATAAGCTAAAGAAAGATGAAGATGATTATGAAGGTGGTGCCTACCTCTGTTGAGTAGAGGATCTTTTGAATCTCTTTAAGGTTGTCATCTTCCTTGCCTGCACTCTCCAGTGTCTCTGTTTGTTGCTGAACGAGGATCTCAATATCCCGAAGCTATACAAACGTTAAACTGTGCGTCCGATAGGGACGGGTGCCGACATACCTTTGCAAAGTAAAAGTCCCTTTCCTTCTCTAGGCCTTCCATATGCGTCGACATTTCGCGGAGTTGAGCCTGTAATGCCTGCATGGCTTCATTGGGTTGCGTAGAGCCTGCCCGATGTCCGCTGATAGGCGTCTTTCCACCGGATCGACCGCCAACCCCCAGAACGGCACTGGCGCTGCGTGCCCCAGTCGAAAGTGGAGCAATGGTCGCTGGCGGTTCGGCTGGTGCACCGCGCCTACGTCCGACCGCGTCATAGCCCTGTCCACCGTAATTGGAATCCCAGAATCGCTTCATCCATTGCAAGAACTCTAGATTGTCCCTGATGATGCGTACATTGGTCAGTATCAGGGTAATAATGTTTTAGGCTCCATAAATCAACGCACTGCATCTTGCACTTGACAAGCTTCTCGATGGGTATAGGCTACATCAGAAGAACGAAAAATGAGTTTGAATGACGCGTTGACAGGATGAAAAACACGCCTTATCGATCTTCTTTGCTTTGAAGACGTTTTGCATGACTTTGAAATTGGCGACAAATTCATACTCGTGCTTTGCATTCATTTTAACTCGCGCCATTGGAAGATCGCCTGCAAAAGAGCTTTAGAAATCATGACGAGCCGACCTCCAAAGCGATCTGGGCGAGGTTGATGATGAGGCTTGCACGAACCATAGATGGAGTCAAGGATTTGACAGTAGGCTCCTCCGGTACCACATTGTTCAATCTTGGTATAGTTCAGCTGGAGAAGCTCGTTCAGCCAAGCTAGCAGATCTGAGCGCGAAACAGCCATCATGATTTGAATGCAGAAATGTCTAGTGAGTGGAGAAAGCAAAAAGCGTGCAGAGGTTACGAAATCGTCCAAAGGACTAAAACGTGTGGCTTCGATTCTTGGGTTCGTCTGTCTTCCTTCTTCAGTGCCACACACTGCTCTTGCTCTTGATCACAACTGCTCATCCTCTTGGGTGATCTTCCTTCCAGATCAATTATCACAGTTTGTCCAGGTGAAATTACTTATTATTCCACTATCATGTTCTGACCTGCCACATCCGGAGCCAGGTTGACACTTCCCCTTGGGCCTTGGACGTCTGGACCTTGGTCCATCCGAAAGATACATTATTTTTAAATTTCAGTCGCATCGTACGTAAATTCCAGTGTCGGGGTGGAGCTGGTTAGCTGACATGCATACACGCGATTTCAACGTTTGTCGCGATTAGCAGCAGTCGTTCATTTGGCATTTGATGTCAAATATAACAACAATGACACTGCCTCCTGAAGCATGTCATCGAATAGTCCATTGGACGCGTCGATGCGATCTTACTGCGCTGTGCCTGACTAGCAAGTCGCTTCAGAAATCTGCAGAGATCAGGCTATACGAGGTTATCATGTCCGGTGACATCAATGTCATTTTTCGAGCGTGCGAGAGCATCGTATCGCAGGAGCGCCTGGGCCCATACGTCCGCTCCTTCTATCTCTATCTGAATGCAAGGCGCACTCAAACAGAGCTGCCCACTCGCTTCTGGAATATGGTACAGAAAGCACTTTGGAAAATGCGTTGTCTGGACGTGCTTTACATTGATGATCCAGCCCGTGCTAATTCTTGGATTTTGAATGACATCCCAAAAATTCCGTTTCAGCTCCGAGAAGCAAACTTTCGCCTCCCGTGGAATCGCCACGTCATAAAGTTCCTGGAGAGCCAGAACAAGCTCAGGCAGTTCCATATTTCGGGTGGTATAGATGAAGATGCTCCACAATTTGAAGATGGTAGCTTGCCTGACCTGTGCACCTTCGATGGGCACCTCGCTTCAGCCATGCACTTACTTTCTCTTCCTTGCTGCCTTCGCCATCTTCGCATACCTTTGGATAGAAGCACTAACAAGCAACTTTTGGACTTTATTCCCAATCTCTCTACCCTCTCGCGAACTCTCCGTTCACTGAATATCATTCATATTCCCGAGGAATTGTCGGTGGAAGCGATCAAGCTCATTTCGTTTGTGTGCCCTGACCTTCATTATGTTGGAATTATCCCATTACCAATGACTTTTCCCCACGTAAGTTGAGTTCTTTACCTCTTTTATATAGCTTATCTTTATATCATTACCTCAAGCGCAGCATGATTCATGACGCTCTTTTGGCTATGCATAACCTACGAGATCTCGAAATCGATGTATCGCGATGGTCGCCTCTACCCAATACAGGTTCACTGCAACGCATGCTTGCAACTGAACTCCACACATACTGCCCTTCTATAGAGCACATCGTTCTCCGCACAGGAAGCAACCGAACATTGTGGTATTTCGACGGAAATGAGTGGAATATTCGTTCAGAAAACGGGCAGCATCTGCTCGTCGATGGATTATGGAAGAGTAGATGATGTACGGCAGCATGCTTGCAGTTAAAATCTACTTACGTGACGAAATAATGTAATCACCAAGTGAGTTCATCGCCTTGGTGGTGCTTACATGCATGTTTACATGACCCAGCCACGCTGATACACACCCAGCGGATGTATTATAGAAATGCCGAAATACACGCTATGCTTATGTATTCAACCTGATTTGGTAGGGCGTTGTCACCTCCGAGTCAGAACGTTCTTCATAGGATGCGGCATTTCCAGGGCGCCTGAATTGAATTGACTACGAGTACGCATGAAACAACGTGGCCTAGGCCTAAATCTGTTCAAACCGAGTTAGCTTTTGCTGCTTACGTCTAGCCCCTCATTCCGCCCCTTGATCGCCTTTGCACGGGGAATTCATAATATTGACAAGATTCCCGTTTCATGGTCTAGTCAACCTGCATCATGGCTCGGTAATATCCGTGCCAACGCTAAGCTACTGTGGCAATACCGGCGTTCACCAGAATGATATAAACCTTGACTCGCAACAAATTTTATCCAAGCAAAAGTGACTTCTTATGCAGTACCAGCGTACCAACTCTAATTCATCGATGGCATACTCGGATAGGTCGATCTCATCGAATTCCTCTGTATCATCCCCTCCTCCTCAGCTTGTTGCATTACCGTCCATGACCCACTCTCTGGCGGCCCTGCCAACCATGTCTGCGGTACCACACGATATGATGCATTATTCGAATTCACATAGTAGAGCGAAGGCAAGTTCTTGAGATGTGCCTTGCGCAGCGCGCACAGCTGACACAATTCCAATAGATGGAGTATGCTATGCAAAAGCAGAGGCAACATGCAGCCGCGCATCCCTTTGCAGCGCTCAACGTACGCTAGGCCCATCAATTCATGGTATAGATTCTAACACGTGTTCCCTCAGGCACATGACATGAGACGCACACCCAGTCCATCGTGTGAAGATGGGCATATTACTGTCCGAAGACAAACCAATGGTAGACGTTAGACAGCGACGTGACAGTGTAAATCATCGTTCTGGTGCCTTCCACGCCCATGCTGATTATGACTTTCCCCAGACACGCGGCCGCTAAATTGTTCAGTTGGTTACTGCGCCACCACCGCAGGACGGAATGGCTATGCATGGGACGATAGGATCTACCATAACTCCGGACGTTAATTTTTGGGACTTATTATTACTATTCGCGATCGAGGGAGGAACCCGAAATCGAAACAAAAGTACTGCGGGTTCATCAGCACATACTAATGTATCTATACTTTATATACATGGCTCCTGTTTCAGTTTTCTTAGCAAAAGCTGTTCGTTACAGTACGGGTAGGATCGCAAGCCGGTCCAATAGGATTTTATGTTCGTTGTCAACGAGAACGTTCTCACTCCACAAGCTGGAAGAGGAGGTGAAGGCGGAGCCAGCAGACAGCGGTGCGCCGGTGACTTTGAAGTGCGATCTCAACGGTGGAAGATTGTGTCCAGCCTTGGCGAATCATCGACTTGACTCCGCCTGACTGCGGCAGTAGGTCCGAGAACCAATAGAAGAAGAAAGCAGTTTGATGAAGCCTTGGTCATCAAACTGACTCATCTCGTTCGATCCTTGCTAATACCGTCGGGCGCTCAAGCGCTTATTGATGTATCATCATAGGAAGGAACGCCACTTCCGATGGACGGAACCAATTTTGGGGTGCACTGTACGACAGCTTTAGTTTGTCACGGTAGTCTCTTGTGGCTGCAACACAAGTCTTGCACGTGAAATTGCCCTGGAACGTGTGAGAGGTATGTTTTGTGTGTGTTGCTGGTCTCCCTAGATATGTGACAGTCGATTTACATATTCAAACTAAAGTGGGCGCAATAAAAAGGAGGCTGGAGGTGCCTATAAAAAAGTTATTTGTTGGCTGCAAGAAAACACGTTCCTATCCGGGGCCGAATCTGGGGTATGGAGCTGAGGTGAAATACAGCGAGGCTGGTCTCGTCCTGAGCCACATTGGCAGGCGAATAGAATTATAGGCCGGACCTGGACCAATGCAACGCGGTGAAGTAGCTACAAAGGAAATTTAGACCCAGGGAAGTAGCGAGGCATTTGATTGGACCGGACAGTGTCACCGTGGGATCACTGAAGCTTGATGAATCGATCAATGGCAACTGGGGCAAGCTGATGCGGCTTCTTCTTGACATCGCGCCCATGAAACCAACCTGGAATTTTCAATCGGGCGTTACGGTCAAGGTTAGCATATGGATTGTTTGATACTGTTTACGTCTGTTTGACAAAGACTTTAGAATCAAACAACCGTCTCCCAATTGGCAAGTCAGAGTCCAGACTCCTCTATGACCCGATATTGTCATTATCCATACAGTCCTCTGTAATGCTCCTTCCTCTCACATTTACCGCCTATGCAAGCATTCTGGATGCTAGCGGCCCTCCAATAAACCTCATTGAGTCTGACTTTAATTCGGAACAAACAACTTCGTTCGTATCTTGGAGAACCGAGAATGGCCTAGATCATACTGCTGTTGGCAGCTCTAAGGGTTCCATTACCGTCTTCAGCTTTCACCCTACCAATACTCCAAATTTGGACTCCCGTGCAAGACTCACTATCACACCACCTTCTGAGCACAATCCACCCACCGTCCCGTCTCCATCTCCCTCACACTCACGTCGGCACTCTCGATCACTCCAGTCACCCTCATCGTTATCATTCAATCAAGTTCTTCTCAATGTATCCGCCAGAGCGCGAGTGGTTTCTGGCGTATCACACGAACAAGTAGAAGCCCCAAAGAATTACGTTGACTTCGAAGACGAACCTGAACGATTGAAGGACATACTCAAGAGCAACAGCAAGCACAAGCGCACTCTCGCAGACTCAATTCTTCCTAGCTTTGATAGAGGTGTGGTAATAGAGCAATCACCTGCTTCAAATTCTCCGACGCTTCTGCCCACTTTGCCAAACTCACCTTCAGGTGCTTCTAGCACGAGCAAACATAAGGACGATCCCCGATCGCTACTTCCAGAGACAAATTTTCCAACGTTCTCTCCGGGATCATCTTCGGCACCACCGTCTCCTCGTCCGCTATCCCCCTTCGACGGCTCACCGTCTCGCGGAATAGTTAAAGCAAGTATCATCCTTGAACCTTGCGGACCTGGGAATGCACCATCTGCCATGCGGTATATAGAGACGATGGACCTATTGGTGGTTCTTCAGGAATCAGGGTGCGTTTTATCGCCACCAACCTACATTACTAGCCCATCGAGCCTCCTAGCAATTTATCTGCCTTTGACATGCGGGACAGCACGTGTGTAGCGACGTGTGGATGCACGACCACAAGATCATATCAGGATAAGCTCTGGAAATGGGAGAGTATTCGGATGGTGCCTGCGTGGGATGTACGTCGTTTTGTTGTTATTTTGTGCGTCCGTCGCAAAGTTCATTTGTACGCCAATGTAGCAAACATACCTCATTCTGGCATGTGCATCGCCTTCGCAGCCTCCATTTGCAGAGGCCTTTGGCCTTGCAGATGAACTTTGTGATTCCAAAGCGCGTCTGAATTTGTTTGAGCTTTCTGTGGGGGACCCGCATGGTGTGCATCCAACAAGGTTCGAGAGGCTTGCCTCCGATGCCTGGCAAGTCGATGGGCAAGCCACTGGAGTAGAGTTGCTTAGGAATGATACCGATGGTAGGACGTATCTTACTGCTTTAGTTTCGTTCATCCTATCTTCCTTCAAGGTTCATTTCAGCTAGTGTACATTGACTCAACGAACTGCCTTGTCACTCAGTGCTTGACCATCATTCCCGCATATGAAATACGAGCTCGCGGACGGTCCTTCACCTCTTTTTCAGCTCCCTCTCAAGAAGATAACAGATCATTGGCGATCCCGATCCCGTTCAAGGTGTTTGGTAGTAAAAGTGTCGAGAGTGTTGCTCTTCTAGGTCAAAATTCTAACTCTGGAGCAGAGCAGGAGAATATCTCCCCTGCAATTACGACAAGTAATCTTGGGCGAGTCCGGCTAGAGGAAGAAAAATCCCGTGGTACTGTGATTTCATCTCCAGAGTGTTTGCTTGAAGGCATTACTGCCCGCTATGCTGGTTTGAATGGGAGGATTATAGGACTCGTATGGTCGAATACAGATATCACGGTTAGTCTTTGGATCTCATCAGATGCTTGCACCGAGAATTAAAGGTCCTGTCAAGGGATTCATCACAGGAGAGCAAGAGGGAACTCTTACAACTTTTGCTGTTCCTTTCAAGAGCCGGGCTGAGATCCAAGGCGTTCATTTCATGGATGACGAAGCGTTTGTGGTACTTAGTGTTAGTACGCCCTGGTATACTATTCAATCAAACGCTGAATTAGAAATGTGCTGCAGGACACAATCTCTTACTACTGTTTGCAGCGTGTTGACGCCGATAATAACATTGCAACTACTTTTTCTGGAACGTCGATAATTACTCAGTATGTATTCCCTCATATTTCTGCAGTCAAGAGCTCACTGCAAGAATCACAGAGCAATTCAAACGATGACGATTTCTGGTGGCCCTTCATTGATGCTGTCGTGGTCAAGATCGTCCCCTTATGATGTCTTTGCTCTTAGGCAGCTTCGATCAGGGAAGGAGATTTTGGTTCATACTATCAATCCCAGGCATGACGTATCGATTAAGCAGCGGCGCCGAATATTGTGGAGAGCACAGAGTCCGTCTAGTGGTACCATCCCAGGAGGAGCAACATTGACATCCGTTCTGCCCGTGGAGCTCAACTTCGTCTTGCTGGGTTACAGTTGGTGCTGATTGCGCTTTCAAAGTCCTGCCTCCTAATTCTGGGTTCCAGGTGATGGCCATATTCGACGAACTTCATTACCGTGCCTTTTGCGCCGAAGGTACCATACACAATCTGTGCCTCTTTCCGCCTTTTCTTCCATATCTGGTAGTGATGTGCTATTTGACAAAGTATCAGACATGAGCTTGCCCTCATCTATATTGAACATGCATCTTGTCCGAAATGACCGCATGGGAGAACGATATATCTTAGGAGGAACAGATGATGGTGGCATTGCTATCTGGGCACTGGAGTGCGTACATCACCTGCATTAACGGGCTATGGCTCAATATCTACATCTACCAGATCCCTGAAACTCCAGGCGCGATTCACTCCATTTATCGTACCTCTGATGCGTGTAGCGCAGGTGCTACAATCCAACGAAAATGCAGGGCCTCTACGGGGATCGTTACTATGCGTCTCAGGCGATGGAACCATTGCCGTCGTATCGATAGAAGGTTTCGAAATGTAGGCTTCAATTGACCAGATACTAGTTCTGTGGCCTCACGAAATCGGTCTAGGCTTTACCTCATTCCTGGGGCATCCTCTCCGATAGCCCGCATCTATGCTGGTGGGGATGATAACAATCGTGCAGTGTTGATCTACGCAGATGGGAGTGCGCGTGTATGGGACGTTGAGTCGGGTGAGTTACTTCGTGCAACGACCGAAGAAAAAGCCAAAGAACTCGTCGATGCTGGTGGCTGGATCAACATGTAAGTCACATCTTGTCGGCTCAGTATAGGCCCTGATGATGTCTCAAGCTCCCTCGACAAGTCGGAGCTGACCTCAATCTCCGTTTCGATGCTTAGTGGATCTGCTGGCCCTGTTTCATGTACGTGTTTCATTCAATCAGCGTCACTTTAGTGATGTGGCAGTGTTAACGATCTTTACCTCTTCAAGTGTGCACCCTGTTGCTGAGTCTAGATCGCTTTCTAAAATACACCTCCGTGAACGTTAAATATTCGGGGTCGTCGTTGTCATCTGCCCCTTCAAACGCTACACTTTCGCAGCTTCGTGCTGTATTGTCTGTGTTACTGACACCTGGACTCAGTCCCGACATAGACGAAATCTGCGAAAATAGGCTTAGTACCAGCCCATCGCTGAGCACCGTAGGGTTTTCATCGTATGTCAATCATCATTCTGCGTCTGCATAGAATCATCTAATCCACGTATTATGTCCAGTGCGCTTGCCACCACCATTTACCACCATGATCAACCTATTCACATTTGGTCGATGTCAGCAAAGGTTTCTGCCGATCGCGTCCTCGCGATCGTCTCGGTCTTGAAGACTTTGTCACTTGCCGAAGGTTTGTGTGTTTCATTGATGCTGCTCCATCTGCCTCTGAATCAGCTTGTCTAGAGCTTTCGCATGACTGCCAGACAGTAATAACATTCTACTCTACCTCCCTAGCCCACGCGGTAGGTGCGTCATACCAAGCTCCGGACGTCGCATATTTGGCTATGCAGTGGTTCAACTCATCCAGTAGGCCATCTACTGCTGTCTCAAAGAACCTCGAATAAAGCGTTTTGATCCTGCAGACGATGTCCGGCAAGCTGCAAAGACTCTTTTTGATGCAGGGATTGTGCGTCTTTCGGATGAAGAGAGCAGTGCCCTTGTTGATGCATGGCAACACCATCGTAAGTTGGTGCACATCTATATCATTTAGGAATCATTTGACGTCCATGTAGTGCCATGCTTGCAGCCTTCCATCGAGAAGGAATTTGCGAGATCATCGCTCGCTTTATTCATTTGTGGATACATGGCAGCTGAGAAATACAGTCTATTATCCACCAAGTAACAATAACCTTCTCTTCGTGGTAGCCAATGTTAATGACTTCCTAGTTCACTCATCGACATCTCCAAGTCCATCGCGTTGTATTTGCACGACGAATCATCTGCTTACCGTGGTTTAGCTATTGACTTGTGTGCACGCGGATTTCAGATATGGCAGCATTATATCGATGCTATGGCGGTGCTCCGTGCATTATACACCCTCGCTACAAACACGCGCAAGGAAACCATCCCAGCTCAAAACATCGGGCCCCAAGCAAGATTAGCAGTCTTGCAAATCGCATCGAGTAACACGCCTTTGTTCATGACCACGCTTACACTAGACATCCTCAATCCAAAGACGCTGGACCAGCGGAAAGCAGTCATGCAACTGGTAGCGTTCATGATCAGGAAGGTGCGTGTTGGGACTGCATAATGGTTCGTTGAGTTTCTGATGTTCAGTGGTTTCATCAGAGACCCCTGATTCTGTACCCAAATCTCCCCAGGTTGATGGAAGCTGTGGTCAAATCGCTAGATCCCAATTCCACAGCCAGCCGGGACGCCGTGCTCGATAGTGCGACCGAGATCATTGGCCATGTGGTTAAGACGTGAGCCAAATTTTCCATAGGCTTCTGTCATATCGTGACCCCTATAATTCGACCAGGTTCCCCACAGTCGACTTCCACATGGCGACTCAACGTCTGGCCGTCGGAACCAGTGAAGGCGCTTTCATCATGTATGATCTAAAGACAGCAACACAGCTATATGTTCTCGAAGGACACAAACGGCGACCGGCGGCGTGTACGTTTTCACCTGACGGGCGCCGCCTCGTGACTGTGTCCCTTGAAGAAGGCGTTGTGCTTGTCTGGAAAGTCGGCTCAAGCTTCACGAGTTTCTTCAACCCTGGAGCTCCACCCAGGCAAGGTCATGGTGGATCTTTGCCGTTCAAAACACTTAATTTTAATGTTGGAGACGAAGGTATGTCACGGCGTGTTCGTGTTCTTTCTTTGCTCACGCAATCTTTCTAGCTAATATGACCATCACGGGCACATTGGAGTGGGTCAAGTTTGAATGGCCGGCCGAACGCACCGTCCGTCTTCACATACGAGAAAGTGTCTTAACGTTCAGTACTTGAGCCACGGCATGTCTATGTCACATTGCAAATCAAGACATCGTTATGACGTTATCGATTGTTCGTGAAAGTTCTAACTATCAAGCCGTCAGGTCGCATGCGTCTGGCCTGATCGCACACCAATAAGGCTGGAGTGAGATGGGTTTGAGCCCGCGCTGTACCATCCTAAAGCGGAGGTCCTGGATTGTTCATGTGCAATCAGTTATCTGAGTAATGAACCAGAAGCAGTACTGACCTGTAAGCGAGGTAGTGCCTCTGTGACGTTCAACGGGGCGCCCGTAGGCTGTTGAGCGCTCCAGAAAATCTCTGCTGAAGATGCAGCACGGGGCCACACGATAGGGTCGAGATTTTCGGGACCTGACTGCTCACTCCACAAAAGTTGCTCGCCTGCGAATTAGAAAGTGTCATTTGGCATAATCTCGAGACTTTAGAAAGCGCGTTTACCTCCAAGAACTAGTTCGTACTGTGCCTCTGTTAAGTTTGCCAAGGGATCGAAGGTGTATGACTAAAACGTTATGAGATGTACGGTCATTGAAAACATCATAAGGCGGTACCTCAGACCAGGTCTTGAAGGGGTCACACCAGCTATTTCTATCCTCCCAAGACATGTCAATTCAGATCAAACAATCAATATGATGAGAACGAACCCAGTTGGGTCATCTCCCAGCCATGCACCGGCACCACAATCCTATGATGATACGATAAGGGTCTTCACTGCAGGAAGAACGCGAGGACCAACCAAGTAGAAGTAATTAGATGGTGCTTGGACGAGCCTGAGGCCTCTTTCTGCCACTGCTAAAGCATCCTCAGAAGAAATCCAGACCCTGTCGGGTACAGTTGAATCAGCGGAACCCGATCATACTATCAATGTGCTCACATTACAATAGTCTCATTGGAGAGTGTAATGTTCCAGTCGAGGACCATTTCTGAGTGTCCGGCTTCATCGAGTGCTATTATTCGAAAGGAGAAATGGACGGACCTTCCCACACGACCGGTGTCTTTCCCTCGGCGATAAGTGCGCCATGTGTCGCCAGCGTAAACGTGTTCAGAGCATCGTTCAACGTCGTGTTCGTACTATTGAGCTGTAGCTGTGTAGGATAGTCGTTGGTGTAACATGGCGTATTCAGTTCATCGCCCCCCGTGCTGAAGTAGGACGAGGGCACGGTACTTGCGATACTGGCAAGCAATGACGCAGTGAAGTTCACAACCTCGGGGAGTGCGAAACGAAGCTGGCCTGCGGGGGGCTCGTTGGCATATGTGGCCCATGGAGTTTCATCAAAGCACGCAACGTAGTCGGGGTAAGTGGCCGCAATTATGGAAGTGTGGCCGGGTGTGTCGACTTCCTGGTGAAAAAATGAGCCCATTTTGCGAAGCTGACTAATAAATACTGACCAGCAGAACATCAATACCCCTCTGGGAAATAACCATAAGCAGCCAAAAGGAATCGATGAAGAGAAAAACATACTGCACCAGCATACTGAATGATATACTGGACATCGCTAGGGGTGTAAACTTCTTGCGGAGAGTATGCACCGTTGATAGCAAGCTCGGGATACTGCGCAACTTCAAGCGGGAAACTCTGACTGTCTGTGATATGCCAGTGGAAGGTGTTGATCTGTCTAGGTCGTAAGTGATCATAAGATGACAAATGAGGCAAACACTCGCCTTGACCCAGCTCATTGCATCCAAAGTTCGCAGAATGTCAGTCACGGGGTAATAGTTCCTCGCGGTATCCAGCGCGAATCCTCGGAAAGGCTACGTGTGTGGGTTTCAAGTTACTGACATTTAAAAATAGCTGCTCACATATGCAGGAGTGTCCGTAATAGCAATTGGGGCAAGTAAAGTGTACGTTACTCCACCGTAGTAGTAGAAAAGCTGATTGAAGGTTGTGAGCCCTCTGTACAGACCCAACGTCGAGTTCGCCACTAAAGTAGCAGCCGAACCGTCTGCTGGGATTGTCAATGTGTACTCCTCGCTACGAGTGCCCAGTGGCTTCACAGCTTCAGAAGCAATAGGCTCTACAGTAGCCCCGCTCATGAGAGACAGGGTCAACGTCGAAAGCGTGTTCGCGCCAACAAGGGCAGTAGTGTCATTTGCGCCACGGCCGACGACAAGACGTCCAAGTTTGTCGTTTGCAAGATAGTATTGCGCTTGGGAGACTGCCTCGTACAAATCCAGTGGCGCGCCTTCGACCTGCACATCAAAGTAGAAGAAAGGGGAGACCGTGAGGGCGGTGGTCCCTGTCTCGAGTGTATGTGGGATGGGCCAGAGAGCGTGGACACCAGAAGGCAGAAGGCATCCCGCGACAAGCGCGAGTATGCCAACGTAACGAGAAGGGGCCATTGATAGTGTGTGGGTCAACGACGCGACTGATTCAACTGCGGCTGCTTATAAAAGTTCAGCTGGAGTATCATGTGGATGTGCAGCACGTGGGTACGTGGCGCCAAAAATATTCGAAATCGCCGTTGTGAGAGCGGCGCCGAGGGGAGTTACGTGATTACCGGAAAATCAGTACCTGCTTTGCATTAGTTGGCAGTGTCGACCATTGATCATGGACTTGCGATAGGACGTTGAAGGACAGACGGTCAATGAACCCGGCAGACTTTACTGAAGCAGGATGGAGTTTCCACATTTCAAGTTACTGGCAGCGAATGGCGTTCCTGGCGTTAGCTTTGCAACGCTGAACTGGGGCCAAGACTATGAACTGAGGTCTCTGCGAGAATGGATGGTGTGTCACTACAAGAGCTGTGCGTGAGTGTATGCTGTCAAACTAAGACCTCTGAGAGCCCAAGGCTGCTTCGGGACCCCTGGCCCGACGTCGCGATCATTGTTAAACGCGTCTGTGGCGGGTCCCTACATAAATCACGTGAGTCTGGAACAGTGAGAAAATCATTCCGGAATCCGCAAGTCTCTGGTTCTTAATTAAGTCAGATAGGCAATGATGCTTGCAGTCGTATGCGTCAATGCGCGGTAAGGAACAGATACGCGGAACTTATCGAGCAACGCACATATATAAACTGCAAACCTCATGGCTAAACAGAGCGATACCGATGATGCAATGACAGCTCAGTGAAAACAAGTACTATTTACGAAAATAACACTCCCAAACAGTTTGCGCTCCCACAATGACACTCCGCATAGACCGCATCTTTATTCTTTTTCGCATTTTTGGCCTTGGATATCTTAAAAAGGCTGTCAGTTTGATTGGATTGGGTACCTGTAATAAGTGGCATACCGTGTCTTTATCGATACTGCCAATATAGGAAAAAGACAGCTCCTCGGATGGTTCAACATCTCGTCTGGTAAAGATCGCCAACAACGGCTTCTCCATATTGGCTTCGTTGATGTAGCACGGAACAATTTCACAATTCGGGTCGCAACTGTGGTTCTGCAAAAATTACGTCAGCTCTGTGCAAAGACTTGAGATAAAATAAACGTACAAGAAAACGAGTGAACTAAAGAAAAATCGTCAGAGAATGAAGAAGCAATCATTAGGGAGACGAACGTTTCCGGCGTGATAAGCATCCACAGAGTATGTTGCTACTGCACCCATATAATGGAAATCGATATCGAAGAGGTAAGTTCGTCCGAACTTGTTGTATAGCCTAGCCAATAGTTAAGACCCCATGTTTCGCGCATACACTGGGCACTCACATTCCACGGCGGTCAGATTCCTCCACAGTCAGCAACTCGCCAGCATAGATGCCGATAAAGGATCCCCCAGGAATTTTCTTCGGCCCATTAAAGACACCTGAAAACAGTCAATAACATTGCACAGGGGAGCAACAATACCAAAAGCGCACCCCATCCTTTGAATTCTGTCCTTTTGATGTTTATGGCGTATCTCCTGCCCCTCTGAACAACCTGAAAATAAATAGTCAACACCAACAACAACGCGCAAACAAACGGTCCTTACTCGGTTGGGACAATCCTCATCGCACCCACAGAAATCATTACACTCAAAGATCGGCATCTCGAAAAACTGTAGAGACCCCTTGTTGTCATACAAAAACGGTACGCCGTTCCAGGTACTAGGTATAGTACCGTTGGCGATATATCGCTTGAGATGATGGCGCTGCCGCTTCGCGCACCCACATGTCTTCGACTTGGGATCGCATCGCCCAACACAGCCACAGCTCTTCAGATTCGTGATATCTGGCGCCGGAACGCCTTCGCCGTACCACATCTGGTTTGTGTATACAAATTCCCAAGGTGGTGCGCCTTCGTCAGTCACCTCGTTAATGATTGATATGGGAGGGGCTCCGAGCTCGTCATCCATTGCTTCATCAATCATAGCCTCGAAGAGCACGGTAGCCTGATGCGAATGTCTGTACGACTGAGGAAGGGCATTGACGCGGTCCTGGAGCTCATGCGGAAGGTCCTTTGCGAGACGGTACTTGGGAGGCAGCAGCCGCTGTGCTTGCGAATACGAATTCCACGTCACAACAGGATATCCGCCCATATAATAGTCGACACCCTCTTCGAGCTGCTTCATGGATGCAGCATCACCGCCATCTACCACACCGGCGACGCCCAAGGAACTGACGGACACAGGAGACCGAGAAAGCTGTCTTGAAGAAGTGTGCGAAGATACCGTCCGGCTGCTGTTGATGGAGATCGGATGATCCGCATCTCCTGCCTGCGATTAGAGGATAAGAAAAGGTCACATAGGCACCCTGCCATGAACAAGCAACGCACCTCTCCATCTGAAACTTCCAATTGCATGAGCACTGAACGGCACTCTTCGTCGCTATCTCCTGACACAGCCATCGACACAGGCCTTGACCTTGCCTTCGTGCGTTTTCTCGCCAGTTCCCGTGTTCCTGTCATACCTACACCACCGTCGTCTTCGTCAACATCGAGGCGCTCATGAACAGTGACCAAAGCTTCCTCCACACTCTCAGCCGAAACGTCATCTACCAGCATCTCCAGTGACTCTAACTCCTCGTGTTCCATCAATTCGGCAGACACCGGAATGCCTTCAAGGTACCCGTCTTTACATACACTCTCTAGAGGCGAATCGACTACCTAATGTAGCATGTCAGATTATCAACTCGCCTGGTGAATTCCATGAGGGCTACACGTACCTGATTGACATTGATATCTACTTCAGGGGATCGACCGTGTTCGTGTAAATCCAGCGATCCAATGCTCTCAGTGACACCCTGCAAGCCTTCCGATGGAATCATGTCATCCATTACGTCATCTAGGGGAACGTCCTGATGCGCAGAGGTGTTCTGGACTTCCATCTCTCCTTCTGCAGGGATAGCAAACGGTGTAACTATGGGACCATCAAGTGGTTCAGGCAGTTCATGAGACTGATCATCAAGTTGCACGGCAACATCACCAGCGCCAACACCTAGCGGACTGGATGGCCGAACAACACGCCTGGTTCTCCGACCCTCAGAAGGAGACAACGAGGGACTGCGCATCGATATCTCTGCCGTAGGCGTAATAATGCGCCTAAAAATATCCGCATTACATGAGGTTCTCTTCACAGTAGGTGTCGTCGTCTTCTTCGTCGACGCGGACTGGGACCAGTTCGGGATGGGTGAGATGAACATTTCAAGGCTTGCCATGCCCATTGAGCGGGTCTTCTTGCGCGAGCTAGATTTCGAGCCGCTTTGGTTGCTGGATGATGTTGAATTGGATGTAATGGAATGAGGTGGAGAGATGTTGGGAACGAGGGCGCTGGCGGCGGATGCTACAGACGAGGTGCTTGGATTGCTGGCTGCTGAAGACATGCTGAGTTTACTGCTCAACGGACGCTGACGCATTAAATCGCGAATTTCTTGTATACTCGGCGTACGGGTCTCAAGAGTCGGTGCCGGCTGACTGGCGGAGACTGGGGCAGGTAATGAAGATGGATTTTGGGATATAGTATGTAGAGATTGGACAGATTCCTGAGGCTTGGACACACCGGGCGCCTGACTACCATCACGTGAAGGAGACACATCGTTGGTGAGGTCGATGTATTCGCCAGAAGGATGTAACCTGAAGTGCTCCTCTCGTCTCTTGTTAATCAACTCAGTAAGCGAGAGTCCTTTAATGGGCCGCTGCACACGTGGTGGGACAGGGAGGGGGGTGGATGAGGGAAGGGCGATTGCTGGTGGTGGTATGTCCGATATGGAGATAGGGACCGTCATGGCAGTAGATTCACGGGTAGAAGGCTGATCACTGCGAGTCGAAGAAGCCCTGATATCGTCGCGAGAGTCTATTTGTGGAAGCTGTTGGGGTGCCTCTACCGTAGCTTCATCCACAGTGGGTGAAACAACGTTCCTATCACTGTCACAAGGTAGCAAGTGATCGAGCGAGGGTGATGAGGCTGGGTTATTTCTCGCCGTGGGTGCGTCAGAAGCCTGCTCGACCAGCAAGGGCTCGGGCAGGATCTTCGCTATGGACGACCCAACAATAGCTGGTGAAGCAGCTGGGGCAGCGGGAGAAGCAGTTGCGTTCGGTTCATTAGATACCTGAGCAACTAAGGGTAAAGGTTTTTTCAACGCCTTTGCGTTGAAAGCAAGCGCCCTAGCGAAGAACGGGTTGGTGGTGGGAGGGGTATAATTCCACATGATCGAGGGTTTAGCTATGGTGGGCACGGTAGCGTGCGTCTGGGAGGGAGCTTCTGCGGCAACCATTGGAATTTTGGAGCTTGGTGAAGACTCTACATGGGAAATAGTGTCGACTACAATGCGGTGAGGGATTATCTCGACCGGAACAGCGTCATTTGAAGAAGTCCCACTTGCTTTCTCTGAGGATGGAAGAGTGGTACTGGTAGGCATGTCAGGAGCTGGAACATGTGGGTCCCGAGCAGTGTTGCAGTCATCATGGGCAATCAGACTGGTAATTTGGTCAGCGAAATTTGGTTCTGGGGGATCCAAATCAATATACGAAAACAATTCCTCTGTTTGACGCTGGAGTTCTGATCTTGCTAGTGCTTCGTCAAAGTTGGACTCGGGCTCCATCAGTTCATAGTACGAATTTTCTGGAACCTGATGTTCTAAATCGACCATGATTTCATTTTCTGATTCCATGATAACCGAAGGCAAGGCAGGACTGGGCTCTTGGATGGGAAGGACAGCAGTCGCTGGCGGAGGAGCGGGAACATTGTCGTCATCACTGTCAGATATGCAAATAACTTCAGCATCAGAAGGAGGTGGAAGTTTAGGGCCTGCTTTGCGGGAAATTGGTGTCTGTGAAGGCCGGGGTTGTCTCGGAGGAGTGTCTGCATCTGAGCTAGAGATAATAATGGGATCGTCACCGCGAGCCCTTCTTCGTCTCGCGGAACCCGAAGAGTCAGTGAGCTCGATGACGCTTGTACTGGGAGGTCGTCGACCGCGCGGGAACCTTCTGACGGAAACTAGGTGGAGACATTAACGTCGTGTAGTAAAAAAGAAGGTCATGAGTCTGACCTCTTCGCACGCGAGTAGCAGCGGAAGAAACTTCAGAACCGCCTTGACACGCCGCATACTAGTTAATACACCGAAGTATAGATAAGGCGGGTAAACGCACTGCTGGGCTTCTGTACGGCACGAATAAGATCTGAAGTAGATACTCTGCGACTTCCAGTAGTCTTGCGAGCTGTTTTGCGAGCTGTCTCTGCGCGTTTGAGCCGAGCATTCTGCTTCTCGAGCATGGTTGATATATGATCACTCAGCGAGGAGCTTGACTGTCCACTTGACGCACGATCCTTGCCTTTCTCAGGACGCACAGGCTGGGACAAAAAAGAAGAACGGGATGTCTTGGCGATTTTAGGAGGTTGTGTTAGACTACTAGGAGCGGTACCATTCGTTCGTTTACCAGACTGTGATACCTCAGCCCGTTTCTCGTGTCGATTATTATCATTGAAACGCGCAAGCTTCTGAGGCCTCGGAACAGAAACAGGGCTCTCGATAGCCTTCCTCTTCCCTGGGGGTGCGTCAAAGTTATCCTCTTCGTCGTCACCGAGATCACTGGCAGGGTCAGATCGTGGTGTTGGTGCAGGGGAAGTGTTTGGAGGCTCTTGCATCAAATGAGCTGTAGAAACTTTGACGGTTTGGAGGACAATTACCTGGAAGGACGGTCCAGCTAGGGCCAGGGCTGAGTCGCGACATCAGCACTACCAAACTCGGTCAAGTATTCCGATCCAGTGCAGAACCCGCGCGTATCAAATTTCTATGGCGTTTAGCCTTGAAAAAATCGAACAGCGCGATTTCAAAATCTATAACAAACACAACTGAGCGGGTTCAAAGAGCTTGAAGGAGACTATAAACAACATTTTCGAAGCGACTCATTGCCTGGACCTACATTATGTAAGTGGCTCATGTTACATGTAAACTACTCATCCAAATTTAGATGTCCTTTGCCTCGATGTTGAAACGTACCATATCGACAGTACTGACATGACCTTCCATCACATTCACTTTTCGCTTTAACAAACATGCCGAACTTACAGTTAACGGGTACTGATGCCAATCGCACCGTGAATCCGCAGTCGCCAGATGATGCCAACAGTAGCTTTGACGCCCTGATAGATCTTCTCGCATCGGACGATATACATGATGTTGCGGTAGCGGGTTCACATTCCCATCACACCATCTCGCTGCGGGACGCATCCGGCAAACTAGCTTTTGATAAGATCCGTCTCATGTTCACAACAAAAAATTTAGGCCCTGACAGAATCGATAACAAATCGCCCGATATCCGTCCAGATACCTACCATTTGGATGCGCAGCATGCGAACGATATACAGGATGTATGTGCGTTCATTACCACAGGAATTTTCCGCTGATGGTCCCATCAGGTTCTTAGAAGACGGGGTCTCTCTAGGTCCGAATCGCCGTCAAGCCAATCCTCTGATCGAAGACGGCAGGGATCACACTTGACCTCAGTCAGCTCTTCCGCATTGGATCAAAATATGCGGAGTGCGAGTACACAGACGCAGCACTCCACATTTTCAGTTCACCCATCGCACTATTCCTCCCCGGACGAGTTGGTTCGCATCAAATCTGACGAACAAATTTTTTTATCCCCGGACTCGGACTCGCCAAATGCGCAAATCACTATCATCAATTCTCTGCCCCGTGATAAGATACCGCTCCCTCATCAGGTACTTTATAAACGAATCTAATGTGGACTTCCCAATTCATGACAGTAGGGTAGTTCCACACAGAAAGTCATAACGAGGCCCACAGACCTAGCCGCTGCACCGCTCACGGAATCTTCATATGTATGTGCGGTGCGTTGATCACAGTCCATTTTCACGCCTGATCCTGATCCTCTCTGGTAGGGTAGGGTCAAAGATTTCACTGAACCACTTGACTTCGAAAAACTGAACAGCGCACTCTCACACGCTACCTCTGAGATTCACTCCCTCCGCGATCACTATGCAAAACTCCGCACCTTGATCACGGAACGGCATCTTCCGCTAAATGACTTACAAACAGGGAAACCTTCCACTCAACCCTCCGGCAATCACGCCATCCCTTCATATCAGGCACAAGATTCCGATATACAACGAGGTCCTGAACCCGCTCACTTAGAGGAAATCTCAAACCTTTCCGAATATGAGGCAAAGGATATTCTCGCTGTGAGTTTCTAGCTTAGGTTTATTGTAAAGCCCACGCTGACACCGCAATCTCATCAGGGACTAATCACATCACTACGACTGTCCCCTCATTCTGTCAGAAACCTAGTTTCTAAGTTCTTGGACGAAGGTCCGATTTGTCCACACCCCAATAGTGTCGACGACATCAGGTCTTCTATGGAATTCCTGGCCCGCATTGATGAGTTAGTGTGGAAACGCTCTGTGCCTGTGAACAGCGATGGTCCATATCCACTCTATTCGAGAGCGAATACGGATGCCCTCGTTCAGCGGTTGGTTCTGTGGGAAAAAATCATCAGAGCCCATCACAAAGGCTAGAGCTGCGGCCCGTAATGGCATTCCGCAAAAGAATCGTACTCAGTTGGTTGCGTAACAGTTGCTTCTCTATGCATCTTTTTATTCCACAAGTCGGCTTATCGCGCCCCTCGGCGTTCTGTCAAGTTGGTGCACAGGTTAGTTCTTCTCCCGCGATACATCGTTCCTGTTCATAAATCAATTAAAATAACATACTTGTTATAATTTTGGAGGTCCGGATCAGTGGCATCACTCTTCTGTGTTAGGCAAGTTTAAAACTCGGGGCGGTGTCCTTAAGCGTATAAAGTCAATTGGATTTGACCCACTCTTCACATCCTGATCATGCCTTCCATCCGCGCCCCCTTCCTTCGTGTCATACTCAACACTCGCCTTACCGAAAACAATGCGGCACCAACTAGTAGTGACCTGCAGTGGCAGCCTGTTATCGGTATCGTAGCTGGTTTCCGTAAGTCGCCGCCGTACAGCCGACATCAAAGCTGACTGTGTCAATGTGTCGATCCCGCAGTGTCTATTCTCCTCGCCGTCTACCTCCTTCATTTATTGTTCCAGTTCCACGCTTCAGGCATCTCCCCTCGCATTCCCGGTGAGCTGTCATGTTCCTTATTGATGTGTGTGTACGAACTAATACATATATATCTTTTGGCGCCAGGATATGTGCTCCCTTCAGGCACTCGTCGTGTTTCGCATTCCGTCACTGAAAGCGAGAGGTCAGGCTCGTGGCCCGACCTTTCAAGTCCAGCACCTCCCCCCTACACAGCAAGATCGATCGCAGCTCCCCTCTACACAATTACAGTGCCACCTCGGTCGCTGCAAGGTGGACCAGTCCGCTATCTGCGGAATTACCGCCCTCCGCTGCGCCACCATGTAGATGAACCAATTTCAAGAGGTTGACAGTGTTGCTTGAACAAGTTGCTGCGGATGCACAGCATGTCCGAGCTTTGAAATGCTGTGGATCCGTCCGTTACGCTAAGCGAACTCTCGCTCGCTCGTTCCCGAGATTGATGATTCTCACTGGGTAATACTCGTCCTCGCCCCAAGACCAAGACCATCATTGTTAATGCTCCTGTACGGATACGGATCTCGTCGGATTCTACTAGATGGCCAGCAGTTGCCTACTTAGATGCCTTGACATGTTTCATCTGTTTGCTTCGCAAGCATTGTTTGATGGCACACGCGTCGCGCTTTTTCTTCCATACTCCACGGGCATCTTCTCGCCGCATATCCCAATTTCTTGCGCTTACATACTTGGCCGGCTAGCGCCGCATCAGAAACGTCACGTATCGGATTCTTATCGTTTTTATACACATTATCGGACTGCTCTTGATCATGATGCTCCGCTGTACCCTAGCCGAACGAGGCATCTTTGTCGGACGATTCGGGAATTCCTTTCGATATGATCTATGGCAGTATCTATTGCGGGAGACGGTTCTGACAACCCTGTGAATTATGACGGAGCGCGTTGTTCTTAGAATTCGACATGTTATGCGGAACATTGTCAATTTCGCAATCACAGATAGGATTAAATCTCGTATAATTCTCACAGGAGTAATAATAATGCGACGCATGTGCGGCCTATGTCGTAAGGATGGGTCCTTGTTGTTGTCGAATTGGCTCACTAGTACATATATAGATACCATCTTCGCCCGAGCACTCATTCACTCGGTTAAATATGCCATGGAACTTCCCTCAACATGTGCGAAGGATACGGAGGCATCGGTTAGCCCCGAATTGTTGCTCTGGGAGAATATTCTCAAACATCAGCTTGATATTTGAACAGGACTATGACATCGGGCTACCGGGTAGTAGTAGTGGCCGCTGTTGCCGGAAGGTGGTTCACATCAAGGCAACAGTCCATGATCCATGACGTCGCACCTCAAGAATCCAAGCTAAGTGCCAAGTGAGGTGCACATTTACTTCTATCCGAAAAATAAATCAGAGCTCACGATCGCGTGCACGGATTACACATTGCTAGGTACTGGCGCAAGACAAGACAAGCTCGAGATATTCTGTTTAGCCGGTCGAAACGAGTTCTGCGATACTGTCTAAATGTTAGCTTCAGGGTGAATCTTATTGTAATCCAAAGGGAGTCTTTTCACCACGAAAAATCAAGCTTCAAGCCGATCTTGGATGTGGTAGTTTCTAGTGACAGCCTGTGGCGTCGTGCTGTGTCCGCTTCCATTCTTGATAAGAACAGTGCACCGTCAGTAAGGTGTCTAGTGGATAAGCCTGTATAAGTACACAGCACAATGAGTGTGATGTGATAAATGAAAGGGAAGACGTGTTTCTGGCTAACTCGGTCCCAGCGACGGTTACCTATAGGTAACTCTTTGTGTTTTTAATAAATTTTAACGTGCCTCAAATAGTATAAGTAATCCCGCATCGTCATCGATTTCACCGCAATTCACGTACATTGCAAGATGATTGACCGGTGTTTAATTGTGAATAACCTCCACGTCATTTGTGTGTGACGAGCTGCAATAAAAACGTGTCGATAATAACTTATATAGAAACTGGTCTAAGTTGCGAGTGTACTCTGACGGAAACAGAACAATACGTGAAACCAGGTTGTATGTACCACTGGAGTAAATGGTGTTTAAAACCCAACCAAGAATCAAGTCTACACGGCTGGTCTCGCCAATCAAAGCCACTGACTTTATTTTTGTTCCCTTTCACCAGCCTAACGTACATACATCAATCTGATCACACGATCCCGGATAGGGGTGTAAAACGGCTGACGGAAACGGCGGACCGGGGAAGGACATCCAATGAGGCGGTTCACGAAGAAGGGGCCGGGGGACACTTCTCAGAAATGATTTTCTATATGTGGAGGCACTATGTCCTACAACAAGACGAATAAGTAGGCGAGTAAGCAGAGGCGCTCGGACTATAATAGCTTGAGGCCCCATCGTAGGAAAAAATATGGACCATGACAGCCAAATCAACCGCCGTCAGGCACACGAACATCATGTGGTACCCCCAACCAATTTTCGAGCACCATAGGGCCAGCTTCTGGAAACACAACGGTTGACACAAATGTTCCGGCCATCAAGAATGCCATGCCTGGTGCGCGTATGTGCGATGAGAATATCTCGTTGCATCAGTCTAGAACAATACTGCTCCGAAAAGAGAAGCATCAGTTGCAAACTGAAGATACATCCTTGAAAGCTCAGATTGGTCGAGCAATATGTGCTAACAGCGATCCATCCGGTGGCCGCATTCGCCACAACAATCCAAACACCTTCGAACAGGGAACACAGCATGGTCAAGATATGTCCAGAGTACTGCAAAGACTCACAACGCCGTCCCACGAGAAGCCCCCGTGAGGAAAGCGAAGGAACCTCCATTAAAATCGGAATAATTTCCGACAATCATACATGCTACCCAGTCAGATATGAAGCGCACCACAATAAGCATGGCGTCAATCACGGACCCTGCAACGAGGACATTAGCCAGAATTGAGAACACGGAAGCGGTTGTCATCGTTATTTGTCTGCCGTATCAGTTGCACATCCAACCATCAGCAAATGCACCGCAAACACCACTTGCAGAGAAAATTTCATTGATTGTGCCTATGATACATCGCGTTTGAATATGCTGTATTTTCTGTGTTGAAGTACGTCAGGAATCCTGGTTGTCCGAATGCATATGTCAAAACGCTGTTCGCATTACCATATGTTATTTATGTCAGACTGCCCAGCGTCAGGATAAGGGTAGTCCTTATGTTATACCGCGCGTAGTGAGCAGTCATGGTGGATGTAGGCAGTGATTAGGGCGCCTAGGATGCATCTGTTCCAGAGCATATTATTTGCCCATGATGGTCAGCTAGATAGGCGAACCTAGTATTTTTGGATATAACTTGGCATCTCATGTGGTGCACGGCGAGCCGAAATAGTCTGACGGGGCAAGTTGGGTTGAGTCAACAGCTAGAATATTATCATCAAGTGAAACTTTCATCCTTGCCAAGAAGAAAACACAACACTCACAAAATCGATATTCACAGTAAAAATAAAGGAATCCCGAGTCTTGCCGCGGAACTCCTGGTTGACCTCAGACAAGCAAGACACTGTAAAATGTTATGTGGTGTTGAAGCCAGGCTAGTTGATCCGAACAGTACTGCTGAAATAAGGGCAAGCTCCTTTCGAATTCGTGATGTTGCATGCTTTTGTCCTCAACTAAACAAAGACTTGTAGCGAAACAGTTATGTATTCGAGCTCGAGGGTATCTTTGCCTGGAGCATCGGCACCTCTAAGCGGAGTATGAATGTTTCTGTGTCCGTCCTTGTGGCCAGGCAGGGAGCGGGAAAAGAACAGAGTGTTGGTGGCCACGGAGGGGCGGGCAGAGTTGAAGCGGAGCATGAACATACAGGGCGCGGGATCGGTCGAAACACTGAGCGGAGTTTAGGCTCTGCTTAGAATAGCAGAGCGGCGAGGCCCGCCGGCGTGTGTTCTGATTCAAACTAACCCTAACCCCATAAAACGTCTGACATGGGTTCATGTCCCTTCGGTTGGCACTTCCCACCTAGCCACCCTTTTCTTCGTTTCCTTCGTTTCCGTTGCTTCGTCTCTTGCCATGGACTACGACAGAAAATCGACTGTATCCTCGTTCTATGGAGGACGCAGAGGCTCATTTGATGCCCTGAATCATTCACAATCTCCCGATTACGCTCCATCTGGTCGTCCACGAGACGATACTTCTTCTTTCTATGCTGATCGACAAACACGGACGAGCCATGATATGTTAACGGGTGGACAATCCGCAGGGTATAACGCATCATCTTTTTTTGCCGCCGGACGCCTAGAACCGCTGAAAGGCGGACGTGATGAGGAAGAAGAAGCTCCGGAAGCTCAGACCTGGGATGTTTATGCAGACTTTAACAACGCCGGCCCAAGATACAGCACTGCTTTCGGCATTGGGCAACATCAAGAAGCAGGGTATGCGCGTGAAAGAGCTAATGTGTCCTACCAAGCTAACCAATACCCAGCTATCACCAGATCCCCCCACCTCCGCCTCCGCCTGGTGCCAAGACAGACGGTGATGCCGACAGTGCGCACACTCCGGTGGAGCTGGTTACAGTACCTGCACTCGGTCCAGAATGGCAGCTATCTGAGATGAAAAACATGACTAAATCGGGTCGACGAGAAATTAAGAGTGAGAAGCGGAAAGAGAAGTGGAAAGCCTGGCATCGTGGGGAGACGGGTTTGTGTGGAAAGTGGTTCACTAAAAGGTTCCTTGCCTTCTTCATATTTATGTGGGCCGCCATGTAAGTCATTCTCGTCTGCTCAAGCACGAAGGTATTGAAAGACTATGTAGCATTGGCTCTATCCTCGCAATCACCATCCCTCGAGTCCCTGGTCTGTCGATCAACAACTCCACACCTCTAGTTGCCGCCACTGGGAGTTATAATGCTTCTATTCCAACTCAATTCTCCCGGTACCCAGCCAATTTCTCATTTCCAGCGTACGCAGATATTCAAGTTGATACCACCGCCAATATTATTCCCCTTACCTTCAACCACATCTCTGCACAAGTATGGGATCCGACCACGAATCTGCAAGTCGGCACGGGTTACTTTGGAAAAGATACACTTCCCGCCAAGGCATATCCCAAGATCCAGATCCCGCTCAACTTCTCGTATGTTGCATCAAATGACACAGATCCTACGTGGAATGAGTGGTATAATGCCTGCAAGAATGCTGGGATTTATGCTAACGGGACAAGGCCAGGTCAGTGGTGTATGTTATGATTGCTTCTGTTTGCTCATCAGAATCACAGGCGTAAATTTCCAGCTCATTCTTACGATGGATATTGCCGGGCTGCCGTCAACGCAGTCCCAATCCACACAGGTGGATGCAGCCCCTTGCCCTATTGAGCTGCCCATCAATGCAGACTGATGGCTATCTACTGGACTCATTTGCGTGTCGCCGCTTGTCTACCTGCTTATTCTGGTTCTCCTGTGTCATGGGACGTTGCACTATCTCCGCTATTACATAGTCTTGAATATCGGACAAGATGACAATCCGTCGTTATTTCACGGTCTGCGCATTCGCCTTACCATAGTCTGTCTTTATTTTGTCTTTTCATTTTAGTATTCGTGGCGTTACTCACCATCACGATGTGCAAACAGATAGTATTGGATTATAATTAATGCTGGCATCGATCAATGATTCTGGTTCTATTTTCTGATTCTCACTTCGAGTTTCGTGGTGGCTTCAGGTTGCCAGCTTATAAGGCAGATCCCAGGGTTTACAACCCTGGATGGTTGAGCACAATCGCTTATCGCAACGCCGCACTATATGTACGCCTCGCACTCAGATTGACGTCGCTTACTTTCCAGAACTGGAGCAGCAGAAGCTTCGATTCTCGATGACGAGACTTACGCACTTGACCTTCTTCCTGCAATAGTCCCCACGTTGCGCCCGGAGCTTGCTCGTTTCCCTGATCGTTTATAAGAGATAAGAAGATGCATGCCGTGGATTTTTTACGCGTAAACCCATTTTCTGCGTCTCGACCAGATGCAGGCGGCGTATTCGGCCAACGATATCATAGCGGCAAGGAGTTTGCAGGTCTACACGGTGCGTTCCCTTGTCAACCCGACAGTCGTTGATAATAATATGCACCGCCGCCAGTACCTATATAGTGCGTATCACTGTCCGAAGTCCTTCCATGTTCTAAACACAGCTCAGCGTCAATGGCTACATTCTGGGTAGGATTGTCCCAATGTATTGCGGTTCCGTTTGATGTTAAACTCTCTTGCTCAGATCTACGATTATGCTTGTTCGTTTCATCAGGAGGTAATTTACTCGTTCAATTTCAATTTCATATTAACAATCTTTTTATAGTGGACGTTCCTGCTTCAGTCACGCTGGTCCAAGGTGAAAGGCCTTTATCTCGTCGCACGATACGTGCCTTTTCTCCTCTTAGCCGGACATTTATATAGTACGTTCGACTCCTAGACTCATGTCATGAGTTGATCTCGTGCTTCAGTGAACTTCATTCCAAATGAGAACTCTGATGTATGTGAACGCGCAGTGGACTTGTTACCCCAACGACGTTGACAGCATGACTTGCCAGAAATGCCAGTTGTTGAACAATATTTGCTCATGTGCGTGCATCGTGCATACATTCAAACACATCCTCGCTGAGCCATACCACTCACAGGTTTCAGCCTGATATCAGTCTTTTGTTCTGAATGTATATCTCCCTTCCCGGCAAAAGCCTCACGATCCTGATCACATCCATACAGGCTTTTTTGTCCTCAGGACATATACGCTCTGGAACAACAACAAAATTGTGCTCGCCACCATGATCACTACCTTCATTGTGAGTCCCATCTTCACTGCACCTCGAACTTGTGTAAGTACATCTGTCAGGCTGTCGTCATATCATCCATAAGCTATGCTTTCGCCACTACTGCTACTGCACCATGTACGTGCTTCTACCTTTGCCTTGGCGTTCTACTACTATTCACATTGCTCTTTCACAGGGACGACCAGCGGGATCCCGGGCATCACAGGATGCTACCAGAGCTCGTCCGTCGTCCAGCTCTTCATACCATTTCTACTCTTAATTGGGCTTGAATTTGGTACGTTACCTGGGATGGGGTGTCTATATGCGCAGACGCGCGCTAACTGACGCTCTGTAGGTCTCTTGTCCCTCACGCTCATACGCGCTATACAGAGCTGGCGGTCGAGCAATAGCCGTATTTACGCCGTCCTGGTGAAGCATAACATATTCTACTATGCATGCGGTCTGTGTGAGTCAGGACATACACAGGTTTTTATGCCATTATCCTGTGCTCATCGACAATGTTCCTCGTTACAAAAGTCTTCTCGGGGGTAAATGTCTTCACGTTGCTGCTCTTCCATGTGCGTGAACCCTCAAATTTCTCCATCACCGAGTCATTGATTATCTATACCCACAGTACGGATATCAAGCCATGTTCGAAGAGTGCGCATTTTTATCTTGCCGTGCACAGACTTACTAATAGCACCCCCAAACTCATGCCTATATGCAGTTTCCAATTCGTCATTCTCACGATCCTTGCCACGCGCATGCACCTCCACCTATGGCATACAGACCGACATGCACATGGCTCTAGCGCCTTCGTGTGCATTCCTATGTCTGACATTTCATCCGCGGGCAGTCCGACGTGACGTTCGGCGTTGTTCAAACGTTCATGGAGTGGCGCTTGAACTGTACGAGGTTAGCAGAACTGAGCTTGGTCAGATCTGGGATCTGTGCGCTTAAAAAAATGCAGTTTCTGTTGTGGGTGGGAGCTGCGATGGACCTGTTTAACATTGGTAGATATCGAACTTCCATTGCTTGCAGTGGTAGATAAATGTATTCAGATCAAGATTTTGGGTGTGCTGAAGTCAGAACTTGAAGCACTCCAAACTCGAGCAATGGAGAGGGCTATGAATGGTTTACACTTGACCTGTGACACAGGCCATCATTCTGAAACGTCGGTATCATTCATTGATGGTATGACTTCAAAATTTGCTAACCTTTAGTACCTAATCCGATTCTTTACGTACTCACCTTCGGCGGGGTGAGTGCAAATTCCGATAGGACTAGCTCTATTCGACCGACACTTGATAAAGGGAGGTCCAAAGGGGGGAAACCGGCCGACTCAAGGCAGTGCAGTGGCTGATTTATATTTGCCAATGATATTGGTTGCATAACACCGCACACCGTTTCAACGTCGTTGAAAGTGAAACTTCGGGGGTTTTCAGCTGGAGATATATAAGCAGGTGCATGTGTGTCCCTTGCGTGCAAGACAAAATTTCTGCCTCTCGACCGAATGGAGACGAAGTACTCATCTGAAGATATCGCAGCGGCGATGAGTTTGCAGATTTACGCAGTGCGTCTCTTTGTTTTCGATACTTTGAAGGGCTAATGATATCACATGTCATCAGCACGTATACAGTGAGTACTTATCTGGATCACTCTTCCTTGTCCTTACACAACTCAGCGTCAATGGCTACACTCTGGGTGGGCTTGTCTTGATGTCTTTCCGTCCGCTGTTAAACTTGCTTGCAGGTTTATGAATACGTTTGTTCACTTCAAGAAGAGGTAACGCTTCGTCATAAGCCTCATTTTTCGTATATATTGATCATCATGTTGTTTAAAGTGGACATTCCTGCTTCAATCGCGGTGGACCAAGGTAAAAGGTCTTTATATCGCTACCCGATTTTTGCCTTTTCTCCTTATAATCGTACATCTATATGGTACGTTCGGCTTCAGCTTCAGCACAGATTGTTCCGGTGATAGCTTAACTTGCCATACTCCAGCGAACTTCATTCCGAACGAGAACCCTGCTGTATGTGAACTCGCGGTAGACTTACTGATTACCATCTGACGTTGCCCTGCAGAAATGTAAGGTCTTGAATAGTATTTGCTCAGGTATGTACACGGTACAGACATTTATGCACATCTTCACTGAGAGTCCTCTTTTCTACCACAGTTCTCGGCCAGATATCAGTCGGTTTCTCCGAATGTATTTCTCCTCCCCCTCAACATGCCCACGTTTTTGATTCAATTCATTCAGTCTTCTTCCTCCTCCGAACATATGCACTCTGGAGACATAATCGATTCGTGCACGTTTTCATACTGACTTTTACCCCCGTGAGTTCAATGTTCTCGTACCTCAAGGCCATTGTAGATGTATTAGTCAGGTTGCCATGATAGCATGTGTCGCCACTGCCTATGCCTCTATTGTTACCGCATCTTGTACGGGCTTTCGCCTCCTAATCCTGCCCACCATTCACATTCTCTCCACTCCCACAGATCAGACCAGCGCAATCCCAGGCATCACTGGTTGTTATAGCAACAGCAACCTCTTCGTATCTTTTCTTCTCTTTTTTATATTTGAACTGGGTTGGTCAATTCGGACATATGTATACACAGATGACCAATGTTTCTTTAGGTCTCATGTTTCTTACGCTCTTACATGCCATACAGAGCTGGCGAATGACCAACGGCCGTCTGTACACCATCCTGATGAAAAGTAACATTTTCTACTATTCATGCAGTCTGTGTAAGTCAAACCACACACATCGTCACTCATTTTTCCATGCTCAAACTTCGATGATTCTGGTTTCGGAAGTATTATCAGCAGTAAACGTCTTTACGTCGCGATATCTCCATGTGCGTAAACCACTCATGCCCTGTATAGCCAAGACACTGATATTCCGCATACCCAGTACCAGTACCACGTCATGTTCCAAGAGTACGCATATCCAAATTTATCTGTGCATTCATACTGATAACACCCCAAACATACAGCTACCAGAGTATCATCCTCGCGATCCTTGCCCTGCGCATGCACCTGCATATTTGGCAGATCGACCAGCAGTCACACAACATAGATGCCATCGCTTGGACTTCTCTGTTCGATGTATGATCTGCGGGCAGTACATGGAAGGGATTAACATAGAATCTTCAGACGTCGGTCTTTAATGAATCAATAGTGAAGTGCATGCGTCAAATGGATGGATACAAAAGAAAATACAAGTGATGTCGGGATAATCGCACAGAAGATGTCGGTGTGTCAAAACGCATATGCAACTGCTCGCGGGGAGGGCAGGGTCGCTGTTGGGAGAATATATTACCCCGCATTCTACTTGAAAGCTAAGTGAAAGGCAGATGAAGACCGTAGCATGGGTGACATTACTAAAGACTCACTAGCGAACCAAGCACGTGTGCTAGCCTTTGTAGCTTCATCGCTTACCTCCATCATGGATAGGTACAATTCAAGGCCTTCTGCATATTTACCTGTCCGAAGGAGTATAATGCACAAATGCATGTTGGCAGATTGCCACAGCGACTTGAGGTCCCAGCCGAAGAGCTGTAAAAATACGGAGTTGAGCAGGAAAAATATTCTCGGCTGCATCGAACAATGTACCATTGTGAATTCATCGTACATAGTATGGATTGGCAGGTTGGCAAAGAACTTGCTCGCCTTCGCAGCGGCAGTGAAAATTTCAACAGCTTCGTTGTAAAACTTGTTATCGAAGGCAATGGTTCCTAGTTGGACTTGCAGATACGCCTGATACACAAAGCGCAGACGAATCAATTACGCACAAACCAGTGCATGATCAAATGAATAATGCTCACCTCCACGACAAGACAGGCAACATGATCTACACTGGGACCGGCAGCTAGCTCTTTGACACGCATCATTGCCGCTTCGTGTTCATTTGCATTGAACAATGCGATAGCCTGAAACCCTTCATGAGGCTTGAAGCGTGATGGATGCAAAACAAATATAACCTGCCTTGATCAAGAAAAGGAGAAGGGTGGTCTTCGAGTCTCCGTTTGCGAACGTGAACGCGAAGTCAAAGGCTGCCCCGGCATCGCGGACATTCTGTTTGCCGCAGAAAGCCATACCTTTGGTGATATATCCTATCAAAGAAGGCTTTATGTTGAGGGACTACATTGAGATGATAGTTAGCATATTTTAAGGAGGTATGATGCGTCATTGTCACCTTGGCCGCATTTTGAAGGGCGCGGTCCCAGTCGAGTTTGCGAGCCATAATGAGTGAGCAATTAGCATAGGAGATGTGGTTGGTGGCATTAGCTTGGATCTCTTGCGTGAGTAGCTCTTCAGCCCTTGACAAGTCTCCCGTAATAAATGCTTCACGGACGGCCGTGGTGACAAGGAGGATCTGCATGAAGTATGCTCGTATTACAATTACATTATACGATCATAGGATGGAAACATGCCTTTGGATCAGTGCCTTGGTCTTCAGGGCCTCTCTGACGATTTTCGAGGCTGTAAATGTGCTGATCCTCGATGGAAACCCGCTCGGTAAGTTCCCAGATCTGATTGTCACCAGCGCCACTTCCCCAAAGCTGAATTTTTGTGTGGTCTGAGGCGGATAGGTCTAGGCTGAAATTCGTGCCATGGACCAATATCCTGCCGAGCAAGAACAAATTTACATCGAGATATATGCGGTATGAGAGACGTGCAAACCTGATGCCTTTAGCGTTCTTGACGTCCGAGTCTTCGATATCCCACTTGAAGGGGTTTGATACAGCAATGACTGCAAGGCCATTTTTGGGGTTGCCTTCGATCCCAAGATATTTTTCAGTGCGGCAAGACTTTATGAACCACCCGGTCTGGTCTCCATCACGCTGGAAGGTCCACTGCGAACCAAGAAGCTAGTCAACACACAGCCTGTCCGCGACGGGATGATAACTTACCGCCTGGTTGGAGCCATCATGGGGGGTAAAACCGATGACTATGTTTATGCAATGTTAGTGATTCCCCTGCAACCTGGAGCAGGGATGATGCTTACTGGAGTGGTTATCATTCCCCGAGAGGTCGATAGCAGTGCCTCCCCGACAATTTTTGAGCCTGTAAGTGTGCTGATCTTTAATGGAAGCTCGCTCGCTGAGTGCCCAAATCTGATTGGCGGCGTGACCCAAATTTTCCCAAAGCTGAATTTTCCTGTGATTTAATTTATCCTTGGATAGGTCTAAGCTGAAATTTGTGCCATAGACCATTATCCTGCCGACAAAAACCAATTTACGATCAGACATGCGCAGTATGAAAGACATGCGCACCTAACGCCTTGAGCGCCATTGACATTTGAGTCTTTGATATCCCACTTGAATGGGTCTGATACAGCGACGACCAGGTTGCCATTTTTGGGTTTGCCTTCTTCAATCCCAAGATATTTTCGGGAGCGGAAAGACTTTATGAACCACCCGTTTTTGTCGCCATCGCGCTGCTGGAAGATCCACTAAGAACCAAGAAGCTAATCAGTAAGACCTGTCCGCAGTGGGATGGAAAGTAAGCGCATTACCGCCTGGTTGGAACTGTCATGGGAGGGAAGACCAATGACTAAGTTAAGAGAATATTAACACTGGCTTTAGATACCCTGAAGCAGGGACGATGTGCTTACTGGAGTAGCTATTGTCATCCGAGAGGTGCACAGCAGCACCTCCCGTATGGCAGCTTTTCAGGGTGTACGTATGTTGGTTCTTGACGCGATCCATCGTAGTGCTTTCTTGCCAGAATGCGGCTGTCGACTTCAAGTGGAACACTGTACTTATACCAAGTACCTGCCCAGGGAATAAGGAAGCTCAAATGTTCAACGCCCAACGCCCAATGCCTACTAATACCCCCAACCTCAGGCTCGTAGCCGAAATGAGTATTGACACGCATCGTTGCATCCTCGTGTTCATCCGAGTCTGGATTGACTTGAATGCAACAGGCTGAAACTCATGATGAAGCTCGAGGCGTGAAGGATGCAAATGAAATTTACATCATGATGCATGATGACCTGCCTTGGAGAAGTTTGCACAAGTTAGATTTCCATCAATCTAGATTTTAGGTCTACTCACCAACTACTCACTACTCCGAACTTACCAATTCAGAGTCGATCTCCATCTGAGGGCTCGGATGATCCGACGGTTCCGATCTATTCAGCGCTAGCCTCAGCTCCAACAAATTCCCACCACCAAAAAGATGTGCAGAACTGTGCTATTTTTTCCACGGCTCGATTGTGGTTTGACTCTCCGTTGCACTCACATCGTTAGATTCGTTACAGTCGAGCTAAAAATTTGAAGCACTTGGACTCTATCGCGGTGAGTATGTTGGCGTACGTGCTCACCATTGGGGCATGTCAATTGTATCCTTATCCTGCTGACAGCAACTACAGTGGTCTACTTGTAACCGGTCCCCGGATGATGCATGACAAATTTAAATCGCTGATCCATCATATATCAGATCTCAGCCTTGAGCGACATCACACGGGGCAAACTAGTAAAATCAATCAGCGGCATCGGGGAGTTGAGGCGCAAGCGCCATTACAAGTTATTTAAAGCTGAGTTGAACAGTCCAGTGTCATTTGTCCCCGTACGATAGGACGTCGACACGTCATCCCAAACCACCTTCCATGCCGCAGCTGGCACCACAAAAATACCAAATCAGATTCAGTGTTACCAGTGATTGACATGATTGTAGCTCTCCGCTCGGTAAGAAGTTCTCGCAACACAGATGGACAGCCAGTATCAACATACTAGTCGTTCATCTCAAATTTCAAATGACATCGTAGCTCCGAACAGTGCCTCAGCATCTCTCATGTCATAGGCCCCTCCGAGACAACCACTGACCAAAGAGATAAAGGATAAAGCCTATGACTGGATAGAAAGATTTGAAAGAACCGTATTACAAAGAGCGGATGCCAAAGGTGTGGGCTGTGTCTCTGGGGTTATCTAAGCACACTTAGGTCAGTTGGTCTAAAATAGCGTGTGCTCAACTAGCCCGCATCATTCGCAATGCATATACTACCTGAAGAAGTATGACGTTTGACGAGGGGAGGAAACAAACAGGAACAAGGCTTTCTGAAGGAAAACTAGAATGGAGTCATGGTGGCGAGGACAGTTAAGATTCGTGATAGGTATCGGCGAGGTTTTCACTGAGGAGCGGTTCAGAGGCGCAGGAGGGTAAGGCAGCGACCCTGATGCCTATGATGCTATACTTAGTGAAATGATGAGATGCCATAATTGTCATAGGCCTCTGCTCAAATCGGTGTGTCAGTGGGGAGCAGGGGTTCAGGTTGACTGGATAGCAAAAAACATTTCATCTCAGTCAATGAAGCCCATAGTGCTGATACTAGTGCACTGGCCAATGGATAACGTTCTCGTATGCTGAACGGCCATCCTGAAATTAAAAGTTACAATATTTTGTACAAGTTATTATTTATTAATTGTTCGACTTTCACACTTTAAGCTCCGTAGTGCTGCGATCATTGTAACTGAACCTATGTTCCTAATAATGATGTTCACGCCCCCATCTTAATCCGCTCCCGGCTCATATATAAGATAAGAAGCTCACGATGTACATTCTGCAGAACCCTTTTCACATCTCGAACGAATGGTGACAGAGACGGAGTATTCGAACAGCGCTATCGCAGCAGGGAAAAGTCTGCAGCTCCTCGCGGTGCGTCTTTTTCTCGTCAATACGAGGATCGTTGATGATAATTGTACCATCAGTACATCTACAGTACGTTCTGTCTAAAATCCTTCTCATCTGTCCTAATACTACAGCTCAGCGTCGATGGCTACATTCTGGGTGGGCCCTTTTCAATGCATTCTTGTCCGTTGTTAAACTCGTTCGTGCAGGCATACGAATATATTTGTTCACTGCAACAAGAGGTAATGCACTTGCTCATAACAAGTGTCGATTTTTTGTTGTTACTGATACTCTGCTCAAAGTGGACGTTCCTGCATCGATCGCGTTGGACCAAGGTAAAAGTTCTCTATATCCTTACACGATATGTTCCATTTCTACTCCTCATCACGAATCTATATAGTGCGTTTCACCTCCCGAAAACACATCTCCCAGATGATGAATTGACATGTTGTGCTTCAGCGTGCTTCGTCCCAGATGATAATCCAAGTGTATGTGAACTTGCAGTGCTGACCAGACGAATGATGCTCACCGCACGATGTCGCCAGAAATGTCGGACATGGGTCAACATCGGCTCAGGTACGTACATCTTACATGGCCGTATGCACACATCCTGATCGAGAGCTATCTTCCAGGTTTTAGCATAATATTAGGCATTTGCTCCCAAAGTACATCTCCTTCCCGCAATATATACGTCTTCCTCATCCGATTTATCAGGCTTTTTCATCCTCCGAACGTGCGCGCTATGGAACAACAATAGAATCGTGGTCGTATCCATGCTGTTAGTATCTATCGTGAGTCCTCACGTGTTCACCACACCTAAGCTGGCGATAGATTCATCAGTCAGGCTTTTGTCGTAACATCCATCAGCATTTCCTTTGCTGCTAGTGCCACAGCACCATGTACGCGCTTTCATAGACACCTTGCTTATCATTACCATTCACTCCACTTTCACAGTTGCAACCAGCCATATTCCGGGCATCGCAGGCTGCTACCAGGTTATGAGCAATATCCAGCTCTTCATACCGTTTCTCCTTTACTTTGCGCTTGCACTGGGTAGGAAACTAAAAGCATGTTCAAATCCAAATCGGCGCTGACAGATACTCTCCCCAGGACTCATGGCCCTCACGCTCATACGCGCCATAAAGAGCTGGCGGACGACCAATGGCCGTTTGTATGTTGTCTTGCTGAAGCACAACATATCCTACTATGCATGTGGTCTTTGTGAGTCAAAGAGCACGCACGCCGAGCTGTATTTTCGTGCTCATCCAAAATCACTCTCGTTCCTACAGTGTTCTCGGTGACGAACATCGTCACATCGCTGCTCCTCCATGTGCGTAAATCCCTCACATGCCTTGATGATCGAGCTGTTAACATGGTTATGCATATCCAGTACGCATACCACGCCATGTTGCATGAGTACGTACTACCACATTCTAACTAGACATGCCCGAAACTTACACACATGTAGCCTCCAGTTTATCGTTCTTGCGATCCTCGCCACAAGCATGCACCGCCATCTCTGGCAAATGGACCTGCATACACACGTGTCTGACGCCAATGTGCGTTTTCTTTTGTCCGAATTTTCAACCCCAGACCGTATGGCGGAATATCTTGTTCCATGGGGCGAAGTTTGAGCTGCACGATGACTGGTGGGGGTCAACTAGATCGGTTCCGGGATACGTTCAACTTATAGGAATATATTTTCTGTCTTGGAATGTATTTGGGCGGCCTAGGTATTTTTGATACCGATAGGTGTCAGGCTTCCTCTGCAAGCAATGGCGGATCAGTAGATACCGATCAGTGCTAGCATTTGATTGTACTAGTATTAATCAGAAGTAGGGACTGACGACGACGAGAATCGATACATTGGATATGAGCCCTTGCGATAAGTAGTGCTCTCATCAAACATGGCAGTAAGTATTAGAGTTTGCACATCCAAAAAGCTGTGACCTGCACAGATCAGTCTTTAGGGTTCACTAGCTTGGTAGGGCAGAGCTCAACGTTGCAACTGCCTCCGACAGGTCACGTAACATTCACGATCCATTTTTGCCTTTCAAACGAATAGTCTCTGATGTGGCAGTTTCTGCTGATGCGCGTTGCTACTAACAACCTCGCTCATGTCACATACAGTTTCCAGTTCGTCATCCTGGCGATACCGTGACTACTCGCTACGCGCACTGGCGTGCATATCCATCTCTGGAATTTGGACCGGCACATACATGTCCCCGGGCCTTCTTTTTGTTAGACATGCCCGCAACAGACCGTACTGCGTGACCTCTTGTCGCGATTCGCCCGGCTCATTCGGTGTTGTTTGTGGAGGAGATTTCAAGCTGGCGATGTCACTTTGGATGTATTCTAGAGACCTGGTTAGGGCGCGTGGGCCAGATTCGGGATCCACGCGCTTGAATAGAGGTTCTGCTGCGGATCGATCGATCATGGGCGGGAGGTATTGGGGAAGTGCGTTCGGATTGAGGTTTTAACATCGACAGGTACTAAGACGTGAATCGAGCACAATCAGTCTGAATGTGCTGGAGTATGACCTGCGAGTAAGCCCGACGGCAACGAGTATTCAGTACTCAGTGTTAATCATGATCATGATGTAAGTAACTTTTATTTGAGTACAATCACGTACCACTGTGCATCAGGTAAACTTTCGGCGCTTCATTCCAATTGACGGATGCAGTTGACCCGAATCCGGTAGCACTTTCACTTCCTGTTGCTCCTAGGCCTAAGTAGTACCTGAGACAACGAATCTCATAATTAGCCCTATATAAAGGAAGCTGTTCAAATCTGGCGCCTTCATTTGCTCGTCTGCTTGCGATACTACCATTTACCCATGCCTCCCCATGATCTTCCGCCCCCACCATCTTGGATAATCCCCAATTTCGTGTTGAGGGTGGAAGACTTATCACATCCTGGGGCATCAATCTTCTTCGATTGCGTCAAGCCCAAGGAAGCACTCAAGCTCGCAGTTGAAGCATCTTATACCTGGCTATATACCCCGCTCACGGCTCCAACACAGTGAGTACTACGCGTTTTCAATTCACTATAAACATGTTGCGAATCACCTGTATTCCCAGCGTCAAGACTATTACACTCGTTCTCAGACCATTCGATGGCGTGGCGTACACTTGTGGCACGCATGAGATGAAAGAGATTAATTTCTCCCTCGATTGGATCAAATCATCAGAGGCTCGGGCACAAGATGAAATACTAGGCGTGCTGGTTCACGAGGTCGTGCATTGCTATCAGTACAATGGAAACGATACATGTCCGGGGGGTCTTATCGAGGGTGTTGCAGGTGTGCATGTTTTGACACTATCCTTTGAATTTTGTCTTCAGAACTACTCGTAGATTTTGTGAGGTTGCATGCTGGTCTTGCACCACCACACTGGAGGCGTAGAGCTGAGGGGAAGTGGGACGCAGGGTACGATGCTACGGCATACTTCCTCGACTGGATTGAGGAGCGCTGTGGCGAGGGGACTATCCGAAAACTTAATGGATCCATGAAGGATTCGATATACAGAGTGGAACTCTTTGAGAAGGTGACTGGAGAGAGCGTGAGCTCCCTGTATGCACTGTATTGTGAACACTTGAAACAGACGGGGTAAGGTATCTCATGCATGAACGTTTGAAGTTTTGAACCTTGATATATCGATACAGCTTGATATATGAGACTAGTAGAAAATATTTCCGTAGAAGCTACGGAGAAGTCGTAACATATAATGAAATGCACCATGATCTGTTGTACAAGAAACACGACACAACAATATGCCCAAAATACGGCTAACCTTCAATCTCTCTATCAACATGACATGGATGAAGACACCGTATTGCAATCAACACGCTTGAAGGATCTGGGGAGCAAAACCGTTCTAAAAAAATTGGAATTGAATCAGGATTTGTCACGTGTTTTCCGGTAAGCACCGAAAATAATTACAGACAAGTAAGGCCCCTATTTCCTCTTTCTTTACTCCTACTTTCATTCACTCAGCTGAAGAACACGAAAGTATCATCACAAGACCGACACACTTTTCCCTTAGCGATTCGCACTTCTCATGCATTACTCTGAGTCACACATACACCAGCTGCCAGTGGAACTTTTACAGCACATATTTTCACTCATCGTCAATGACATTTCAGACTGTCCTAGTATTTTCAAATTGAGCAATCGCCGTATCTCTGGGAATTTTTCCAGCCCTCCCCTAGTCTTCACCCGGGTGTGCCGCCTTTGGCGAGTCACAGCACACTCAACACCGGACCTTTGGTCCCGCATCCAGGTTACGCTTCCCGGTGGAGACGAATCATTGGAGCCATTTCTTCCATGTCTGCTTCAATATTGGCTCGCCTGTTCTGGTGGTCAGCCTCTCACCCTTCGCATCAATCGGGTCACTTTAGTCTGGGATTTCTTCATATTTAATGCCAGTTGCGGATCCGTACAAAGTTACAGGTCACTTTCACACGCAGATCATCGACTTCTCGAGATTCTTCAAGCCGAGAGCAGGCGGTGGGAAACGGTTGTTGGTGTGTTACTCGGAGACGAATGGCTCAATTCCAAGTTAGATACGCCACGACTGGGAACTCTGGAATGTAGCTGGTCAGGTCTTGACAGATTCAATGCACCAAATCTCCGTCAGCTACGCATCCCCAAGGGCATCGAGGACATTGCTACCAGCCGTATTCTTACTTGCAAAAATTTACGACATCTTCGTGTCCAATACACTTCCTCCCAGATCATCCGTTTTATTTCCGTCATTTTCCCTCTTCTGCAGACAATTGCGGTGGCGGTCGTAACTGGTGATCATGATAACGCTACAAGCCACTCGGTCACGTATTCTTGTCTCGAATCATTAACTCTGCCCCTGCCCTCGGATGATGATGATTCGGACTGGCTTACCGAAGTATTCGGCGGCCTTCATCTTCCTGTATTGCGGAAATTAAATCTGGTGGGATACCCATGCAAATTGAAGATTGATCGCACTATGGCTGCGTTGGCAGTCATCGCAACTTGCAAATTGGAAGTGATAGACTTTCAGACGATCGCGCTGCAGGAAGAAATCAATGTGGATGTTGTTGAGCCGTTGCTCTCAGTTGCGAAGGAGATTTCGGTCGGATCGGTGTTATTCCGATGTCGCTCCCCGCGCAATTAGCCAACAGACCATACACGCCCTACTGTGTTGAAACATCTTGGGGATGGCAACAATCTTCTTGTGGGTGAGTGGTGGATTATTGTGCGTGCATAACGTAGTTCATGGCGAGTCTAGGATAAAAAGATACTCCAGTCCATCCAGGTTTTTGGCATGTATCGGTACAAGGACGCCCTTTCGGTTGGCTACAAGAAAAAAGGGCATTGACAACAGTTGGGGTAACTCTTACTATATATTACACCCCGAGAAATGCTCTAAGATCAATGGAGACTCCGGGAACACAGCGAATTTAGTTATTAGCTTTCCTTCTAGCTTCGTCGTCGTTTATTAGCAACTCGGGAGCGCCACAGATGCGCTTTATAGCTTTCCAAGGAGTTCCTGGTGATACTTCTTGACTTCTTCCATGACGTCAGACTTCGCGGGCCATCCGATAACGAGCCCCTCCTCGTCTGACGCATCAGGTTTGGGAATAACATGGAAGTGTACGTGGTCGACGACCTAGACGTGTAAACCAGTGTCAGTCGATACTGTCTAAGCCCAATAAAGAAGGCGTAGACAAACCTGGTGTGCGATGCGGCCGTTATTCTTAGTGGTGGGGTCAGCTCTGCAGGTTAAACGGCAGGGTATGGGGAGAGGGGACGATAATTGTATATGGGAACGCGCCTGGAGGATGTTGTAGTTTTCAAGCCCTTGTGCAGCGGCGATCTTCTTCGCGATGGGCAGCACGTCCGTAAGGTATTCATCTGGGAGCTCGTGAAGCTTTGCCGCGTGGTCTATTATGCACATTAGCGCCTTCACTCGTGAAATAATCCTTTCCGATCACGGCTGACGCACCTTTAGGGATGATCAGAGCATGACCCTTGGAGAGGGGGCCAATATCAAGGAATGAGTAACTGATCTTTGGTAAATAGGTGCCAATGATTTGACGAAAGAAAAAGGACGAACGAAGTTTCTGTCTCGAGGAGCTTGAAGCTTGGGATCTCGCCTAGAACACAATAGCGCCGTGATAAGGTGGTGTAGTTGAATGACGAGAAGAAGTCAACACACCCTTGATGATCTTGCAAAATATGCAGGTGCTGAGTGATCTAGAGGATGTTTGTTACACTCCAAAAGTATAATGGAAGGGAAGAATCTGACCGTGCTGCTGCCGCCATAGTGGTTTGAGTTGAGGCAAATAGCGAAGGCTCTGTTACGGATGCCAGGTGGCGTGACGCGCCTTGATCTCACACGTGACCAGGCTGACAAAGTACGCGTCTTTCGGGAATCGGCTTGGTTAATTCTCCTGTTCGCTTCACAACTTCTACTAGTACAGGCTGCGCAATTCAAGCACCCATAGCATCGTGGTCCCGCAAACCTGCATCCTTGCGTTTCTCTATTCGCTCAATGCAGTTCTGTGATTGTGATAATCTATTTTTTCTCCCAACACTTTTATTGAACGTCTGTCTACTTTGCGACCTTGGTTCTTAACATCCCACACGAGCTTTTCTTCTGCTTCGTATCCCTACTGGCTAACTCGTAATCTCAGTACCCTGATCACATTTTCCGAGTCTTCGTCTAATCACTAATTTCATATCTCTTTCAGATCCACATGCCCATACTCATAGAAACGTGTCGAGGCAGACTATTCAATCTCTACACGTTTACCGTTCGTCGGCGCACGTGTTTGAGAGAGAGCAATGGGAGGCACTGGAAAAGTGTCTTGGTGCGTGGAAGGCGGGCCTAGCGAGCGTGCTGGGGGTTGTTACTAGTGCACAAAAGCGCGGTAATGGTTCCGCTGTAGGTGAACTCGTGCAGCAGGTCACGCAGACAGGTGGGAGCGCTCAGGTCGATGCCGTGTAGCCTACATCGGGGCTCTTCCGTTCAATGAATCAAGGTCATGGTTGTTGGCTGCAATTTGTGGGAACGCTGGGGAAGTTCGTTGTCGTTCATTTGAACATGACTTCGGTTTTGATATCGGACGTCCAAAACTCTCTGCTTGTTAAGATGAGAAGACACTATCAACGCCCGGGGATGTTCATTATAGCAATGTTGCGCAGCCAACATCAAGCGACTCATGTATACATATATCCCTGCTCCCGTTGGCAGTCATGCAACCACTTGACACTACTGGGCCGGCTGGTGGTGATTTGCTTGGGAGTGCTGCTACGTACTATGCAGCGCAGTTCCTGTCAGTCATGCAATCACTTGTCACTGATAGTGCTTTGCTTGGGAGTGCTGCTACGGGCTATGCACAGCCTACAGGTTCGATATGTGTATGTACCTGCTTAAGCAAATTCCACTTGCTGACGATACGGTATATGACAGACTAATGTACATCCAACTGTTGCCTCAAAATTTGAACCGGATCAAGGTAAGTACTTGATCCGGTGGTAACACAGCCATTGACATGCGGTGTCAGCGGCCCGCAAGGCGCCTGCAACTACAGCGTGCAAAGCTCACCCAAATAGCAGGCCTCTTCATCACTTTCGCCCCATATCTCTCCTTCCTCTCAATTGCTGACTTTGCACATTATTTCATTGTTCAGTGTCTGTACAACGCAACATCCTTGTCATGCCACAGGAAGAAGCTGAGTCAAGCATGTCAACGAGATGAGGAGAAGCGCCATTGCACTCATCGACATATCGGACGAGTGCGAAATATCTACCACCATATGGTGCACAGGACCGCCAGGATGCACTTTGGGAAGGTGAGCAGCTACCTTGTGATACCTACCCGCTGACTCAAATTGGAATCAGGCGGGAATGAAGCGCTTCCTCCTGCGTGGCAACAGTTTAAGACGTCGTCGGATGGTGAAACACTATATCAAGATGACACGCTCGTGATATTCTCGAGGAACCGACCTTTACCAGGAGTGCGACTAGGTGAGGGATCAAATTGCGACAAGGAGCGACGAACTCACGTTGAACATAGATAATCCTGGAGATCTTGCCGTTCTTGGATGGGAATGGCACATCTCGCCACTTGGTCAGTCCTACTTTGTCAACCACAATACTCGGACCACGTCGTGGAAGAAACCAAAGCCAGAACGTCCGGCAGGAAGCTTGATGCCAGAGTGCATCATCGAGGGTCACTCTCAATGCATGTGGAACCTTGCCTGCTTGAGTAACAGTGGCAATATAATGAGCGCGTTTGACGATAGTTCGATTCGTCAGTGGAAAAGATATGGAAAGCCTGTGGGAAAACCTTTGAATAGTGATGGGGGAGGGATAGGTCCAATGGCAGTATCCCCAGATGAAACAATGGTCATTTGTGGAAGCGCAGATGGCAGACTTCAGTCGTGGAATATAAAGGAGGGCAGCATGATCGGCGACCCATGGGAGGATGATTCAGTGCACGTGAGGTGCCTTGATTGGTATCGCAATTCCCTGGAGATAGCAAGTGGATCACATGATGGCACCATACGACGTTGGAATCCAAATACTGGTCGACAAATGGCACCGCCCATAGAGACCAGTCACGGATGGGTTAATGCCGTCAAATACTCTCCACAAGGCGACAAATTCATGAGCGGCGGGAAGGGTCCGATCTGCATATGGTCAAGGGACGGCAAGCTGCTTATCGAGATCAAAGGACATGACAGTACAGTGATGTCATTGTGTTGGTCGAAGGACGGCGCACACATCTTTTCTGCCTCGGATGATAACACCATCCGAAAATGGCGGGCGATTGATGGACAGGAACTCGTTGTTCTTCGGGGTCACACCCGCACCGTCAGATCCCTCTGTCTTACTCCCAATGAAAGGTATATTGTTAGCGGATCGTATGACTGCTCCATTCGCATCTGGGATCTCGAGACCAATCAGGCTGTCGGAGATCCACTCTTGCATGATGACCAACTCTTGGCTCTTACCATGTCCCGCGATGGAAAATACATTGCCAGCGGTGGACTAGACAAAAAAAAATATGTATGGAGTCTAGAGGCGGCGCTCAAAAATGTTGTGGTATGTATGCGTTTTGTTGTCTAATTTCCCTTCCTAACGGTTTTGGCCATCTAGGGCGCAGATGATGGCGATGTAAAGCTCGAGGCAAGTCATCTATGCCTCTCTTTCACACTACATCTCACTTTTCACTAGGGACGTCCAACCCAACCGAGAGTTGTGCACCCACCAATCGTGAGAAACCCCGCCTTTCCCATATATCTCGTCAGACCTTTGACCCCGTCTTGCGTCTAATCAGCAGGCCAAAAGAACAGGACCGGTAAGATATGTTAGTGCATTTTCTTGTTCTTGACCTTCTCGCCTGACACCAAGATACAGGGCAATGATTTCTTTGGCAACGAATCAGACCACACGTCTCGTCATGCAGCTCCTCCCGCAAGCCTATCGTCCCTCATTCGTTGGCGTCGTTTGCTCAGTTCCATACATTTCGGCACACGACCTGCAAATGCATCTCAACCAATCGAACGACAGTCCCGACACTGGAATTTCAACTTCAAGTTGTTTTCTGGAGGACATTCCACACGCACCGTCGACGTACCTCTTGCTCAAGATGAAAATGTGAGTGACTCGTCGTCCCTCCAATTTTGTTCCATTACAGTACACTGCAGAGATATGGCATTATCCCTGAAACTGATGCGGAAGCGGCTGCAGCTATGCAACGTGCGAACAGCGACCAGGTCGACAGTGCAACGCTATCAGATCAACCAGCAGGGGCACAAGCATCTCAAGCACGGCCAACAGAAACACATCAGTCAACCGGTGTGAGGGGAGAATTTTCCTACGAAGTTACCTGTTGCTGCTGCGGATGTTACTTTGGTCGTCCTCCCACTTCGCGTCAGTCATAAAATCATCTAGACACCCTGTGACTTGACTGTCTCTTACGCATCATGTATCTTACATATAGCTCGCTCCGTCCCATGTACAGGCGCACAAAATTGATATATTTCTACGCGTGATCGAAGCGAGCATGAAGTTGTACCAATCTGAGTGTACCAGTGTAATGACCCACCCGCTAGAACATCCGAACGGCACAGGAGATCGAATACAAACAGGATCAGAGTGTGCAAAAAGGATAAGTACTGAATGACGATATACCATAATTATGCATGGATGACTGTGTGATCAAGCGCAATTTGTCGTAGTATACATGATCATGTGCAGCAGCTGAAACCACTTGTCAAATAGATCAAGTGCTCCACCCGCCCCGCGACAGACTCATCCTGTAAATTAAACACGTAGCGAACTCTACCAAACCCACCCCCACCAGTCATCTTGTACGGTCCAAGCCTCGCTCCATGAACGACACTGGATAAACCACATGATGAGACATCACGCCGTGACATTCACAAATGATATATCGGACAATGGAATATGAACCAGGCCACTAGAGCCGCGTACTAGATGTTGGTTTGTCTGCCAGAGATGGATGTGCATGCGCACGGCAACAATCGCAAGGGTCAGGAACTGGAAACTGCACGTGGGTGTACATTTCGAGTGTGATTAGTAGGAATGCGCAGTAGGATGCGGAGGTGCATACCCATTCAAAACAGTCCGATAGGTGTCCTAGGGCGCAGAACATCAACGGCTCATCATAGAAGACCTTTAGAATATTCACGTACCTGGAGGAGCAGCGATGTAAAGATGTTCATTACCGAGAATACTTCAGAAAACAGAATGACCATGGATGAGCACAGAAAAATAGCGCGTACGAGTGTTAACTCACGGAAAGCGCAAGCATAATAGAATATGTTATGGTTCATCAGGACAACGTACAGACGGCTTGAGTTTCTCCGCCAGCTCTGTATGGCGCGTATGAGCGTGAGGATCATTAGTCCTATGGAGAACACCTGTTAGCGCGTGTTTGTACACATACATGCTCCTGGTTACCCAGTTCGAACACAGAAAAGAGAAGAAATGGGATAAAAATCTGGTCACTGGTTGAACTCTGGTAGCACCCTGTGATGCCCGGGATCGGGCTAGTCGTATCTGTGAATGTGAACAGAATGTTTCAGTCGTCATGGAATACCAGAGGGAAGATGAGAGTGCATACATGCTGCGGAGACGGTAGTGTCGACGGTAATGCTGACGGATGCTGCGAGAAACGACTGGCTGATGGATTTACCACTAGCTTGTATGGTGAGTGGATTGGAAACTCACGAAAAAGGTGCCCAGGATGGCTGCGAGCAAGATTCTATTTCTGTTCCAGAGCGCATATGTTCTGAGGATGAAAAAACCTGAATCGGATCAGCGACATGCATATCCTAGGGAGGAAGGAGAGATACACTCGGAGCAAACGGCTAATAGCATGCCGAACCCTTCGAGAGAAAGTGAGCTGCCCTCAGCAAGGCTGTACATAGATGAGTGTACCATGCACGTACCTGAGCTAATATTGGCCAACATCCCGCATTTCTGGCGAAGTCATGGAGTAAGTCGTTCGTTCTCATTAACTCTCTACCTCATCACATACAGCTGGGTTCTCATTCGAGGTAAAGCTCACTGAAAAACAAGTGTTAATCGATCAATCAGGACGATGTGTGCTGGAGCGGAACGCACTATATAGATCTGTGATGAGAAGGATAAAGGGAAGGTATCTTGTAACAATATACAAGCTTTTCATCTTGTTCCATTGCGATCGAAGCAAAAATGACCACTTTGCATGTCATATAAATCTAAGGCGTGTCATGGAAGAAGTGTATTACCTCTTCATGAAGTGAGCATGCATAATCATAGGTCTGGATAAGGGAGTTTGATAGCAGACATGAATATATGAGGATAAGCTTACCCAGAATGCAGCCATCGATGCTGAGCTCAGGTATCAGGACAAATAATATGACTTTCAGACAGTACGCACTATATATGTACTGGTATACATGACTTGTCAGTTATGATTCATACTCGTATCGACAATGAGACATACCGTAGCGAACTGCAAACTCCTTGCTGCTGTGACATCGTCAGTCGAATACTCCATTTAGAGGTCAAAAAATGTCTATCATGGGGCCTTCTTAGCTACTGAGTAGCGCTGAGCTGCCAGTGCAAGCGCATCACGGTGGCAGTGCAAATTAGCTGGAGTTTAAATTTAGTTTACTGGAAGCATTTTATCATTCTCTGATGTACCGGCCGGAGAGTGACTTGACAAAAGATACAGTTGCACCATCGACGCCTGAGGCAGTAGTATCGTAATAGTCATACTCTAATCCGAGGCACATAAGTTATTAATTTGGTCTTTGGTCAACATACATAATAATCAATCCAGAACGGACCTATTAGTATCAGTACTTACCTCGGTGGTCGTTTTTCGTTTTGAAGTCATCAACCCCTTTGGATGACGAACATATCGTGGCTAGAAACTTTGGCCTTTACCTTGATCCAGATCGAACAAACCTTTGTGTATGTGCCAGCTCAAACAAACATCATATAATTCCACTCGCTGACGAGACGGTATCAACTGCCTCAAAATTTGAACCAGACCAAGATAAGAGGCTACTTGATCCGGTGGTAACACAGCCATTGACATGCGGTGTCAAGGCGCCTGCAACTAATACAGCATGCAGAACTAACCCAAATAGATATCTTCATCACTTTCGCCCCATATCTCTCCTTCCTCTCGGTTACTGACTTTGCGCAGTATTTCACTGTCCTGTCTGTCTGTACAACGCGACATCCTCGTCATGCCACACGAAGAAGCCGAGTCAAGCATGTCAACGAGACGAGAAGAAGCGCCATTGCACTCATCGATATATCGGACAAGCGCGAAATATTTACCACTATATGGTGCACAGCACCGCCAGGATGCACTCTGGGAAGGTGATCAACTACCTTGTGATACCTACTAGCTTACTCAATTAGAATCAGGCGGGAATGAAGCGCTTCCTCCGATGTGGCAACAGTATAAGACCTCGTCGGATGGTGAAACACTATATCAAGATGACACGCTCGTGTTGACCTCGTCAAACCTACCTTTACCAGGAGTGCGACTAGGTGAGGGATGAAATTGTGACAACTCACAAGGAGCGACGAACTCACCGTTGAACATAGACTATCCTGGAGATCTCGTTGTTCCTGGATGCGAATGGCACATCTCACCACTCGGTCGGTCCTACTTCGTCAACCACAATACTCGGACCACGTCATGGAAGAAACCAAAGCCAGAACGTCCGGCAGGAAGCTTGATGCCGGAGCGCGTCATCGAGGGTCACTCTCGATGCATATGGGGCCTTGCCTACTTGTGTAACAGTGGCAATATAATGAGTGCGTCTGACGATAGTTCGATTTGTCAGTGGAAAAGAGACGGAGAGCCAGTGGGAAAACCTTTGAATAGCGATGGGGGAGGGATATTTTCGATGGTAGTATCCCCAGATGAAACAATGGTCGTTTGTGAGAGTGAAGACGGCAGACTGCGGCTTTGGAATATAAAAGAGGGCAGCATGATTGGCGACCCGTGGGAGGGGCATAATACTCAAGTGAGGTGCCTTGATTGGTCTCGCAATTCCCTGGAGATAGCAAGTGGATCAGAAGACGGCACCATACAACGCTGGAACCCAAATACTGGTCGACAAATAGCACCACCCATAGAGACCAGTCACGGATGGGTTGAAGCCGTGAAATACTCCCCAAAAGGCGACAAATTCACGAGCGGTGGGAACGGTCCAATCTGCATATGGTCGATGGATGGCAAGCTGCTTATCGAGATCAAAGGACACGACGATACGGTGATGTCATTGTGTTGGTCCAAGGACGGCGCATACATCTTTTCTGCCTCAGTTGATACCACCATCCGAAAATGGCGGGCGATTGATGGACAGGAACTCGTCGTTTTTTTGGGTCACACCTACGCCGTCCAATCCCTCTGCCTTACTCCCAATGAAAGGTATATTGTTAGTGGATCAGCTGACTACTCCGTTCGCATCTGGGATCTCAAGAACAATCAGGCAGTCGGAGATCCACTCTGGCATGATGACGAACTCAGGGTTGTTGCTATGTCCCCCGATGGAAAATACATTGCCAGTGCCGGACTAGACAACAAAATATATGTATGGAGCCTGGAGGCAGCGCTCAAGGTCGTGGTACGTATGCACTTTGTTGTCTAATTTCTCTCCTAAATGTTTTGGCCATCTAGGGCGCAGATGATGGCAATTCAAAGCTCAACGCAAGTAGTTTCCGCTTCTCTTTCACAATACATCTCATTTTTTACTAGGAACGTCCAGCCCGACCGAGAGCTGTGCGTCCACCAATTGTGAGTAACCCCACCTTTTTTCATGTCTCGTCAGACCTTTGACTTCCGTCTTGCGTCTAATTAGCAGGCCAAAAAAACAGGACTGGCAAGATATGTCAGTGTACTTTCTTTTTCTTCGCCTTTCTCGCCTGACACCAAGATACAGGGCAATAATTTCTTTGGCGACGAATCAGATTACGCGTCTCGTCATGCAGCTCCGCCCACAAGCCCATCGTCCCTTATTCGTTGGCGTCATTTGCTCAGTTCCATGCATTTCGGCGCACGACCTCTAAATGCATCCCAACTAATAGAACGACAGTCCCGACACTGGAATTTCAACTTCAAGTTGTTTTCCGGGGGACATTCCACGCGCACCGTCGATGTACCTCTTGCTCAAGATGAAGATGTGAGTGACTCGTTGTCCCTCCAATTTTGTTCCATTAAAATACAATGCAGAGATATGGCATTGTCCATGAAACCGATGCGGAAGCGGCTGCAGCCATGCAACGTACGAACAACAAGCAGGCCGACAGTGCAACGCAATCAGGTCAACCAGCTGGGACACAAGCGTCACAAGCACAACCAATCCAAACAGAAGCACAAGGCTCAACTGGCGGAGCAGAAGACTTCGTGTATTCAGGAGTGAGCTGCTGCGGAATTTTCTGTGGTCTCCGTCGTCCTGCTTCGCATCAGTCATGAAGGATGCAAGACATGTGGCACGCGCACACTCAGTTCAACTCTCTTTCCCCCGCACCTGTGCCTAATCACTCTCATAATCAATATTCGCCACCATAACTATCACCCACACACTCGGAATTATTTCTCCTCGTGCATTTCCTTTCCCTTGCGCTACTTTCCCTGGATCCACGCGATGTGTTAGCAACATCGCCGGGGAAGTTGGCCCTGTTTTCTGGAATGCAGCTCTTGGTGATGCAATGGTCTTCTGCGCGGGGAGCTTGACGTTTACTGGAAAGGTGACCTGTTGATACGTCGAAGTTGAATTTCGTGCAGCATCGTACGTACTATTCAAATCGTACACAGATCGTTCGACATGTGTTTGTACAACTTAGATTTCCATCAATTAGCATACTGACTACTCGATTGACGAGCTGATCACTCTTGCTTTCCATACTCTGGGGCTTCGAGCGGAGTTTAAACGTTACTGAATGACGTGTCAATTACCGCCTTAGTGCACTGTATTATATTTTCGGCTCTGACACTCTCCAGAACTAATTGAACTATCTTACACTGCTCAAATGCCCCCAAGGGTGACATACTCCAACTCCAGCCTCACACGGTCTCCGTAGTACTGCTGCACCTGATGGTCTACCACAAATCACAGGTGTGCACTGTGCACATGCTGACAGGGAACGGAGCGGGCGCGTAGGTAGGAAAAGAAGGTGGTGCGTGAAAAGAGTGGATGCAGTAATATGGGCAAACAAAGTGTACCGATAATGTGCATTTTGAGTGGAGGGCGGGCAGGGAGGCAGTCGTGGTGACGAGCAGCACGATCATCAGGGAACTGGATTCAAAGGTAAACCGTATATAATTGGGGAACATCGGCGTTACGGTCAGAGAGAAGAAGTACACGGGAACTTTTCAGAGCAGGAAATCTCTGGGCAATGGGTCGATGCCGCAGGTCTTGCCAACACCATGTCATCTGCAGCTCCCAGTCTATGCTGACATGTCCTCCTCGCTCCAGGCGACTAGAATCGTAACGGCAGATTGACAAGGAACGAAATTAACATTTCACTATTTTAGACATCCTAACCAGCAGATGTAATACTATTGCGAATTATGCATAGACTCGATCGAGGAGTAAGACTTACATGGCCTACATAAGAACCATCCGTACAACCGTCAAATTTGTAATGCTGCTTCGCGTCTGAAAAACGATCCTTTGTGTACTTGGACAGCTTCATTTTAGTTAGTGGTGGCGTTAGTGTACTGAGTTTGGGCAAAGCCGATGCGGGAGCGGGTGGTATCGAACACAGAGTAGAAGCGTTCGAGGAATGTGTAGCCGTTAATGAAGTCAAATCCTTCGCCACTGGGCGTACCAATGTCGTTAACGATGAGATATATGGCGTTGATGCTACCATCAATGTAGGTGTTGAGAGAACGAGGCCAGATTTGGGCGTTAGGGGTGAGAGTGTAGGTTTCCTGTGAAAATGGTAAACAAGGGATGTGAAGGCTAATGGAAATGGCGTACGCTTCCGATATGGAAGTTCAGGTTCTCGAGGGCATTGTACTGGGTGGAAGAAATGAGAAGAAGACCAGTGTCCGGATCCGGATTACCGCCGGTTGCAGACATGTACATCCTGTAAGCATCTATCAAACATTGATTAGACCATGATTACTCGTAGCACTCTAGATACACACCGCTGGCAATGTAAAGAAAGGTGGTTCCACTATCGACGATACCAGCATTGGAGGACAAGATCGTCGTGGAGCCATAGGAAATGCTCTGGTCGATACCCCAATAGTTCGCTGCACGCTCGGTGGTAGTGATAGGACTAAATCAAAAAAAAATTACTATTAGCCTGGATTGATCTAGGAGGTAGCTTACGTGTACGCAATGGGGCCGGCGTGCTTGTTAGCGATAGTCCCTCCGAAGGTGAGCTCTCCATTGGTGACTGGCTCCGAAGTGGTGGGCTCAAAAGAGATACTAAACATCTCACGATGAATAGTGCCTTGGCTATGCAGGTTGTTAGTGACAGTCGGGATCGTCGTTGTCGGTTCATCTACCAGGGTACCCTCTGTCAAGTCTACAGGCCCGATGCCAAGGATACCGTCAACACTGACGAAGCCCCTTGCAATAGAAGCAACACAAATCGACTGATTGGCGATGGTGAGCCCCCTACCGAGAGTGACGGTGTCGGTGTACTCAGTTCCTATAGATAATCATAGGTATTTTCAACAACTTATGGTATTTTCATATGTCGTACCAGAGAAGTAGACACCGGTACCGTAACTGTTCGCCACAGGCTGACCGGTGTTGACGCTGGTTTTGGTCACCACGTACGGAGTGCTGGCACCAACCCATGTGTTCGAACTACCGGTGTCGACAATCAAGTTGTCTTCAATAATACATTAGCAGCCGCATATTTTCTCAGTGTTGAACTTACAGGTTGTGGGGGGGCTGCCAATTTCAGCTGCTATGAGGTATTTATTAGCAACGTCGATAACAGGTGCGCTATGATGGCCGCCGTGCCTCAAGGAGTTGTCCTTAAGGGCGACCACGCGAGCTCTATCTTGCTGCAAGAGGTTAATGGTACCATTGGAGACGTTTAGCCTCCTAGCAATGGGGAGGGTGATGGGGGAATTGCCAACTTCAATGGGCGATGCCGTGATTGACAAAGCCAGGAGAATAATTGTCAACAAGGATGCAGCGGGGAACATGGCTGACTCGAAATTAATGTTATGCCCGGTGGTCTATTATGTATGTGCTAGTGAAGTTCGAACACGAATATTGGGCATCTTGGCCACGTATGGAACGTCCCCTCTCGAAAAAGCGATGACGAGATAGCGGAGGTCCGAGTATCGCAAGAACAGGGATTCGACTTCCTAATAAAACAGCAGTGTACAGAAGTTATTTTCAACCCAACTTGAAGGAGGGCATCTCTGAAATGGCCGGTCTGGGACTCATCGGCAGGTTCATCGGCACCTCAAAGCGGAGTACAAATGTTTGTGTTCGTCTGTGTTGCAACGAAGACATATTAGCGGTTATTGCTAGACAATGAGCGGACAAACAATATACGGCTGGCGAGCAGGAAGAGGTGCGGGCAAGGAAATGGGTGGCAGAGTTGAGACTTTGGCCCAGACGTTGTCCAAGACTGGCCAAATCGATTTCTGACATTCTGACTTGAAGGCGGCAGGAATTTACAGTTCGCTTGTTTTGTACATGGTCCCTTAGTTCATTGACTTACCTCACGTTCATATCCGTAGAGATGCGCGCTCATCAAGAATAACGTCATCGTCAGGTTGGTACAGCATGTGTTGCTGAGAGCAGTTATATCAGGCCTATCAATGATTGAGTTGTTGGATTGACGCCATTTGATGCCATTTGCCAACTCGGCCCGAAACCCATGAAATAGAATGATAGTATGAATAAGATGGAGTAGTGACGAAACTCAAGCACGGCCCGAGTCGATCACAAAGGAAATCAGTGCACACTGCAAACGTTATCTTGTAGCGGCACACACCAGTCTTGAGTTCAAATTCCTATCGGGAATCAATATTAATCAATAGTCAACAGGCATACATGTAATGCATAGTAACCTACGGGTATCGTCTAAGAGCCAAGAAGTCTCAAAATGATTCATGCTATCATGGTCCCACGTACAATTGTGGATACGTCATGTGCGAGCTCCCCATCGTTGAAAGGTCTTGTTTAGGAACTGGAAGTCCACCGGCAAATTGTTGGTTGGTATTCGTTTGGCCTAATAGGTAGTGGACAAGCAGCAACCATTCAGTTTGCACCCCGGAAGACGATGATTACATAAGTAATCGCTTAAGCCCCGGTTTCCGATATCATCACCTGATCCGTACACTCGCTCGATTCTCTGAGCTCTCTACCTTCGTTTTGGAGCTTGTTGTTTCTAGTTCTCACGCACTGGCAGTATTCATTGGATCTTCCTGGACTCTCGTTTAGGAGATCCTATAAACCGCACAGCCTGCGCTCTTGCGAGGCTTAGTGAGGCCAATCAGTGATTTACTGATGCCACCAGCCCATCCTGCACGACTACGTTTACAGTGTACACACTAGAACGGGCATGAACACCAAGGTCAATACTCTATAGCGGGAGGGCACGGCTCCATCTATCGAGGACCGACTACAACAACACAACATAGGAATACCGACTACGAGCCAAGACTCCCGAGGACCTGCACCAGACAACCCTGGTAAATCTGCCATTCCTGCAAATACAACCGTCCGCGGTTGCACCATGAAAGACGAATGTGAGGGAGTGCGAGGTCCCACGCCAGACTACCCTGGTACAACACGCTCCTCACATCGCTACTATACTATATTGCTTGCCCATTTACTTCCTGCACGATCAAGTGCGCAAGTTAGAACTCAATGTGAACTTGAAGCATCACTCGACGAGGATCATTCTGCCTCATCCAGCATCGTCATCTCCTCGTCAGACTCCATTGCCTCCTGATCTCAACAGATGGCTCGTCACAGTTAACTTCTTAACTCCTCGAAGCCGTGCCCGCCAGTATGGACCATGACACCATCCAGCCACCTAAACAACGCTTGAAGAATACTAGTGGCATGCAGCGCAGACTCAAGCAGCTGCTCGTCCGCAATCAGCCTCTCCAAGCATATTAAAGAATACCTTGCGTACGATGCACATTCACCGGAAGAAGGGCGAGTAAGGAGTTGAGGCGAAGAGGAGGCCGCATGTGGAAGTTGGTATTAGAACAGAATGGTTGGGCATCGACTGGGGCTTAAAGGTATGCCAGACGTTAGGACGGTGTAGAGCCATGAGACGAGACTAATCGCCTTCGCGTATATCCTTGAAATAGATAGGCTCTCAATCACATATTGCAATCCTTTGCGGTGCCATTTCAAAAGGATTTTGGTTTGCAAGGGTTAGCAGGATAGCAACACGTCGTGATCAACTTAGCTGGATAAGTTACCAGGGGCACAGTACTGCCGTTTTCGGATGGAAATTAGCTCCTGCTGGCACCTGGTGACACTCACACGACCCCTCGAGGCAGGAACAACCCACCTTATGTGCAATGTTCAGAGCCTTCTTGAGCTGAGAATATGATCTTTGTTGAAAGATGAAGCGGAAAGGTCGGAATCAATCAATTAAAACACCTACACGAAGTGGTAGCACTGAGAACGCAGACAGTACCTGATGTTGAATTGTCGCGAATCCACATTTTTCAGGATGGAGGACGATAATGATGGGAAGAAGGCCTCGTGCATGTTGAGAATGGTTTCACTTACGAGTGGACACGTCAGTTGTGAAAACGGAAGAGGAATACACACGTGTTTTGATAGCGCGTTGAATTACATGCGTTCCCATCGTGGATAATGAATACACGGAAATTCAGTGATTTGGCCGTTATCTGCAGCTCCCAGTCGATAGCTGCCATGTCCCTCCCTCCAGGTGACTAGAACCGTGATGGTAAGTTGACAAGGATCACGAGATTGGCATTTCACCGTTTAAGACATCCTAACCAGCAGATGTGATGCTATTGCACACCCAACCGAGGAATGAACCTCCATAGCCTACTTAAGAAGAGTCCGTACAACCATCAAATCCGTATGCTACTTTGCGCCTGAAACCCAATTTTTTGTGTACTTGGGCAGCTCCATTTCAGTTAGTGGTAGCATCAGTATACGAGGTTTTGGCCAAACCGACGCGGGAGTGGGCGGTATCGTACACAGAGTAGAAGCGCTCGAGGAATGCGTAGCCATTAACGAAGTCAAACCCTTCGCCACTTGGCGTACCAATGTTGGTAACGACGAGATACAAGGCCTTGCTACTGCCACCAAGGGCGGTGTTGAGAGCACGAGGCCAGAGTTGGGCGTTAGGGGTGAGAGTGTAGGTTTCCTGTGCAAATGGTAAACAAGGGATGCGAGGACTGGCAGAAATGGCGTACACTGCCAATATGGAAGTTCAGGTTCTTGAGGGCTTTGTAATGAGCAGAGGAAATTTGGAGAAGACCAGTCGCTGCATCCGGAGTTCCGCCGGTTGCAGACTTGTACTTGTCAAAGGCATCTATCGAACGCTGATTAGACCATGATTACTCGCTGCACTCTAGATACACACCGGTGGCAATAGGAATAAAGGTGGTTCCAGTATCGACGATACCAGCAGTGGAGGACAAGATCGTCGTGGAGCCGTAGGAAATGCTCTGGTCGATACCCCAATAGCCCGATGCGGGGTTGGTCTTAGTGATAGGACTGAAACATAACAATCGCCATCAACCTAGATTGATCTAGGAGCTGAGGTAGCTTACGTGTACGTGATGGGGCCGACGTGCTTGTCAGCGACAGTTCCACCAAAGGTGAGCTCTCCATTGGTGACTTTCGTCGAAGTGGTGGGCTCAAAAGAGATACTAACTAACTCATAATGAATGGTGCCTTGCTTATGCAAGTTGTCAGTGACAGTCGGGATCTTCGTTGACGGTTCATCTTCTAGGGTACCTGCTGTCAAGTCTACAGGCCCGATGCCAAGGATACCGTCAACAGCAGAAAAGCCCGACGAATCAACAGCAACACCAATCGACTGATGGGGGATGGTGAGCCCCTTACCGAGAGTGACGGTGTCAGTGTACTCATTTCCTATAGATAATCATGATTATTTTCAACGACTTATAATATCTTTATATGTCATACCATCGAAGTAGCCAGAACCGTAGCTGACCGACACAGGCTGACGGGTGTTGACGCTGGTTTTGGTCACTGCGTACGGAGTGTTGGCACCAATCCATGTGTTCGAGCTACCGGTGTCGACAATCAAGTTGTCTTCAATAATACATTAGCAGCCGCATATTTTCTCAGTGTTGAACTTACAGGTTGTGGGGGGGCTACCAACTCCAACTGCTATGAGGTATATATTACCAACATTGGTCAAAGGAGTGTTATGGCCGCTGTGCTTCAAGGTGCGGTCCTTGAGGGCAGTGATGCGATCTCTATCCTGCTGCAAGAAGTTAATGGTACCATTGGAAACATTCAACCTCCTGGCAATGGGGAGGGTGATGGGGGAATTGACAACCTCAATGGGCGATGCCGTGATTGACAAAGCCAGGGGGATGATTGTCAACAAGGATGCAGCGGGGAACATGGCTGACTCGAAAGTAATGTCATACCCAGTGGTCTATTATATATGTGCTGGCGAAATTCGAACGCGAATATTGGGCACCTTGGCCACGTATGAAACGTTCCCTCTCGCACAGTGATGACGAGATATTGGCGGTCCGAGGTATCACAAATGCAAGGATTCGACTTGCTGATAAAACAGCAGTGACAAGGTTTGTTTTTTTTAATCCAAGGTGGTATTACAATTCGCTTGTTTACCTATGGTCCATTGGTTCATTAACTTACCTCACGTTCATTTCCGTAGGAATGTTCGGTCATCAAGAATACACCTCAGCAGAACGTCAGCGTCAGGTCGGTGTTGCTGAGGAGAATATTGGTCCCTGGTTGCCCCGGGCCTATGAATGATCGAGTTGTCGAATTGACGTCATTTGGGATCATTTGTCAAGTCGGCCCGAAACCATGACAGTATTAACAAGACGAAGCAGTGACGAAGCTAGCCATTTTATGAAGCACGTTGGGTGGTTACACATGGTCCAATAATTCATTTATGCAAATGGGAAAATTTTGCTGGAGGTTGCATGACTACAGAGTCGGCCCCTCGACGACGAAGGGAATCAGTGCATTGTCCTGTAGCGGCGCACACCAGTCCCAGGTTCCTATCAGGAATCAACAGGCATGACCACCGACAGATATCGTCTAAAGGCCAGGAAGTCTCCAGATGATTCATGGTCTCCAAGAGTTGTCCTGGGAATTGGAAGTCCACTGACAGATTGATTTGTCGACTTTAGTTTGATGAGGTGGTGGACAAGAAGCAAGGTGGACGCGGCAACTTCCTCATACCTAGACCCTTTTAAGTTTTTGGTCTCACGTGACAAGCTGCCATCGTTCTACCAAAAAAAATATCTTTATGACCTTGCTCTGCAAACTTCAAAGCAACGATACACGATTGAAAACCTACTTATCCATGTGGAGTTACGAGCATGAAACTGTGTACTACGAACAAAGACACTTACCACGCTCCTTTGCGTTCCATCCCCCGGCCGTGCTGCTTTGTTCACTACCACTCAAATAGTCTCATGGAGACTATCATTGCAATGGCTGTAGGAAATTTCCGACACCCATATGGAGAAGGAGGAGTTCATGACAAAGTCAATGCAGGGTGCCGCTGTGGCATTACGGCCTGACCGAACAAGGAACGGGAGCGCACTCACGTCAACGTGGTTGCAAAGCCTTCTCACTTACGTTTACTGATGCAGGATTATTCTGAAGAACAATCGCATCTATATATATGCTTCTGGCAGTGCAGCAAGTATATGCACTGCAGTAATACATTAGCTAAGTATGCTTGCGCTTCGCGCCCCGACCGGGACCCAGAACTCTCAGCACCTCAGTAACGTGTCCAACAATGGCGACCAGGTGACTCATGCAAAGCTGCCGATTCTGTCAGTAAATTGAAGTGTATACGAGCTACAAGACAATAATGCAACTCAGCAAGAACACACGCTGAGTGAAAAATACAAGTGAACCGCTGCTAATGCCATGTTTAAAAAAAATTGTTTAGACTCATTACGGAGGCTGTGCCACATCCGCGTCTGAGACCGTCGGCGTACGTATATATGTACTCTCATATTACCAACAATTGAAACGTTCCATCACGACCACGGCACCTTGATGGGTTCACAGCTCATTAATAAGAGCTACAAAGGCGCATGATGTGTGTACGAAACTCATTTTTTCACCTCTAGATGGAGTATTCGACCAACGATATCGCAGCAGCGAGGAGCTTGCAGTTCACTAAGGTGCGTCTCCTTATCGATATAAGGATGAATCATAATTGAAAAGTCATGTACTATCAGTACATATACAGTGCGTACTGTCTGAACCCCATATTATTTGTCCTAACATAGTCCAGCGTCAATGGCTACAGCCTGGGTAGGCTCATTTTAATTCATTCACTTCCGCTGTCAAACCCGCTTATCCACCTGCAGATATACAATTATGCATGTTCACTTGATGAAGAGGTAATATACTTGTTCCATGATAAACCCCGGTTTTGATACCCACAATATGTTGTACAAAGTGGACATTTTTGCTTCGATCGCGTTGGACCAAGATGAAAGGCCTGTATATTGTTACACGATTCCTCCCCTTAATCCTTTTCGCCTCGGGTCTATATAGTGCGTTCCGTTCCAGTACACATCACCCCGATGATGAATTAACACTTTTTCAGGGAACATTACCCCATTGAATGACAATGTAGGTGTATGCGACACGGTTCACGAGAACGCATAACTTATTGCATGACTTCGTCAGGCATGCCGGATTGCGACCAATCTTGAATTAGGTACGTGCATGGTACACCCATGTGTGTACGTCCTTGCTGAAGGCTACCATTTTTCTGTCACAGGTCTTGACCCAGTATCAACCGTTTCCTCCGAATGTATCTCGTTCCCCCGTACTATATGTGTATGTCTGATCGGATTCATCTAGGGGTTTTTATCCTCAGAACATATGTGCTCTGGAATAAGAATAGAATCTTGCTTGCAGCCATGCTGTGTTTCTCTTTCGTGAGTTTCCAATTCACTCACAATACCCAAGCTAGTGGTAGATACGTCAACCAGACTTTTATTGCAACACCCTTCGGCATCGCCTTCGCCACTGCCATCACCGCAGCATGTACTCGCTCTCACTTTCCCTCTGGTGTTCCACGACAACTAAAAAACTCTGTTCACTTTCACAGGTGCGACTGGCTCGATCCCGGGAATCACAGGGTGCTACCAGACTTCGATCGGTTTCTGGAATTTCGTGCCATTTCTTCTCCTTTCTGTATTCCAACTGGGTGGGTAACCAGGAGCATGTATATGTACAAACACGCGCTGACACTATTCTCCCCAGGACTCTTGATACTCACACTCATACGCGCCATACAGGACTGGCGGACAAACACAGGCCATCTGTATGTTGTCCTGGTGAACCATAACATATCCTATTATGCATGCGGTCTTTGTGAGTAAGCACTCGTACGCGTCGTTTTTCCATACTCATCCATGATCATTCCCTTTCCTGAAGTGTTCTCGTTAACGAACATGTTCACATCACTGCTCCTCCATGTGCGTGAATCTAATAAATACCTTTTCTAATCGAGTCATTGATGTTCTGCACCCAGCACTCTTACCGCAGCGCATGGTATCAGTATGCACCTCCACATATTGCTGCGTATTCCTACTGATAATTCCCGAAATGTACACCCATGTATAGGTTCCAGGGCATGATTCTTGCAATCTTAGCCACGCACATGCACCTCCATCTCTGGCAGGTGAATCAACATCTACACGACTCCACTGGCGCCCTCGTTTCAATGTCCGACATCTCATTTGACAATCCCATGGCGTGATGTCGTGTCCTGTGGCTTATTCTGTGTTTTTCATGGGGCGAGGCTTGGACCATACAAGATGATTGGTGGGGGTGGGCTTGATAGAGTTTTGTTACGTGCTTAATTTATAGGCTGAATCTGTCGCGGGGTGCGCAGCGTTGGATGGGTATATGATGGTTCTTAGTCTTTCAATCAGGTGCAGAGACTGAAATTTAAAGGTGTATTTGATCTGTCAATTAAATTGGGAGATTTAGGCTTACTTGGCTGTAGGGAACTGCATGGGTAAACCTGTGGGTATGGGCAGTTGGACCTGTACCTGTACCCGGAAATATACCTGTACCTGAGCTGATAGTACTGGTTGAGCATTTTTTCACAAGCTGAACTGCTGAATGAATCGAGGGTAAATATATCTTATTGTGCGAATAGGACATGAGCATCTTGTCGACGTGATCCATTGCTGGTATCACTGTCGCAAGGTTAGGTGTTGCACACAAGAAGTAAAGTGTGGCATCCTTTAGAATCCAACAAGAGCAAACAATATAACATAAGCATATGCGCCAAAGTGTCAAACAAAGAGTGCAAACCTTTAGTATATCACGCAATTGCTGTAGTATTACCCACTCATTATCCTCCAACTCATACTTCCGTCAACCCAAGTCTCGCCGTTGCGTAACGGTATCTATGGCCTCATGATGTTCAAGTGCGTAGTTCAACATATCAAACATTGAATTCCACCGTGTGGCCACATCATGTGGCATGAGGGTTTGGGGTTCCGACAAGTCCTTGAGGATGGCATACCATGCGTGAAGGATGATAGTAGTCAAATGTATGATCTTGTATGTGAGCTTGCGCACCTGGAGCAATTGTGTTCAATAGTGAGTTTTCTTTTGTTGCATGCACTTACTTTGACAAGTGCTAATTTGACTGGTCTAATCTCTTTGTTTAGTGTGGCCCACTCTTTCTTGTCCAACAACTCAACCTCATCAACAAATCCGTCATCATTATCTACCTTGTCCGTCATCCCTGTGTCCTCTTCCATATCTGTGTTAAGTTCTTCCAGCTCCATGTCAGTACTGTCAGTACTATGCGCCAATGCTTGGTCAGCCTCTTTTTATTCACGTTGAATTCCCAGATCAATGATTTGGCCACCAGGTTCACAGTGTGAAGGAAACACCTAGTGTGAGTGGTTGGTCTGCCGAATTCCAGTACCTTACCGCTTAGTTCATGAATCATGGCATCATTATTGGACACATTATCGCAAGTAATGCTCAGGATCTGTGCAATGTGGTTTTAGTTGCATGTAAGTTTGTTCAATTTTTTTTGGATCAATACCTTTTCTGATATACCGAATTCTTCTAGCACTTTTGCAAACGTCTCCACAAGCTCTTCACTGGTATGGGACTATGAAGCTCTCAGCTCATACATATCTACATAGGTGAGTTTTTTTTACCTTCCCCACTTCAACAACATCTAATGGTATGCTTAGTGGTTCCCCCTTGTGCTCGAAGTGTGCTGAAAATGTGACCAATGCATGATGGTTGGGCGAAGACCAACTATCAGTAGTAAAGTTTATTTTACTGTTGTATTCCTGGTATGTTTTGAATATTCGTTTATTATTATTAATGATAATTACTTACCTGTAACATTGTAGTGACACGCTGTCGAGTTTGCACAAATACTTGTCACACGTCACACAAAACAGTGGAGGGGGAAGGTATGTAATAGTCTGGTCTCCCTGTCTTCAGCAGTGACTGAAATGCGCAGTCCTTGACAATATCGAATGGATGCAGGCTCTCAGACACCCAGTACACTATTTCGGCCCTGAAGGCAGATGTTTCAGTCCAAGACTCAGATAAGACTTTGTTCGTACCTTGTTTCTGCACATGTATGTTGACAGTGTGAGTATGTAACTTTCCCTTTACCCTTACATTTGAATGATGCAGTGATCAATCCATTTTGCAGGAAACTACCAACTATCCTTTGGCACACCTCCTTGGCATCCTTGGCCTCATCCGCAGCTTTCAACACTTCATCACCCCAGCACGAACGCACATGCTTCTGCATGTTACCAGTGGAGCGTGCATCACCTTTGTCAAGGTATCATTGCACTTTGGTCTTGCAATTTCTGGCTTGGCACTTGAAGTTATGGGCACGGCAGCCATCAATTTCGATAATCTCTGGTGTCGGATTGAAAAATGCGTAGACTGGTGAGTTCCAGTCCTTCATTAGACGTGCTGTTTGGTACTCAATTAATGTAATGTTCACATCAAGGTTTCTGCACATACCAAGCTCATCTTCTGCAGTCTCATTGGCTTCCACATCAGCCTGTGATACGGTGCTACTGGTCTCAGTTCTGTCTTCATTCAATGCATTCTCTTCCTCCTCAGTGTGCACCAGGGCACACTGGCTCGAGACTGAGTCTGGACATGGAGACATAGACACTGTCCGTGAAGCTATGACAGAGCTATCTTTGTTGACTGGCTTATCTTCATCTGCAGACCCTGCACTGCCGGTGGGAGTATTACCAGGCAGCAGGTTTTTTTTGCCTTCTTAAGGTGTGTGTTCATGCTATCTCCATCACCATCATTTTTCTGCTTCTTTGATGAAGTTCTGAAACTCTTTTCTTCTAGAGCAGCTTTGGCCTTCCTGGTCATTTTGATAACTCGTTTCGCTGTGGCTGCAAAGGTGAGCTGCATGATGGGCAGTACTAGTGGGTGACGAAGGTTTGCGGGCGTGGTACGATATGATTTTATATTTGTCTTTAGAGTTTGACAGTTGGCAGCTGTACAGTCCCTTCTTTAGGTAGTCGAATGTTACTAGCACCTGTTTGGCATCCATTTGGCATCTGTTTGGCACCTGTTTTGACTGATACCCGCGGCTCAGGTATGGGTAGGGGTACGGGTATCATGACCTCAGACCCGTACCCGTACCCGAGCGGTACCCATACCCGTGACCCGCACGGGTCACCCGCACCCATGCAGTTCCCTATCTGGTACCTGTTCATATATGAATATCAAGTCTATGTTTTAAAAATAATACTCACTTCCTCAACATGAGGCTGCTGCTGTTGTCGTTGATGATGCTGTGCCTCACATTCTTCTTCCTGTTGCTGTTCTTCCTCTGTTAGGCGGCTACTTGAGTTTGAAGGGGAATGTGAACAAGAGTGAGTTCTGATGAGAGATGAGAGAAACGATTTGACGAGGACAAGATGTGGACATGGACACATTCTAGGAAAATTCTCTGAGGTACTTGGAGCGTGAACTGGGTATATTGTGCTGCTGATATCAAAATGTACATGAGTAGATATAGTTGTGAACCATAAGGGTCCTTGGGTATAAATAGGCCATTGATTAGGTGAAAACGGATGCTGAAGGGAGTGATGTTGAGCCTGACAGGTAGCTAGAGCGAGCAAGGAAAGGAGTATGAGAAACTGAATGAGTGGCAGTATAAACGATTTCGGTTTGGATGAAGTGACAAGAATTTCATAGCAGTTTTTGACAGATTTTGGTATGGTGAAGTGAAAATGGGGAAAATATGACGAAAAGAAAGGGTCTGAGGGTAGTTTGAGGCTAAGGTTGAGTCTAGGTAGCAAGTATAGCGGTTGTACCAGTCGAAATGATGATGAAAGCATGAAACAAAAATGAATGTATCCGCGTGACTCGGATGTGAAGCGTGATGCTTCTTCACATCAATGAGTCATGTGGAAGTTTGCGAATGATGGTTCTCAGATTTCTTTTTGGAGTTATGGTTGGGGTGCAGAGGATATACGATCCTTACACCTCTGCACGGTGTAGCACTCGAGCTCGCGTTAGGCTCGTATTCACTGACTCCCCGATACACGTTCAATGCCCGTTACTTTCCGATGTAACCCACACAACCCGATGCAAACCCGACACTTTGACTAGCGGACCCGACATTTCGGCCGCATCGGACCCGATATTTTCCCGCACACTTGTCCTATCCATGTCCCGTTATGTCTGCTAGCCCCACTAGGTGCGTAGTTGATTATTTCGCACATTACTCACGTCGTAGCCAGCGCTATTACATGTTTTCCCATCATCCGCAGCGCCTCGTGTTTATTTACATGTACTTCGGACCCAAAATCGTCGGCTGCTACTTTCGCCTACGGCCTTCCGTATTTCTACGTACTTACATATATATTGGACTGACTATGAGCATTTTCATTATCCAAGTAGTAGGGAGCCGTTTCCCGATACTTAGTGGTCAAACCCCATATTTCGTAGTTCTTAGTTGACATTGCGAATATTACCGCTCTTTCTATCCGAAATACCCGTCATTATCATATATCTGCATACCGCTCGCTTTCCCGACATTCGCTATTGCCATTCCCACTAACCCGCTAAACCCGAACCCAAAACCCGCTAACCCAAAACCCGAAAACATCGGACCCAATGCTTTGGCGTTGGACATCGTAGATATACCCTCGGACTTTGTTTCTCGTGCTCAGACTTTTGACCATTTATCGTTTCACTAACTACAGACCATTCCAAATAGCTAACCCCTCGGGTCGAACGCACTTGTCTTGCAAGTATAGCAGACTAGGCTGTGCACGACCACAACATTTTTATATTGCTGGTTACTTACTTCATGTAGTGTCCAGCAATTGTTGTATCTCTACAACGGGCAGCTTTGGCAATTGCTTGTTGGCGCTCCAGCCATTCAGTAAGCGCTGATGTCATGGCTACATCATGCATGCGGCAGTACCTGCTGAGGTGCATGGAAAGTCCACGATCACAAACTTCAACATCGCAGTTTGGACAGTTGACCATAGTGACAATAGTGAGCAAAAATAATGAGACTGAGTAGAGCAGCATCATCAGACATTCAATGATGAAATTGTATAGGTATATAAAGAATTATCATAAGTAAAATCACTACAATAAGTGCAATAATGATAGGTCCCATTGTCAAGCTTTACATGGTAGGATGGACATGGCAGAACTCACAAGATATGCAGGGATGAAACTTCACTGTCAAGCTTGATACACCGACTGCCATATGTGTGCATTAGGCAGTCATTGTGCAATTGTGATGCGGTCACCAACATCAGTATCTACATATATCTACATATATAATGGATGGCTTCTTTTATGACTCACACAAATGACATCAAACAGACATAGTATCATAAAGGTGTGCTGGTCCTTTGCAATTGTGATGCTTCACCAACATTAGTATATATATATATAATGAATGTCTGTGTGATGCTTCACCGACATTAGTATCTATAAATATAATGAATGACTGTCTTTGTGACTCACACAAATGACATCAAACAGATGGAATGACATCAAATAGACATAGTATCATAAAGGTGTGCCAGTCCTTTGCAATTGTGATGCTTCACCAACATTAGTATATATAAATATAATGAATGTCTGTGTGATGCTTCATCAACATCAGTATCTATAAATATACTCGTTGTCTAGCATCACCTTACTGGTAAATTTGGGGTGAGAATCTCAAAATGATGTGTGCTGCATCTGTTGTGTAAGGCAGATAGTGTATTGACCAAGATGTACGGACTGCTACTGTTGGTAAAAACATATCCATACAGTTTCAGTCCAATGCTGGGTACAATCATTTCTGCAGTGTTTGTCTCAAGCTACTCACATATGCACGATCATTTGTTGTAGCAGAACATAGATTCTCTGGCTGGGTACAATCAACTATTATGTGCTGGATTTATGCTACATACTGCCACTACTACCATCAGGGACTGAAACCGACTCTCTCATTCGTGCTCGCTTCTCCTGAATCCTCGCCAATGCACTGTTCTTCACGAGAGGATGCTGGGCGCTCGAGAATGAAGGGAAAATTTGCCTAAACACATGAGGATCCTCAGAATAGAGATGTTGGGTTTTCAATCACCTATTCCACCAGACAACTAGGTCATCTACCTCTTGTTTCTCATCCGGGTCTTCGAACATGTCCAAAATGGAGTTGTAGAACCTTTCTGAGTCAGTGACCGTGTCCGTACACAAGAACACGGGAGATGAGGTGAGCGAAAAACAGACCTGGAATATATACTCAGTATAGATGTACAGATGCGAGCATAGACACACCTGTGTTGCAATGTATGCAATGGAGGGTAGAGTAACTCGGGTCATCCCATGAATTCGAGCATTACCTGAATGAGTGGCCTTCGGTTCTTTATCCATGGAGCTGGGGGACATGAAAACGTGTTTATATGCCTGTGACTGTTACGACAAACGGTCGTGTGCGACTAGGATAATCTAACAGCGACAACCACGACAGTGGTACCGAGTGCTGAGAGTCGTCGGCCTTTACAAACAAGCAAAGGTTGCGTACTCGAACGTAGCTCGTGGTGGTTAACGAGGGGTTACGCTGAGATGATAGCAGAGGTTACAGACAGTGAGAGGCGTCACTGAAGGTACGAGTCGATGTCGAGCAGGTAACTTTAGCGGGACAAGGAGTTCAAGGGAAAACCTAGTAAGATTAAAGTAAGGAACGTCTACTTTAATCTTCGACCTTATATAAGGCTACTCTTCGTATCTAAGCTCAGCCTAAAGCTGGGTTCTAATCTGCTTATCTACATGAGTCAGAGATAGCGTCCATGAGGCGGGCTTCTATCGTAGATAGCGTCCATGCGGTACGCTTCCATCAGAGATAGGATCCACGTGGTATCCTTCTATCAGTACATGAGGCTAAGCGCGAGGCTTGCCTTCTATCTTCTATCTGTCCGTGAGGCAGCACGAGGCTTGCCTTCTATCTTGATAACATAAATAGGTCTTCTAGACCTATGTCGTCATGTGTCGTCACGTGCGGTCCAGACCGCTTATCTAAGCCGGCAGTTGCCGCTTATCGTCTATCGTCATCTGTCATCATCTATCGTCATAGAGCCAATGATGCTCTGTTGTCGTCTATAGAGCTGGTGAGGCTCCGGTGTCGTCTATAGCCGTGCGGGTGGCAGAGGGCTCTCTGCTGGCGGGGGACTCGTGCCATGTTACTGTAACAGTGACTGTAGTTAGAATAAAAAAAAACATTGCGAAGTTTGGTATCATACAGAAACTAATAAGGCACTTCGAAACAGACCATTCCATGGATCCTTGGGGTCGTAATGATAGTCAGCATACAGGAACAATGGTCACTGATCCCTGGTCACGATAATCTCGCCACTTTGTAGCTTGATTTTTGTCCTGTATTTCTTTAGTATGTACATCAAGGAAACAGACATATGAGATACCCACTCTGCATTAGACCAGTTGAGGCCAGCCAGACAAAGTAAGGCACCTGTCCATTCGTGATGAAAACCATGATCGATTTTCACATTGCGAGCAAGAGGAGGAACAAGACTCTGCCCCTTAGGAGTAATGCAGTCGAGGACGCTGCCTTTGAGGCTCTTAGTATCATCACCCCTTGCTCCAGATGCACCTTTGGTGAACTTATGATATGTAAAATAAGAGGCTAAGTTGAAGACATACATAGAAAACTGAGATACTTGCCAACTCAGTGACAGCATCAACTTCATCCTTTCCGCCTTGCATCAGGCACTCCTTCAGCCCTGCCACACATTTGAGGAGCTCTTGAAAGATACAATGCTCATGCCGTTCCCTTAAAAGGTTGAATTTGATGCATACAACTCTGCAGGAAAGTGACATACTCTGCGGTAAAGTTTTCCTCTGGAATCTCAGCCAATTCTCCCATCTGTGAAATTCCATTCATAAGAAGGGCTTGAAAGTTGCAAAGAGCGTGGATCATTCGAAATGATGGCCATAGTGTACCAACAGGTCAGTTGCCCTCCTGTATTAAGATTGTGATCATCAGTAGCAATTAATTTCTACAGATAGAGATACACACGGTCTTTTCCTGGGACCCAGTTGAAGGGCATCGACTGATTTACGACATTGACTGCACTGAGATTCCTGCGCCTCAGACATGGCAGGTGGAAGTAATTGGGGCGAGGAGGTGGCATGATTGCGACTCAAATAATACCCTTCAGCTACACTGTTTGGTGCAGTTTGACTAATGGTGAGCAGTTAGATATTGCCAGGAAAATGACGACCTACTAGGAAAGTTCACCTTTACACGAGTTCAGTACTCAGTAACGAGCTCAAATCTATTTTGGGAATTCGAGTAGTCAGCATAACCTACTATCTGAGAGCTCTCCTTTCAAGCAAGCGCTCTATTCAGCACAAACGAAGTTGGGTAATACTATTACTTCTGTACGAATTCTGCTGTTTCAAGTTGAGGGCTAATTTGATGACTCGAGATAGTATGAATATGTACAAGAAAGTATCCCAAGTCCGTGGTTGCAAGTAGAGTGAGCGAACAAGAGTCAGCCATGTGATTGCCTGAGTTTGTACTGACATTGCCATTGTTAGCAGTTAGGGTTTTCAAGTAAGGATGGATAACCTCAGAGGTAACTACTGTAAGGCGCTTCCAAGTCGCAGCGGAGTTTAAACGCTGCACACCCATAGTCTCGGATACCATACACCTTCAGTCCACCATGAATATATTTATATTTGTGAATATAAGACACCCAGGATAGCACTAGTTGATCAATGTTCGTGGTTGATCATAGGCTAGTGCCACTCGTATCATGTAGGCTGTGTCAAAGAGCTCTAACTGCCATAGATCTAGACCTCATAGTCACGGGTATCGTACTCATCATCATTGTCCCAGCTTTCATCTGAATCAGATCCCGAATCCGAATTAGACATACTGGGATCTTGATCACAACATTCTTCTTCATCTTCTTCGTCTTCAGAATCTCCCACATCTGCATTTGTGTCGGCAGCTTTGTGACCAGTATGAGAGTAGGTGTGCCCGACACCTAAACCCCAATGATACTGCATGAACATGTCGCAGTCTACAAAACTAAACTGTTACGTCAGGGGAGCTCTGTTAATAGAGCTCATGAATGCACCGATTGGTATAATAGAACCACCAATCTGACTCATCTTTAGCACAATGAGAAATACCCATGCTGTCCAGATGCCACTGGCCCTGAGCGAAATGCGGAATGATATGACATCCCCTAAGGACATCATTGGGGTCAACAAACCCAAAGGCATCTGGTTCTGCCATAGGGGGAAAACAGACACAATCTAAAGACATGGTGTGTTCGTCCACATATTGATACCAGCGTACCCACAGGAAGTCGATTCGGTACGAGCGATAATCAACCATTCCAGGACCAACATAAGTGACATTAGCATGATAAATGCCAAGCACATGAGCATAAAGATACAGATGTTGTTTTCTAGCAGTTGAATCATCAGAATCAGTCAGGCCGCTAGCCTAGTCCAGGAGCATAATATCACAATGAGATATTGATGGATTTATGATGTCCTGCACTCGGCGGACATTGTATGTCGTGTAGTTGAAACACATCAAGTTGTGTCGGTACATGCGATCAGCCTCAATAAAAACACGGCTGCTTGAGTCTGAGAATGCTGGTGCAGCTCCTGGGACGGCGGTGGTGTGTAGAAGGCCATTTTCCCTGATTAAGATCTCCTTGATTTTGTGAAGGAGAAAACGCTGAAGATTGGGTAAAAAATACTGTCACTGAAAATCAGCACGATGCTGCATTCAAACTCTCTTAATGATGATGTATCACATACTTTCACAGCAGGATCTCCAGAATGCCTTTGAAGAAACAACGGAATATTCTTGGGAAAATTTTGAGATTTCCCGACATGGAAACGAGCTTCTGGTGATGTGGCGACCTCTTCTTCCTTGTTCACTGCACCATGTGGTAACTGCTTGTCACAAATGCAGCATATATGGGCCTCGTGCCGTTCAATACTGGCTATCTGTTTGACAACTTCTTTTCAGTCTGTTTGATGATACCTTGCTTTCGAAGTGCGGTGTTCTAACTCTCCCTACAATACACGAAAAATTATCTCCATGATTGGCATTATTAGAAGTGTCTGCTCACCGGTTCAGTACTATATGAGTCCGTTGTGCCAAAGGTACGTATTGAGGCTGAATAATCCCCCAGGGTGTGTAACTTGTATGTTTGTAGGTTAAAGGTCTTTGGTCGCCGAGATGTCTGATATGTCGACACTGTTGCCTCTCCATTTCCATTGCCAACATTTCGTAAGTGCCATCACTGATGACGCTCTGCTTCTCATTTTAGTTCCTTAGTGTTGAATGCCGTGCAAGTGGATTTCTGGAAATGGTGGAGTTTTTTGCTGAGCTCAACGGTGGCAGTGTCAAGGAGGTTAAGAGTTTCGTCAGTGTGCATGCGCAGTTTTGTGAGAGCATGCCAGTGCGCACAGGTAAATAACAGAGCCAAAATAGATTTATTGTGCAGTTCTGGGAGCAGGGCCTTGAATACAGGAATAGTGCACTGATTAGACAGATATTAGGGTTGAAAATGGGTAAGGACATGAAGCCTTACCTGAAGAAGGTCCTTGAAGTCTCGAGCAGCCATCTTTGTCATGTCAGAAGCATTTGGAGCCCCTTCAGTGACCTGACTCTATAAACATGGCCAGCCCATCTTGACATTTCTTCCATGACACCAGGGCCAACCCACCATGGGCCCAGTATATGTTGTAGGGATATGTCTCTGGGTGGGCTCTTGCATGCTGTGTGCCCAGTGGATAGCTGTGGGCCCCCTACCTATGTAATGTGTAACTGTGGAGTGGGCCCTTGGGTGTCTAGATGGAAGAGAATTTTATTTAAGGATGGGCCTATAGTACAGCAGAATGGCCATCTCTCGAGACTTTGGGGTGGGCCCATGGAATTCAGATGTAGCTAAATTACATTCACCGATGGCATCAAGGTCGGTGAACATCAGATATACTGGCGGATGCAAATTGCAAACCTGGCTGGCCAAATGATCACCATTATAGCCACCAGCGCGTGCACTCCAAAATCATTGGCGAGTGTCTGCTGGTATATGGAAAAGGCACATCGGACATCTGGCGCGTGCAACCCGCAACCCCAGCCAGCTGAATCGGGTCAATTATAAGTGGGGAATGAATTTCCAAATCGTGGGAAAGTGTCCAGCGAAATATGAAAATGGCAGGAACATCCAGTGCGATTGTTCTACTGATGCACTTTATCGGTGGGGCTGCCCGGCAAGTGTGCATGACCCGCCGGGTTGATCCAATTGCTGGCACACCCGGCAGTGCCCCAATGTTGTGTCAGGCCCACAACATTCCAGCACAGGAGTGGGCCCACTATCAGTAGACACCCTAATAGGGTGGGCCCAGATCAGGTTCTGGGCATTGAATGGGCCTGCCGGTAATATAAAAGCAACGGTAGTGGGCCCACATGAAGGTCTGAACTACGGATCCAGGCCTACCCTGGAAATACAGATTAGTGGAGGGAGCCCGCTATGTCCACTGGAAGCTCAGATGGGCCCAGCTACATTGTACCCTTTGTGCGGTGGGGCTCATGCCATGTATCACAATGTGATTGGGCCCGCTGTTAAGACCGTGCACAAAGGGTAGGACTGATTCCGAGGGGCTTGGCTTCAGCTCGTGCGCTGCGCCCCTTACCCGAGTATGTGCCCTTAATTGCAGATGACATCCGGAGGAAGTCTGGAAGGACTATCCGGATCTGGATGAGTGTGAGAAACTTCCGGAGGGGTGCAGGAAAGTTCCGGAGGAACTTCCGGAAATTACAACGAGGTTTCGTCCTGGTACAGATATGTATAATGGCTACTCAGGATGAATCCTGAGTAGAATGGATACAGAGGAAAGGCTGCAGGGACAAAGTCCGAAGCAGAATGGGTCCGGAGGACTGCGGGAAAGTTCCGGAGGAACTTCCGGAAACTCGGAGGAATGGAGGATTGGAGGATTGGAGGAGCGGAGGAGCGGAGGAGCGGAGGAGCGGAGGAGCGGAGGAGCGGAGGAGCGGAGGAGCGGAGGAGCGGAGGAGCGGAGCTCTGGCCTAGGGAATTCCTCCCTAGGCCTGAGATAGATATTGACTAAGTCGGAGGACTAGAACTAGTATGGGGACTTAGTGTGAGGTCTAGTGCGAGGACTAATATGTGTAATATTCAGACTAAGGAAATACAGGAGTTTCTACAGGGTTTATATACTGTGGAGGACATAATGGAGAATCAGTCAGCACAGTCCGAAGCTATGCGAGGCTGTGGACGGAGTGTATAGAAAAGTCAAACACTAGTCTATCGGAAAATAGTAAATGAAGACGGAAATGAGAACATAGGAAAATAAAGGCGGAAATGAACTGAGGTACGGAAAATGAGTATAGACTAACTCAAGAAGGAACATACAAAGGGAAAAGGCATGGAAGATAGACGCAGGTCGGATCTGGATGTCCGGAGATGTTTGGATATGAGGGCGTGATTGGTCCGGGTCCGGAAACAGGTGATTACCATAAGGGGATGAGCACTGATTTAAGGTTTGGGTTCGGATATGAAGCATAGGTTGGATCCGGAGATCCTGAGAAGTGGATATGAAATCAGGTGTCCAGATATCGGATCCGGATGTGTGGATATGCAAAGGTACAGGGATTCGGGCGTATAGACATCTGAACAGATAAAGGACATGGACAGGGGATCCGGAGGTCCGGATGAGGCGTGGGAACATTGTTGGATGTAGGTCCGGAATACGGGATATGACACCTGCCAGTGGTATGCAAACAATGATGGTGGGCCCACATGATGGTCTGAACTGAGGGATACAGGCCCACCCTAGAAATACAAAATAGTACAGTGGGCCCACTGAAGCCTCAGATGGTGGATATGGGCCCAGCTACATGGGGCCCTCTCTATGGCAGGGCTCACACCATGTATAGCACTGTATGCACCAGCCCACATATTCCCCGATGTGGATGATGGGCGCAATTTGTGCAGTAAGTGAAATGGTGGGCCTAGATCAATACCGCGCTATATGCGGATGAGCTCGCATCGTGTCACACTGCAAATATGAATGGGCTCGTGTGACAAGATATTGCCGGAAGCTAATAACACTCTGACCGCTGGGCGCCGGATGCACGGTAGGTGTAGGGACAGTGTGGCCGTGGCCGGCATGAGTCAAGAGCACATCAGTGGAACTACATTTCCTGGGAATTATTGCCATGGCGGCAGAACACCAGCGGGTCATCAACCGTTGAAGGATCACACATACCATGGGGTATACAGGGGCAGTACATCATGCCCATTTTCCATTCCATTCCAATCAAGAACACACTAAGTAATACATGCTTGTATAGTACCAGCCAAGATAAGTGTGAAGAATTGTACATAAAAATTAGTTGGCCGCCTCATCAGCCTTTATTACAACCGGCAAACAAGCAACCTCAGCTTGAGGAGTGGCCGGGAGAGTGGGGAGCACAGGAAGGGTGTCAGTTGAGCTACCGTCAGGTTGAGCGCCCGGCTGGAATGAGGTGTCATCGGGGAGCACCGACGAAGGCTTGGCAAGCGGCTGCATATCGGTGGTGAGAGTCGGCTGAGCGGTTGCCACCAATGAGTGTTGCGCAGCTGGATGCGCAGAAGTGGGAAGCATCTCGGCATTGGGCTGAGTGGTGGCCAAAACAACAAGTTGGCGAAGAACTTTCAGCTCAGCCGCCAGCAGCTGGGCACGTTCTTCCTGTGCTGCCAATCTTTCTTGAAGTTGCCCATCACCGTTGATGACTTGCTGTTGCAAGGTTTCAACGGTCACCCGAAGGCCGGCAACTTCATCACACAGATCCTGCATCTCCTCATTGGAGGGACTGGCGAGTGCTGGGTCAGCCCGAGTCTGGGAGTGTTCCAGCGGCAGCTGCTCCTCCTGGACTTGACTGACAACTGGAGCATGCACTGGAGGATCTGCAGCTGATGTTGGGTTTAGTAAGTAGCTACAGTCAGAAGGCCGACACCTACCAGCTGGCAGCGAGCGATGGCACCGGGATTGAGAGAGGGCTTGCCGTGCTAACACAGACTTGTTTTTCATTTTGGGCACCTCGGACCCTTTGCCGCCACATCTAATCTTCAAGCGGCTACAAAGGGTGCAGACTCTTAACTTGCCGCCGTGATCCTTGTGGTACGCCTGGCGGCAAATGAGGCCCCACATGACGCATTGCCTGCAGCAGGGTGCCCACACTTCTGCTGAAGGAGTGGTGAACTCCTCCTCCATCAAATCGGCACCAGAGGTAATCTGTTGGATGTCAATAACATGTCCAGAATGCAGCAATGCATCAAGACTCACCAGCAAGGAGACATCGGCAGCAGTGACATTCCTCGGCGGTTCCACAACATCTTCCTCATCGGCTTCTTCATCCATGTCTTCCTCTTCATTGATTTCCACATATTGGCGGCAGGTTCTGGTAATGGTCTACACAGTGCGTTAGCTGTGAGTTGAGATGATAAGTGAGTCACTTACTGAGATAGTGGGTGTCACCGGTTCCTCTTCATCTAGCTCGTCATCAGTGCTGACAACTGCCCTAGACTTTTGATGCTGTCACTTCGACATCACCAGGCAGCTGTGGCTTCTGATGCTGGCAGCACGGTGACACTTCCCACGCTCAGTCCCTCGTCCACATTCGTCAGGCTCCTCCACCACAGGGCGCCTCCTGGGCTTAGATGGGCCCTGGTGGGGCGGCAAAGGTGACGGGCTCCCTCGGAAATTCCTGGTGGAGGGGAAAAGAGGGTGAGTTTGGATGTGGACATCGTCACCTCGGATATTGGCCCAAACAGGCGTGCCAGTCAGACCAGTCCTAGATGTGTTTATGTGCTGCTGCAGTTCTGCAGCAGCCGACAAGATCAACAGCAAGAGGACAGTTACACTCCCGCCGTGGGACATCATAACCTGCATCTGCAAACAATTAGGTAATGTTACAACATGTAACAAGTACTTACCAAAACCTTGCCTATTTCCATGGCTATGGTCAAGTGGTGCGGATCCGCAGCATCTAACTGTGAAGCTTGCCCCAGCAGGTGGTCGATCTTGTTGACGACGTCACTGAAGGCCTTGTTGGTGGCGGCAATATTGTGAGCAGAGGACATTTTGGTTTGAGTTCAAGTTGAGGAACGGCGACAAACTTTAACACTATATATATATAACTCCGCTGTGACCACAGTGGCTGTGGATTATGTGATACTCAATTGTTGCACGGCATTTGCCAAATGTGACCACCTTGGACAAGATGTTCCACTATCTCCACATTCACAGCTGCGGTCCAACGGCACACATTGTTGTGGCCGGAAGTTGACTGTTTTGGCCGATCCAAGGTCAATACTGTGGTCTACCATTGCCCAGGTTGCACATCGGCAAAACCCGCCGAATCACAATAGCTTAGATGTTCCATCCCCACACATTATGTAATTCAAATCCCGATCACTTAAATCTATTTAAAGGCCTTGCCCATGACGATTTTGGACTACAATTTCATTATGTCCAATCCTACCATCTCTGCCACTATGTTGGCAGACTCAATGTCCAATGAAATGCATTTGGATATGTCTGACATCGCCAGCATTTTTGAGTACGCTGCCTCCTGTTTATTGGCCATCCAGTGACCTGCACCAAACCGGTTCGGTGCATGGATGACTAATGCTCTCCCATGAGCCTGATACCCTAGAAATCATTATGAACAATCTTCCTTTACTTTATGGTTCAGACTGCAGTTCAGATAGTATTTTCATTTCATTTCTCAGACAGACTCAGATAGGCTGAATATTCTTGTATATTTAATTTTGCGGTAAATTCTGCTTAGTCAGCAATAACAATGACTCAGACTGAATCCCACACATGTCAAGTAACAGTGTAAAATAGTTCTTGCGTAAGTTGGCTTGTGGGAACTTTCTTAACACTCTAAATACACGGCTCGCATCATTTCTATGGTCAATAAAGTAACATCATAACAAGACACCAACAAATAACATAATCAGTCTGTTACTTAATATTTGTCACATGATACTAAGTCATATGACTCTAACAGTCAGGTGACCTATGATCCTAAACCAAATCATGACAAAGCAACCTTTTGAGATGACTAAAGCTTGATGACATAAGTTATAAAGCACATGACTACAGTAAATAGTATTGGTACAATCTGACTAAGCCTATTCCCCTTAGAACGTGGGAAATAGTAGCACAGCCACCATAATTGATCTATATAAGACCCCACTTTTTGCCAATAAAAATATGCATAGAGGGAACTTTTAAGCCCCACAAAATAAATTTGAGTGTGAAGTGTGATCAGTATCAACAACAGTGACAAGAGCTGTTAAGCAAATAACTGAGAGGCCATTGTAAGCAACATCCAGCAATACCTTTAGCTCATCGTCAACAACTGTGAAATATCTTGAGCTCACTGTGCTCAACAGCGAGCAAACTTTTTCTTTGATTTTCTACTGGTGAACCTCTAGTTTCTTTTCTTTCTTTTTCTTTCTTCTTTTCTCTTTCTTTTTCTGCTGTTTCTTTCTGTTTCTGTTCTTTTTTTTCATTTGTCTCTTTTTCTTTTTCAGTTCGTTCACATACTAGTGTTATTGTTCTGAATTTGTTCCAGGATCTTTGTGTTGTCTTTACGTCCATCTAAGCACTGGCTTAGTGGGAAGACTTCAGAAGTTGATAGTGACGCTTGACCTCACTCATCTGAGTAGTGATACTGAGCCAGGGTTTTCTTTGTCTGCTAGACTTTAGTTGTTGAATAGGGGACTTGGTACTGAAATCCAAGGACGTCCGTTCCTGATTCTGTTTAATACTCATCATGAGTTCCTAGTCCTGACCTTTGATTCTACCTGTTTGTGCTGAGGGGGTGATTGTTATAATTTCGCACAACTTTCTGTAGTAAATTTATTATGAGAAGCATTGTTACTGAAGGACGGGTTTCTCTTATCAATCTATTTTTTTATCAGTACCATACTGTTGGGCTGACTTTTCTCTGTTCTCTAATCACTGCCATACCATTGGAGTGAAACATTTTTCTTCTTGTCATCACCATACCGTTGGGCTGACTACATTCTGTTTATTTTATTTTCTATTGCGTCCATACTGTTGGATTGACTGGTATTGCTACTGACCTCACAGAAGTACTTTTTGTCTGAACATAGCTTGGGGAAGTGTAAACAGCCACCCACGAACAACCACGTTATCAGTCATTGGTATTTGTCTGAATCACTGACCATGGAGATATTTGATTTTGTAGGTGTTTATCTATAGATCATCTATCTAAGAAGACACCGGACTGAGCTAGAGACTACATGTCTTACTTTACCACAGTTGAACCACTGGATCATCGGCAAATACCTGAACTAGGAAGGAGAGGTAAGTACTTCGCCTATCACCCACCCACCGAGCTGATAAATGACTCAGTCCTTCACTTTGCCTTGGATGTCTTTTTGTGCAGGAATGTCCATCAGCCCACCGCTGTCGAGGAATCTCTGTTTCTTTGTTGGCGTGCTGTCTATGAAGCAGCTCGGACTCCTCAGCAATTTTGAGGAGGTTTATGACGCCTTTATGACCTTGCCCTCTGTGCCGGCTGGATTTTGGCAGAAGGGTCATCTGGCCCGGACATATTGGACACCCTGGTGGACAGGATTAGCTGACCTGAAGCCCAACCATGACTTTCTCAACACTTACACAAATTGTGTGCAGGTTCAGAACATAATCGGCGAACATTTTACACAATTGGTAAAGTTCTCTCCACTTATATCAAGACTTTAACTGACACTGGCGATAGCCCGAGGGAAAGGTTCTGATCACGCCAGCAACATTCGCTCACCCGATGTCGACACCGGTTGCACAGCAAATGTCTAGCATCCACACCGAGGTGCTGCATGAAGGCCAACTGATTGTCAAGATGCTTGAAGATAAAGTAGTTGAGGCGAAAATAGTTGCCACCACCATGCTTCGCATGGACACTGCATTGGGACAGGATGTAGTCAATGCCATCGCTGCAACTGAGAAACTGACGAAGTATTTGAAATGGGAGGTGGCGCAATGAGCATTAAGTCCAGGGCTGACACTATATAGCAAATAATTGTATGTAGTTATATATATCAACCTGCTGATTGATTGGAGTGAGAAGCAAACATCTGTTACGACACACGGTCATGTGCGACTAGGATGATCTAAACAGCGACAACCACGACAGTGGTACTGAGTGCTGAGAGTCGTCGGCCTTTACAGACAAGCAAAGGTTGCGTACTCGAACGTAGCTCGTGGTGGTTAACGAGGGGTTACGCTGAGATTATAGCAGAGGTTACAGACAGTGAGAGGCATCACTGAAGGTACAAGTTGATGTCGAGCAGGTAGCTTTAGCGGGACAAGGAGTTCAAGGGTAAACCTAGTAAGATTAAAGTAAGGAACATCTACTTTAATCTTCGACCTTATATAAGGCTACTCTTTGTATCTAAGCTCAGCCTAAAGCTGGGTTCTAATCTGCTTATCTACATGAGTCAGAGATAGTGTCCATGAGGCAGGCTTCTATCGTAGATAGGATCCATGAGGCATCCTTCTATCAGTACATGAGGCAACACGAGGCTTGCCTTCTATCTTGATAACATAAATAGGTCTTCTAGACCTATGTCGTCATGTGTCGTCATATGCGGTCCAGACCGCTTATCTAAGCCGGCAGTTGCCACTTATCTTCTATCATCATCTATCGTCATGATTGTCATAGAGCTGGTGAGACTCTGGTATCGTCTATAGCCGTGTGGTGGCAGAGGGCTGTCTGCTGGCAGGGGACTCATGCCATGTTACTGTAACAACATCCGCCAATACACCTTACATACTCCAGCAATACATAACCAACGATCTGACCGTGGTGTTTAAAGGTAAAACATCAGCGCGAACCTCATATAACTACAAGTCATCGACATTACTTCTTTACCGCATGTTTGTGTTTCAGCTTTCGTCTGGTGAAATGCCAGTCTAGCCTCCTCCCAGAGACATTGATAGATTTTTCCCTGCCTCCCTGCGTAAGCCATTGAACCTTGTTTCTTGGCTTCCTTTGCAATGACACCGAGTCTTTTCCACACCTCAGCCTTGTGAATAAAGAAGTTGCAGGTCCAATCCATCTCATGCTGGACAAGCAAAATCTCCTCCGCCCAACGATCCTTGAGAGACTTCGCCCGAAGCCAATGTACCTGGTAAACTGCCACATCGGCGAGATCAGCACGACTGACATTGCACCAGTGTGAATTCCTTACATTCATTTAACCAGTCACTGCTCTCAGAATCTCCTGCTACATCCAATGACCAAAACCAAGGTAGCGTGTTATTTCGCTGTCCCCGTGAGTTTGGATTGGCGACAGCGGTGCTGACCTTAAGGTGCTCTTTGGCAAGCACTTGATATCGCTGGAGCAAAGTATCATCGGTGCCGAGGTTGCAAAGTTGTTTGCAGCATTTCAAATAGATACTGGCTTGTATGCTGACCAACCGATCTACCAAGTGCACTTGGGCCCAAGCTCAGGTAGCCGTCACCTGAGATTTCGCAACCCTTACGGTATTCTGAAACATAACCGCTTTGTCAGCCAAATGCACTCTGATGTTGTGCAGGGCATCATTGGCCTGGCCTTCCTGTAGAATGAGTTCTTGTTTCACCAAATCATCGACACCGATGGCAGTACATGTATCCTCGCCCAAATTGGACAGCAGGGGAATGACTGCCTTCTCTGGCTTGAAGGACCTTGGCTGCTCCTCCGTTCCGGGATCTAATTCTTCTCCGAGCATGATAAGATCTAGTTGCATGCCATCATCCTCATGATCAGTGAGCTCACTGCCAATGCCATCGCCGATGAACATCACTCCAGCTCCCCTCCATCGATCAATATCCCTTTGTAACATGTCTTGCCGGCAGGCAATCTGCAACCGCTGTGTGTCTGTTGGCTGACCTCAGAGTCTTCTAATATCCATTTGCAGTGTTACTTGGGCCTCCTCAATTGTCAAACCCTCTGCAAGCCATGTCACTGCACCTCGCCGCTGGATAGGCTGTGCACGCTGTCCTTGTTCCGCCAATAATTGTATTTCCTGCTGCTTTCTTGTCGGCGCTGTAATTAAATGAGAGAGGATCTGCTGTTCTGACATTTACACTTACCTTTCTGCAGTTGAACCTCATAAATGTCCATAGCTGTTGGATCACGGCGACGCCATTGATGCGCCGACCTCTCTTGCACTTCCCATTCCCGGACTTTCACAGGATCAGCAGTCTCATCTAGCTTTTCGAACACCAATTTGCTATCGGCGGCCCCTCTGACATCCTTATTGTACTTTTTGCAAAGCGACTTGCCTGCATGATGTATTATGAGTTGTTCAAATTGATTGCACAGAGGGCTGACTCGTCCTGATCATCTTCATGAAGTTACAATCATTCATTTGATAGTCCAAGCATTCCTTTTGGTGCAAAGTTCCCATTCCACGGGCCGCCGGCGAGATAATATTTAATGGCGCCCATAGTGTTTCCATTATTTTGCCATCAATCCAAGTGGCACCCTCAATAAAATTTGATGCATATCTTACATAGCAACTGTCTTGATGGCCATGCACGTGCCACAGTCCGATTCTGGGGATAATATCCAGTTCCTCGGGTATCTCCAAGATAGGACTCTCGGCGATGCGGTCCTTCAAACACTTGTGGTACTGACAGTTTACATCATAAAAGGTCAACGCTCAGTGGATTCCATCGGCGTTCATTTTCAATGCCTCGCACAACACATAATCCATGTTCATCTGTCTAGTTCAACTCAGTAAGGTGGTACATTTGCTCAGGTTTGGTCCCACACCTTTCTCCCTTCTGAAAATCGACCATGGCATGAGGAACAAAACACCCATGCCTTGCACAGGTGCAACTGCCAATGCCGGTTGCCTCCAACCTGTGATGAGATGCATTTGCCTGATTGACCGTGCGGTGGTTGTTGCATTCCGATCGTTGAATGGTGTCTTGGGCAATGGCCAAATGCTCCTTATACATTGCATCTCCTACCATGAACCCATGGCCGTCCATGAGAGAAACTTCGTCGCCAGGATTTAATGGATGGAGATGCTCGGCTTTGAAGTTTCCATCCATGACAAGTGATCTTGTGTATAGCCAACTCAGTGTTTGTAAATCTGATCCTTTCTCATTGAAAGTCTTGGTATGTTCTCCGACAGGCAAAGTCACATTAATCCCTGGCTGGGGACACGCCGGACAAAAGAGAGCTAAATCGCCAGGTCTGATGTCCTTTTTCCTCATGGCTGAAGCCATTCCATTTGAGAAGCTTGAGTTTCCTTCATTGTCTGGCCACCCTCATGAGTTCCCGATACCGGTCCTTTATTCCAATGAATGATCTGCCCAGTGAGGGATGAACGCACTCACCGGGACCAAATGTGGAAAGATGGTCATTGTCATCCATCTCAACTTGCTGTACTAATTTATCGCCGACGTTCCGCACTCCAGGTTGTCCAACAAAAAGTCATTTAAGACGTCAAATATGAATGCCGTCTTTGGTTCCAAGAAGGACGCTGGGAATAAGCCCATTTCAAACATTTGTATATCGGCAGCAGCGGCATTGGGGCATGTGCAATACCTAACCATGTAGGTATGCACGCCGGACTTGTCGACTATTGTTGTCATTGTGCTGTTGCCCTTGATGAATGGCACACTGGTTGGGAGGTCATCGGTGTTCTTCAAACATAGGGCGCCACCGTCTTCTTCTGATGAACTCTCCATGTCTGTTGTGTTGGCTCCCTCTTCTCCGGTAGTAAACACACTAGAACCCCCTACATCATCTTCCCATAGACATGGCTTTCTGTCATGGCCAAGCCAGATCACGATCCCACTCTTGAACAAACAACTTTCCTCAAAGAAGGAGCCTGTCCATTGGCTGACCCAATGAAAGGGAAGTCTCTGATGCTGGGTTCTGCGACAACTTGTGCAATAGAGAGGCTCACCGAAGCACCCATGACATTTATAGACACCATCTGTCCCACAGATGATACATGACCGATCTGATGGAACCTCCCTCTGTAGGAGTATGTCAAGATATGCTTTTGTCTTTGGGACCCATTGTTTCATATAGTCGTTTTGACTCTTGAGTTCAGATAAGCAGAGTATGACAGATAAGGGTGAGGGAAGGCTAACCAAGGATTTTGGCAGTCGTAGGTGAATGACCCTGTGATCATCAAGGTTCCCAAGAAAGTCATGTCCACCATGGTGAAGCATGTCATGAGACAGCTGCTTAGAAGCAGACTTGGTAGGGGTTGCTGGAACTGATCGACTGATCATGGGTCTCTCCACCCATTTGCCCACCACCTTCCTGGTCCGATATGATTTCTGCCATTCTACTACTGCATACTTTTGTTTGGGTGTCCACTCTTGAAGTTTGGAACCTTTCATTTGTTCACTGCAATGAGAATCTGCAAGAAGGGTAAGAGGTTTCAATTGGCCAATGGAATGTGATACTTGGATTAATTTGATCATGCTCGGATCATATCTGGCATGAGTACATAATCCTAAGACCTAGAATGTAATATAAGATGATCCGAAGAGAACACAGCAACCATATCCATCAAAAGTACATAATATCAACAGTGATACAAGGAACACCACTTCATCTTGACTGAACACAACAATGATATATATGAAAAGTACCCAATATGAGCTGTAATATATGATGAACCAAGCAGAACAAAGAAACACTGTGGGATCTTGGCCAAGGAACCAAACCTTACTGCCCCATATCAACCAACTACAGTATTTGTGAATCTTGAACTATTCAGAATCACCATTATCCATAACCCAACATGCCAAGAACTCAATCTCCTATTGTGCTCTCACAGCAGAAGAAGGTTCACTTAGACAAGGCAGAGGTCTTGGTCCTCAGGGACCACCTAGAGGACTGGAGGTCAGTAAAAGGTAAAGAGGGTGCTCATCGCCATCTACAAGGAAGCCTCACTCCAAGCTCCTACCAAGGACCGAGCCATATTGAAAGCTCGGAAAAAGGTTCGTGACACCTTAAATATATTGGAGCCATCGGAGCATTGATACAATGTACATTCAAGATTTACAAGCAATGGTTGCAAAACCAATCTCGGCGAAAAAAAGATCCCAAGCCACTCATCAAGTATGGCAGACATTGGACAGCCAGGAAAGTCCTAATCCAGACTCATAAACACCTAATCCGAGAGGAGACAGGGGAAATGGCTGGAAGTGAGGAGATGATCAGCAAGTGGCCAAGGGCGGCGAAGTCAGTAATTGATGGTTTGTTGGTGGAGGAGAGGGAGCAGGCAGCAGCTATGGCGGAGAAATGGAACCATCAAGCGCCGCCGCTGGAAGTTCAAGCCAAGGTCGCCGAGAGCAAGGGCACTGAGATGATTGAGCATTTTGCCACCAAAATGTTCAAGCAAGCTGGAATGAGAGTCTGTGTGTTGTCTGCATGGAACAACAGCGAAGGGAAGCTGATGTTAGGAGGGTGTGTGGTCTACTACTTACCTGGCTGTCAACATTAACTTTGGGGAAGTCATGACTTCAATGAACAGTTTGGGAATGGCGAGAGCTTCATCAAGATCAGAGATTGGGACAGCATTTTTATGTCGGAATGGGGGGAATATGCAGGGGAGCAATTCAGTGAGATACAGGTTATTCATTTTGCAACAAATATATTGATCATGGTGTAGATGTGGAGGATGGGGAGGAGCCACAAATGGTAAAGTCAAAGAAGCAGCAGCCCTGGAAGCTGATCAAACTTGAAGAGGATGCCGATGGCTGGCTGATGCTCCTCGATACAACAGGATGAAATTGTGCTGAGCAACAACACATGATTCGATCATTCCTCATGAAGCTATACAGTACATGCGCTTACATGTCACGTTAAAAATCATTCTCACAAAGCATAGGGATGTGTGGTGAAGAAGACACCTCCAAGTCAGTGGTGCCATGGGGGGATGTAAGCCAGGACCCATCAGCGTTCTTTGACGGCACAAAATGGCCCACCAGCGTGCAATTCAACGAACCCTCCAAGATGGATATATCAGATACAAGTGCTTTGCTGCAATTCTGGTTTGCCCGGTGTAGCACTCGGATCAGCATTGGGCTCGTATCCTGCCTAACTCATAGGTATTCCACATACACATTCCTCGACACTCCATTTACCATCCGAGAGTTCCACATGTTCGTCCGAGTCGTCCGAAGGTCGTCTGTCCATTTCCGAGGCTTGTATACAGTTCCGATCCTCCATACCATGTCCCATCCGTGTCTGTTTGTGTTGCGACAAACGGTCGTGTGCGACTAGGATAGTTCTAACAGCGACAACCACGACAGTGGTACCGAGTGCTGAGAGTCGTCGGCCTTTACAGACAAGCAAAGGTTGCGTACTCGAACGTAGCTCGTGGTGGTTAACGAGGGGTTACGCTGAGATGATAGCAGAGATTTACAGACAGTGAGAGGCGTCACTGAAGGTACGAGTCGATGTCGAGCAGGTAGCTTTAGCGGGACAAGGAGTTCAAGGGAAAACCTAGTAAGATTAAAGTAAGGAACGTCTACTTTAATCTTCGACCTTATATAAGGCTACTCTATCGTATCTAAGCTCAGCCTAAAGCTGGGTTCTAATATGCTTATCTACATGAGTCAGAGATAGCGTCCATGAGGCGGGCTTCTATCGTAGATAGCGTCCATGCGGTACGCTTCCATCAGAGATAGGATCCACGTGGTATCCTTCTATCAGTACATGAGGCAACACGAGGCTTGCCTTCTATCTTGATAACATAAATAGGTCTTCTAGACCTATGTCGTCATGTCATGTCACGTGCGGTCCAGACCGCTTATCTAAGCCGGCAGTTGCCGCTTATCGTCTATCATCATCTATCGTCATCTATCGTCATAGGGCTGGTGAGACCCTGTATCGTCTATAGCCGTGCGGGTGGCAGAGGGCTGTCTGCTGGCGGGGGACTCGTGCCATGTTACTGTAACAGTTTGACTTCGCTGGTGCGTTCTTCACTTGGTTGTCTGTTATTGATTATGTCTAGGGGCACATACATCATCGGCCCGTCGGTTATACATGCCTTGCACCTTATTACATGCATATCTCTGTAGCGGCTCGCCTTGAGTCTTATTACATTTCGGATGTCTTATCTCGCTACTGGTTTCGCCCACACAGTTTCCAGACTTTCATGCTGTAGGATATAATCTGCCTCGCTAGCTACTCACACTTCACTTCACTTTCCCTGCTACAAGTCATAGTTAGTAGAGTCACTTTCAGATAGTCATACTTCGTGCAATCGATCTTTGTTCATTTGGAATGATTGTTTTGGCCTGACCACTGCCATTTCGCTCTTCGCTGTCTCTAAGTTCTCCCGATAGGCTTTGCTTAGTTATACTTCGATACACCCACCGTACTTCTCTTGGAACACTCACTGTTCATCGGAAGCTCTTTGGACGCTTTGCGCAACCTCGGACCTTCGTTTCTTGATGCTGGACCACCTTTGGACCACTTCGGACACATCCTCGGAACATTGAGCACGTTCTTGGTAACTTTCCTTTCTCTCATCCTCGATCTTAACAAGATATCCCTTGCATTATATCAAGGAGTATTTCTATAGGCAGTCTCTTTGGGACGAGCATATCACTCGTGCACTGAGTTCTGAAGGTAACACTTTGTAGAGCCCACACAGAATCAACTCTTTATACCAGCAAGAACAAAATATTCAACCAGCCTTTTCATTTGTGGTGTGGCAAGATTCTGATAGTGAAATATGTGAGGCAGTTGTTTCTCCAGCACCCCATCAGGCCGCCATGAATAGAAACCACACTCAACGGACACAGCCAAAGGGAAAGCACACAGGCAATCCCTTACCATCGTGCTGGGCCATCAAAGAAAGCAGTTCAGAGGATGAGTTATACGGCGATGATGGTCACTCCTCTAGTGAAGGTGATGAACCACTTTTCACTGCCCGGAAAAGGATGTGATGCCACCGCGGCAGGCCACATTCCCGACTAACAAGCCTTGCAAGCTCAAGTCTGACGCCGCTCCACCACGGCGAAGTGCACGGCAGACACTGGCTGCCGTCGGTGATGTGCCAAAACCAGCCATTGCCATGTTCAGCAACACCAAGGAGCCGGCCATACCTCAGAGGAAGTCCATGAAGCAGCCATCTAGATCATCCGGTGCTGTCACAAGAAGAAAGGAGGTCACATATGCGGCCGATGATCAGCCCCGGGGATCAAAACACAGTGCTCCTGAGGCCATTAGAGATATGCCAGCGAAGAGAACCAGGAGCAAGACATTTGCACCGGAGGCATCTTTGGGTAGACACAGCAAGAAGTGATCCTCATATCTCAAATCAGTAGAATACCAGCAATTAAATCAATTTATGACTAGTGCAACACTGGTCCCATACATATACAACACTTTGAGTGGCAAACCTATGTACAAGTGATGGTGATATATATAATTTGTAACTAGTCACCACCGCCAGACTTTCCCTCTGCTTTCTGCACCTGTTGTGACAGAGAGTGCACCAATGGAACAATTCTGGCCTGCACCGCCACCATGTGATGCAGCTGGATCAAATCTTTGAATATCCAAGTCAACTTATTTCTGCTCTCACAAAACGCCAATAATATGACACAGTTGCTGTCAAGGACCTCATCAGGTTTGGGATGCTGGACATCATCGCCGGGGTTGATGATGCTGCCCAGCATCAACTGCGCAAGTTTATTGACTGTCATAAATCAGTTGGATTCTAAAGGGAGCATGAAGCGGTGCTTACATTCATCACCTTGGAGGTGTTCAACGATATTCCTCGCTGTCCTCTCAGCATCGCTGATCACGCGCTGAAGGGAAGGCCGATGGTCTGATGTATCAGAGGAACTGCTTGGTGTGCTTCTCTGCAGGAACACAAATTCCACATTTGGAAGTGCCTTCGGCGTATATGCCACGTCCAACTGAGCTGGAGTGGGTGGCGCAGATGCTGGGATGGCTGCCTTCACTGGGACAGCTGGGTTAACTGCCGTCACCGGGACAGCCGCTTTCACTGGGATTGGTTGCCAATCTCCTCCTTTTGCTGGAGGAACTTGACAATTGAACTGGAATGCTATAAATGTAGGTAAATATCAGCTGACCAAAGATTTTTTCAAGAAGGGACATATGCCTATTGGAAATATCATATCCAACATGAACTGGCGGAGCTGGCATAGATGTCGGCGACAGATTCCAGCCAAAGTCAAATGCTGGCTTCGGGGTCGGTGGCAAAGGCATTTTTTCAGTCGGGATGACGGGTGGTGTGACTGACCATTGAGGTGTCACATCCAAATCCATTCCAAAGTTGAATGGTTTGCCAGTCAGTGTGGATCATCTCTGGTGACAGAGGTGTTCCATCTGAAGTCCAAGAATGATGGAGTGGCTGGTTGAGGGGTTGGTGACACCTCGATGACGGCGGAAAACCCGAAGTCAAATACCGGTTGAAAGACTGGTGGTGTTGGTTGCCGATGTTCGAACCTGAAGTTCAGTCTGTACAGCAGTGCAGGAGGGACAGCCAACATATCAGCATTTGGAGCCACTGGAGGAGGTGTGGACTGACACATCGGTGCTGGAATCAAACCCAAAGTTAAACACAGGTTGGAGCACTGGCAGTGCCGCAGGTGGAGCTGCAAACCTGAAGTCCAGCTGGTACAGCGGAGCAGACAGTGTGGCTGCCATGCCACCATATGAAGTCACCGGCGGAGCTTCAAACCCAAAATCCATCATTGACAGGCAATCATTACATACACTTTCATAATGACGAAGTATCACACTTACTAGTCGGGTTGTTGCCAGCATTGGATGACGGTGCTTGAGACTCTGACTCATTGTCCATCGGTATATCAAAATGGACACGGTGGTCGTTTGAGTGCGTCATTTTAATCAATGGTACAAATCAGTGTGAGATGGAAGTGAGATGGTGACCTCTGGAAGCTTAAATATCATCAATGTGTGGTGTGGCCCATGGCTGAGTTTGAATATGTGCCACAAAACAATGCATGTTTGCTGTGAGAAACCACACAAGTGCCACATACAAGTGCTTCTAAAGCCTCATGGCACCGGGTCCCGAGCCGATCTATTTGGACTTCAAATTTTAATTGTTTCCATTACACATATATTGTCAAAATTAATATTGTGGTCCTTTGCTTTTTTTCCGCCCACATATTATGCCATCCACAGAGGTTTCAAACAAAGCTCTTAATGATGCTGCCACTCGAGTGCAACAAATCGTGGCTCAAGCTGTAGAGTGGAAAAATGGTCCCACCAGCCATCTCACTATGGCCATGGACATCGCAAATTTTTTGGTGAGCTTGCCAATATGAACAAAGGAAAAAATTTGCATTGAATCCTGATCAGTTGCCAGTGTTCGAACAACATGGGTGATCAGCGAGCATGATTCCACCGCTTTTGTTATCAGCGGCAATGGAATTGCAAGATCATTTGGACCCTGTGACTCGCCAATCATTTCTAAGTGCGCCCGTATGGCGTAACATTGTAGCGAATGATTCACGAATTCGGAAACATCCTTTGTATCGGAAGGCTCTCACATTCATCAGCTCCTCAAACCCATCTGCAATATCACACCCGCTGGTGCAACTGGCCCAGCAGGTCATTGCAGATGCACTGGTGGAATCCCCGGTGGGGTCCAAACCCAAACCTAGGCCACAGTGATTGCCCAGGAATACATTGACAGTGGTTGATAGTTCTGACAGTGATGCGATTGAAATTATTGACCATGTAGTCGCCACTAATGTCATTGGGCCGGACATTCGCAAAGGGAAGGGTAAGCAGACTGCGCCGCCCAAGAATGTCGACGGCGACACGCCGGTGGAGGTTTTGAAAGCAGAAACCACCATGGTTAGACAAAGGCCCATGCCGAAGAGAAAGCAAACACAGGCAACCAGTGGCTGTGACTCCAAGTCTGGTGTGATGGATCGAAAAGGGAAGGGGAAAGAGGTCCCACCTCCGGTGGATAGTGTGGACAGCGATGGTAGTATACTGTTGCAGAGGAAAAGATCTAGAGACTCCAGTCAGAATGAGCAGCTGATGAAGAGCATGTCATCAGCCACCCGCCCGCCGCTGTCCACCCACACCGATGATCAATGCAAGCCCTGGTTTGAAGAACCTCTTCCTCTGCCGGTAGGGACCATTTAAGTTTCTACTGATGTCTCCCTTATGAACTTTATGTAGGCCACTGCTGCCGGGAAACTCAACATGAGCAAGTGGCACAAAGTAGCCACCGGCGTACTACATCGAAAGAGTATGATGAAGACCCCTCGCCGGAAGCGGCTGGCGATGTTGCCAAAGAGTCGGCTGTTGGGACGGTAGGTATTCAAGTCCTAGATGTTTACCTCACTTCTCATGAGATGTAGAACACCATTAATATCAATGTGGCAACCATCGACAATGCTGCCCCGAAGAGGCTGTCTTTACCACCTGTGACCTCTGTCTCTGCATATTTGCCATCATCACTTGAATCATCCCTGACAGTGAGCCACCCTGCAAAACTGCCACCACGGCACGTGCAACCGCCACCATCACACACAGAGCTTATGGATATTGATGTGCAGGCTGATACAGTGGTGAAGGACTTGCAGGCAATGACACTAGATGCTGCAAAGGACTTGGTATTAGTCTTGAAGAGTCATGAAGATATGTACAATACCATCCATAACCTTCACAATCAGGTCGTCGAACTCTGCGCTCGGAATGCTGCTGCCGCTGATTCCCTTGAGGCGTTGAATGTCCGTGTGGCTGCTCAGGATGCCAAGATGTGCAGTATGGAGACACTTCATGCCGATGTTGCCATGCTGCAAGACCAAATTTGCACTTTGCAAGCAGAATCCCGGACACATGAGAACCAACTCCGTGCAGCTGATGTTAAGTTGGCATCACAGGGAAGTACCACCGCCGTCCTGCAAGATGCCTATGAGGCCCTTCGACAATTTTTGATCCCCACTCCATCCATACCTCCCCATTACAATAACACCGTGTTCTTTCCTGCTTCCCACCAGCACCAGGTTTCCTATAATCAGAGCCTCAGTGTAGGCCAAGCACAGGCCATGGAAAGATTGTACTTCAACTTCACCCCAGGACCGTCCATGGCCACCGGCCCATTGGTCTCCACACTCTCAGCGAGTACTAGCATTCTGGGTGTCATCCTTGCACCCCCAGGGCCATCCACAGTTGCCGGCCCATCTGGGATGCATGCTCCCTCAGGCCCTTCTGGTAGTCATGTCATAGGGAGTTCTCAAAGCACTGGCAACCTCGGTGAATTGGTCTCTGCATTTCACCACAATTAGATAGCTTCTTGTCCATATATTGTTTCTATTTGTAATGCCTTTGAGTTGTTGGCGCCATCATGTTTCATAAATGCAGTGCTGAATTTAACGCTGTCATTCTTACCCAAATATCTCTGGTGTCTGCCGGCAACCACATGTCATTACATTTGGGACATGCTTTGCACCGGCAAGGCTTGGGCATGTGTCCTTCATTACCGGTTGCCCTGCATGTCTTTCTTACGTCCCATTATGAATGTTCTGATAAGCCCTCAACATAAAAAGTCAGCAAATATTCAGTTTCCATCCCTCAACCAATGAATCCCATTCCTGCTGATTGGGCATTGGCCACAACTCATCTTGCCAGCGAGTATGTCTCTCGACAGTTCTGTTCTATTGTTGGAGTGATGCCCAAAGTCCTCCCTCCACCCAAGCTCGATGTAGTTTTGCTTATGGCTTGCTCAAATCTTGCATGGCACCTCGCCGATGCATATCTTAATCCAGGTTTGACCTCGCCACCCGTCTGCCAATAGTTCTGACTCAGGTCGGCATTAGTGACAATTAACTTTGATATGGTCCGGTATTCAGATGTGTTGCATATGCAAGAAACAGGCATCAATCCCTGGCGCGAACAATCCCTCCTGGAGCGATTCCTGCTGGTTGGTCAACTTATGCTTGAGTGGCCTACTGTTGTCCTGGACAAATTTGGCCTTATTGTTCTATGGTATCTACCTGAAGCGATTAATGAAACCATACAGGTAGGTGCTCACCACCTGCCGATGATGTTTATTGACTTCTGTAGAATGATATGATGGCGGCAACCAAGATGATGTCCAATCATCTGTGTAAGAGTATCAGCCGAACTGCCGCCAAGAAGGAGAAATGGCGCACCCATGAGAGCAATTTTCAAACCAGTGAACACGGCCTCACTCCGGGTTGTATTAATCTATCTCCAGGATGGTTTCTGCAAGGTCATCCGGTACGTTGGTATTTTACACCTGGAAGTACTCGCTGATGTCACTAGGCTCCAAAGTTTCATCCTGAAATATTGGCAACCCTTAAACAGGACGGGTCAACTATATGTCAGGTGATCCGGTGGCCAGGCGGTCTTGGCTGCTGCTGCATTGAGAGTCATGCATGGCAGCTTATACTGGTCGTCTTTGACAACTCAGCTCGGCCTCAGTCTATGGGCAGACAATAATCAATTCAAGGACATGGGAAATTGCCTCAGACAATGGGCGTCTTCATTTACAGTTCTTGCCGTTATGTGCAATCATTGTTCACCCCTGCACAGAGACTCTCAATCCCTCGCTCAATGGTTTGATATCATAACCAGTATTGGCAATTATGGACCGGTGCAAATGAAATTGCCCAATATTGGCATTGAAATTACCTACAATTCAGGTGTGATGGTAGGTACTTCAGGCAGAATTGTTAGGCATGGTGTCGACAGGGTGAACAGGCGATAGAGTTAGCTGAGTGTGGTACATGAGGGATGATGTTCATAAATTTGTTAATGTACCCCGAGGTGACTATTCCAAGTACAAGTCAATAATCGCCAATGCATTCTGTTGCAGTTAGGGGCATAGCTGATATGGTACATAGGGATGACATTCATAAATTTAGAGCACTTTTTGTTGGTAGTGAACACCTGTCATGTGTCTGATAGATTGGCTCATGGCGCCGTGGTGCTGCGTGCCATGATTTGTTAGTTTCAGGCCTACCCGCTCCCTAACATACCGGGCCTGGGCCCACCACTGTACAGGACGCCGGCCCTAGGCCTGCAGTTGCTTCCACATACATGGGGTGAGCCCATGCTACACATCAATGGAATCTGGGCCCATCCAACAATCCAGTTGTACATGGGCTGGGCCAGGTTGCATCAACCTCGGTGGTGTTGTGGGCCTAACCGGTTAGTATCCATACAACCTGTGGGCCCATCCTGACAATTTAAGATAGGGCCCGCCCGAAAGCCAACATTCGTGGCCTAAGCCCACCTGTATTGCAATAGCTCCCTGCCCAGCCCAACCCTCCATCCCGCATTGCATGAATGGGCCCATTCCAGCACATGGCACCATTGAATAAACAACCGCCGTGTGAGGCCTCCGATGCCCGGTGTGAATGTGATGCAATCGCCGCTTATGGTAATCCTATTCCATCGCCGCCCATTAATCCGAGATGGTGTCCACCCATGGCATATCACGATCGCAAAGTGCCAACCTACCGGCGACATCTGTGCATGCATTCACCGGCTGTGACAGACAATCATGTCGGCTGGTGGCCATTCACTTTTTAATTCTCCGGCGTGTTTCACTGCCCATAATATCACCGGCAGTAGTATTCCAGTGACACCCGAAACCTGTGGGCCCACTTGAAACTGTTGAGCAAAACCTTTTCTGCTATATCTTGGGCCCGCCTGTAAGCACAATGTATTTCAATCCAGAGACCCATGGGCCCACCCCAACCTGGCGACGAATATGACCCATGGGCCCCATCCTAGCCATCAGGTACACAACAACAAAGAACCCACTCCATGACACTGACTTACAATCATTATGTGGGCCCATGGTGGGTTGGCCCAGGTCTATTGGCAGAAATGTCAAGGTGGGCTAGACAGTAAGTAAGGAGATATGTCACTGTATTATGTGGCATTTGAGGCAAACTTTCGGATAGTATCACGGCCAAAGGTCAGAGTAAGTCTGTAGCTTAGTGCCCCGTCAGTCACACAACATCAGGCCTACTTTAAAAGCTGCATACTGACGATCAAGTTCATGCACCAGTACATCACCTGTGTGAGCAGCACTCAGAATGCATATCAGGTGGGTGAACAGTGCTTTCCAGACACCAAGCTCAAACTCATGCATGAGGTCTACAACCAGCATCACAAACAGATTGAATCCAAGGAAACTAGCCTCTCCAAAAACGTGTTCTGAAAGATTATGGTTAGTATTCATACAAAGTGCCACGGCGATGCCAATGTACAGAAGTAGGTACCAATGACTGGTCTTTCAATATATTTTCAACATAGTTGCTGTGAACACCATAACCACTGTCATAGATGATTGAACGTGAGGTTGTGACTTTATTTTTCTGGGAATTGTCATCCATGTGTGCAAGGGTCTGGCATTGTTTCATGTCGAGTGACAAGCCCAGATTCTGAATGCAGGATTTCAGAATGAGGCATCAGGGACATGGGCAGCCACCCAGATTCCATATTGTAGCCAATGATACCCTGATAATGGATTGTGCAACCATTTAGTTGATTACCCCTCTAAGTAGTATAAGAATCGACTTACTTTTCTGGATAGTCAGCAGAGTATGTGAAGATCCGAGGGTAAAAGTGATGCTGAATTCCATCACAACTGTTACAGTCAACTGCAACATCTACAAGAGCCCCTGCTCTGCTAGACTCCTGACGCGGCAGCACGCCGCCAGCACTTAGAGCGACAGTGGTCTGGACCTGCTGTGACACCACCCCTGGCCTAGAAGGCCTTGTACCTGATCCTCTGAGGCTGTACGCCTCATGGTCACCCTAGATCGGCACATGTTGATTGTTGCCATCTCATGTAGACCCGGAGCGCATCTTGGCGCCTCACGCTTGATCAGAGGCTAAGCCTCATGTATCTTATCTGAACCTCATGGTTGACCTCAGTGGACTCTTATCTCATGATACCATAGATCCACAGATATACTATTAGATACAGACTGAGCTTGAACCCTTGTATATTGACATATATAAGTAGACAGATTATTGTACTAGATCCCTACTTTAATCTACTTGGTTTTCCCTTGAAACCTGTTCAACTAAGCCTCCAATTTAGTTGTCTCTTTCACCGCACTTCTAAGTCAAGCACCCCTTGTCTTAGTCGCATCCGCTAGACCTGTATCTCAACGAGTGCTGTCTTACCAAGATAACCTAAGGAACCCTTGACATTCCGTCAAGGCTACAATCCTCAGCTTCGGAGGGCACATTTGTGCCGTCGCTGAGAAGACTTATCCAAGTCTGTAACAACAACAGCATATCACAATCCTGTGCTTGCAGGCTTCTACAAACTTGTCATCAAGCAAAATCATCCATTGCGCGTGAAAAAGTTCTTTATGGCAATGTGCCATAAAGTCAGCACCAGGGCCTTTACTACCAAACTGCATTGTAGCAAAATCCTTGGAATTATCCGGAAGCTTGAAGATGATGCACACATGAGGATAGAATAAAAACCTGAAGAATAACATGGGCACCTATGTGATTAAAATAGGCGACATGACTACATAGCCGGCAAGAAGGTTTACATCTTCTGTACTTGGACTCATTCCCAAAAAACATGTAGCAGGGCCAGAGTTTGGAATTGCTAAAGGAGGTCAAATGTGTCGCGCCTGATCAAAACATGAGAGCGACAATGACGCGCTCTAAATCACACCCAGGCTCTGGTGGTGACTCTTGGAGTTCACGGTGCGCCTGAATGAAAGATTCGGATGTATAAAGTTCCCCATGAACACGAATGGGTCTTTCAGATCATCCATGATTCCAAAGCAGTTCATAGGGCTGATAGTAGAGGAGTTTGTTGTGCCTGACATTTGCAAGCTTTTCGCGAATGACAGATACGAGCGGTCGGTAATATAGGTCTGTGGTGAGATAATCACGGATGCCTGGGTTATCTGCGCGATTGGGAATGGGAATCTTGATATTAATTGCACTCTTCTTCCACCCAGCGCCTTCAAATGGCATATTCCCCTCTGCATCTTCTGAGCTAGATCCGAGTTGTTCATCGATCAAGTTCCAGCATGTAGAACAGATATCTTCAAGTCGAAACTCAGGATCGCAGACAATCCGTAACAATTCCTTGAAGCTCTTTGTGACTTCTGCAAACCCCCATTCCAAAACCAGTCGCCAAGCCCAAATGATGATTTGTTTGTATATGGGTAGAAAGCGTCCGGATCTTCCCCACTGCCATCATGATCCTGCATTGCATGCCTGGGCCTGCTGGGATCCTGACCTTCTGGGTCTAAATGTGTCAGAGTGAGGTTCTCCAAAGTAGTAACCTCATCTGGATTGTGAGTTGGCAGGCGGCTACTATAATATTGTCGTGAAAGTCCAAATATATTAGGAAGTGTGTGCAAGAAGCGCAGGGCGCATGACAGTGGTGAACTTGTATCCGAGACAGACGAAGGATCTGCAGCAGGGGATGGGGCTTGCTTAGCCATAGGTGGTGGTAGTGGTTGAGGGAGAATATCTTGAAACCATGCAGGAAGATGCCGGTTGAGGTGCCATGGGCGACGTTCTGCAAGCGACCGTGGATCTTCTACTGCCTGTGAGGCTTCCAGAGGACTGCATATATCCTAAAAGACCATTCCGGTGTGTGTGAGGAATGATAGCTAGATGAGAAGGGGAGAAAGGGGGAGAAAGGGTGAGAAAGGGTGAAGTGGGGTAAAACTCAAATAGACCTCTGGACGCGAGTATAGATTCGGCCCAAGGGGATTGCTACTGAGAATGATTCCTCTAAGTAAAATATGGAGGGGAAACTTAGAACTGGTAAGAGTAACTGAGAATGGAAGAGCGCGCGATGTTGCGCTTGAAGTGATGCGAGTGTGAGTGAGCCGCCGAATGTGCGATACGATGCGCGACCGAACGGCCGAAAGTTTGACGGAGCACGGAGGTGTGGAGAAAAGCCGACGGTTTATATGAACGCGCGACTAGCGGATATGCGAAGGGGATGCGACACGACGATAATGAGGGAAGAGAGTTCTGACGATAGATGCGATGAGCAATGCGTGAACGATAGCGCGACCGTTAATACAGCGCGCGATGTAGTCGGCCGAAGGTTTCTTTTAGATTCTGAGTCTGAGTGTTTGCGTGCAAACAGATGATAATTTTGATAGTGGGAAAAGAAGGTACATGAAAAATCCTAAGTCTAAAGTATATATGATAGCGCGCGTAGCACTGTTCGGAACCGAGAAGATAGCAGTAACACATATTAAAGGTCCATAATGCAAGTAACGAAACATACGCGATATCACCTCCGAAAATATAATCAGTCTAACGCGAATGAGATAAAATATGCACCAATGGACAGCAGAGGACATGGATAGGACGGAGGAAGGACACGCGACGGAACTGACGAAAAACGGATGCGAACCGAAGCGCGCGCGTGAGCTGCGGCCGTTGGCCGACGATAGAAAGGGTGTGCACTGTGGTAGTGATAGCGCACGCTGCGCTAGGACCTGAGAGACACTGCAAAAATAGCCTCTACGAGGCTACAAGGACTACAAGTCCTACACCGGTATCAATGGTAAGAATATGATCTGCATTCAGGATGAACACTCACATTGTGTTCAATTTCGATGCCTGCCATGGGAAGCTCTGATCCTGATCCTGAATTTCCACCGAATTCTACTCTGTCAATGGTGGTAGCAGCCTGCTCGGAACTGAACTCTGATCCAGAAAATTTATAATCCAGTGGTGGGCGCACCGTGCTCTCTCCTGGTGTAGAGATACAACAATTGCTGGACACTACACGAAGTAAGTGTTTAGCAATATAAAAATGTTGTGGTCGTGCACAGCCTAGTCTGCTTATACTTGCAAGACAAGTGCATTCGACCCGAGGGGCTTGCTGTTGGTATTAGAATAATCAGTTATATCAAAAGGAAGATAGTCCGAAGCGCGGGAAACAAAGTCCGAAGGTATAATTAGGAGTCCGATGTCAAAAATGTCAGGTCCGATGTTTTTGGGTTTTGGGTTAGCGGGTTTGCGTCAGGTTGCATCGGGTTAGCGTCGGGTTTGCGTCGGGAATATAGCAAATGTCAGGGATAGCGAATGGCGGGTTACTGTCAGATGTTTTGGATAAAGAATGGATAATATTGTGGAATCCAACTAAGAACTACAAATATCGGATGACCTCCTCCTACTCGGAGGTAGAAAGGTAAAGTAATAGGTAGGAGGTATGCAAAATATATAGTGTCTATGTAGAAATTCGGAGTGCTATAGGCGAAAGTAGTAGCGCTGATTTTCGGGTCCGATGTCCTATGTAATAAGACATGATGTACTGTGGACATGTAATAACGTGTTCTACAATGTTAGCGACATGAAAATGAATGACTGCACACCTAGTGGGGATAGATATGACAGGACAAGACATAGGGAGGACAAGTGCACAGGAAAATATTGGGTCCGATGCGCAGGAAACATCGGGTCCGTCGGATTAGCGTCGGGTTTAGCGGGTTAGTGTTGGGTTTAGCAGATAAACATCGGATTGAGCAGATGAGTGTCGGATAACATTGGAAGTGATTCATGTGTTTGACATGCATGGGAAAATAGCTGAATACGAGCCTAGCGCGAGCTCGAGTGCTACACCAGTGAAGTTTGAGTTGTCGCATTATAGCTAGAAGTTGAGGTAAACACAGCTGGCTCACCATGTTTGTCTTCTTGACGCAACTTTTTTCTTGTAGTCCATACTTCTTTGGTCTTTGCTAGTGCATTCGAAAGGCATTTCTTTCTCTTTCTACACGTTCATTGATGGTTTGCATATGCATTTAGCTGAGCAAAGCTTCTTCCGCAAGTACAATTAGTCGAGTATGCTGCCAAGTACACGTCTGGGGAAGACGAGAGTGAGTCATCCATGGAAGTTCAGGTCTGAGTCGATGAAACAAATTAGATACAAGTAATGACTCAGGAGCACGTGGGTTCTATAGTCGAAGTAGTAGGCTGCCGGCGGTAAGTACAGTATCACGGAACTCAAGTCCTCAATATCTCTTAGATGCAAGTAGAAGGTACCCACAGTAGTAGAGGCTACCAGTTACTGGTATCGGATCCGGAAATTAGGCTGGTATTTACGTGTATAGTGCTCTAGAAAGAAATATCACAGTTGAGATGACAAACTTGACCGAACTACAATGATTACCTGAAAACCGAAGGCAATTATAAAAGCTTGCAAGCTTGAAGATGGTTAGTCGGTTGCACAAGTTGAATCTTCTGGCGCACAGATGGCTCTTACTCATACAGAGACCGACATCACAGCTGAAAAACTTTCGAGGGAGCAGATGAGTCAGCAAGCAAAGCTTGCAGCTTGCGTCAGCAGCAGCATGAATGCTGTGCTCGAACTAGACGAGACTGGAGAAACGCTCTGTGTATGGTATTGGTGTGTTAGCCAAGTAGTAAAGGTGTCTTGAAGATCTCACCTTTTTGTTGGATGCAGGCCAGTTAATGAGGATGGGGAATGCTGTAAAGAGTTGATTCTATGTGGGCGCTGCAAAAGTGTTACCTTAAGACTCAGAGTGCGAGTGAGATGTTCGTCCCAAAGAGACTGCCTATAGAAATGCTCCTTGATATAAAGCAAGGGATATCTTGTTAAGATCGAAGTGAGAGAAGGAAAGTTACCAAGAGTGCACTCGGTGTTCTGAGGATATGTCCGAAGTACCAAAGTACTCGTCCGAAGTGGTCTGAAGGTAGTCCGACGTCTAGAAATGAAGGTCCGAAGTTGCGCGAAGCGTCTGAAGAGCTTCCGATGAACAGTGAGTGTTCTGAGAAGTATGGCAGGTGTATCGAAGTATAAGATTTTGCGAAGTATAACTAAGCAAAGACTATCGGGAGAACTTAGAGACAGCGAGGAGCGAAATGGCAGCGGTCAGGCCAAACAATCATTCCAAATGAACAAAGATCGATTGCGCGAAGTACGACTATCCGAAAGTGACTCTACTAACTATGACTCATAGCAGGGAAAGTGAAGTGAAGTGCGAGTAGCTAGCGAGGCAGATTATATCCTACAGTGTGAAAGTCTGGAAACTGCATAGGCGAAACCAGTAGTGAGATAAGACATCCGAAATGTAATAAGACTCAAGGCGAGCCGCTACAGAGATATGCATGTAATAAGATGCAAGGTGTGTATAACTGACGGGCCGATGACATATGTGCCCCTAGACATAATCAATAACAGATAACCAAGTGAAGAACGCACCAGCAAAGTCAAACGGACATGGACGGGACATGGTACGGAGGATCGGAACTGTATACAGGCCTCGGAAATGGACGGACGACCTTCGGACGACTCGGACAAATGCACAGAACCCTCGGAAGGTAAATGGAGTGTCGAGGAATGTGTATGTGGAATACCTATGAGTTTGGCAAGATACGAGCCCAACGCCGATCCGAGTGCTACAATGCATCATTCCTTCAGACCTAGTAGTGTATCGAAACTCTCACCAATTCCGAGCACCACACTGCCTTTGTGCATTCATGGATGACCACGACCCTGTCAATCACCACGAGGCTGCCATAGTAATCTCAATGCGGGGACTGAATGCAGGACAGTACGTAGCATGCTGTGCATTGAGCAAATGCGGTTATGTTGGTAAGTTAACGGGTTGTCAAGATTAAGCTTCAGGTCACCTGATGAGCCTGCAGTCTGTGTTGAGCGAATGCACACTTCACTCAGCTTGCCCATCAAGTGTTATCTAAGACGAAGTGGGGCTATATCTGTAACTGTCAATGGCATCACTAATCTAACATGTCTCATATTAGGACCTGATGAGGCTAGACCACTTGAAATCATGTTTTTTGACGGGAATGGTACATACTACATGGAACAAGTTATGATTGCATGGTAAAAGATACTTATTTATACATAGACATCAAACTAGAACTCATCCAATGGCGCCAGCTTTGGTGAAATGAAAAAACACTCGACAGGCTGCTGAAATTGGACTCCTTTACCCAGCCCGGCCTCACAGTGGATGAATTCCACGGATTTCTTACACAGTGCAATGGTTGTGAGCTGATAATGACAAGGCAGATGTTTGAGCATCACCATTGTGTAGGAAAGCAAGGAGCCGAGGTTATTGATTTAACTATGGAAGAAAATTAGTACTATGTAGTAGCAGCAGAACCAGGAATGCGAGCCTTGCAACACAAGCGGGTGTGTTTGATGTTCCGTGTCGAGTAAGTGAGGATGCTGCGAATTCAGAATATTCAAGATTCAAAAGTGCAGCCATACTGACTCGGACATGTAAAAGTCCACATTCAAGTCCCAAGAATAGACTTCGTCGAGCTTGCATGCTGGTACCCATCGATAAGGAGTTTACAACTCATGACATGAGTCACAGATTAACAACATTTCTCAGAGATATAACGGTAAAGAGATCGACATGTGGAGTACATAATTCCAACCATATCGACGATTGTACGAGTGAATTGGGAGGGTAACAGTAGCCGTTACAACATATAGATATAAATGTAAGCATAAATATAATAGTGAACAATTTGTACGGGCAAGCACACACCATGGTCATGAAATGCGAGAATAGATATGATAGGGATTAATCTTTGTATGGATGTCAAGAGTATTCCTCTTCATCTGACCTATCCAAGCTCGACACATCACTATCCGGATCATCACCTGAAGGTGTCAGGCTGGAGACATGCAACACACCACGGGTAACACCAACGTTGGTGTCAGCTTTGTGCAGTCTCTGGTGTGTCTGTATTTCCACCAGACTGTAAAGTTCCTTTTCAATGTTGATGTGTTTCAGGTGCCTCTGGATAAGTTTATACTCTGCACAACGCTCTGAGTGTTTAGCGCTGATAAGAGCAACAGTGAGGTTGCTATCACAACGTGTCCCCAGAATGGAGGAAGACAAAGAGCATCCACCTTATTCATTCACATCAGTCACACGATAACAATGAAATCTGGCAATAGTATGTACAGACGAAGGCTCCTGCAAGTCAGATTGATGGGAGGCAGCTGGAGAAGGGTATGTGTCCCAAAGTTGTTGGCTTAATACGCGGCTGCACCAGGCAACACAATCATTGCCCTCAAGAATTGGTTTAAGGTTATGTGGGCCATTAGATCTAGGGAATGATAAAGAGTCAAGAGTAGGTGGACGTGTGGAAGACATGGTTTAGGTCAGCCAACTATGGTTGAATTCGTTGAAAATAGTAACTTTTAGTATGTTTGGTCAAGTTTAAGTAGTTGAATTTTGGGTTGTTCCGAAGACAAATCAAATCAACTCAGACTCTCACACACAAATACATCATGTAATAGGCAACAGAACTGACAACAGAACAGGCAACAGAATTTTTATGATTATGTAATATGATGTAATGTAGCTCGTTTGGACCCCACTGATTGAGTGACGAGCTAGGGTACAGGTCCAGCGTTCCTGAGGCAAACACCATGCAATCTCGTGTTATTGCAGTGCTTCAGAGAGTAGATGTCGAAGGTTGGACTCTGCTGCGCCCTGAGTTGGACGATTCCTCGATCATAGTGCTGAATTTGCATGAGCGTGCTACTGAATTACATGAAGCGGTGCAACAACTCAGATGTACGTCTGGGACCGGTTATCAGCTCTTATTGAAACAGAGCCAGGAACTAATTGACTTGATGGGGAGACGGCTTGCAGTAGAAAGGGAAATCATATCAATAATAGATGACAGGGGTGTTGAAGCTTACGATGAGGCAATGCTTACTGACTCGCTCAGTTGGCAGACAATAAGTTGATATATCAGGCAGTTTTTAGAATTACATCATCACACGACTGAATTGTTGACTTACTACTATAACACTGTATCCGACTTGAACTTGAATGGTCGGAGGTCAAAGACGGCGAGACCTGAAGCACTACCAGTGCAATTTCTATGCACACAACGCTGCTGCTTCAAAAGCAGTGATTAACAATACAAATGATGCACCTCAACACACTCACAATGCTCAACAATGCAAGCATAGCAGTTTCGAAGCAGGACCAAGTGGACGTCTAAATGTCTCTTCATCTTACTATACAGTTCCTAACTCTCCAGGTAAATGTCGTCGTGGAGAATCAGAAGTCCTGTTAGACACCACGGATCTCAACCTTTTAATTATCGATGACTTTTCTGATAACCTTCAGAGCGACACTTCGGAGCTTGTAGAATTCACTAAACCAAAATGTACTGGGGTTCAGGGTGAGGTCTTGCATTTATGGCGATCTGATTCTGACTTGTTTTTGGAGGAATTCCTCCGCCTGGAGGGTCAAGGTGACTATTACAAGACATTTGCGTTTGCGGTGAGGAAGCAGCGACATATCGTTGTCAGGATTGTCATGGTTGCGAATTATTTTGTCATTTGTGCATGATCCGCATACATGACAGACATTCCGCTTCATAGAATGGAGGTATGTGTATATATACTTTACATTTCTTACATAGACTGACTCTTTTGCACTTTGAACTTAGCGATGGGATGGTATCTCATTTTACAGTGTTACCTTGAAGTCCATGGGGATCCGTTTACAACTTGGACATGCTTCTGGTGTTCGGTGCATCAACCCACTCCCTGCTCACAACGACGACTTTGTTATCATCGACTACAACGGCATCTATGAAGTAGGGTTAGATTTCTGTGGATGTGCATATGCCGAACTGCACATCATTCAACTACTACAGTGTTCGCCTCTTTCCTGCCACAACAGTTGATCCGAAAACAGCTGCAACATTTTGGGCACTGGAATACTTTTAGATGCTGTCTTTTGAGTCCAAAGTCTCTGCGTTTGAATTCTACAAAACAGCTGCTTGTTTGACAGACAATACTGGAATTCATATACCAAAGGTATGTACGTGCTAATTCTATTATTATTTCAATTTATCATATCACAATCTAGGATCGTTACGAGGCGTTGTTACACATGATGCGAGAGTGGCGCTTCATCAAGCAGATGAAATGTGCTGGTCAAGGTCATCACCCCTGATGGTATTGGTGCAACTAAACCAGGTGCCTGCGCCGTTTTGTGTCCTGCGTGTCCCCACGCAGGCAAAAACTTACCAGATGGATGGGAAAATGCACCATCCGAAATACGGTATGTATAACACCACCTTTCTGCCTGACTTCTTCTCACACAGTCCTAGATTTTTATGTGCCTTATTCCTTGCCATCAACGCCAATTTCCTGTCTCGCTCGCTGTAATGTCTCTTCGGACATCGTTGATCCGGGTCTCAATCAGTGGATATGCATTTTTTGTGGAGGAACATGCATATAAAGATTTCATTGGTTCACACGAGCAAGTCGTCCAGGAGGTAAATTCAACATTTATTTCTCGTGAGCACTAAGTCTAACTCTCTGTAGTTGAGTTCATGCTCCAGTCACAACACGGTCAACCTTGCAGATTTGAGAGTCTCACGTGGCCTTGCAGCCACTGGTGCCGGTACTATTGATTGCGCAAGACACAATTTCAAACAGCCCTGCTCAGTTGGTGACCTACAGAAGGGCGAAAGGTGCGCAACATTCCACATTCTTGCTGTATTGCTAACAACAGAACTTACAGGTACCTTAACATGGATTATTTATTCTTCTCGAGCATGCAGTCTTCATCGGAGATATTGACATTGAACATCTCATACGATATCGCTTGTCAATGGAGCAAACATCTCTGGACACGAATGTCCGCCTTCCCACACCAGTACCACATCAAGCATGACCGAAAGTCAATCACATTTCTCATACCAAAATTCCACCTGCCAACCCATGTGGCCAAATGTCAGTCAAACTTTTCCTTCAATTTCATTAAGGGCATTGGTCGCACAGATGGTGAAGCTCCCGAGCATGGCTGGGCCGACATAAACCCCATCACAACAAGCACATGCAAAATGGGTCCCGGTTCAAGGCGCGACACCTTAGATGACCACTTCAACGACTGGAACTGGAAGAAGATCTGTGCAATGGGTAAGTTTTTTGCCTTGAACATCTGAATTTAAAGCATCACTGTCTCTTAGGTTTGATTTTCCACCGAAAGTACAACTTTGCATTAATTGAGGTGCAAGAACACGTCGATGATCTCATTAATTTTGAAGCTTCCCTAGCTGCAGATGAGTTAGTTGAATGGAGGAGGGACATTGAAGCATGGGAGGCAGACCGTTCACAACCAAACCCATTTGAAGGCAGAGCTATGACGAGTACGTGTACTCTATATTGACACATTTTGAGAAGCTGATGGCATTTTCAATAGCAATGACTCAGGCTGCCATGCGCCTAGCCTTATCAATGGCTGAGGCTGCAGAGATTGAGTGTGACAACAACATGTCCCTACACGATGATATATCACCCTCTGTGTTAATTTCATCAGGATTAGAACTCAAAGATCAGCAGTTGAGTGTATATTTCTGGATGTATTGAATCACGCACTGACTCTATTCTAGGCACCGTCTTGGCTTTGATGCCAAGGCGATTGGACAACACACTACAGATGTCCAGAAGGGCAAGATCTTACAGCGCATGAATGCTCTTCGCCGACGCATTGACACCTGGGCCCGGGTGCAGGTGTTGTATATGCCTAGTGTCTCCCGCCTGCGGTCACCAGATGACATTGCCACTGAAATGAAGGCCCACAACATCAGCCTTTTTCTGCTGTCCTCTCTGCCCCAGCGAGTGCCATGTGACGACCGCTTGCTCAAACATGAGTGGGAATTGCGTGAAGCTCAGGCATACAACACACTGAATGACCTCCGCACCGTGCTTAACCTGCGATACCACCTTTACAAGTATAAGGACACCTTTATTTGGGGACAGCGAGCAAATACCCAAGCAAATGGAATCATCAACAATGCTGAACATCGCATCGACACCTTATCACTTAAGTATTCCACCGCTAGAGATGCACTCGTGAATCTGGCAGCAAGGCTAGGTAAGACCGATGACTGGGAGAGGAGCCTCAAGCCACTCAACAAGCAAAGGGATGCCGTCCCACTCAAACACGACGATGGCCGAACGGTGGGGCAACAAAGTATATCATGGATCTGGAGGACTTCAGGCTTTAACAGCAATGAGCTAGGGCTACAGGACTGTAAGTAGGCTCTAACGACTGGTGCTTCTTGCTGACCTGGCCATTTTATAGCGCTACATGTTGAATGGTGTAAGGCGCGAGCACGAGCTCATCGCTGGGAGGAAGAAGTACAACTACTACGGGAGGAAATGCGCTGCATTGTTGCATTTCTTGACTGGTAGGCAGGCTGGTGGGACATGCAAGGTCTGCAGCGTGCTTTGAACTCACTGCAGGCTGGAGAGGGTGCTCTTGCTTATGTGCAGCGCCAGGCTAATCTACATCGACAGATGGTCATACACATCAAATCTGTGTGGGCAGCCAACCCTTCATGGCAAGAAGCTCCCCTTCTTGCAGTCCATCTTCATTCCGAGTTGCCAATGCTGAACTCCCATTCCCCTGTCCATTCAAGTGTCTGTCATGACTTGATTTGAGGTTATAATGGAGAGGATGATGAGGGCAAATATATAATCTACTATATTTCTGTGTTTACAAGTGGTGAGCGCCACACCTAACAGACGGGCTGCAACAAGAGAACTATGACATCATTTGAACTATTTGATCCTGGCTCATGATTGGTGGAAACATCAATCAGTGAGCCCCGAAGGTGATATATCATGCAAGCCCAGAGCTTTGAAGGTGGTATATCAGATATTTAAAGGTGATGTATCATGAAAGGCTTGAAAGTGATGTATCACGCGAGGTGATACCAAGGTGATGTAACACGACTGGAAGTGATATATCATGTGAGCCTCAAGGGCTTTGAAGGTGATATATCACATCATGCGAGCCCCAAATACAACTGAAAGTGATATAGCACTCGAGCCTTAAGGGCTTTGAAGGTGATATATCACGTGAGCCTCAAACACGACCGAAAGTGATACATCACGCGAGTCCCAAATACAACTGAAAGTGATATATCACTTGAGCCTCAAGGGCTTTGAAGGTGATATATCACATCACACAAGCCCCAAATACAACTGAAAGTGATATATCACTCGAGCCTCAAGGGCTTTGAAGGTGATATATCACATCATGTGAGCCTCAAACACGACCGAAAGTGATACATCACGTGAGCCCCAAATACAACTGAAAGTGATATATTACATGAGCCTCAAGGGCTTTGAAGGTGATATATCACGTGAGCCTCAAAGGCTTTGAAGGTGATACATCACAGGACAGGCAGCGAGAAAGGTGAGGGAGGTGATACATCGTGGTTTATGGACCACAGGCTCTGATATAACATCAGCCTTCTACAATACTAGACATTGATATATTATACCTACAGGATATTGTGGAAATGCTGACCATCAGCAATGCTTCTTCTCAGCCCCCAGAGTCTGGTAAGGATGAATGCTGATAACATCTACTTCGATATGCTTACAATATAGCAGGACTCCAATGCTGTGAAACTGGTGAGACTGAACTTTTGAACCTCCTGCATCCAAATATCATTAAAATAGTATGTTTATATTGTTGCTTTGGCTCTTCTAACTCAGATGTATATCTACAGGTATACTCTGAACGGTCTGTGTTTATAAAATCAATGAGGACTTGTGTCCAGAGTTTTGTTGAAGAGCCGAAGAAAGCCTGTTTGGGCAGATTTTCTTTGAAGACCAAAACATCGGAGGAGGCTAAAGTGCTTATTCAGAATCTTACCAACATGATGGATTGGAATAGTGGTGTCACATCCTAGACTCGTGACCAGTCTGATGTACGTCACATGAGAGTGGGGAATTTTTGACGTAGTCAGACTGGTCGATCTCGGAGAAATTTGGCAGGCAGAGCATGGAGTTCAAATTTTAGCAGGTGCTGGGTGTGCCAGGTGTCATCGTACATCTAGACATTGTGACAGACACTATACTGTTTTGCTACATCTCTATGTTATGACCATGAGTTTCAACATTGGTTCTGTATTACCTATGTCCATATCAGCTTTGAATGCTCTTGAAAACCTTCCAACTGGACTTTACAAACACACTTTCAACGATACAGATCCAGCAAGTACTCGAAGCTTTCGCACACCTTGATTTTGTCTCAGAAGGCACCAAAATTCCGAAGTTATTTCAACTCAAGGCTCTCATATCTTTGCTTGCAGGAAGACATGTGGTTCTTTGAGCTGCAACGGGCTCTGGAAAGACACTCTGCATGATTTTACCTTTGCTTCTCTCCCCCGACAAGATGGCTATCACAGTTACACCTTTAAAATTGCTTCAAAAAGATCATGTATGCTGAATATTTGAATATCACTCTCATTGCATGAAATTTGCGCTTCTGGATTACAGGTCAAGGAATTCGAGGAGTATGGGGTTCGTTCAATTGCAATCAATCATGACACTCCTCATGATAAGACACTCTGGAGTTAGTAGGGCATACTGCAGTGGGGGAGTATAATATGGAGCAAATGGTATCATTTGAAGTATCCCATTTAAATTTTAGTGATGCAACACAAAAGTGAGAAAGATGTGGTACTCTATGCAGTGCGCGAACGAAAGTTTCTGAGTGATTGATAGTCGACAGTAACTATGTAGCACTATTACTTCGACCGGCACCTGCTAAATTGAAACTCCATGCTTCGCCTGCCAAATCTCTCCTGAGATCAACCAGCCTGGCTACGCCACTCGACTTGTCCGTGGTTATATAAGCCAGGCTGGTCCTGAGCCTAGTCACATCCATCGCTTTTACGTTTGACGACAACTATGTATTTGTTTTTGCTTATCACAATTATCTGATTACAGGATTAACCTGTAACGTTCCAGAACCCATACCACAATAAGACCCTGTTGGCAATGCTTGCGCATCAGATCATCCGACCCGTCCATGGCCATCTGGAATCACTTCTTACTCTCTTCCCTGAGTCCTACACGTCCCTTCCGAAACACCTCATTTCCAGAATATGTACTCTGGTGCGTCATGTCTATGTTTCAGAACTTGGAACTCATAGCTTTCAACAGATTATCGCATTCTTTAGGTCATATCTTAGTGACCAAAACCTCATTTTTACCCACTCCTTGGATGAGGAACATCGTCGCCAGCTAGACTTTCTTACTGCAGCTCGCTCAGGCATTGATGAGCAATCTATGGAGCTGGAATGTTGGCTTACCACGTGTGGCGGCCCTAATGGCTGGAAAACAGCACTGTAAGTCAACTCAGTTCAAGTTTTTCTCCTGCTCAATCTCATGTGCGCAGTGAACAGGCATTGAGGCAACAGAATAGACTATGAGGCCCGTCCAGGAGATGAAGGTTTTCATGCATTGAAGATCGAGTTGAAGCAATGTATTATCATACTACTAGTTGCATGCAGATATTTCTTGTAGTACCAGGAGAGATTGTTTTCTGCACTTTGACCCCTCAGGCACGTCGCAGAGTCTCGATCTAAGGACTCAAAGTCTTTGTTTTTTTTTTTTGTTTTGAATCCAATTTATGTCCTTTGCAGAGTTGTACTCTATGTAGGACACTACTTTCTAAACTAAGGGACCCCCGGTGTCCCTTTTTACATCCCCAAGTGCGCGAATGCCCTGACGTAGGGCATACCCCTGTCAGTCCGCCGTTCCCGCTGGCCATTTTAGACGCGCCACTTTGATGGGGGGGGGAATGATTTATGCATGCTCTACATGTTGATGTATTATCTGTGTCTTAAAATAAACACGTACTCAGTCAGTGTGAAGTGATCTAGTACAGGAGTCAGGTGGGCATTGAACAGGAGTTTGGGTAGTCTTGGGGCTGATCTGACTATCCTGGGTCCGTATGTCTTATGCCGCTGTGGGCGCTTGATTCCGTGTAGGTGAGTGGATGAAGGTTTTGAAGGTGTTGTACAGGGTGGTGTGGGATACATTGGTGTTACATGTTGGATCTACAAAGGTATGCTGTATCAGGCTGTCGGTTTACAAGGTAATGGGATCACACCTATCGTGTTTTTGAATCTTCCAGTGGTATTGATATAGCGCACTAGGTGTGGCATTGCGGCTGGGTCTGAGAGGAGGAAGGAGATAGATGAGGCTTCGCAGCCTAGGGCTAAAGTCATTACATGACGTTCATGGCGGTACTGGGGGCAGTCTAGGAGGAGGTGAGGTACAGTCTCGTTGACTCAAAGTCTTGCTTCTGAGCATTACTACATTAAGCGTGAAGTTTCGAAATACCATATTTCGCTTCCATTAGTAATCATTATGGCACCGTGGACGACCATCAGAAGAGTTCAGATTGAAACGAGTCAGCATGGATCAAACCTTGATAACAATCTGCTCCATCATCTCTTGAAAAAGGACACACTGCAGTATTTTTGCATACATACTGTAATGCTTACTCAAGTTCAACTTCTAGAGGCTACTGGGCAATATATTAGCCCTTGACATAAGACACCAGTGAACAACATAGTAGTAAGTTCTAGCATCCAACTTGAAGATGGCTGACCACCACACCAGCTTATCATCTGCAAAAGTATTTGCTATTCCATCATGTTCTTTAGAGTCAGTAAAGTTCACCTTTACCTCAAAAGCTCAATCCTACTAACTCAGGCCCTTCCTATCTTGCAGCCTCTAGTAGGCTGGGCACCTACCGGTGGCATGTGTTTTTAAAACCATACCCCATCCCCTTCCAAGGTCTTCATTTTACTTTCAGGTGACGGCTTCCGGGGTGCCGAGCAAGGGGCAATGACAATGCATTGTTCAGGGTGCATTAGATATGGTATGGCGCTCATTCACAATCTGCAACCTCAATTGATTGATCAATCGATGTTATCCAGTAACTGTGTTCCTGCTCTCTGCGGCTGTCCTTGGATTGACAGCCAACTTTGCAAGATTATTCTGCATATCAATCGTATGTATCCCCGTATCTCTATCAGTTATATGGACACCTGAATGTCTTCTTAGGAGATTTTGTTATCTTTGCCCTGATTCCACCCATAGCCACTATCTCTGCATTTCTGTGGATGTGAGTTGAACACACCACTGATCTGCCTTACTTGGCTCATGCCTTGACAGAATGCAGTTCTCGCAGCCAAAGGTGGAGGTGACACTCCCCATTGTGATTGGTGTACTATGGCTAGGTAAGCTGGCAGTGCTACCCCCTTACCCTTTTTTCTACATCTGACTAACTTTATTGATTCAAATCAACAGCATTGGGCACATGGTTTGCATAAGTGCATAGTTTCTTGATGCACAAATGGTTATTGACTGCACACTCAAGGGATGTCATCGAATAAGAGCAATACTCTCCTTTGCAAAGGACAGCAATTGTGGTCGTTTATGGCCGATACTATACATATTATAGCTAGACTGGTTTGGGGAACTTCCAGGATACCCCATTCAAGCTATATACCCGCAAGCTCTGATGTATGGAGGCTGTGGTCAGCTATATTCAACCATAGGAGCATGCCATGTATAACAGTTACCTATGCCAAAAGTCTCCAAGGCAGCGTGCTTTCCCTGAAGTGGCAGAATCCTGTTCCTTCTCTTGCTCACAATGTGAAAGTTAACCACGGTTTTCACCGTGAACGGACGTCTGTGTTACTTCGTCCTGCTAGCCTGGACTGGTATCACTCAGAGTGCGTGATATCTTGCTTGCCTGTTTGCTTGGCATGCAGAAAGCTACTCATCTCGTGTGTCATTGTTGCTGATTTCATATACTTGACTCATGTTTCTTACAGTAGACGTTACTTGTGAGTCAACCAATTCTTGGGCCTATTGATGCTGAGGTATCTTTTCCGGCCACCATAACGAAGCATCATCCCACACATCCGTTGCATACCATGTGTATGGATATCTCACCTCAATATTGGAACCCAACTTTACTGGACCCTAGGTAAGTTAGAGACGATGTTTGACGATGGTGAAGAAGTATCGTGACCTGACACCTTGCTTCAGGATGTAGAGACTGTGAAGGCACTCATTTCTGACAGGAAGGAGCAATGCAAGTGTGTGTTGCTGCTGTGACTCGACTCCATAGTTTCTGATGAATAATTAGCTGCTTGAGGTTTGGGATGTCAACTTCTCGTTCATGCTATCTTTATCTGGAGATCAACCTGTGCCAGTTGATATTTGCACTGAAGGTCCTCGTTGGTCAGTACGTTCTGCTCTAGTAAATCCATCACAATTGCCCGGTGCACCGCCCCAAGTACGTGAAACTTTCCCATTCTTCGCTCCATAACTCACCAATGATTAGTATGATCATTTGCATGCTGGGGGCTACCTATCTCTTGATTCTCCAACTCCAGCCTTACCCGCCATGGGCATTCAGGCAATAAAGGAACACTGTACACGAGTTAGCGTCGAAGGTCCGTTATAAAAATTGCTGTGGGCTTTGTCACTCACCACACTATCATAGGCTTCTATGGTGGGCTCAAGCACTTCGCTCAATATGGACCAGATTACCAAAGGGTATTGGATTGCTACCTGGGGACTAACAAAGTGCACAATGAAGCTTTAGTACAAATTTGTGGTGATGTTGGGGACCTTCCTGGGTATGATTATTCCTTTTGTTTTGACAAGATGTTTATGCAACAAAAATAATAGGCTGGAGATGTTCAAGATCCACCCCGTCATCTTCGACTCCGCGATACATATCCTGGTCCATCCGATTTTTACCCATCTCACCAACAAAACCTTGTATTATCTTCCTTCTCATCTGCAAAAACTGACAATCTATGAAACACTTACTACATCCCCATTCCCACGGTCTCTCTATGCTCATGTTGTTTTTTGCCAGTTGACACCTGTGAGTCTGTTTATTATCAAAATTTCTATCGGTGACTTATTGTAAAGCAGAATCTCTGGTATATGATGTTGCCCTTCTGAATGAAGACGGAAATCATCTATGCACGATGCAATCATTCAAAGTTGCTCTCCATGGGGAGTCATCTCTATATGAGCCGAGATGTCGCTTCGATTTAGTGTATGAGCCCATCACACTCAACCTGTCTTTGTGCCGTTACCTGACCCCGGAAGAACTTACAGCAGATGACCAAACCAGAAATAGCTCAATGGACCTAGTGGCCACAGATGCTGGAACTTCCTCATCGTTGTCATTGCTCAACGTTATTACTTATGAGCATGGAAAAGAGATGGAACTTCAGCCGATATTATCTGCATGGGATGCCAATGTTCCATGCTCCATCTATTTTACGGCATGCACTGGTTGGGACGGGGATGGGGCTGTTGGATTCATGCGATCCTTATGGAAGGAATACCTTTTGTGGACAATTTGGGCTGTGGTGTTCAACTTGGTTTGGGATGATGAAAGCATAAGCTTTTTTTGAGATTGTTGTTAATGATATCAATGGCATTGATGTCGACAAGTGTGTCTCTACTCCTCCAACGACCTTCTTACCTGGAGGTACTGATTCCTAATCTTTAGAATTCAATTCAAACCAACTAATCCTCCTGCCAGTGAGTGTTATTTATGAATTCTGTTCATTCTCATGCTAGTCCTAAGTAGCAACCTATGGCATGTCTGTTTTCTCTCTCCCGAACTGCTGTTACGACTGGTTCATCAAGTTGAAGGCTAGCCTAGAACCTACAGTCAATCTTGTTCTGTTCTTTTGACCGTCATGACAAGCTCTCCAATGCCTGACATTGGCTCTCTATCTCTCAATCCTCGCCTCCATGACAACTATGATGGTGACAACAGGCAACAGTATCAATTCAACACAAACCAGCAACTTTCAGGCCAGTTGAATCTTCTAGGCGGTATGACACCATCTCCTCTCAAGATGAAGCCCACCCGTGCTGGTCTTCCCACCATAAGTCATTTTCTTTTGAAAACATCCTAATATCAAAATCACTCCAGATAATTGCCCTCAATTCCCTTGCAACAACTTGGATTTCTCTTCCTCTGGTAGTTCTCCCCCTTTGGTCATCTACAAGCATCTGCTCTTGCTCCTTTGACACCTAACCAAAATACTGAAGATGAGGTTATACCAACCGCCATCGTCGTCAAGAACATTCCTTTCAATGTCAAGCGCGAGACCCTCCTAGATATTATTGTGAGTTCATTATGATTTCCACCATGAGATCTGACTAATGCCTTTATTTTAGACTTCTTTGTCTATTCCTACTCCCTACACATTCAACTACCACCTGGATCAACAAGGCTCTTTTCATGGTCTCGCTTTTGCTAATTTCCCACAAGCAGCAGATGCTGACGCAGTTGTGGCTGCTTTGAATGGATTTGATGTTCAAGGTCATAAGCTTTGTGTCAAGTACAAGAAAGTTCTTCAAGCTGGAGAAAAAGAGCATATTGAATGAGAAAAGGCTATTAGGCGAATGCGTTCCATGCAACTCGAAAAGGAGCAACAACAGGCAGTTCACCAAGCATACAATGATTTTGGTCCCATCACATCCCCCGCTTTCACCTGGCAGCGATCCTTCTCTTCTGGTGCCTATCAACAACAACAGTACTCACCTCCGCCCATACCTCATCTTCCAATCTCTCAGCCATTTAATCCCGCCACATCTCCTCCAATTGCCCCTGCGACACCAAATCCATCAGAGAAGTCTTCATCCCCTAATGAACTGGATCTAAACGATCCTTCTACTTTGGAAATCTATTCTCGCATCTTACTTTTCAAGGACAACAGAATGAGGGACGAACTCACATTTTCGAGGACACTTTCACCCAAGCAGAGAAGGGTCCTTCACCTGATTGCCCGGAAGTTGGGTGTGTATCACTATTCAGTTGGAGAAGGCGATGAAAGGTACACCATCATAACTCGCATCGATCCTAACAGGGTGAGTACTTCCCTATCAAGCAGACAAACTAGCTATTGCTGATCCAGCACCGTCTAGAGTTTGAGTTGGCATTTGCAGTGGTGTTGGCGTTATTAGAAATGCTGCTGGCACTATTGGTATTTGGAGACATGTTAGATGAAGACGCGTTAGAACAACGGCATTATCGAAGTTGGCTGGATGTTGATGGTCTGGTGTGCTGTCCGACTCTTTGTTCGGTTCTGTTTACAGATCGCTCCTTGAATCATCTAAGTATGTTTTGTGTGGGTTCTATCACTGTCAACAACACAAGCATCCAAACATTTTGTTTATCACCTACACTTCATACCAAGTCTCATTACTGGTTTCTTGTGATCCCTAACAGGCTTCTAACTTCATCCAATTCCTGCCAGGTGTCATGCAGCCATCTAGCCATCTCATCCAGCTCTTGTTCTCTTCACAACACCATTAACATCAACCAACATCTTTCTTCCTCCGTTGTGCAGATCTGTGCCTGCTGGCAGTTTTGGTTCATACTGGCTTGAGCTGCTTGTGTGGCGGTCATCCAAATCGACTGCATCATGTTCATTAGTCCTTCACAGTTGTGTACAATATTTAATGATCACATACAATTGCTGACTGGGTGACAATCAATGGCCCCGGTATGACTGCATGATTCAAGTCAGAGAGGTTCTAGTAGTAATGGTAAAGTTTTAGATCAAGCGCAAAATATCAGTCACTATTCTACTCACTGCTTGAGTACTGAATTGGTCACCTTGTGCTTCAGCATTATTGAATTGATTATTTTGCTCCATGGACTCAATGTAGTACTGATCTGATAATCAGTTGGACTTTGGTGTAGTTCAATTGAAGTTTGTGCAGCGGCGTGAGTTACTAGTATGTACTAGTTCTTGCCTTTTTGGGAGAAACACTCCAAAGTTTCGCAGTCACACTTGGTTTATGCTGAACATCAAGATCTATTGGAAGCAACAGACCGGCCCCTTCATCAACCCTCACTCCCTCTTCGTCAATGAGGTATTTTCTCCTTTTTGGGTGTCCACCGAGTTGATGTTGTTGCATAGGTCGAACAGGTCAAGGGTGGCGATTTGATTATCAACTGAGGTGTCGAATCAAAACCAAAGGAATCTGCAGCAGGAACTCCCCTGTATTTCAATTTGGTGGATGGATACGATACTGTTATCAAGCTCGCACAGGTAAGGGGCCAATGCCATGAAATGTGCACGCGAGATTCACTTTTCGCCCAGATGAACTCATCAAGACCAATTCCAAAGTACCACCCAAAGAGTCATCTATTCAGAATCCTGTTACATACTCCTCTGTCTACCTCCACATCCTCCCAACTTGTTGAGCGTCAAGCATGCAGCAAGGATTCGTGTCAAGACCTATGCTGGTGAAGCGGACCTGTACCTAGTAGTGTTTCTGTCTTCAGTGGAGCAGACTGATATGAACAGGAGACATGGGGCATGTCTGGCGTCTTCTTTACCAATCACCCTGACCTGTATGTCGCATTCTATATCCATATGAACTGGTGTCTTGATCTTCTATTTACAGGTGTCGCATACTGACAGACTATGGTAAGTTTTCTTAGATGCAATGACTCGCACTTGTCATATATTTTTGTTCAGGCTTCGAGGGTCATCTTCTCCAAAAGGACTTTCCATTATCGGTGCGTAGCTACCACTACAACCCGCTCATCATAATGATAGGATCATCATTTTAGGGCTACATTGAAGTCCGCTACGATGAAGAGAGGAAATGCGTCGTTTACGAACCTCTGCAATCGACGCAGGCTTTCCAGTCAGTCAGGAATCATTTTGATCCCTGCACTTCCTAATCACCTGATCATATATAGAAACTTCGAGTCCCTATCACACCCTGGGGGCCTGCAGAGCTCGAGCCTGTTCCTCCACCTGAACAGCCTCTGAATAAGTAGATGTTACTATGCTATTGATTGATATACATACATAACATTTCTATCCCCTGAAATGCAGGCGTAATTTAGATGTCTCATTGATAAGATTTATTTTCCCCCCGCTTCCATTTACTTGAGGGGTTGGACGAAACAACAAGATCCCACTTATTATGATACCTTGTCAATGGTCGGGTATGTTTGGACACAATTATAATAGCTATTTTGTAGCGACAATGTAATGGTAGGCTTGCAACCCAATATCAAAATTGCAATGCTGTAATCATGATTGTCATGCATTGCAAAACTTTATTCATTTTCTGTCATTGTGATAAGCATTTGTAGCTCTCTGCCTATCAAGGATCATTATTGCAAGACATGATGTATTCTCCTCACAATTGTGGTTGTCCAATAATATCCCGCAATGTGCTTATGCTTATGTATCGCTTTGTCTAGTTTTATAATCCCATGAATTTTTGCTCTGATCTTACAAAATAAATGTAGGAAAAACATCGTCTCCCCGATTTCCTGATGATCAAGAGAGGCTGGTATAATTGATAAGGCTTAAATACATATATGAGAATGGTCCAAAGGAATGTGTTTCAAAGGCATGAACCAAACCCAAAATAAAACTCAGACTGTACCTTTGAAACATGAACTGTTATTAGAGATGAGGTTTCCCTCACAATCCTGTGCGAGACAGCGCCGATCTTGAAACACCTCACAAGGCTGCCACGAGGTTGAAACAGTCTAGTAAGGCCTTATGAGATGAGTATGCATACCTTGCATGATGACGAACAAATACAATCAAGCCTCGGAACGCATTATGTGGCCATGGGAGACTCTCCAGACCTTGCCAGACCTAGTTAGATTTGGGCACTTTTGCTGATGTGATGTATTGTCAAAACTCAGCAGTCAGGTATGGCACAATAGCCTATTCTCATACCCTGGCACTATGTCAGTGGTGGTAGATTCCTCCACCAAAGGCTGCCTATCTATTCCTTATGGAAAGCTGGAGCACCATGCTCATTTTGCCAGCGACTTTGGTCACATGCAGTTGAGAGACCCCAAACACTGCATGCAAATAATACTTTGATATAAGCATGTCAAAACAAAACATGAATCTACAAGCCCCAGCAAGAAATCTACAAGTCCCAAGATTAATCTGTCTCCATCTCTGCTTCGTAAATTTTCAACTTAAAGCCACTCCATTTACAAAATTTGTTGCAATTGTGCTCCTTCTCGAACGTGCTAACTGCACATTTGATGTTGCCATCCCCAAAGATATCATCCTTCCCTTTGTTGACCAGGCTATAGTCCCCAGTTGAGTTATGAGTAATATTTTTTTTTAAAATCACGTATGGATGTGTAAGAACTTGAGGGTCAGACAAAATCTCCAATCCACCTTGGTAATCGGAGATGAACGCGAGACCGCCGGTTTTGGCAAACTGTATGTGTTGTGTGCAAGCTAGAAATTTGGCAATTTCATAGCCAACCTCGTATGGATCAAGCATTGGGTTGCAATCCATATTATGGATATATTTGATGAAATCGTCAGTGATCAACTCTTTGACGAGGTACCCAGCCCGAGGCATGGTCAGTGACTTTGATTTGTGGCCAGGTTGTGTGTGATTGTGTGACAATGCGAGACCAGCCTTGACAAAATGCAAGCGAGGGATGTGAAAGGGCGGAGTGTCGGATGAATTAGCAACACAATGGTCTATGTATTCATATGCAAATGTGAGCAATGAGCGTGCCCAGTACAAGACATTTGCCTCTCTGAACAGCTTTGGAAGCTTGTCACCTATTGTATAGCGTCCAATCAAAAAATTAATCAGGTTTGTGCTGCTGCCTGGAGGGTACTTCTTATAAAATGGTCGCTTGATGGCGACCTTCTGGCGTGGGCATGAACCTAAAGGAGTTTCGGGGGCTGATAAAAGCGTCAAGAACCCATAATGGGCCATCTTGAAGCCTCCAATGCCAAGCATGTCGTCCATCAAGGTCTGAACTGTAAGTCGGCCACTGTGGCTCAATTTGGTGTCTGTGCGGAAGGCAGCATGAAGCTTTGGGTCCTCTAAAATGACTGATAGTGGGTGTGTTGGGATGGGGAATAATTCAATATTTTCATGCTGTACAGTGAGCACTAGGAGGTGTGATGTCAGAGAAGGACTAAGAGTAACAGCACGTACTTACTTTGTCGGACATCTATGTCTGTAGTCCCACCAGACTGCAAAACTTCCCGCAGCTGTTCTCGATCTGGAGAACGGAAACCAACATTGGCAGATGCCACTTTCTTGAGGGGAGGCAAGGATGGGACACTCGCAATCTCACGGTGAAATGGCCGCTTGACTGGCGCTTTGGACAGTGCCGCTTCAGATGGTTCTTCTTCAGATGGTGCTTCGACTGATGAGATAGTCAATGAATCAGCCTGAGCACCAGCCACAGCCAGTGCGCTCGAATGGATGCTAGAATGGATGCTCCTTGTCGCAGAAGGTAGAAAGAGTGGCTCAGAAGCCACAGCCAGCATGCTTGATTAGACGCTTGAATGGACGCTCCTTGTCACAGAAGGTAGAAAGAGTGGCTCAGATCATGAACACATGCTGAATCATTCCTAAGGGTATAGATTTTTTGGTAAGTATGTACCGGCATCGTATAATTGAAAAATACAAACCTCTTCAGCTTTTTCAAGCCATGTTTTGTAGTCCTCCCATTGAGCCGTGGGCACAATGACATACAATAAAAATTGTTTTGACTTGAATGTCATAGCGCGCAAGCCTTTGTGAGTTGCCTGCATGCATTGGGAGTAAAAATAAGGCTGACATGGTGGATGGGTTGATAAATCAATCCATCCGCCATCTCGAATGACGAATTGGTTCTGGTGCCATGGAAAACCTGTCGCAAAAGCTTGGATCTTCGGCAAGATAGTATCCAGCTAAAGTGTGATGAGTCTGGGTGCGTCAATGCGTGCATCAACATCTTTTTGGCCCTCACATATGTTCTGAAATTCAGAGTTGTCAGTACGCGATAGATGTAGCAGAATCCATCTACGTACTCCAAAAGGTATACCACGAGTGCCCTTCCTCCTATTTCCACCTTCCTGAACAGCGGTAATTTCCAAGCTAATAGTCTCCACCAGGGGTACAGCATATGCTTGCTTAGCCAAGCATTCTCGTTCAGCACCATATTGTGCATGGTTCACTGAGTAGCCAGGCTGAGCCCAGCTAGAAGGGACAGCTATATCTGGCCCAGCACTAGTAGCCACTACACGTGGTGGCGGCTGCTGAGCTACCACTGAGAGATCACATCAGTAAATGTAAAATGGACGCGAGTATGAAATCAATCAAACCTGGTCTCCATGCAGCATTGATATTTTGCCGGATAACTTGAGCATTGACTTGAGGGTTCGGACACTGAGCAGTGGGCCTCATTGATGTTGCTGCTTTGCCTTGATAGTGCCGGTGACAAGTTGCGCAAACAAAGTGCCCGCGTTGGCCAATGACGATTGTCGCAATGTAGAAACATGGATCTCCCTTCAAAATCTTTGCAGCACAGGCAGAATGTTCACAAATGAGATCTTCTTTGGCAAATGCATCTTCAGTGAACTGTGATGCAAGTTCATAGGAGGCCATGAATGTTGAAGGTGTGAGACGAGGACAGACACGATGAAGGTGTGAGACACAATATATTTCAATGCAGGATTAAATACGGAATGCAGGATTAAATATGGTCAGTCGCTCAGAACGAGTAAGAGCACCAGAGCGGTCAGAGCCTCTGTGGCCATACCTAGTTAGCAAAATGAGAGCACATCTACCAGACCGTCAGTAACTCAGAATGAGTGAGAGCCTCTGTGGCCATACCTAGTTAGCAAAATGAGAGCATCCAGATGGTGAACAAGTTACTCAGAATGAGTGAGACTAAGCTAGAGCACCAACAGAATGAGTGAGTGAGACTAAGCTAGAGCACCAAGTGAGAACACCTACTGAACTTGTCAGTTACTCAGAATGAGTGAGAGCCTCGGTGTGAGCATGTGGTGAAGCCAGAGTGGTGAAGCCCGAGGTTGTTTGCGGCATCAATGGGGCGATCTGCATGGGATGAGTGAGTGAGACAAAGCTAGAGCGCCAAGTGAGAACACCTGAACACCTACTGGACCGTCAGTTACTCAGAATGAGTGAGAGCCTCTGTGTGAGCATGTGGTGAAGCCAGAGTGGTGAAGCCCAAGGTTGTTTGCAGCATCAATGGGGTGATCTGCATGGGAGGATTGAAAGAGGGTCTAACACCAATGAAAGGCATGGAAGTGCAGCATGAAAGAGGCAATGTGCAATGTGTTACAACCGCTATCTCATACTCTTACATTCTTACGATATGCCTTCCTTTCTTGAACTTGTACTTACTATCTCACGATGACTTGGTCTGTGCGCACATATGGATCTATTTAAGCACATGTATTACGCTTGTATTCTTCACTTGAATCTTACTAGGTTTTACCTGGAACATCCTTCGCTTAAGACCTCCAATCTTAAGTCGTCCTGAAACCCGATTCTTAGTCAAAGCACTCCTTTGACTAAGTCCACAGAACTCTCTCTTGTCTGAGAGACTGAGAATCTCAACGACCGAAAACTCTGTCAAGTTGTCGTTGTTAGAACTATTCTAGTTCGTAACAAAAGATTCAAGTCGAAAGACACCACACATCTGTGTGTGTCCGATACCAACAGAACAAAGAAGACAAACCGAAAACAAGAAGAACTGCTGAGCAAAACAGCCAGCACGGACAGCAGACCTGACATCACTCACCCCAAGACTACAGGCCTTGAACCTTGGTACTTCAGTACCCCCGCTCAATATGTCGACATCAAACACTAGCAGCGGCAAAGAATTCGAATACAAGATAAACCACCCTCCCATATTCAATGGAGATAGGGATCTGTCTAGATCATTCCTCCTATCCTGTAACGCTTACATGGATATCAACGATAAACTCTACAAAGAAGACAAACATCGCATCATTTTCATCACGTCGTTTATGAACGAAGGAAATGCCAGATTATGGAAAGAAGAATTTCTGGAAGACGCTCAATTCATTGACTCCTCCGGACAAAAGAAAGGATATGGTACCATGAAAGATTTCTTAGAAGCTTTCAATAAAGCATTCTCCGCAATCGATCCTTCCGGAACAGCAATGACCAAGCTAGGAGCTCTCAAACAAACCGGAGATCTCCAGACTTATATCGCCGATTATCAGAGGCTAATCGCTCAGGCAAAAGTCAAAGAAGAAACCGCCAAAATCTTTCACTTCCAGCAAGGACTCAATATAGGAATCCTTATCAAGATGTTCAATGCTGGAAACGTCCCAAAGAACTTCGATGACTACATCGCCGCAGTAGTCGACATCGATAACTGCCACACACAGTTACAATCCATTAGATCCCGCTTCCCTATACAACAGAAGAAGAAAAGATTTGGGGATCAAAGATTTGTACCCACAAGGGATCGCGATGCTATGGTGATTGATCGACTCACGGATGAAAGTCGCCAAGAACACATGCGTGTTGGAAAGTGCTTCACTTGCCACCAGATCGGACACCGTGCTCGGGAATGTCCGCAGAAGAAAAAGGGACCTCCCTTTGTCCGCAAAGTAGAAGAAGAGGAAGAAGAAACTAGGCGCATTCAAGAGGATTTTTGAAACGGAGAAACATATCGACGGTGGAATCTCCAATAGAACCTGTACGTTTGATACGAGCTGTCAATGATAAAAAAGAACTTCGCATTCCCATTACTCTCATATCTCGAAAACAGGAAAATGTCGAAACAAGCGCGGTAATCGATTCTGGCGCTTCTGGAACCTATATCTCCGAAAGCTTTGTGAAAAAGCTCGGGATAAGAACCCGAAAACTGAAAAAACCATTCAATATCCGAACCGCAGACGGAAGCTATTTCAGCAGCGGACCAGTAAATCGGTACTGCACCCTTATCGTCAAAATTGATGAACGAACCATGATAGGAAAATTCAACATTACCAATTTAGGAACACGAGACCAAATTCTCTTGGGAATTCTGTGGCTCCAAAAGATGAATCCCTCTATCAACTGGGCAGAACGAACTCTCTCACTTCCTTGTACCCCAAAGTCTATCGAAATCTCGGAAAGAATTCGAAAACTTAGCACCCCCCCCCGAACAAAGAAAGTGGACAAATTCCAAACTAAAGAAACAACCATCCAAATTCTCTGCTTCCATCGAGGAAATCCCCGAAGATGTACCGCTGTTGCTACCAACGGAGGATGACGATCTTTTTGACACTCAGGAAGACGTTTGGTGCGCTCCACCGGTACAAGACGTCTCTACCTATAAGCTAGATGACGGGGAATTCCTGGTTGAATACGGTGCTGATGGAGAATTCGTTCGAATTATACAAGAAATTTCGCTCGACACTCCTCTCACAAAGGATGGAACATCCTTTTCGGAACAAATTCCGATCATCACCCCTCTTAAAGTTAGCAACAAGGCGCAAGAGTTTGCAACGGAAGAAAAGGAAAAACAGAAGAAACCCTTCGAAGAACTCGTGCCCGCTTATCTCCATGAGTATGCGGATGTATTTGCCAAAGATGGACTAAAACAACTTCCCCCCGGAACGACCAGGAATAGACCACCGCATAGAAACAAAACCTGGGTTCCTTCCAAGGACGTCTAAAGTATACCCTCTCTCACCAAAAGAAAGGCTTGCGGTAAAGAAATTTATTGACGAAAACTTGGAAAAAGGTTTTATCACTCCGTCGAAATCCCCACAAGCCAGTGGGTTCTTTTTTGTAGGAAAGAAAAGTGGAGAGCTTCGTCCCTGTCAAGATTATCGAGGCATTAATGATCAAACGATAAAGAACTCTTATCCCCTTCCACTTCCGGCAACTCTTATCGAACGACTACACGGGGCAAACTTCTTCACGAAAATGGATATTAGATCAGGATATAACAACATCCGTATCCACCCGGATGATCG